TTATAATAATATATACTACATAAAAAAAAAATAAAAAAATGTTTGTTGTTTTAAAGTTACGTGGGAAGTATAATTACTAGAAAATAAAATTATTTATATAATTTCAAGCAGATGAAAATAGCAAAATAAATTAATTAGTTCCGGAATGCAGGGAATAATAATAATAATAATAATAATAATAATAATATTATGCTGACAATATAATAGCTTTAAAATTGCTTATCATTGTGAAAATGAGATATCAAAGATTTTCCACTCCAATACTCCAAACCCTCATTTAATTGCCCCACCCCACCCCACCCCACCCCCCTTCTCACCTATAAATATGTGTGTATATGCCGCCACTCTTCTTATACACCAAATTCAAGCAAGAAAATTTTTCATATATATATATATATATGTATAGATACAGATATATAAAGATGGGTGTGTAGCTCTTGTTGGAGAAGCAGGGCACGTGCAAGTCTTCGAATCGTGTATACATTAATGTTGCATGGTAAAATGGCACGTGCTTGCTTTCTCCAACACGGGCTCCTCACCCCACATTGTTCTACTCGACAACGTATGTCAACGACGCATCATTGAAGAATATATATACATATATATATATATATACACATGTAAGTGTATATAGCTCCTACAAAGAATGCATTTTTTGTAAAAAATTTGAAAAATTTTAGTTTGAATTTGATATTAAAATAACGTATGATAGGATGTTTTGTGATAAAAAAAAAAAAAAAAAAAAAAAGTGTAATTTTTCAAAAAAATACAGCTTGGATTTGGAGTTAAAGAAACAAATCCTAACTTTTTTATAATTATTTTCTCTAAAAAAAATATCAAATTATTATAAGTTATATTATACTAAAAATAATTTATATTTAAAATATTACATTACTAGTACATTTATTTATATCATATGTTCAAAACATGGTACTCATCTACTCAAGTCTCAAATCTATAATTAAACAAACCTACAGCTAAGAGTAAAAATGGATATCTTTCATGATCCATAATAATAATAATAATAAATTTCATAAAGGTGCTCTGGTGGTGTGAAAAATTTATTTAAAATTATAGATTCAAACATTGATGCCTCAAGATGCATGTGTCATATATGGTAGCTACGCTTCTAATATTACTCAGTTCCAACTAATAAATATACTCTTTTTATTATTTTTTCATGTCTCACTAAAAAATAATTATCTTTTATTATAGTAAATATAATTAATATATAAATACACAAATATAATAAATTTTACAAAAGCACTCATTTTTTATTTTTTATTTATTTACAAGGATAAAAATGTCAAAATTATTTTGCATATATTTACTAATCAATAAAATATTATTATTTTTTTTATTTATTACTCTTTCCGTCTCACATAAATTGTCTATATTTTATACTTTCGTTTGTTTCACATAATTTGTCATTTCGTTTTTTTGAAATATGATTATACATTTCAATCATATTTTAAATTTTTTAAATTTTAAATTTTAACTAAATTATTTAGTTATTTTAATTTTAATCCATAATTATCTTTACTATATGATAATTATTTTTAATAATATAAATTTTAATTACTTATTAATTATATTTTACATAAATTTTGTATTTACAGTAATAAGCGGATATTACATGGGACGGAGGTGGAGTATAAAAAAAATAAAATAAATTGATAGTTTCAATCAACATGAATAAAATATACTAATTTCGTCCTATATTTATGTATCCATTTGTTTTTTGCACGGACTTTTATAAATATTATTATATTGGAATTAAATAAGAATAAAATAGAAATGACTAAAATAACCTTATTAGTATTGTATGATATAAAAGTAATGATATTTGTAAAATATATTGAAAATTATAAATGTATTTGTAATATTAAATAGATAGTACAATTCCTAAAAAAAAAAATAAATACTTTGTTATGAGATATAATAAAATAAAAAAAACAAGTACTTTGTTATCCAACCGAGATAATATATTAAGGGTGTGTTTGTTTGAGGGATTGGATTTTTTTTTACTATTCATCCAATTTTTTCCCTCCAAAAACATCAAATCAAACACCTATTTTTTATTTTTTATATTATAATAAAAATCAATTTTACATTCAAAACATCACATCAACACCTATTTATATCACATCATACAACTATTCAAATTCAAAATTTTTACTATTCAAATCCCAACTCAAAATCTAAACCTCCAAACAAACACACCCTAAAAAATTATGTCAAGCAAAATTTTGTTGGATGAATAAATTCTATAATTAATTAAAAATAAATAGATACAAATTTGAATGGAGCGAATAAAGGTTAGAGGAGAAATATTCAAGCACGCATGCCGAATTGGTGCACGTGACAAACATCAATAAATATACATATACATATATATATATTTATAATTGCCTCTGAGCGTGTTTCTTGTCTTGCGTCGCAAGTAATCATCATCACCCTCCACAACATTTTTCTTTGCCTCTTTGCTACATCAATCTTTCGTGAGCATGCCTCTCTCTCTCTCTCTCTCTCTATATATATAATATTTTTATAATAATACTTTATAAAAATAAAAATAAATATATTTTTATTCAAATTGTGCATAGAGAATTAAAATACTCCCTCCGGCCCCGGATATCGTATCTGCTACACCATAAACACGTGTAATTAGTAGATAATTAAGAATATATTAGTAAAAATAATTATCTTATAATATATATAATTATAAATTAAAATTAAGATAACTAATTAGTTTAATTAAAATAAAAAAAAAATTAAAATTTAAAATGAGATTAAAGTGTGTAATTATTTTTCAAAAAAGAAAAATGACATAATATATAGAACGGACAGAAACGGCAATGTGGACATGGTATCTGAAACGGAGGGAGTAAAAATCAAAGACAACAATAGGTACACATGATCTCTCTGTACACTATATATATATATAAAATACTCCTTTTGTCCTGATTATTGTGTTCTGTAGCCATCAGAATTAAAGAGAAGTATAATTGTATTATAATATAAATAATTATTGATTAAAATTAAAATAATTAATTAGTTTAATTAAAATAAATAAATTTATAAATTTAAAAATTTAAATAAAATATATATTTTTTAAAAAACTAACATTAGATGTGAGATAGATATAAAAATATTTTTAATATTAAATATAATAATGCAAAAAATAAATGATACTGATTTTATAGTACGAATGTACTATTTGGTTTTGGTTTTAAATGTAAATTATTACTATTAAGATTGTACAAATTCAATACATATATATTTATAAATTATTTGAATTTTTATTTAAATGATACTTTAATATTTTGTTATATAAAATGATTTTATTGAGAATTTATAATTAATAATATTGTAAAAAGTTCAATTGAAAAAAAAAATAGCAATTGATATGTTATTTCTTAGAAAATACTGTACTAAAATTTATTAATGTAATATTTAGATAAAATATGTAGTAGTATATAATTTGAATACCTATATATATATATTTTTTAAAAAGGTAAATTATTAAATTTTAAATTTGGATAATAAATTAAACGACTGTGAATTAAGTGGTGGGGTGGTGTACGGACAAAGACTTGCAGAGAAAGTAAAGGCGGTAAGAGCACGTTTCATGCTGTCCGTACCGATTCGCTTTGCCTCTTGAAAGATTTGCTGTCGGCACTGCACCCACCCCGGCCCGCTTTTCCAATTTATTTGTCCACTTTGTTTTAATAAATATAGAAATTTTATAATTTATAATTTTATAATTTTAATTATTTTAATTTTAATTTATAATTAATTTTATTAATATATTTTTTAATAACTAATTATATTTTATCTAAATTCTTCTATCTATACTAAACATGATACAAAAGTGAAACGAAAAGAGTAATAGTTATGTTCTCTCTAGTTTTTACGTCAAATTTACTTTTATTTTTTTATAGTATGTATTTTAAATTTACTTTATCATTAATTTTGACAAAATCAACAAATCAATTATAAAAAAAAAAAAAAAAAAAAAGAAGAAGAAGAAGATTTAGAAATATGAGAGAAAAAGTGTATAAATTTTGTAAGAAAATTTAGATGGGCCTTTAGATCATTCAGATTTGTCAGGGGTTGGATCTCTGTTGCGTGGAGGCCTTAATTTCCAGGGCCAGAGCTCTCCTTGTTACTTATGTTTCCTTGTTATTCGTTTGACGGATTTGACCGGATTTTTACTATTCATCAATATTTTTTTTTTAAAAACTATCAGATTAAATATATTTTTTTTATAGTATATTAAAAAATAATTTTACATTTAAAATATTACAACAACTTCTATTTATATCATAGTATATCATTATTTCAATTCAAAATTTTTACTATTCAAATTTCAACTCAAAATTCAAACCCAAAATAGTTCCACAAGTAAAAATTTTCGCTAAAATTATCATCCGGTGTTGGAGTTGCCACGCTAGTCTGCCGTTGCTGACGTGGCGTTGACGCAAGTGACACGTCATTGACACATAGATGCCACGCCAGCGACACGATGAATTTTTTTTTACAAGATATCTTGGTAAACTATTTTTTGTCTCGTATATGATCATTTTTATCAATTTTAAGACATTTAAATGGATTTTATTTCAAAATAGTCTTGTATGTAAATTTTTTCGCTAAAATAATCATTCGATGTGGCATCTATGTAGCGTTGACATATTAACCAATATAGCTAGCGAGTCCGGCACAGAAAAATTATTTTAGTAAAAAAGTTTTACTTATGAAATTATTTTGAAACAAGATCCACTTAAAATTCTAAAATAATAAATAAATCATATAGCGGGACCAAAAAAATCAATTTACCCTTTTTAAAATTTTAGTAGCATTTATTTTTTAATGTTATAGGAGTATTAAATAATTATATCTTCAAATGATATTATTAGCTGAAACATTACTATTCTCTAATATTTACTTTGAATCCAATAATAATGATAACATTATTTTTGGCAGAAACAGCCCCACAAGACTCGCTCAAACGGTCCGTACAAACTCACCAATTCTTCCTAACAAAATGGACCTTTCCAATATTTCTAACTAATAACCGTTAATTTAATTTCTCCATTTTCGTTCCCTTCCCCAAAGTTACTTTCCGACGATGCCATCCGAAAACGACGACGCCGCCGGCGACGGCCCCACCGCCACCGACGACGATAAAAAAACCGCGGCCGCGCCGCCGACCGAGAGCCGCACGCCGCTCGAAATCCTCCGCGACGACGGCGGCGCCGGCAGCCAAAAGGAACGCGACAAGCTCCGCCGCCGAAACTCCGGCAAAGGCGCCGCCTGGACGTCGAGCGTCCACATTCCGACGTCGGACATTCCCCTGAACAGCAAGAGCCGCAACATTTCCCGCCAGGCGTCGAACATCCTCGCCGGCCAGACCGCCGATCCCGACATCTCCGCCGTGCCGGACTCCATCTCGCCGGCGATCTCCGCCGCCGACAAGCCGGCCAAGCGTCTCGTGAGGGAAACAAACCTCGACGAAGAAGACGACGACGACGACGACGACGAAGAAAACGACAACGACGGCGACGGAGAATATTCTCCGGCGGCGGCGTCAGGGCAGCAGGCGGCGGAGCCGGTGAGGATGTCGCTGATGTCGCTGCTGGCGGAGACGGACGAGCAGCTGGGGTCCGGCGGGCTGGCGTACATGATGGAGGACGACGACGAGGACGACGACGACGACGGCGACGGCGAGGACGACGGCGGCGGCGGCGAGGGGGCGGAGTATAATAGCTGCTGTGTGTGTATGGTGAAGCATAAGGGGGCGGCGTTTTCGCCGTGCGGACATTCGTTCTGCAGATTGTGTTCGAGGGAGATGTGGGTCGAGAGAGGTAACTGTCCTCTCTGCAATAATTACATACTCGAAATTCTAGACGTATTTTGATTTTTTTATTTTTTTTAAAAAATGTTTTATTTTATTTTAGGGTTGATTAGGTTCATTGTACGATGATTTGTTGATCGTGTATGTTTGGGAATAAAGTGAGGGATTATGGGTTGTGTATTTTTTGGATGGGAAAAAAAGAGGTAGGGTTTGGATATGCCTTGTTTATACAGAGTTTGGAAAGTTTAAGAAAAAAAATAATATATATTCGATGTAATTTTAAAGAAAAAAAGAAGTAAATCTAATGTTACTTGATGAGTGATGAATAATGTGCATTAAAATTAAAAGAGGCTGTATTTTAAATGAATAATATTGGAATTTTTCTTTTACCGTAGTCGTTATCCAAAAGTGCGTACAGGCAAACATCCGCCGAACATGAAGGAGGATTCATGTTTTGAAAGTAAAAATAATACCTTCCTTCCTTCTTCGGATAAATTTAAAATATTTTGGTTCGCAAATACATATTAAAAAACAAAAAAGTGAGAGAAAATAAATTTAGAATATATAACATATTAAAAAACAAGAAAGTGAGATAAAATAAATTTAAAATATATGAGTTCGCTAGTACATATTAAAAAACAAGAAAGTGAGAGAAAGTATATTTATTTTGTAACTTAGAAATATTAATATGTGAGAGAAAGTGTAACTTAGAAATACTAATGTGAGGGAAAGTATATTTATTCTGTAACTTAGAAATATTAATATATTTTTTTGTAAGTAGAAATAATCAGTGTATACTATATATATTGTGTAAAAGTAGTGATAAAATAATAGTTGTAATTTCTATTTATTATTATTTTATTTTTTTCCATTTTTATGATTGAGGTGGGTTTGGATTAAAAAATTTTGTGGGTGGGTTTGTCTGGGAGTAGTTGAGCCGATACAAATTTTCGGTCTCTGTTCTATTCTCAACCCAAAATTTGCAAATGCAATTCTGTGCAGTTTTGCCTCTCTTCTTATTGATCATATTATTTTTCTGTGATTGTTAATGAAAAATTGATGTTGGATATGATGTATATCACCAGATATTACTATATTAATTCATTCTACACACAAAAGCATAATGCCAATTTGCAATTCTTTAATTTGTAGTATTAAAACTGCAGCTTTCTTTGGTTACAATATTTTGTGAAAAAATAATGATATGTTTTTATTAAAAATTATACTAACTAAATAGTTAGTATAATTTGAATTTGAAACTCAAAACAAACACGTAAGGGCGTTGTGAAGTTCTCAACCGCATATTTACAATACATACATACATACATATGTATATATATATAGTAACTATTGTTGCATTAAAAGAGGTTAACAGTTTGATGTCTAACTCAAATAGCTATTGATCTTCTACTTCTTTACCATTCTCAAATAAATTGACACTTATTTTCTGTATTGTTCTCACATTATTAATGTGGGTTTTTGACCTCATATCTGTATGTAATTTCATATAATTGCTTTATATTGATCAGCAAAGTTTATATTGCATTTACATATTTATGCCATTGTTCAACATTGTACTGATGTCTTATATTATAACATATTCTATATATATATATATATAATTAAATAGAGGTGTATACTAATATTTAACAGCACGATTCTAAAAGAAAATTAGCATACAATCCGCTCCATACATATTTTCCACTAGTATATATATACTTCACTTATTCGATAAAATTTGGACAAGATGTTAATTGTGATTGAATCAATTTTAACTTGACCTACATACAATCGAACCTAAATTTGAACTCAAGCTTGATGAGCTTTCAATGGATTAGATTGAGCCCAAGCCGAACATTCAATCGATTTTGGATGCTATTTAACTAGTTGACACATATATGTTGCTACTTATGCAAACAGCAATGAGAATCGAACGCCTAACTTCATAATGAACTGTGTAGATACAAGCACTAGAGCATCCTAGTTGAGTAGGTTACCCGGAAATTCAAATGCTTAATCCAAATTGTAACGGAAAATATTTGATTTGACGTGCATCCCACCCTACCGTTATCGCATACTTACAAACATATTAGTCCGAAATCGCAAACAAATAAAGGCATGGAGCCTCATAATAAGATTTGTCGATGCGGGCATTATAGAATGAAAGCAAAAATTGCGAGCGTAGGAAGTACAATAATTGGTTTACCTTGTTTATCCCTTTTTATTATCTAGTCCCAAGCTTTTCTGCATGTCTCTGGTCAGGCTGAATTGTAGGGTGTTATGCCATGGGAACAGCGTCCGTGTCACTGGAAGCTTCCTCCGAAGATCCTACATTGTTGCCACAGAAAAAAATTGCATGGTTAAGTTCTGTATTTACTCGGAAACTGAGAACAGACTGAAATTCCATCACATTGAAGAATATCAGAGCATTCTAAAGACTGGTGACTGTGACTTTGCCATTTTGTAGTCGTATATGAGAGTTCTTTTTTCTATCATTTAAGAAGCTAAATGGGGAGTGATTAACAAGAAAGTGGAGTTTTGTGAGGAATTTAGCAGAAAGAGCGAGTACCTTGAAAGTTGTGTCGGGGAGTTTTGCATAGGACACCTATAAAGGAAATTGTATTCATTGAAGAGAATCAGTGAACACTGAAATTGAAATTGTATGTTTGTGTGTTTGGAAAAAGAATAGGAGAATACCAGAAGAGAATTCAGGTACTCTGACTCGTGGTGCCGAATGATGCTTGTCAATGTAGTTGCACAATCATTAGGTAGCTGAAAATTCACACATTACCGACATTTTTTAATGACATTAGGACATAGATTTGTATTCATCATTTTGAATCCTTCGTGAATTTAAAACCACAAGACTTACCAAACAAGTCAAACAAAAGAGAATAATGTTTATTAATTTTGAGGGCTAAAAATAAAGCGCCATTTCAGATGCCTATCATTGTATATTGACATGATTATCATCAAGCATATGTTATAGGAAATATTATGCGCAAACAATAAGAGATTCTATATTTATATGTATATATATGTATATATATATCCATACAATGGATCATAAGTCACGAGCTCTTTCATATCCAGTTTCCCATTAGCTGGTTCTTTGTTAGACCATTACATAAGCATGGTTAGAGCTAGAAACAAGGATTGAAAAAGCATAAGGAATAAAAATGTTAGGTGTCATTTCAAATATATCATGCTGTGTGACACTTTTTTTGGATGATATAAACCTATGCACATAAAACAATAGAAAAAACTTAAATAATCATGTTAACAATTTGGATATGTTCACAACACCACTACTATGGACATCGAAGTAAGTAATAGCAAATTAGCAATGTTCCATGAAAATTGAAAATCTACACAAAAAATAATAGAACTTGCTACACCAACTCCTATGTGCAATCCATCAAAATATAAATCACGTTGTTGGAATCTGTTCAAAGAATAGAAACTAGAAATTGAAAATTTCCTTTCAAGCATTACCTGAAACATTGTGGAGTCCTTAAATTCATGCTTTGCATCTAATTGGACATTTCCTTCTTCAAAGTAATGTGCCTCAACCTTTTTGAAGTATAAGATGATATATATGATGTAAGGTTGTTTCCAAGATCAAGGAGCACCGTAACCCAAAAAAAATCTGTCATATGTTACTGCAAGAGCAAATGGAAGTCTACCTGCACTTTACCTCTGACTTCCACTAGTTGCAGCTCATCTTTAAATTCCATTTGCCATATTGATCTCCAACTTCCATTGCTGCACAGAACATAAGTAATAAGGTCATGAAAGATGCCCCAGAGGAACAACATATATAAGGCTAATCAAATAATGTCGGAAAGAGAGATCCTGACAGTAATGGTGTTTGACAGATTCTGCATACCAGAAATTCTGAGGGCTATGTCTAACAGCAGAAATTACAACAACAAGCCCAAAATTAGAGCCTGGCTCCTCCACGTCTTTACCACTGACACAATAAACTGAACTGACCCCTTTGGGGTATGCTTCACTAACATACTTGATAATCTCTGTGTCTAAGGCACACCTGCCAAAAAAGAATTTAGTATTTGCAAGAGAACAAAATTGTTCTGCAATAAGAATTAGTACTAAGAAAATGACAGAAGATTGCAAAACAGAAATGGAAAATAAGGAAACAAATGAACTAAAATCTTAAATCATGTAATCTAAACTTGAAAAGATACATTAATAATTAAAAAATAAATAAATAATCACTGTAATAAATTTCAGTAAGTTCTATTAATTTGTTCACTTGATTCTAGGATAAATGACCCACGTTTCTATTCCAGGTTCACAGTTCAGAACGATATATAAGTTGTTTTCAAAATCTCAGGAGAAGGGATTTTTGCTATGTGGATGCTGAATCAAATAACCACACTGCGGCTTTCTCTGTGGTTCTTAATTTAACTTTTCGCACTAATATTTTTCTTTTGTTGCCATCTTTGCATATCGTTCCGCTAAAATCTATATTTTAAATCTATAACCTTGACTATATTTTAGGGTGCTTTTCTAATTAAGGACTTCTCAGTGTGGTGCTTTTTAATTTGTGCAATACACAGTTAAAGAAAAAAAAATGGATCAAGTAAAGCATACCGATATTCCTCAATGTACGAGGAAGGAAGTTCTTCATCATTTGCTGGTCTAACATCTTCACAAACCTATTCAACAGAGCAGCCATTGTATAAAAACAATAATCTCTATTTATCTGATTTGCAATCATGTATTTTATGATTCTGTACCAGACGTCATACATTTATTAGCTAAAATAATATAGAGAACTTAAAATTCAAACCAAACCAAAACCACATCTCATTGAAGTGAATGCAGCCAGGCAATTCAAGTTTAGATGCATCAAGTGGAACATTCTTAACAGATTGTGGCTAAAAGGAATACTCTAAAATGGCAAAAGTCCATTACAGGTATAAGAGGTCAAGGGAGAAAATCCAAATATTGGAATGAACGTTAAGGTTTGATTTCCAATATATATTAATATTGTAGTCACTAAAGAAAAATGCAAAAAATCAATTTTGGTTAGATGATTCAAGTTAGGTTCATTCATATTTCATGGGTGCTGTTTAATAAAAACCATATGAAATAGGGCAGTCAAACAAGATTGTGTTCTAGTTCTACTTCATGGGTGTTGTTTAATAAAAACCATACTAAATAAGGCAGTCAAAAAAGATTCGTGTGTTCTAGTTCTACTTCATGGGTGTTGTTTAATAAAAACCATACTAAATAAGGCAGTCAAAAAAGATTCGTGTGTTCTAGTTCTACTTCATGGGTGCTATTTAATAGAAATAAAGATATATAACAAACTCAAAAAGTACTTCTCCAGTTGGCTATATACATTATTTAAAAGCTATTGCATCCCAGTCCAACTCCTGTAAATGGAGGAGGCCAAATGATTACTATATAAAGATATATAGCCAACTCAAAAGGTACTGCCCCAGTTTACAGAACATGGATTGCTTGCAAAATGCACCATGAAGAAGCAAATAAGATCTTAAAGAACATTCAAGCCGCGTATCTCAACAAACTAACGATTACTTTAACATAGATTTCCAAACCAGTACATGATGATGATGAACATATATGCCATAAAGGGTGGTTTTCATGAGTTTAATATCCTCTTGAATTCAGTTGGGCACAAAATTATGCATCGCGATACTTATAGTTATCACATACCCTATGAAAAAGCCACGTTTTACTTCTCATAATTCAAATGCATTACCTTCATATTCTATTGTTGGCACATTCTTATCATGTCTAATTTTCTTACTGAGAAATATGCATTGATTAATTGCTTATTCTTTCTGTATGAAATTATAGAGCTAGCTATGGCATAAAATCTACTTCGCGCATTCCTCTATAAACTTGAATTACATACCTACTTTAATAGAGCTGAAGGACATTTGATTAATCATTTAATGATTTTCTTATTACTGGTTCTTATGGTAAATTGTCCTTTAATTTCCATTAGATCAGATGATCAACCTCAATTTTACAGGCTAAAACATACATCCTAAGAGTTTCCAGATTAATGCAAGGTAAATGACACAGCAAAAAACTGGACAACATAGCAGCATTAGCATGTTCAAAATCCTTGTAAATATAATATATATTATAATCCTGAAAGAAGATTCAATAACCATGAGAGAAAGAATGTCCATTGTACCTGTTTTACATGATCAACTATCGCAACCTGTGCAGTCCTAGGATCTATATATTGATTCTTATCAATCTCACTATAAGATGTTACCAGAACCTGAAAAATAATAGAACATGTCTGAGATCAAAAGCCATAAAAATCATACCAAACTGTGCTTCATCAGGACATCAGTCAACAACGGAGAAAATGTGAACTTATAAATTTAACACAATTCCAACAGTAACATAAAGCTACCATCAATTATTGCTAGGCAGCTGAGGCTACAACGTCTTAGAATAATGGCCTTAGAGCTAGAAGAGCTTGGTGTCACATAAGAAGTCTCCAGCCTTCCACCCATAGTTGAGAAACTTATTTATCAATTTTTATTTTTTTTTATATAGCCACTAAACAAGTATCAATAATGCAACAGCCATCAGAACACATATTCATCAACCAGACTTTTTAAAAAATATATATCACATCAAATAAATAAATTTACTTATATATTACATCAAAAACTCTATTTCTATACAAAAACAAGACATTCTAACACATCTATATCACATAACATACCTATTTTTTATTCTAATCTCTTACTATTCCCAAAACTCTCCGAAATTCAATAGACTTCCAAAACATATCTAACCACAAACAAGGTCTTGAGACCTCCACAATAACCAACTCACAAGAATCATGTTTAGAACAATTTTGCAGCATTTATCACCACAATGTATTATAGGAAGCTGGGCATGCAAAATAAACAAGTTAATCAAGAGCAGTTATTATCTAACAATAAACTAAGAACAATTTGAAAAATTCTCTATAAAACCACATAAATTAGTTTGCCGATTAATCCAAATCATCATTTCTAACTCACTACGTGAGGAGAAGAGAATTGCTTTTGCTTCCACCAATAGTTTTCGGGAAAAAATTGCTACCTAGGAATAACACAGTGACAAACTACAGCATCACACCATCGAGCAATAAACTCTAAAAAATTACAGTTAACTTCGCAAGAAACGGTCTAGATTCTAGAACCAAACAAGCGATAGCTGTATATAGGGGAACTTGCAAAGGGACATTCGCGATTACCTCACCGCTTCTATCGGGAAATTCAAGGCAAATCATATGCGATTTATTGTACAGATGAAAAGCCTCCGCTGCAGCGGTTCTGTACAGGCTCTCGCTCTTCACAACCGCCCTAATATCTGCACACATTCTCAGAACGCAAAGCATTAATGCGCAGAATCTGCACATTTGGGAGCAAAACATGAAAATCATTAGTTACTAACCTTTGGCGACGTATTGGATTTCGCCGGGGGGAGAATTGAGGAGAAACCACTTGGCGATCTCGATTTTCTGCTTGTCAGTGAGCTCCGACGCCGGCTCGTCGTTGTCCGACGACATCTCCGGAGATCCCGAAAAGTCGAAAAGCAGACGGTCTCCCACTCCGTATCGATTGGATTGGAATGGATTGGATGGAAGTGAAGTGAGATTTGGTTGTGGAGTTTTGCTTCTTGTTCAACACAATCCCATTCCCATCTGTAAAGGCAGTTTGGGTGGGGCTTTGTGTTGAAATGATTTTGATTGACATGATCATTTTACATTTAATTCATGAGTAAAATTTAAGGAGAAAATTCGTGGACTATTTAATTTTAAGCAATTGTACCATATTGTTGTTTTGATTTTAATTTCTTTTTTAAAATATGATTTTTAATATATTTATTTTATTTTTGTACGAATGTAATGTTCAACATAAAATAATAAGATTTTATTTTTATTATTTTTATTTTTATTTTTTATTGATATTATTCTCTATATCTCATTTAAAACATTAGTTACTTTTGATTATCATTTTATCTTGTATCTAGATACACTTCTTAGATGTCAATTGATAAATGTCATTAAATTTGAAAGCAGAATTTTTTGTTGAGTCGAAATGTCACAAATATTTATATAGACTTATATTTTGATAATAATTATTAATTCACAATTAATCCACTATATTTAATTTGAAAATATATTTGGAGGTCTTTCGATTTTGAATAATCAACAAAGTTGATGAATTTTTCAAAATCACGAATCGGATTCCGAAAGTGAAAATAGAGAAGGAGATGATGATGGAGAAAACAAACTTATTCACAGGCAGCAATGTAGAATGAGCGACGAGTTATTGCGATAGACTGTCTTCTTGTGTTCAAGAAGACTAAAGTGTGTTTCTTTTGATGAGTTTGAAAAAAAAAAATGATTTGGATTTAACATAAAAATAATATTTGATAGAATATTTTGTTAGTTAAAAAATACAAAATGTAAATATTAAAATTCGGAAAAATTAACTTAAAGAAACATATCCTAAGTTGTGTTAGAATTTGCATTTATGTTCTACCTTATTTTTATTCTAGTTGAGACTACATTTCCATTCAACTAAAGAATTCACTATTTAGATTTGATTATTAGATTAATTGATTTTATTGATTATATTAATAGGGCTGCCCTTGGCCTGGTTGAAAAGAGCGTCCGCATATGATCCAGTTTAAATTAAGGTTCATTATTTATTTATTTTATGTATAAATTATTTTGACTAATGTATTGCTAGAATAACATGACTTGGTGGTTATTAGTATTTTTTTAGGTTTGGAGTTCAAACTCAAATACCTTCAAATTTTAAAATAATATTTTTTTTGAAAATTTATTTTCTTTAATTATTTATATTTTATTATAGATAAAATACATTATTTATATATATTTAGGGTCTCCTAATTTTTATTTTAAAATTGTTAATATTAATACTATTATTGATATTTTATCTAAAATTTTTATAAAAATATTATTTTATTTAATAATTTATATTTAATTATAGGTTTAAAAAAATTGGATTAGATGATTTATATATATATTTAGGGGTCTTTTATTTTTGTTTTAATTATCTTTTTGCACTAAAAAAATAATAAATATTAGACAAAATTATTAGTAGGCAAAATTATCAATAATTCATATATGATTTCGAAAGTCAGTGTAAATCTTATGTATACTTTAAAAATGATATGAACCCTCTTATATTTTAAAAAAACTTTCAATGAAACTCATTTATATATATTTTTTGGTGATAAGAATATAACTTTCCATCTATATTTTTTGCATTGCGGGAATTTTATATAACATTTGTTAAGATATAAGAGAGCATTACGCAATTTGTAAAGTATATGAAAAAATTATGCTAAATTTTGAAATTAAATTTATACTAAAAAAATATTTTTTTATTTCTATTTTATTATAAGTAAAAAATATTATATATATATATATATTTAAGGGTCATGACTTTTATTTTGCCTCGAGCTTTCGAAAGTCAGGAACAACTTGTTTATCCATCATATATTGTATTTGAGAGTTATGTAATATAGACTTTTTATTTTGAATATGATAGTATAAAGCAAAATTTTAAATGTCTATAAATTATTACAATAAAACAATACGCACATTAAATTCAACTTGAAATAAATAGTTTGACAAAAAAATAGCGAGTGTTTTTATTTAAAAAATATATATTATTATTTATCTAATTCTTTATATTTTGTATAAATATATATATTTTCAAAAATTATTTCACTAAGGGTGTATTTGTTTGGGGATTTAGATTTTGAGTTGGGATTTGAATAGTAAAAATTTTAAATTTGAATAGTTGTATGATGTGATATAAATAGGTGTTGGTGTGATATTTTGAATATAAAATTGATTTTTAGTATAATATAGAAAATAAAAAATGTTTGAGTTGATATTTTTTGGGGAAAAAATAAAATAAATAATGTATTTAAAATCCAATCTCCAAATAAATGCACTCTAAATAAACATATTTAGGGTGTGTTTGTTTGGGGGTTTGGATTTTGAGTTGAGATTTGAATAGTAAAAATTTTGAATTTAAATAGTTGTATGATGTGATATAAATAGGGTTTGATGTGATGTTTTGAATGTAAAATTGATTTTTAGTATAATATAAAAAATAAAAAATAGGTGTTTGATTTGATGTTTTTGGGGGAAAAGAATTGAATGAATAGTGGAAATCCACCAAAATCCTTCAAACAAACACACCCTTAGATACTTATTGATATTTTATTTTATTTTTTAAAATATTCAAATATAATTCAAAATATCGCAGACAAACATTTTGATTGTTATTTTTTAGATTCTACCAAAAAATTTTAATATTTAATTTTTTTATCTTTCTAAAAAATATGAAATCAAATAATAATAATTATTTTTTTATTATATTAAAAAATTATTTTACATTTAAACAATGGTATAATTTTAAATTTGTACTATTTAAAAATTTAAATTAAAAAATTTAAATTTCACAGACAAATATATTCTTTGATATTTTCATTATTTTAATTTTAAATTTTTATTTAATTTTTAAATTAAATAATAATACTCCCTCGGTCCCATAGCGTTTATTTTTTTCAAATAAATTTTTAAATTTTAGTATTATATTATATTTTAATAAAAAAACAAAAATATCTATTATATAATATAAACATAGTAAAATTTGTATATATATTGTAAATTAAAATAATATTTATTGTATTAAATAGATAATAATATTACTAAATTAGAAAACAATAATATTGTTTAGAGATAGAGACAAAAGTAAAAAATGACAATATTCCACAGAGGTATTAGGGTGTGTTTGTTTAGGGGATTGAATTTAATTTATATTATTCATTCCATTTTTTTCCCCAAAAAAATATCAAATCAAGCATCTATTTTTTATTTTTTATATTATACTAAAAATCAATTTTATATTCAAAACATCAAATCAACACTTATTAATATCACATCATCCAACTATTTAAATTCAAAATTTTTACTATTTAAATCCCAACTCAAAATTCAAATCCCCAAACAAACACACCCAAAGTATTTTTTAAAAAAATGAATTTGAAATCAAAACAAAACAGATCCCAAATCCTCGGGACCTCAAGTCTCAATTTCTGGAGCAATATCGAGGAAATATGGGGCAGGTTATATAAACCACAAAAGAAGGAGGACACAATAGAAAGTTTCAAATCATACTAAAACCCTCCTTGCACCTACATCGACCCGCCATTGCAGCGTCCGTATTCTCTCACAGCATTCGTTTGGTTGCCTGAGCAGATTCGGCTGCGGTATGCTCGCCTGTCACCTTTTTCTTTTTTGTTCTCTAGTAGCTCTCTTAGATTTGTATGCGCACTCTTACTCATGTTGGCTTCGTTTTGCCGTTTGAAATCGGGCAATGTTCTATTGTAGCGGCGTGCTCTGAATTTTCTGTTTTATTGTGCATTATATTGGACGCGATTTGAGATTTCAATTGCTGTTTGTATCTTCGCTAGGGTTTTGTTGATAAGTGCTCAGTTTCTCGCAGGCCGTTCGATCTTGCGTATCAGAAAACAATGGTTTGTCAATGGCTTTCTCATCCTTTTTTTTTTCGACCTAGCATTTAATTATTTCCGATGATGAGAGGCTTTTTGTTAATTTTTTCTTCTTTTATTTCATTTCAGTTGCCACTTTCGCTACTGAAGACTGCCCAAGGGCATCCCATGGTTAACTTTTGTTTCCTCCCTTCTTATTCCTGTTGATGTGTAATCTAGTTATACTAGTAAGATTATATAATTGCTTAAGCATCTCTTTGGTGTAGGAATTTTCATGCCTAGTAAATTCAATTGAAATAACTTCTGTAGAGCTGACTATAAATTCTGACCTCTTGATTGTGTAGGCAGTAGGTTCTTAAATGTTGACATGCTGTTGTCTAATTGTGGTAGAAAGCACAAAACATATGATCAAAACGAAGAACTAGAGTTTATTTTGTAAAACCTGATTGAAATTACTCAAAACTAAAGTTGTTCTATTCATAGAGCTAGAAGCAACTGAGAATGTTTAAAATAAGGAAGTTTAGTAACAGACTTCACTAGGCTAAGAAAGTCCAACCAAACTAAAACAAAGTCTTATTGATCTGGTAAATGCATTGAACAGATTCACGGGCATGGTTTACACGGTTTGTTATGTTGGTGCATCTGGAAATAAATTATTTATGGAGAAGCATTAAGAGAATGAAGTGGCATATGTGCTGTATGAATGTGACTTAAAGAACATCTATTCTGATCAGTAAATTAAATACACACACATGCTATTTTTGGCACTTATACACTCTTTCGTGTATTGACAGTTAGTGGAGCTGAAAAATGGGGAAACCTATAACGGGCATTTGGTGAATTGTGATACTTGGATGAATATTCATCTTCGTGAAGTGATTTGTACTTCAAAGGTTCTTGGTTCCCTAAGTACTTTCAATTGAATCATCCTTTGAATTTCACAGAGTTTGTTATTTTTTGTGGTATGCTTATAATTAAAATTTATTCTTACAGGACGGAGATAGATTTTGGAGAATGCCAGAATGCTACATTCGTGGCAATACAATTAAGTACCTCCGAGTTCCGGATGAGGTATGATCATTTTTCTTGGTTACATTGTACTGAGTATTCTCCAGTGCTAAATATGTTAATAGACAGAGATTTATTTAATTTTCCCTTACCCTACCCAACAGTTTGATGGCGCCAGAAGATGTCTCACTTTACCAAGTTTTAGTTAAATCTTAATTTATTAATTACGCACACAAGAATGGTTCTTCTGGTAGAATACTATCCCTGCAGTGACACATACCTATCTCCGAATTGAATTCATTCATGTGGAGATGTCATCTTGCTGGTAGACTTATTACCCCAGATCTCAGTTGTATATGCTCATGCTTTTATTGCATTAAAGTAGTGAAGAATGATGTGCGCTATCTATAGTAAAATTTTTAAGTTTGCTGGGAAGTAGGAAATTAGTATATAAAGGTTAAAAAGTACACTTGTAACCGTCAGTTGATTAGATTGCGGTAATTATTTTTCATTGCTCATAGACTGACATCTCTTGCATGCTCTGGAATGATGTGCCTTAGCCAAATCAGACATTGTTGTGCTCCAAAAGGTAGCGTCTAAAGCACGCTTGCCAAATGTCAACTGGATGCTTTTATTTTTAATCTTGTCCAGTGGCAGTAGCTTCAACTGAAGCAGGCACCTTTTGTTGAAGCGCATCAATCTGACGACAAAAATAGGGATTGGTTGTTAGCTGACCAGGGCCCTTTTTCAGCTTCATTTAATGTTTTGTGTTACAATAACAGTAACCAAAATGCCAGAATGCTTTTTATGTCTCTAGGTTGATTATGCGCATATATTCCAGCTGTTTGCTTTTGTTTCTCCCTGCAGCGATATTCAGTTTTATTTTCTGTAATTCTGTTTGTATGATTTTCCAGGTTATTGATAAAGTAGAAGAAACAAAGAGTCGTTCAGGTATCTAATACTGCCCTTGATACTGTTTCGTGTTTTTGAAACAAAATGCTGAAGATTCAATTTGATTCAGATATCATCTTCATTTGTTATCTGATCTCTATGTCCCAGTTCCAGTAGAGTTGTTTCACCTATGGCAGTACTACATCCTGCCACAGATAGTGTGAATCTCAAGTACCATTTTTATAGTTAAAAAAAATATCATGTTTGAACTTGCATGGATCATCATCCTGGTTCGAATTGGGAGATTAATTTTGTTACTTACCATTTTACAGTTCAGAAACAATATGAAAATTTTAGGGGCAGCAAGTAGATACCTTTTCAAATAAATTTCAAAATTAGGGCGTGGAGCAATTTTTATGAGATTTCCTTCATAATGTCTTTATTCGAGTCTTGAGTGGCCAAGTTATATTCTGTCTTTGTTCTGTGTTAAAAATACATCTTGAATGGATTTGCTGCAAATGACACCCAGTACGATAAAAATATGTTTCATTTACAATACTTGTTCAGCATTAGAGAATAATCAATCAACCAAGGTGTTGAATACTTGATTAAGAATCAAGTTGTCTGATGTGCATGTAGTATGTTTAATCGCTTACAATTGTGCAAATAAAGTTGAATACGTTGGATGTCAAAATGCCTTATTCATCATTCTTTGTTTCCTTTTCAAATTCCAGATAGAAAACCCCCTGGAGTTGGGCGTGGAAGAGGAAGAGGTAGGGATGACATTAATGCCGGCAGACCAAAGGGAATTGGGCGTGGTGTAGATGATGGAGGTTCTAAAGGTGGAGGGCGAGGAAAGGGTGTGGCTGGCAACAAGCCTTCTGGCGGCAGAGGTATAATTTACATTCTACCATTTTCAAAGTAGAAGTAGCATTTGCGAGCCTTCTTACGAAAATGTAGGTTTAGGACAACTCATTTGGCTTAACTGGGAAAATGGGGGAAACTATGAAATAGATTGTCCAAAGAGAAAGCTCATGCTGATCTTAGCTATTGAATCAGAACATGGAAGTCCAAATCTAGAAACTGTATGAATATATATAAATATATATTAGAGTGAATTATTACATGGAAGTCCACATAGTTCTTAAGCTATCTAGTCATTGCATGGACGTCCAAATCGAGAAACTCTACGGCTACATTAGAAAATAAGAGATGAGCGAATGTTGGCCCCCTTTGATACTTTTCATTTAGCAAAACTACTGTGGATTATATATTACCAATTCTCGAGGTGTGATTGGATGCTATTGTTAATCTAGGTTTAGAATACCCTGGTAATTTAGGCTCAGTTTACATACGCAAATTTTAAACTTTTGACACATTCATATACACTAATTTTTTCAAAAAATATTACATCAAATATCGCTTTTTTTTTCTTTTTTTTTTTTTTTTTTTTTACAAAACATTGCATCAAACTTGTGGGACTAATTTTTTATATTCAACTTAAAACAATGTCCACCCATTAAGAATGGTCGTTAAACCAAGTAATATCATCTTTTTTTTTTTTTTTTTTTTTTTTTTTGTCGATGATGTTACTTGTTTCCTCATTGTCTAACTTGCGTGTTGAATTCTAACAATAGGTGGTGGGCGCGGACGCGGCTGATCTCTATCAAGGGTGGTACAGATGTGTGAAGAATCCTTACATTGTTGGTTGGCACATGATCTGTTTTGTGGTCTCAGACTTCTTAAGGTAAAAGACAAAACTGGATATGTAAGATAAGGCAACCCTTATTGTTTTAACTAACAATGTAAGGAAGCTATTATTGGTTTTTGTGTGTGTTTTGATGTTTGTTGAATAAGTTTGACTTCGTATAATATAGACAGAGTTGTTAAACAAGCCGAGCGAACTTGAGAATATATTGTTGGTGCTAAAATGATGGTTTGAGCTTGGCTACTCAACTTCAAGTTTGAGTTCGGCTTTTGCAAGGCTTGAACTTGAGTTCGAGTTTGGCTGAAATTTTATACACTGGTTGATCGAGTTGCATTAAAAAAAAATAAAAAATTTAATTAAATTATATTAAATTCCAATGGAATGCGTCTTTGACACTAAATTTTGATTTCTTTTTTTTTTTTTAAACATTTATATCGAAACTTGACAAAAGATGGAAATGCCGAATACTTGGCACTCTTTTTGGATTAGGGTTCGAAATTTAGTTTAGAAATACTAAAAATTTGAATTAAAATGATATTCAATATCATAAATAGATATTTAGTATAATGTCTTGAATAAAAATAATGTTTAAATAAAAAAATAAATGCTTTGATAGTTTTAAAAGAATTTAAAAAAATAATAATAAACATAGTACCAAATCTTACTCAATTCAACAGATATATTACTTGAATTCAATTGAATTTTATTGGGATTATTCATTCAATTCAAAGTATCGACGTACTACAAAGAACAACATATTTCAAAACACTACTCTTATGAAAACAGACATAACCTAAATATGGATTCAGTTAGCAGCAGCAACAACAACAACATTAAATCATTAAAACACTTACCACATCTGCAGCAACAATGTTAAAGCTTCCAGTATATAGACTTTCTGTGCATCGCTCCGGTGACGATTCCCCAGAATAATATTTCAGCGAAGATAACGTAAAGTAGGATTCCAACTCTTTCCGAATGCCAAACCTCGACAAAAATGTGCTTCTTAATCCAATTTATCTGCAACATAATGTTTCAAATGTGTTTATGGCAAATACAAGGGAAGGATGATCGAATGTGTTCACTTAGTGTTTTATTAGTTCACTATACCCGAAAAATACTACTCAGAAAATACTATATATATATATACACACATAACAATAAAAGTTGACCAAAACATACAAAACTATAAATATTAAACAAACAAACACGATGTCATAAATCGAAACCTTACCAGAGTGTTGTGAGGATCTTTGTAATACCAGCCGTTGATGAAACCTGCAAAGATGCCTTCGGCGGCCATCACATAAACCAGCATAGCATTCATGCCAATCCATTCCAGTGGCAGAAACAGGCTCCGGAAACTCCATATATCGACCTGAAATGAAAGATGGTTAATCATCTAGCAAGATCATCTTCTACTAGAATGAACTGAATGGGTTATCGGGTCAAAACAGTTTCATGTGACAAGATTTCTGTTGCAATTTTATCTAATTTTTTACTCTTCGGACTCTACGATTCTTTGGGAAAAATATATATATATATACACATATATACTCTTTTAACAAAACATTATTTAAATCAAAAGTCCAAACCTCCAAACTGAAAATAAACATGTTCTTAGAGCTTCTAGATTCTATACCATTATATAGAAAGCTGAGAACACTAATGCTGCAGCTCCGGATGTTACGCACACGTAGCTGAGTGTGTAGAGTTGCTTATTCAATGGAACGGCTGCAGTCGAAGAAATTTCATTAGGGATACGAAAAAAGCCTACGAGGCTGCAGCAATCTTGCATTTGTAGTTTCTAAAATTACCGTTTGTGAAATGAAGAGTAATGCCGAGAATCAAAAGGACGAGCCCCATGATACTCCAATGCTGAAGTCTCGACCGATTGTCCTAATAGCATTCATGTGTTAAATTGAATGGAAAATAAATTTGTGCAGAATGGTTATTTAAAAAGTCGAGGCATAGTGCACCTTCATGTGGACAAGAACATGTCCAAAGTGTATTCCGATTATCGCGGAGAGGATAGCTGAAACAGAGCTGCATTGAACAAGCTGTCAGACACATGGTTGAAGAAAGATATGTGAAGGGTAAGAACTCGTTTTGAAAGTTTATCGATGTTGAGAAAATCATGTATCACAAAACTGTCTGCCACGGACATCGAAATTCACAGGAAATTTGAAGTTATGAATGAAATAAAATGTTGAACGTGTCCAATCAAGAAAATGTTTTTCTCGTTAAGTGAAAAACAGCTGACCTCAATATTCCTTCAGGTTCAAAAGGTGCTCGACACCACGATGGAGCATCATTCCGGAAAGGTCCCTCGTGAGGGGAGCTGTTCGTGCAAGCCTGAAGGGGTTTAGACCATTAAATTTTCCAAGGACAAAATTGCACCTCCGAAGTATCCATCGATGATAAAACTACTCACTTTGGATCTTTTCCAAGCCGGGTGTTGGTACATGTGATTAAGTCCAAGCACTGTTCTGTCGACATATCCCACTGCATTGCAAGGAGGATCCAACTTTCCTCTCACATTGCAAGATATCTAAACAGCCGAAAATGAATTTAAAGGTGAACAATAATAAGACAACCACTGTAACCATCTTTCGGGTTCTGCTGATATAAAAATAAAATGATAAGATACTAGCCGTTAGAACTTTTCCGAAATCAGCGCTGTCTTTATCTTGCACTCTGAATTGCCAATCTGGAACATATGCCCCATATAGTGTGGCCAAATAAACAATCAAAACACATGTTCCTACAATCCTGCAAACGGTGAAGAACTATGATTCAACTGAAAAAATAAAAATACAAATTTTAAGACCAGCAACTACTATCATAGACATCTTAGGGCATTACTCACCAATGCCAGAAGTATTGCTTGAATATAGAGAATTTTCCTGGCAGTAGATCCTTTGTCAGGTAATTTTTGGTCATGATTTCTACCAATGCGACAACTAAATAAGCAAGAGCTATTCTCTGAAAAGATTGCAGCGATAGTTTCTTAATTCGAATTCAAAAGATAAATGGATCACATACCACAGATAAATCAAAGTTACCTGAAGGATTCCACACCACCTTATCTTTTTCATGTCAACACCATACGATAATTCATCAGGGGCATGTGAAAAGCCACCTAAAATTAGTCAAGGCAGCACTTGACGCATTAGCTTTCGTTTTTCTTTTCATTTTGTTTGCCAGAAGCAGTAACTATCAGTGTGTCCTTCAAGATTGCTGTAGTGATGAAAATTTCATACAAATCCTAGGGAAAAATAAACAATTCTGCTGGACCTTAAGTTCTTAATAAATACCTAATAATTTCTATAAGACAAATCATATGCCACTTTGAAAATAAATTGAACTGAAGAACAAACCCTGTAAAAGAAGACCCCAGAAGAGAAGCTTTAGTGTTCTTATAACCACTTTATTGATTGCCGTTGCCCTATCCCGAATTCTCTGTAGATAATAATCCACGACTAATGGATTAAAATGACAGAATTATCATTCTTAAAAAAGGAGCAAGAAAACAAAATACATGTGAAAGAAATTGCACCTTGAATGCAAGGGCAATGGCCATTCCCACAATAAACAGAAAGAATGGCATTACAAAATCTGCAAGGTTGCAACCATTCCAAGGGGCATGGCCGATTACGGGCCATTCTCCACCAGCATCATCTACCAGTATCATTAACTGCATCCAAACATTATTCCTTATTCTACAAGAAAAAAATTTCTCATGTTATCCAGGGGAAATGGAGATGATCTACATCACTATTTGTACATGACTACAGGTATGACTTAGTAGCAGCAATGTTCTTCCTATACCATCCAAATTAATCCTAGTGAACATTTGATTCTCACAAAATGCACTGCTGCTAGAACCTCTGTTTCTTTCAAGGCATAGATATGAGGTATCGAAAGGTCAAATTTGAAGTTTCTTCTCAAAATTAGTGACGCCAATAGAAATGAAAGATTTTGAAGTTACAGGCACCACCACCATCGAAACAAACAAGTTAAGATCATCAAACCTCGACCACAATCACAATAAAAAAGAGCCTACAATAAACAACTTCATCAACCATCCTAGCTAAGAACAGGGAATAATTCACCTTAACAACCTAAAAATCAGCAGCTTATAAGTAAGACTGAAACCTAAGTTCTATGCGTCAACTCCTCCACTCCATTAACGGAAAAACAAACAAACAAACGTTGTATACCACCAACACAGAGCAATTGAATGATTTCTATAATTACATCAGAATCAACGCCATCATCATTTCCCATAACCAACAACAGCCACAAAAAAATCCGCACATAAGATCATCTACAACAAATATCCAATGAAATCAATAAATATATATATATATATATACCGCGACGGTTAAGCCTCTGAAGATGTCCAGCGAAGCTACACGCTTCGTTTTGGAACTTTTCTGCTGCTGAATTTCCTTCTTTTCCCGCTCCTCCTCCTCTTCTTCGTGCAAATGTCCCTCCGGTTTCCGAGCTTCCATATCTTCTTCAATTAGCTGCTGGCACTGCTGCTGCCTCACTTCCTCTTTGATATCTGCCATCGAAGCCGAACAGCTTCTATATCAATCCTCCTCCTAAACCAGCACAGCTCACAGCTGATAGAGCAATCAATCCTTTTTTCAGTTGCGATTGCGAGTATGTGTGAAGCATTTCGGGTTTGTTATTTTTTTATTTTTTCCACCAACACATTTCCCAAAATAAAATATTAATATATTGCAAGTAATTAATTATTTTTATACTTTAATACACAATTTCCTATTGAAATTAACTTTTTAAATAAATTTTATTTTATTAAAAATATAAAAAAATTTATTGAAAATTATTTAAGAACTCATACAAATAAAATACACTATGTGTTACTAAAAGGGTATCATAAGATAGTTGGTTGACTATAATTTATAAATTATTTATAGTGTATCTATATAATTGTTTACTCTATCTAATTTTATTCTCATTCAGATAATCATTGAAAATAAACTATATATAAATAAAATTGTGCAGTACCTATTTTGTGTTACATAACATATGTGTTGCAAATGTATTATAGTAATTATGGGGTGTTATTTCTATTATTCAATATTTACAATTTTGTAACACTGATCCAAATATTTGATCAAAATAAATAAATAAAACCCAAATATAAAAAAATTACCAATAAAAAAATACATGATTCCTTATTAATTACTATGCAATATACTTATTTAAAGTTGATGCGTACAATATAATAATACTATATTGATATAGATTATAATTAATTGATATCTATATATCGCATGCGTTTTATGTTCATATCATATGCGATATCTGATTGATTTTGATTAGATTCTGCCTAATTTCGGTGCATATTATTTATTTCCGGACAATTAAGTTAGTAATGGTCATGACTAACTATACCATCTGACATGAGAATTTAATTAAAGATTCAAAAGTAAAGCTACAAAATAATTATGGCAAAAATTAAATAAAAATAGAGGATCACACGTAGAAGATGAGAGAACGGCCAAAGCATGTACACACGTGAGGATGAGGAGAAGAACAACCAGAGCAGATGCACGCACATGAGAAGGGGAACGGCTAGAGCAAATACGCACAATACTTACAAACTTATAGATCGTGCATGAACAAATCGATAGAGAAGATTTTCCGTCCCACTATTACTTTATTTGTCTCTTTTGTTCTTTGATTATGAAGTAGATATTTTTTTGGTTTGGGGTAATAATTTTTTTGGTTATTTTGTTTTGAAGATTCTTAATTTTCTTTATAAAAGTTCTTTTTAATTATCAATATTTGTCTAATTCTGAGAATAATGTTTGTGATTATTAGATTGATTGAATATTTTAGTACCGATATTTGAATTAGTCTGATAATCTAAACTCAATTCAGGTAGGATATCCGTAATTGTATTCGCACTTTAATAGGTGACAACCGAGTTGAATAGTTCATTCTTGGGGTTAGACAATCAAATCTAATTATTTATGTTAAGTAGTAATTGTTTTGAATTGGGTTTTTTCTTGCGATTAGATAATATTTCTTATGGACGCACCTAGTTTTATTTGCTTAATTAGGGGTAGTTAACGGCCGTACTTTAATTACCTACTACACTGTAAGGAAAAATTGATTGTCAGAGCTTGTTGATAACTATAACTAATTTATTGATACTTTAATAAGAATTAACTTTATTGAATAAATGATACAAGTGTCATAACTCATCATCCCTTGAGTCAAACATCTCATTAATAGCTAGTTCTCCTTTAATTTAATTGTTTTCTTGTTTTATTTTCATTAGATAATAAAAGAAGATTTATCCTAATTATTTACTGCATTAGAACACGAAAGAGTGAATCACACAGTCTCTGTGGAGAAGATATCTTCCCCTTATTATATTAAATTGTGATTACGGAATATGTGAAATATTTGATTGACCGCGCGACAGGTCAATTTTTGGTGCCGTTGCCGGGGATTGGCGCTTTTGTTTTACTCTTTTGTGTTATTTTTATTTATCCTCTGTTTATGCCCCGTTCTTCTCGTACATGTGAATTGATATTTAATCTTGAGATCGAGAAAGTTGAGCACTGCGAAAGAAAACCAAACAACGAAAGCTCAAGTTGCAAAGCTGACAGAATCTTTAATTATTATTGTCGATTTAAATATTGAAATCGAATTATGTCAATTATTGTTAGAGAAATCATTGCATGTGTATTTAATAGATACTATTAGTTGAGTTGTAAATGTAATTCTAAAATTAGGTCAAATTCAATGAATATGTTAATTAGTAGTGAGTAATATGTTTGTTTTAATCTCTTATATGCCATTTTTAGTTTAAGTCAAGTTCAATGAATTAAATATTGTTATGCTAATAATGATTAAGGTTTGTTACTTATGATTTTTCTTTATCAAATTATTTTTTTAAAAAATATTATATTAAAGAAATTTTTTATTTAAAAACTAAATAAATAAAAAGGCATGGGATAAAAGGTTTTGATTCCGAAATACTTAAGTTATTTGAGTATAGTTTTAATAATATAATTATTTTTTAATTCAAAATACCATTTTAATCATTTTTGTTATATTAATTTTAAAGTTTTTTATTTAAAATACTCTTTTTGTCTCGGATATTTTTGTTTGTATTTTGCAGTAATACGAGAATTATGAAGGATATAATTAATAAATAACAAAATATATAAAAAAATTAATTATTATATAATAAAAATAATTATAGATTAAAATTAAAATAAATAATTATTATAATTAAAATTAAAATTTTTAAAAGTAAAGCAATAAAATAAGTTGGATGGACAGAAAAATGAACATAAAAAATTGAGACGAAGAAAGTAATAATTATTATTATTATACATTAATACTAAAATATTTTTAATTTTTAATTAAATAATAATTTAATAAAAATATCCAAAATTCTTACATTTTGAATTAAAACAGAGATAGTAAAATTTTATGAATCCATATTTTATTTTCTATTATAAAAAAATATATTTTTACCTATTTTCTTAAAATTAAGTATAATTTCGCAGTGACAGTAATATTTATAATTTATAGTGTATGTTTATTTTTCAAAAAATATCTATTGGATCCGACCCGAGACCTCGTATACGGATAGTGTATACCTCCCCTGCTCCAATTGGGTGTCGCTCCGTCGTCTTCTACTTTATCTCGGCGGAGTAGAGCTGCAGAGACCGAAACTAATCTTCCAACACCGTCAATGGCGAACGCTCTGCGGATGCCCATGGCTTCCTCTATGTGCTGCTCCTCATCGTCTCCTGTTCACTCAGCCATGCGCCGTGGCTTTCCTGCTGTTTTCAACAGCGCAAAGATTCCCACGCCTCCTGTTAACCCTAAGGACCCCTTTCTATCGAAGCTTGCTTCCGTTGCTGCCGCGAATCCCGATGCGCTTCTGGATAGGACGAGGAACTCCGACACGCCGCCGTTCCTCGACTTGTTTGACTCGCCACGCCTCATGGCTACTCCCGCACAGGTATTATTATCAATCCTAATGATGAAACTGATGTAACTGTGTCCTTGTTCCGGTTTTCATGAATTTTATCTGCATTTTTTGAATTTTTTTTCTTGTTTGTTTTGTTCGCGTGTTTTTATTTAGTTTCAAGCGTTTGTTAAGTTGGGGGAAGGATGGATTTGTAATTAGTTGTGTTCTGAATTGTTTGGAAAATTTTGAGATCGATTGGCGAAGGTTAAGGAATTATACATAAATTTCACTGATGATTTTATGGCTTGTTAGAGTAATCAAATGAACACCATCTCAGTCGTTCTTATGTGCTTTCATGTGAAGGTATCTTTTAGGAATTTCTCTAATTTCGTTTCACTGATGTCATATTAGGTTGCAATTTTGGTTTCTTATTCAACTATGTAGAGCAGACTGTCAGAGAAAAATGTGTACCATTCTCATAAACGATAACTTAATGCATCTAGCTGCTTGGAATAGAACACATCAATATTGTACTTTCATAAATATGTAGGTACTTGAGTTTGAAATCTTCAGTTGATGACTTTCTGGTATTTGTAACAGGTGGAGAGGTCGGTGTCATATAATGAGCATAGACCAAGAAGACCACCACCAGACTTACCTTCATTGTTGCTAGATGGAAGAATAGTGTACATTGGCATGCCGGTTAGATTTGTTACTTTCCCAGTTATGGTGGTGTATAAATTTTCCTTTTTATATAACGTGAGTGGACATAAATTAAGTCAAACAAATGATATGGAGCTTATGCCGGGCGATACAAACTTCTGATTAGTCTTTTTCAGCTCGACCCAAACTTTTTGAATGAAGCCTCTGATCATGAGTGATCAGAATCTTTTGGAGGATATTGGAAATTAAAATATCTTTAATGGGTTTTAAGCAAATTTTTACAATGAAGAACATGTGCTGCTAGAAGAAAGAAATGTTTAATGGATCTGCATTGTGGAATGATAGTCACCTGGTCTATTAGATTTGGATTTATCTTCCTGGAATTATAAATATGACTCATGATTTTTATTTGTTTCAGCTGGTACCGGCTGTTACTGAGCTTGTTGTGGCCGAGTTAATGTATCTACAGTGGATGGACCCCAAAGAGCCAATTTATCTCTATATAAATTCCACAGGAACTACGCGCGATAATGGTGAAACAGTGAGCCTTCTGACTTTTAATCTTACTAGCCACTTCAGCGTTGTTTACAAGCAATAATTTATTGCCCTTCATGTTTATCATTTTTGTATTCTTAAATTAGAATATTTCTTTGTTGAGTCGTTGGTATTTGAACCAGTCTCTTCTGATTTGCTACTGGTGCCTCTAAATGGAAGTAGGACTTTCACCTTCATTTCGTTTCTTTACTGCATATCATGTCAGATTGTCTCTATCTGAAGTTCGTTCTTCAGTATTACATTTCATATTGATGATCTAATGCTGGAACGTATATAATTATCCTTAGGTTGGGATGGAGACTGAGGGTTTTGCAATTTACGATGCTTTGATGCAATTGAAGAATGAGGTGAGGTTCTGTGTGCTATGGTTCATTACTCCTCCTTTGATGCTCCAAATACTCTATTAAATTAGCAATTTTAGCATATTTAAAATGCCGCGCCTTGCTATAGATGAACTGCCTGGCTTAAGTAGTGATTCACAGTGCTCTTTGCCTCATTTTATCTATTTATACTCTTTAGGTAGGAATTAGTTGCAGTCTGCTCTCTGTTGACTTTAGAAGGGAACTGGATGGTTAAGTGGGTATTATTTTTATTCATGGAAGTGTAATCTCAGAACCATTTCAAGGTGATCCTAGGAAATCCATTAAAATGATCAGTGATGTCAATTTCATGAGTTATTGGCTCGGTATACACCTATTCTATGATTTCTATCCACCCTATTATTTCTTCAAGTGATCCTCAACCAATTACATTGCATAGGCGGATAAGACACAAGAAATTGCAAGGATAAAACTATTGCAAGCTAAGCTTTTTGCTTTTCATTTTCCTTTTCATCGTTTGCAACTTTGTAGCTCATGGAGCTTTAATATGTGTGCTCATTACCATCATGCCAACTGCGAATTCTGATAATAAATCCTTTCCTTCATATGGGTTTTATATCCCCTCTAAAATCAGCAAAGAAAAGAACCTAAGCCTCTATGGTGTGCGACAACTATTCAAGGCATTCATAAGAAGCATGAATTTTGAATATTTCACCAATTATATGATTGTTTGCATTATCTGCATTCAAACTGACTACGTAACATGACCATTCCCTTATTAAGTCAAATCCAGGGATACCATCAAAGCTCTCTCTCTCCTTCTCTCTCACACACACACATGTGCTCAGTAAATGGCATCATTATATGATCAACATGTATGTTATATAATCTTCTCATGATTAACTTTCTGCAACTTTATCCTTCTACCAAATATTATTAGTCCAAGTCACAGCACACAATATAATGGTCTGTCTCACTTACAGGTACATACAGTTGCTGTTGGAGCTGCTATAGGCCAGGCATGCCTCTTACTTGCTTCAGGAACAAAAGGCAAACGGTTCATGATGCCACATGCCAAAGGTGTGTGGTAGTTTCTTGCATCCAATTTTTATTTAACATAAAAAATGATATACATCTTCATACATTGCTAATGTGTTGGAGACTGTACTCAGCAATGATTCAACAACCTCGTGTTCCCTCATCCGGCTTAATGCCTGCCAGCGATGTCCTGATTCGTGCAAAAGAGGTAAATTCAAGCTCCTTTTTTGCATCTTGTTTTACACTGGAGTTGGAAAGGTCTTTTTAAATCACTTAAGTGGATACATATCATGCCATTCTCTCGATATTGGTTGTCTTGCAAATTAGAACCTTTGGCAACCAACTGAGAATGGTGATGGAAATATGATTAAGTTTAATATTCTAAACAATTTAGAGAGTGTAACTAATGAACCACATGCGTCCTGTAGAAAATACATGCATGATAACTCGGAGACTTGCACTTGTAGATTTAAGCATATAGAGTGTAAGCTTTCTCTTCATTAATGGATTTCTGATTCAGTTTATCATATTATGTGCATTTAGAAATCTCCTGATGTCCTCTTACATGCAACAGCTTGTTTAACCTGACTTATATTTAGGACTGATTGAATTGATTTTGTAGGTGATTATAAACAGGGATATTCTCGTGAATCTGTTAGCAAAGCATACTGGAAATGTGAGTTGATGCATTGTATTGCTGCTTTGTATTCTGCATTAATGAAACTATCTATGTATATAATAAAACCTTATTGAATATCTGATCAGTCGGAAGAGACTGTCGCAAATGTAATGAAAAGGCCATTTTATATGGACGCCAGTAAAGCAAAGGAGTTTGGTGTCATTGACAAGGTGAGCTGTTTCAATAGATGTAAATTCTTTGGCGTGTAACTTGTGTTTGCCATGGAATGTAATACAACTTCGTACTCAGGTACTTTGGCGTGGGCAAGAAAAGGTAATGGCAGATGTTTCCTCTCCGGAGGAGTGGGACAGGAACGCTGGCATCCGAGTTGTTGATGAATTTTAGTTGCTTCCAAGAGATACACAAGGTGAAAATTTCCTAGCATTATTTGTTATATTTGTCATTATGTGAAGGTTTTCGTAAAGACGAATCTGAAATCAAAATTAAAAGCACCTCCCAAATATGCCCAAAAAACTTGTGGATTCATTTTGGGTGTGTTTGTTTGGGGGATTTCCCCTAAAATCTACTATTCATCAAATTTCCCCTCCCTCTCCCCTCCTCAACCATCAAATCAAACATCTATTTTTTTATTTTTTATATAATACTAAAAATTAATTTTATATTCAAAATATCATAATCAACATTTATTTATATCAACATCATATAAATATTCCAATACAAAATTTTTACTATTCAAATCTCAACTCAAAATCCAAATATCCAAAACAAACACACTTTTGGGTTTGGATTTTGAATTGGAAAGTTATTTCATGCAACATAAATAGGTGTTGACGTAATATTTTGAATGTAAAATTGATTTTTTAGTATAATATGTTAAATAAATAAGTGTTTGATTTGCTCAATTTTGGCTTGTTAATTCATCAAATTGATAAGAGTGTGGAAGGAAAAAATTCAAAGACACTTAATTTTAGTTCTAGAAATGAAGGAGAATTTAATGTTTACTAATTGATGGAATATTTGTTATATCTGTGCTATCATTCTATGTAGAATTGTTGATCTTTGGGAAAAAGCTTTTCATCAATCATCATGCTGCTCTTACTCGTGCAAACTCTTATTTTCAAGAGATCGGAGGTTTGAATCTTCCCATTACACAATTGGAATGAAAGCCAATACGACTATGGATAGGATAGCCATACCGGCACTAGCCAGTCCGGCCGGCACCAGGTCTAGTTATTCTATTAATTGATAAAGCCTCACTAAATACTGAATGGCATGTTTTTAGTTTTGCAATATATTCACAAGTTGTCGTCATAATAGAATGTCTCTGGATCTTAATTATATATTGTCTACATCTGCCGATTTCTATGTATCAGAAGTGAGTGGTCTGTGTTTCCATGTAGCTAGTTTTAGTCGAGTTGATATTTTATTTCATCATTTTTTTGTAGTTTGGGTTATTTTGGATTTGAGTTTGAATTGAATTGAATTGTTTTGAGTAAGAAATAATTGTTGAATATAATGTTTATGTAGAATCTAGGTGGTAAACTAGTTTTAGTGGAGTCAATATTTTGCTCTCTTTTTTCTTTGTATTTTGGGTTATTTTGGATTTGAATTTGAATTGGAATTGTTTTGAGTGGCAAATAATAGTTAGAACCTAGGTGTAAAAATTATATATGCTTGTTTTTGTTGTAGGTCCTAAGTGTGAAAAGAAGAGCAAATGAAAAGATAGGTTTTTGAACTTTTGAACCTGACCAAGTGGCTTAACTTGTTATGTGAATCTTTTGGATTTAGATTTTTATTTAATTTTTTAGATTAGAATGGTGAATAAATTTTCTAAACTTTATTTATAGGTTTTTATAGAATATCATTGCATTGATAAAGGGAAAAATGTAATTTTGGGCTATAAGTGACGACTTGTGAACACGCAGCCGCTATCCTACTCCTACACCACCACCAGGTTATCCCTTACGGGATCTAAATATACCATGTTTTGTTTTGAAATGTTTCTTTGGTCTGTATGGTTATTATGTATATTTTGTGTTTTAAGGGTGTTTGATGTTTATCTATTTATAGAGAATCATAGTAGTAAAAGAATTGGAGAAAAAAACTGAAATAGAACAAAGTATTTGAAGATGTTTTCTTTGTGTATATATATAATATTTTATTTTTGTAATAATCAATAAAACTATGTAGGACTGTTTCAGGACAATATTTATTTAAAAGATCAAAGGTACTGGGCATTTTTGAGATATATATTTATTTAGTGTTATTTATATATTATTTGCTCATTAAAATTATACTTCTCTATTTTTATTTTTTTTCAATTTTAGTTTGTCTAGTAACAAAGTATTTAAATATTAAGTGTTATTATATATTCAAAATTTATTTTTGATATTATAGTTACTATGATAATTTTATTATATTAAATTTTTTTTTACTATTTTTAAAAATTTTCAAAAATCATACGTACACTGAGCCTATGTGTAGCGGGGTCGGAATCGAATAGTAGTAACTAACAGCCATTCTGTGACTATGCATTTGAAATTTTAAATAGATTAAATAAATACATGTCTATATATATATATAATGTAGTATGGAGAGAGAGAGAGAGAGAATAATGAATGTGATGGTGTCATGCAGTGCATGTGAGGTTGTTTAAGTGTATTTATTCAGAGTCAGACTGGAAAAATAATTAAAAACATCAACCTATTCATTGCACAATTCAATGCTCTCTCTCTCTCTCTCTTTTTCAACTGCTTCTTTTCTATTTTATTTATTTATTTTGGATATTTTTTCTAAAGAAATACTTTCTTCGTTCCACATAATGTGTACTTATTTTTTTTCCGTCTGTTTCATATAATTTATTCTTTTTATTTTTGGAAATATAATTATGTATTAAATTTTATAATTTTTTTTAATTTTAATTAAATTATTTACTTATTTTAATCTTAATCTATAATTATTTTTACTAAATAATAATTATTTTTACTAATACACTTCTTAAATACTAATTATACTTTACCGAAATTTTCATGTCTACAGTAATACACTCATATTACATGGGACGTGGGGGAGTAAAAAGTTTTTTTTATGTTGTATTTGAAGAGAAGTTTGACATTTGACGTAATGCTTTTAATAAAAATTATATTTTGGATGAATAAGTTTAATGAATGTAAAGATGTTCTGTTGATATCAAAGTAAAGTAATAATTTAGAGTGTATTTTTTTATATCTCAAACTCAAATCAAAATTTTTCAAAACTCATAATAAAAAAAAAAAAAACATCCTTAATTATGGGTTATTGTGTGGAAATAAGATTAAAAAATTGCAAACAAACACAGCCCTTAGCATTTATGGAAATTTTCAATCAATTTCAATTCCTTAATATCATTCACATAATTCTAATTCAATTCAATGGATATCATTTTATTTATCTATTTATTTGTTGTTATTATTATTATTATTATTATTATTGTCATTTTCAGATAAACTAATTATGAAATATAATTTTTTGAATTCAAATATTTGTTTTATTGTATTTTAGATGCTATGTGAATAAATAGTAGCCAAAATTATTTACACTTTCTTTATATTAATTACACTTCATTTATAAATTACAAAAAAATTATAACTAATTATGACATACAGATAGAATAGTTTTTTATTTTGGAGATACATATCTTAAATCCTTAGAAACAAATCTAAATGCCCAAATAAACTTTATTCCAAAAAAAAAAAAAGGTTCAAAAATCTGATAACTCTTGAAAATTCAAGTTAAAAATTTGGCAGATTAGTGTTGGCATAGCATATACTAGTATTTGGGAATGTGAAAGAACATATACCAAAAGTGAAACGAAATTTTATTTGCAGCTTTCTTTTATTTATGTTTTTTCAAATGTTTTGTTTTGTTGGGGCTCTCAACACATCCAACTGTATGCTTTTTCCACAACTTTTTCTTTTTCAAGAATGATTCAAATTTCAAGATACCCAATTTCAGGTGTACATGTTTTTTTAGGAAGTTTTTTATCCATTTAATCAATGCCCATTTATTTAAAAACATACTTTAATGGCTCGGTGACATGAGGTGATTTAAATTTTTTAAAATATTATATTCTATCAATTCCATTTTAAATGATATTTTTGTATTTGAAACAAAAACTATTTAAAGTAATATTATTGAATTAATTAATAATAATTGTTATGATACAGTATTATATTATTATTATTTTATATAAATAATACTGTTAGTAATTTTAAAATAAAATTTATTATAAATAATTTAAAGAAATTTAATATATATACATAAAGATTTTAATATATATAATCCGAATTACAAAATTTTATATAATATAATACAAATAAAAAATACTATTAATTATATAAAAAAATAAATATAAAAAAAATTACAAAATAAATTTTCTTAATCTACGTGAAATAATAGGATAATAAAATATAAATATTTGTATAAAAAAATAAAATATTTGATAAAATAATTATTTTGTAATTAAATATTTATAAATGAAAAAAAAAAAAAAAGAAAAAAAAAGTAACAATCAATATTTCTGCATAGAAGAAAACATTTTAAAAAATAATAATAAATAAATAAATCTTATTGATCAAATTTTGATACGCGTATACAAAATAGTTTGAATATACGCCAGCCAGCAGACACGAAAATGTGTTTGGTTGACTAGTCGTCCTAGTTGAATCCAGCTGTTATCTTGGTGTTTATAGCCTGTTTTTGGATCTCATTCCATATTTATTAAGAATTGTATATAATTATTGATTAGAATTACAGTGTGTATATTTCTGGCAGATAAGATACTAGATAGCTTCATTCATAGGCAAGCAAGCAAAATTCAGGAATTAATTACACCAGAATCAACCAAACTATGAAATTATATAGCAATTAGCAACTCATCTATTCATGTATTTTCAGTATTAATCAAAATCAAAATCAAAAACAAAATGATGTGTGGAAGATTAAAAAAAAAAAAAACAGTATGGATACACATATGTGCGAGGAAGAGGAACCGACACAACACAGCAACAGCACAGTGTGTTCAGTAATGATTTAATTATTCTTCGTATACCAAACGCGTCCTTCCCAAAAATAATTAAAATATTTGCAGAATATAATGAAATTAATAATAAAACAAAAAGAATACAAATAACCGCAGTGGTAGGAGGAATCGACCTCAGCTCCGGCAGCGAGTGATGGCGCTGCAGCCGCGGCGGTAGGGATTGGCCTGCGCGCCAGGGCGGCAGTTGTAGTACGACGCGCCGCGGCGCGAGCAGGGGACGCTGTTCCTCTGGAGTGCGCCGTAACTTATGTACCTCCGCGTGGCTAATATACGCCGGTGAGACTCCGAATCCATCTCGAACTCCTCATCATCGTTCTGTAGACACTCCGCGACAGTTCCTCTGCATCCAGATCTCAGCGCCGGCATGATCCAGCCGCTGTCAGCTCCGACCGACGCATTGGCGACTATCAGCGACGCGATTAAACACACCACCAGCAGAAGCTTCGAATTCCCTGCCATTACAAGCGAAATCTCAAGGATCAGAGGCGCAATCTCCGGTGCAAATTGCCGCAATGCGATGGAGGATTTTTGGGAATTCTCTTCTGAATTTTGAAGAGAGAGAGAGGAGCAAATGCAAGTGGGCGGAGGAAATGAAATTTTCGAATATAAAATGAGGGGGTCGAGGTCAATAATTGATAGGATGATGGAATGACCGAAATACCCTCCGAATACGGAAATTGAATTAAAGTGGTTTTTCCCGGTAATGGCTGTCCACTATTGTGTTGTTTGTTTAGTTTTTTTTTAATTTTTATTTATTTATTGGACAATGTGAAAATGACCGTTGAGGTGCGGAGCAACTGCAGGGTCAATGGAGCGGACGGATGAGGTGCCTGCCGGGTAGTGGGAGGTCCCGGGCCTTTATCGCTCATTGTGGTCCTGGTCCGAAATTAAAATAACAATATAATAAATACCCTATGACCTGATCTGTGCTAAATGCATATCTATATTTAGTGTTTGTTATTTTTCTGTTTTATTTTATTCTTAAATATTCTACTTTCTTATATTTTTATGTAGAATATTTGATAATTATTTTACTTTAATTTTTTAAAAAATATATAAAAAATAAATTACAAATATATTGGTTTGGGCTAGAGCCCAAGTGTACGGCCTAGGCTTTCCTAGTTGACCCGCAACCCGTCTTTCCCAAGATGATATCTAAGCTATCCATTTTAGAAATTTTATCTTAAGGCCGACAAAAACTGACCTAACACGACAATTCAATACGATTCGACATAAAATTATTGAGTTTGGATAAAAAAATTTAACCTGATTATATATATGGGTTGACACTTAGGGTTAACACACTCTCAACTCGAATCGACACAACAATCCGATTATAATATATTAATATTGATTAATATATTTAGTATATATGTAAATTAATTATAATTTAATAATTTTATTATAAATTAATTTAAATATTGTATGGTGTTTGAGATGGATTAAGTGTTTATTTTTTTTAAATTATTAGTTATATTAAAATAGTATTTAAATTAAAATTCAATTATTCAACAATTTTATTCTTATACAATATTTAATAAATATTAATAGAAAAATACCCTATTGGTTACATTTATTTTTTACAACTACACTTAAAATTTCATCGTCAATTTTATAACCAAATATGGATTTAGAATTTAAAAATTCAAATCTCATATAATCCTACCAAATCCATAAATATTAGATAAATATTTATAATATTAAATAAATAATATAATTACTAAAAAATAAAATTAATACTTTTGTTACGTGACAAACCAAAATAAAAAAATTAAAAAAAAAATAGATTATCAAGAAATAAGAAAGTATTTCAGTATTTTTATTCTTATATAATATTCTATTAAATGTTATTTTAATATAAATTCAAATTTATTTTTTTCAAAATAATTTAAAATGAAAACATCCCATGTTACTCTCTTCTTGTAAATATATATGTATTTATTTTCCTATATTATAGTCGCTTAGTTCCACATAATTTATCCTTATTTTCTATTTTCGTCTATCTCATATAACTTGTCATTTCTATTTTTGGAAATATAATTATGGACTTTAATCGCATTTTAAATTTTAAATTTTATAATTTTCTTAATTTTAATTAAACAATTTACTTATCTTAATTTTAATCTATAATTATTTTTACTGAATAATAATTTTTTTTACTAATACACTTCTTAATTACTTACTAATTATTATTATTTTTTTAAATCAAATACTCCCTCTGACCTTATTCTATATATCCATTTGTTTTTTACATTTGTTTTTTACACGGAGTTTTAGAAATATTAATATTATATTAGGATAAAGTAGAAATAAAAGTAAAAAGACTAAATTAACCTGTATGATACAAAGGTAATGACATTTGTGTAATATATTGTAAATTAGAAGGGTATTTGGAATGTTAGGTAGATAGTACAATTACTAAAAAAGAAAACGGATACTTCTTTGTTATATGACGGATCAAAATAAAAAAAATGAATAAATTGTTAAGGAACGGAAGGAGTATATTATTATATTCCAAAATCAACCTAACCATTGGGACTATCCCTCAAACCATATCAACACAGATTCACTTCCAATCACCTCTGCAACCACCTAGCCGCTATATCCACTAAAATTCAAAAATCTCCTTAATAGTGGCAACAACTAATGAAGATAATCCAACCAGAACATTCCACAGTCAACAGTTTCTGGACATCCCCTCATTCTATCCGATTTATATCCATGCGACCATATCTGAACATCCCCTCGCCCCTCTTTTGGCTAATCCGTCTGCTAGACAATTGTATTCTCAAAAGATATAGGAAACCTCCCCCGCATTGCAATGGGTAAGGAAGCTGAGAATCTCTTGCACCCAAGGGTACACTGAAGCCACGATATGACCGTCGACGAGTCACTCTCTAATATCACCTTCGGGATCGGAAATCCCCATGATTTCCGAATTTCATCAAGAACCTCTCGTACTGCCTCTAATTCTGCGTGCACCGGCAACTTCATCCCTATATATTTTGATAACATCAATAAGATTTTTCCCTTGTCATCTCGAATTACCGCCCCAATTCCTGCTTCTCCGGGACTCCCCCGCGCTGATCCGTCGACATTTATTTTCCAACAGCCTATTGGCGGGGCAGACCAGAACATACCTGATTTGCTCCTATTTTTTTATCCTTTCCTTGTACCTGAATCTGCCCAATATTATCATTGAATAATGAATCGCTGCCAACAAGGCCCGGGAATTTTGCATCAAGCCATTTCCAAACTAGCCATTTTAGTCTTTCCACCATTCCCTTTTCCGACCGGTTTTTTCCTGCAAAAATCAGTTCATTTCTGGAAACCCAGATACACCAAAAGGTCGCGGGACACAACAAATTCCATACAATTCCGCCCGATACATCACTTTACAGTTACTTACTAGTTATACTTTATCTAAATTCTCGTATCTACAATAATACACCCATATTACATGGGATACAGAGGCAGTATGTTTTTTAAGTTTATAATCATTATTTTATTATACAAATAATACTATTTATATATTTTTATATTTATTCTATTTTAATACAAAATTTAAATTCTTGATTTTATAAAAATTCTAATTTTATTCTTAATGGAAATTCAAAAGTAATTTTCAAATAATAATTTTTTTAACTTTTGTATTAAAAAACTTTACACATATTTATAACAATAGATAACATTATCGGTCTATTCTTTTAATATTTTAAATAAAAAATTATTTATTTGATATAATTTATAATACAAATATATTATTTTATCTCATAAAATATTATATAAAAATATATTTTTAAATAGAAATTTAAATTATTATTTTATTTTAAATAAATTTTAAATAACAATTAAATAAATATGATATAAATAAAAAACATTAATAAAAAAGTAATTATTAGTATTTAATGTAAAATAAATAATAAAGTATATTAAAGAATTTTTTTCTTTTTGAAATTCAATAATTTGTTTAATAATTTAAATGTTTAGTCTAGATTTGAAATTGATATATATATATTTTTTTTTCTAAGGGCTCGTTTGTTTAGTGTGTTCTAGTTTGGTATATTTTTTATGTAATGTTATATAAAAATTTGTGTTGATTATAAAAACAAGAGGTTTTGGCTTTTCCTAAAAGAAAATATAGTATATATTACGTGAATGTGTGTAAATATATACCATATTTGTTCGACTCTAAATGTGATATTTAATTTTATATGTTGATATTTAAATATTAATTATTATATTAAAATTTAGTACAAATAAAGGGAAATAGAAAAAAAAAACTTTTAGTGTCTCTAATACTAATATAATAATATTTGTATAAAAAAATATACAAATATTCAAAAAATTATATAAATATAAAAATATTTTTTAAATTTTAAAAATCCTGCAAATGTAGAATTTTTCAGTAACAATATACCATGTTATTTTAAAATTTCATGCCATTGTATTTTATATTTCACTATTATACCCTCCAATAATAATAATAATAATAAATCATATATATATATTTTTTTAATATTAAATGTATATATATATATTTACATTTAAATTATATTCTATTGGTTTTATAAAATATAAAATTATATTTAAGCATACTACAAATCATATATTTATTTATAATCATTAATTTTATTTATATTTAATTATTTTACTAATGATAATTTAAATAAATTAATAATTAAAATATCGATTAATAATTAAAATTTATTTTACTTGTGTATTAATTTTTTATTTTTAGTTTAAAGTGTTTTTTATATTAAATATGAGAAAGAATGTCTATAGTATAAAAAATAATTAAATTGTCGTAAGTTGGGGGTGTTTGGCAAATAGTTTTTTGAACAACTTTTTAGCTGTTTGACCGGTCAAAAAACTAATTTAGGTATTTGGTAAATTAGTTTTTTTGGACCCAAAAAGCTAATTTCTGAAAAGCTAACTTACCCAGCGTTTTGAAATTTCTTTTTCTGTAAAAATTTTTTATTCCTTATATGCCTTTAAAAATTTATTATACATTTTACACAAATAAATATATTTTGATTATTTATTAATTATATTATAATATTTTATTTTATTATAGTTTTACTTTTATAAATTTAAAATGATTAATTTTTATATAAAAATTATTTTAATTGTAAATTATATAAATTTATTCAAATCAACATAAAATAAAAAATATAAATATTAATAATTTATTTTTTTATTTAAAATTACATATATAAATTTTATACTAAAAATAAATTAAATAAAATAAATTTATTGAAAATTATAAATATAATGAACTAATCGATAACTAACATAATAAATATATACACGAAAAATTTATTATTTTATATTTTACATCATTTTCAATAAAAAAAATTATTTATATATTTTAATAAAAATATAATATTTTTTAAATCTAATTGTAATAAAAATAAATACTTTTATAACACTTTTACAATTTTCAATAACTAATAACAAAAAAGTTTAGACATTCTAAACTAAAAAAAACATAATTGAATATATTAGATACAATAATAAAATAGAAATATCTTCAATTGTAAACAGCTAATATCAAACAGCTGTTTTACCAAACATTTTAATACAAACAGCTAATCAAATCAGCCATCAAACTAGCTAATTGAATCAGCTAACAAAACTCAGCTAATTGCAAAAAATGTATAGATTATATATTACAGTATATATTATAGTTTTTATTATTAATTAAAAATCATATTAATTTTTTTATTATAATACACTAAATTTAGTAAAAAGTAAAATTCACTAATAGATGTAAAATTTAATTTATTATAATAAATAAAATTTATTAAAAAATAATTACTCATTTAAAATATCAAAAATAAAAATCCTTCAATTAATATATAAAATAAACTGAATTTGAAAATATAAATACAAGTAATTTACCGATCAAATATATATAATTCCAAATTTTAAATACAATAAATTTTATTATATAGAAAAAAATCCTTTAACAAAAACAATACCTTATTTTTACTTAATGGGACGAACGAAGGGTGTGTTTGTTTGGAGGTTTGGATTTTGAGTTGGGATTTGAATAGTAAAAATTTTAAATTTGAATAGTTGTATGATGTGATATAAATAGGGTTTGATGTGATGTTTTAAATGTAAAATTGATTTTTAGTATAATATAAAAAATAAAAAATAAGTGTTTGATTTGATGTTTTTGGGGGAAAAAAATTGGATGAACAGTGGAAATCCACCAAAATCCTTCGAATAAACACACCCGAAGTATATTTTTCGAATTCCAAATAGTTGATTTTTATAGATATATAATTAAATAAATAAATAAAAAAAACCCTCTTACCCTACTGCATCCGCCGCCCGCACTCCGCAAAATCTTCTCCTCTTTTCCTTTTTCTTCTTCGCCCTGCTGCTGCTGCTGCCGCCAAGGAGAATCGCATAAGGCGGCGTCGGATCCGGTGGAAGTTAGCCGGCGGTCAGTCCTTGTTCTTTTTGTCAATTTCATCTATTTTGAAGATATCGCGAGTTTTTGCTGTGGTTTAAATCGTTTTGATATAAGCCGATTATATTGATTCTTGACGTAATTTTTAGTTCCGATTTTGGCACCGGCGATTAGGATAATCTTATTTATGATGAACGAATGTGGCTTATTTCAGGGTGAAGTTGAAAGAGTAGTGTTGAGTTGAAGAGGTGAACAAGAGGGTAAAGATATATCAATGGGAATACCTGATATGGATGAGCTAATCGTCACCGACTCTGAGCTGGATCATCACGTCAGAGAGGCTCTCAAAGCTGCTATACAGGTAATTTGCAGATTCTATTTGTATGTGTTTTATATTTCAATCCCCGTTTTTTCTTTTTTTCTTTAAATGAAAAATTAGGCTTTTAATGTGATTGCAATAGTGTTTAACTGTTTATTGTGCAATGATCGAATAGTTTGGGAGCCTGCTTCATTATCATTAATTAAATGGTGATGTGATGCTGTTTAATGAACGCTGTTAACTTTTAATGGTTTTCTAGGGCAACAATGAATTTTATGAACAGCTTCTGGCAGTGTTGCACAAGAGAAAACACTCTACAACTGAAGAGGTCGCCCTTCTTGTGGTATGCTGCTGCACTTACATTTCAAATATGTATTTTTCACAGGTTTGATTATTTATTCATTCGTTCGAAAAATGGCAGACTTGCTTGAAAGCTGTGACTGGAGCAGTCTCTTGCATGCATATTGATCATCATAAAAGGCTCCTCGGTGCTGTGAGTTGTTGCAATGATATATAGTATTTTTGGTGTATTATTGTTATATTCTTAAGTTCGACTTATTTTTTTATTTTGTATATTTTTGTACTTCAGATACTTCGAATGAGTCTGTGGGATCACGGAACAGATGTGATGGATGCATTGACTGAGTTGATTGTATCCTTGGTATGCTTATTGGGCTCTTGTTTCTGCCGATTTTACGTTGTTGATGAGCGACCTTACTTATCACGTACTGTGTTTTTATTTTTTTTATTGGTTATAGGCTTCGTCAAATGGGGAGTTACTTGGTTTGTGCTTGGAGATGCTCCTTGCCAATTTCATGCCTCCCTCCAAATCTTCTTATTTTGTAGAGTTCTTGAAGGAACCCAGGGGTCTTGCCAAGAAAACCCAAGTCCTCGACCGTGTTCATTCAACTTTGGGAAATATCGCAGCTGTAGTTCCCCTTTCACCTATGAGGCTAGAGGAAATCGTCAGGAATAGAATGTCGAAGATGGGCCAAGTGTCTCCGCTTCCTGTAAGTTGAAATGATTATATATAATGTGTTTGTTTGGGGGTTTGGATTTTGGGTTTGAATGGTGAATAATAAAATTTTAAATTGGAATAATTGTTTCACCATGTCTATGTAGGTCATAAATTCTTAGCATAGCATGCCGCCACACTGTCAGGATGTTTGTGTCCTTTTCGTTACATGATTATTGCAAGCATCCACATATTTGGAACCAAATTTAGCTTTGTTACCAGTTGACTATTTTCAACTTTTAAATATTTATTATCCTAAAGGAAGGTTTTGATTTTTTCCTTTTTTCTTCTTTTTTTGGTATTTTGTTTGTCTGACTTCTGTTTATCCGCTCTCCACCATACTAATGAGCTTTGGTTCTGTACGATTTAAGTTTGGTAAGGTTTTTCAATTCTACTATCCTTTCTTTGCAGTATCTTATATTGAATGTGGAGAACATGCTGAGATTGGAAGGCAGTGCAGTCGGTAAACTCTTTGGAAGCACAATTATTGCCTCTTTGGTTGATAGGCTAGTAGAATTGGATGTAAGTTCTCTAAATTATTAAGTACTATTGAAGAGATTTTTAGTAATTTGATAGAATTGTGTTTTACCTGTAGGTTGAAATATCATGGGATGAAATCTTGCATGATGACTTTCAAAAAGGCATATTTGACTTGGAAATGGAAGAGCTCGAGGTTGAGGCACATGCAGATGTTATCGAACAAGATTGCACTGAGGTGCTTTTATTGTTATTTCTTTAACTCAAGAGCCTGTATTTTTTAATTGATGGTCAACAGCATTGTTTTTTCAAACTGGTCTTAATATGATTCTTCATTCAGTTTGTGCAAGCTCTTATATTGGCATGTGATATATTTTTTTTATTTTTTTTATTTTGAAATAAAACATTGTATTAGATGTGAAATAGCCCGTAGTTTGACTTTCTGCTTCATATTATCCTGTTTAATAATTAAGCCCATGTTTCCAGCTTACCAAGGAAGCTTTGATACAAAGGTTCTTAAGCAAAAGCCCTGAGGCTGGAAAGCTAGATAGCTTGATGGCACTAACATTTGAATACCTTAAAACCTGTTTCGAGAACGGACGTTTGGTTCAGGTAAATATTTAACCAATTTTTTAACGGCTGTCCATTTTGTAGTGATTTACCCTCTAATGATGTGCTTCAGGTTTTCGAGACCCTCCTCCATTCGTTCCAAAAAACAATTTTGACTGCATACAAATCAAAGTTTGCACAGGTATTTAGTGCCATGTGACAATATATATATATTCCTTTAGTTGTTAAGTTCCTTTTTCCTCCATGTCGATGGTTTGGCATACCCTAGAACATAGTAGTTGATGTGTATTTCGCTACCCATTTTCTTGATCAAGTAAGCTCTTGTCTCTTTTGTAGTTTGTAATATTCTATGCTTGCTCGCTCGATCCCGAAACTTGTGGCAAGATGTTTGTTGATGTCCTTGTAAATATCTTTCTGACCAGTCCCTTCTCTGAGTGGAGGTAAAGATGATGTTTCTATACAGCTTAATTTCTATCTTTCGTGCAATAGCAAGTTACATTTTGTATGTACTTTCGTGAAGAATTCTTTCGAGGGAATTTTTATTTCAAAGTATCTGTTACTTATCATATGCCTATTTCCGAATGTGCAGAATGAGTGCTGTTGCGTATCTTGCTAGTTACTTGGCTCGTGCAAAATTTGTTCCTGCCTCATTTGTCGCCTATATATTGGAAAGGTAATCATTTTTCATCCTTCCATCCCATCTTGTTCAGATTTGTATTTGTATTTGTATTTGAATGTGGAAATTTGGGACAATTTTTTTCTGATATAATCTCTTTTCTCTCTGATGCTACGTCACAGTGTGGTGAATTGGTGTTTTCTTTATTGCAACAATCAGGACGGGGGCATTAATCCGAAGGCTCGTAAAGTATTCTATGCTGGATGCCAGGTACCCGAATTAGTCAAATTCGATGACCTTAATTAAGTGGCAATATTTACAATTGTTATTAGGGGCTTTCCATTGTTTGCTCGAATTTCGGGTTTTTATTTCCATTGTTCATTTAAAGATGCTGAATTAAAAATCAACTGTTATCTCGATTGTTTTGCAGGCCATAATGTATGTGCTCTGTTTCCGCATGAAGCAAATGATTGATGTACCCCGACTCAAGTCACAACTGCTGCATATGCACATTGAAGATGTTCTCAATCATCCTTTACGACCCCTGCAGGTGAACTATCGAACTTACAATTTACTGGTTGTTGCTTCTCCAACTCAATTATCCATACCATCAATTCATCTTTATCCTCGTAGGTATGCCTGCCTTCAATTGTCGAGGAATTCCTACGGCTAGCACAGGCGAACCGTGTATTCTCACTGCCTCAAAGCTCCACCGACAATGGCCTCCTAGAATCAGAACATTCTCGGGCATTTGGTGGAGCTGACAAATTCGACACGTTTTTCCCATTCGATCCTTGCTTGTTAAGGAAATGTGACGAGTACGCCTTCACTCCTTTTTTATATATTTATCTTGAAAACCAAGATCAATAACATATCCAATACAAACACCTATGCTCTGATAAAAAGAAATCTAGGGCCACGTTTAAAATCAATTGATAATAAGAAAAGTTGTCCTCCACCCTTGTAAACAAGAGGAGTTTTCATTATTTTTTCCACCCTTTTAACACTTCCTTTTATGATTATATTAATTTCGAGGGGAGAGTGTTAAATGTTTGTCCCACGTTGGAAAAATAGCGAGAGCTCATCTTGTTTACAAGGGTGAAGGGCAACTCCTTTTACTGTCAATTTGTTTTGAGATGGAGTTGTAGATTCGAGGGGAGAGTGTTAAATGTTTGTCCCACGTTGGAAAAATAGCGAGAGCTCATCTTGTTTACAAGGGTGAAGGGCAACCCCTTTTACTGTCAATTTGTTTTGAGATGGAGTTGTAGATTACTTATTTTAACATAATTAATCTGAAGTTATGTGTACTGGTCGATGGTTAGAAGTTGTAAATATATATTTCATGTAATGTTTTTTTTTTTTTGGAAAAATTAATGGTGATTAATAAGCATTTTTGTCGCTTGCTATGTTTGATTCCATTCTAACTTTGTTTTATGGTTTTGAAGATTCATCCGGCCAAGCTATGTGTACTGGTCGATGGTTAGAGGTACGTATGACGATGAAGATGAAGAAGGCCTGAGCGACGACGATGATGATGTGGCAGAGGCATACGTAAACAGGCATGCAATGAGTAATCAAAGCGACGAGGAGGAATATTCAGAGGCGGATGAATTAGATTATTCTATGGACAAAATGTCTATCACACCGAAAGATTTGAGCCACAAGTTCGGAGGCAGAATGCAGCAGCAGAGGAGATTCGAGCAGATGCCATCCAAGATTCGACCTTCGACTAGCCCCGAGTCATTGTGAGTGTCTTCTTCTCTTTAAAGAATCACGATTTTGTTGGTAGTTAATATTTGATATAGTTAGTTGTTGTGTGATGAAGAAAATGAAATTCATTTGTGATTTTGATCTGAAGAAAAGATGATGATAATGCACAAAAGCAAAGCAGTATGTTGTATTTTATTGAATTTGTGAGATATTATTATTTATATAAATGTGTTAGGATTCAAATTTTACTAGCTTTATATATACATGTTCGAATTTCAATTTGTTATAATTCAATGTATAGTTATATTATAGTTATATTTACCTTCAAATTTATTATGATTGAAGCTACCCAACAATTTTTTTTGCAAATTTTCTATTAATAAATGCATGTGCATGACATGGACAACAACATGTTTTCTGATCAATTCAATTTTATTTTTCGAAAAAATAAAATAAAATCAAAATACTTAAACCAGAGAATACCTAGAAATCCATGTCGCCAATGGCGTCGCCGTACCCATCGGCGTACGCCGCCGCGTCTCCGATATCCGACGCCATTTCTCCCACCGCCAATCCTCCCAGCAATCCCGCCCCCAACGCCAATCCCATTCCCATCCCTCCCATTCCACTCTTCGGCGGAGGAGCCTGACATCCGTACCCGCTAGACTGTCCGTACGCTGCCGGAGGGTAATAACCCGCCGGCGGAGGATAGTACCCTGACGCAGGGTGCGCGTAGTGATGAGGATAATATCCCGCCGCCGGCGGGCAATACGGAGACTGATAGCCTCCGGCCGCCGGATACGGCGCCGCAGCCACCGCCGGCGGATACGCCGGCACGGCGGCGGCTTTGGAAGCCTGGCTAGATTCCTGCGTGAATTTCTCCCCGAAACGGTAGGAGAATCGCAGAATGCCTTTAGGTTTTCCGGAGGGAGCGGTTACCTGATACTCGACGGAACGATCCGCAGCCGGATCGGCGGCGGAGGCCTGGAAGAGCTCGTGGATCGGAATCGTAACGACGCCGACGAGCTTGCCGTTGCCGAGGACGGCCTCGGCTTTGATCTCGACGAGGAGAGAGAGGCCAGGCTGCGTGAGGTATGGCTCGTCGACGATGAACTCCATGGGGAAATTCCAGCGAGGATGGCTGCCGCAGTTCTTATCGACCGGCGTGCGCTGCCGCGAGCGCGGGTAGCCGGCGATGGAGACGTCGGCGAAGGCGTCCATCTTAGAGAACAAGCTGCTGACGGTTTTGATCCCTTCGGCGGATCGGAGCGTGAGGTTCAGCGGCCGGTACTCTACGGCAGCTGGTGCTGTTCCGGAAGCTTCCATCGATCACGCGGAAGGGATGGAGAGAGAGAGAGAATATCAGAGCAGATATGTCGGTGATATTGGAGCGACGAAAACGTGAAGTATGGCGGTTATGATATATAGATACGTATGTATGTGTTTTTTATATGTGAAAAATGGGCGGCAAAGAATACTTGGAGGATATATTATTAATAAATAAATAAATATTAGATGGAGTAAACTAAAATTAGTGTACGGATATAAAGTGAGGCTGGCTTCGTTTCGGGGTGTGTTTGCTTCGTATTTTTGGATTTCTGAGTTAAATTTAAATTGAAATAATAGTATAATATGATATTTTAAATTTAAAATAAATTTTTAGTATAATATAAAAAATAAAAAATATGTGATAAATTTGATATTTTTTTAAAAAAATTTAACTAGTATAATATAATATAATATAAATAAACTATACTTTTAAAAAAAAAATTGATAGAATAATAAATTTTGAGAAGGATCCCAACAGTGTTTGTTTCCATCCCGTAGTTTTAAAAGTAATAAAAAAATGCCCACGGATCAGGTGGTGCTGAGATACGAAAAAATCTGTTCAATTTAATTATATTAATTATATAAAATTAGTATAATTATATTTTAATTTGTCTGTGCTATTTAATTATATTAATTATATAAAGTTAGTATAATTATATTTTAACTTGTCACCACATGTGCCGATTAATTCAATCAGCACCTGATCCTTTCAGACACATTCGTTTGCAAAATTCAAATAAAAACACAACACAAAATGATCATTATATGAATCCATGAATTCCTTCCTTCCTAATTCCTTGTTCATTCATATATAACACAACACAACAAACACAGATGAATCACATATAGAAAGAAAGAGCAGAGAGACTAGAGGGGCTGATAAGGCATGTATCCCAACAAACTACTCAAATTCCTAACCACATCATTGCATTTCAACAGTAGCCTAACCATCTGCCGCGACACGTCACCATCGTCTTCGACACCTTCTCTCTCCCTCTCCGGTGGCGGCAGTGGTGGTCGTCGCAGTGGCAGTGCCCCTGCCGGTGGTTGTGTCGACATTTTCTTGATTTTACTCTCACCCCTTGCGCTACCGTCATCCCCGCCTAACACAAATTTCACCCGCCCCCTTCCATTGCCGTTGCTGTCATCCTCTCCGGAAGGCTTCTTCAGGCACGATTTGAGGTGCGCTGCCGCTGCCGCTTGCGCAGAAGTAACTCCGACGGCTGCTGCGGTGTCGTCCTGAATCTTGCTCGGTTCAATTTCCGCCGCCTCGGCTTCCCGCACCTTGATGTAGCACTTGACATTTGTGTTTCCGAATAAGTTGCTACTCCCCAGGGCGAATTTCAGGGCGGCTTCTGCGTCAATCTTGTAGGAGAAGACCACTCGGCACATGTGCGTTTTCCAGAACACTCTCGTGGCCGAATGGTCCATCGGCCCAAACCGAGCAAATTTCGCTCTCAGCTCTGCGCCGGATGGCAGCGGTGCATCCGCCGGAAACTTCATCAATAGCATAGTCGGGATCGGCACTCTGGCTGCCCCGAGTTCCATCCTGCTGCTGGAGTGTACTTTCAAAGATTTGGGTCGCACTGCAGTAGAATTTTTAGCCCCCGATTCGGGTCTTGCCAATTTTGGCGGCACTGCAGCAGCTGCAATTTTAGACGCATTTTCTTTCGTCTCCACCCGTTGCAATACACTAGGCTTCTGTAAAATCTTTCTTTCGGTTGCTACTGGCTTCGACTCGTCCATCCTCTTCTTCGTGGTACCAGATGATGAATCATCGATCTTTTTCTTTTTCTTAATCTCTTCCATTGCATCAAGCTTCTTTTTCTTGGCGGTGTTGTTCGGGGGATCAAATGGACCGCGCTTCTTTGTGCTTCTCGAGGGGTCATCATGCCTGACTAAGGGTTTCCCAATCTTCTTGTCGGTAGTTTTGTCAGCAAGAGATTTAACCGTGTTTCTTTCGCTCGGTCCTTGCTGGGGTGGAGGGGATGACACTAAGCTCTTCTGATACACAAGGGATCTATATTTTTTAAAAACCTGTCGGATGACGGCCGGGCAGCTCATCTCTGTTCCATGGAAAGGATTGAGAGCAAGGGCCCGAAGATCGGTTACCATCATTTGGAGCTCCAATTTTGCAAAATCTGCTTTTTGCTGGGATTGGGATGGAAAAGACGCGCCTGGAGAATCAATCTTCTTGTTTTCTAGCTTGTTATCGACTGGAGTAGCACTGTTATTGACATTAAGTGGTAAGTCTTTGAACTTCCCAATGGTTTCGCTTTTAATTTCTTGCCTTTTCTTCTTCTTTCCCTCGACCCGGGATGCACCCTCGGCATTTAATTCTCCTGCTGGTCGCTTTAGTACCTTAATCTCTTTCTTTCCACCTTCCGCTTGCCTATTGAAACCTTCGGAATGTTTGATATCGCTGGTGATGGATACTTGATGAGTTTTAGGTTGGGGATGATTGTAAGTGATGGTAAACCCTGAAGATTGGTTAATGTGGTCTCTTGGGCTTAGGTGCATTACGTTGCCGGAAAAGCCATAACTATCAACTGAAAGCAGGTGGGGAGAGGCACTGACTATGCCGAAAACTGCACTGTCACGCTTCATCTGCATTGGTTCCCCTCGCCTTTTGATTAGATATTTTTCTGTTTCTACTTGACCCTTTGTTTTTGCTGGTTTTGCAGCGAGTTTCCCCTGACCGAGAGCCTCGGCAATCACCAGTGGGCCACTTAATGGTGCTGCAATATAACAACCAACAACAAGAATAAGAACGATACTAGAAAGAACGTGAATGTGTTATAGCTTATTAAAAACACAGAATGTAGAAGAATGCTATGATAGCATAACACTTATATACAAATCTACAGAACTAAACATACATGAATCGAAACATAAACACATGTGAAGAAGCCAGGAAAAGAGTCGACAAGAAAAGGGTAAGAGAAGTTTCATCTCTCTATGGGACTTTTCGCTCAGTCCAAACCTTAAGGGTAAAAGTAAAGGATAAAATGATAAGCTATGATCGACCATTTGCAGGGTTTATAGTAAAATGATGTAGGTACTTGGTCAGAGAACGTAGGAAGAGATAAACAAGCATTTTTGTTCACCACCATGCAAAGGACAAGAGCATTAGAAGCTACACTGGGCGCACATGTTTTGTCCCATTTCTAGTGATCCAACAGTAGTTACTAACTACCGATTATCAAACTTGCCTCATGTAATTCCACACTAAATGAGTTAGAATATTGCAAATGCATGTAATTTATGTTCACTACGTAATTACCATGGTTGATTAAGATCTAGAATGAGTTGAGTGACCAAAAGTTCATGTGGGTGTTGCCTATATGTGAAGCGACTAAATAAATTGTCGTAATCAGTTCAAACTAGTGAAAGCCCATACACATTAATCTCCAGATTCCAATCAAAATATTTTTCAAATTGCTAGCAAAAGCATGCAAATCAAGAGCTAACATTAGCCTTTCTCTAATCCTTTGCATTAGATATTCAAGGATTTCAACGTTAGTTGTCTTCTAGATACAAAGAACAGGATAAAGGCATCTAGGCACATCCAATGTGAGAATTCATAAACAATAAAATATTAGTATTTCCAGTAATTACATATGAAAAGCACTTTCACCACAATCCATGATCCATCACAAACCTAAATTTCTGGTCTCAGATGAAATTTTAAGCCTTCAGAAAGGTGGACCCGTCAGACAGTCGGGTATTGACACCACAGATTATGTAGAATTCAAACAAGAAGGTTCCCAACAAAATCACAATACATTTAAAAACTTGCTATCAACATAACAATCACTATTTCCAATATAATACCCCTGGCAGATATTTATTTATAAACTACATGCTTCCCACTTTTTCAGAAAATTATCTAGCAGAAACAACGTAATAATCTAAGGTTCTTGGATATGTAATTATCAAGCTTGCAGGGTTTCCCCACAGGACTCTTTCCATGAAATCCAAATATTTATTCTCTAGATTGAAAAGTTTTCGCCTGTTAAGCACAGGATATCCTTTGGTGTATAACAAATAGTCTGATAGTACACTGTTGTTCATACTAAAATTCTAAAACTTCCTTACTTATAGCTAAAGTCGGTGAAATTCAAGACGAATAGATTAAAATTGTCCTGCTGCACCTACATTAATATCACAGCTATGAAATATGCTTGCACCTAGAATAAGCCTCTTAACCTTTTTCAAATAGATTTAGATTTACCACCAAGCACTGTTGAAACCTAACTGTTTCTACAACCAAATTCGGGCCTCATCATAGAAAAACTTAGTTATATCTTTCACAAGCTTTTTAGCTGAAAAAATCCCATGTCACAGATGAAGGATATCATAGAAGATAATGATTACAGTAGGTAAAACCAACGGGATTCAAGGTCACATAGCTAAAGTATACCTTTAGAAGGATCTGCAGCAGTTGGTACGGTGCGGCCAGGGGGGCGAACAAGAGCAGATCCAAATGCCTGGTCATATGTCTCATCAAACTCCTCATAACGTGCCCTCCTACATGCCAAAGCTGTAGCCTTGTTCTTGATAAAGTTGATTTCCAAAAACTGGTGATTCATGGGCTGCAAAGCTAATTGCTCTACAAACGAAAGCATCTCCCTCGGCTGAAAACTATCTCGGGCCTTGTTTATCTGACTCCAACTGTAAACCCCCGACTCCGAGTCCCCCAAATCCACCACAAAATAGCCCTCCACTCTCGAAGGCTGGAAATTACACTCATTTCTACAGTAGCAAGCCAAACCCAAGCTCCTCCTCCTTGTTACTTCCTCCACACCATCCTCCACAGCACTCAACAAAGCCCTGGAGGCACTTTGCTTCGACTTCTCCGCAAAGTTCTCCTCAAATGGAATTAACTCAGCCGGATCAAACCAACCATAGCTGTTGTCCCCAAAAAAGGCTACCAAAATCTGGCCCTCGTGCTTGCTCCTCCGAACAGATGGAGATACCAATGCCTCGTTGTATATCTGCCCGGGCCACCATGGATGAGACTTTACTTTCCCCCACACCATATCCCCGATGTAATACCCATGCCCCACGGCTTCACCCTTTGCTTCGGATGCAAACTCGTCAAATGCAGATAAAAATGAATTGTAATCAGACAAAATCGAGGTGTGACTCGCCGTCGCAGTCCTGACGTCATTCTGCTCCTGTTTTTCACTCTGCAAATCCGTACTCTTCGGATTCTCCACCATTCCCGATGTCGAATAACTCACCTGATTTCCACCATCGCCACGTGCATTCACTTCACTCTCCACCATCAAAACCCTAGAGTCATCCACATTATCGCTAACCCTACTTCCATCCGAACCCAGAGCAGCCTCTTCCCCCGAGCCAGTAACGCCGGTGGAAGATCCAGCGCGATATTCTCCACGTTTCGCCGGCGGCGACTCCTCAACGCCGTCGCTGGCGTTACTCGTCATCGTAGCCAATAAAAACCACCACCAGCCTCAAATATTGAATGAAATATCGAAGCATGAATTGACGAATACATTCCTCAGTCTCGCAATAGATTAGGGATCCCAGGCCAGCGGCTAGCACGAACCCTAGAGCAGAGCGGAGAAAGAGATAAACAGCCCCGCTGAGGCAAATAGGGTTGTTGGGAACTGCGATTATTTAAGTAATTGATCAAAACCTACAAATGGTGGATCAATATTCTTCTGTTTTGGCATGAACAGTAAATTTTGCAACAAAAAATACTACATTATTTTTTAAAAATAGTGGTAAACCCTGTGCTGAAAAAGTATGTTTTTTTACCTAAATTTTTTAAATTTTACTATTTAGGTTCTGCCATTTTTCAAAAAAACTATTTCCTCCGTCCATTTATAATGTTTATATTTATTTTGTGTTTAAAAAATAATAATATTTTATTTATAATGAATAGTTAAAAGTAGTGTAATAACATTTTTGCCCTTATTTTTTTTAAAGTAATGATGTGATGTAAAGTAAAAGTATTTGTGGAAAAAAGTAGAGTATTTAATGAAATCTTAACTTTGTAATTGGATGTCTCAAAATAGAAATACATCGTAAGTGGACGGAGGAAGTATATTTTTTCCTCTCCCAAAACATCCCATTAAACATTATTTTAATACCGAACTCAAATAAAAATTTTACCAAATTTATCAAAAGAAACATACCCTTAATATTTTGCAAACTAAGTACAAATTTTGTTTGATATTAGTTTGAAATTAAATTTTGATTTGAAATTTAATTTAAATAATATATTATCGCTCCATTCATTTTAGATGGTGAACTGAGTTTTGGTATTATATAATTAATAATTAATTAATAAGTGTATTAATAAAAAAAATTATAAATTAAAATTAAATAATTTAATTAAAACAATAAATTATAAATTCCTATAAAGTATATAATTATGTTTAAAAATGATAAATTATATATTATATACCTGACCGAAATATAAAAAATAGACAAATTAGTGGGATGGTTGAGTAATATAAGTATTTTTTTTATACACCATTTTAAATAAATATCATTATAATTATAATATTTTAAATTTTTTTTTGATATAATATTAAAAAAATTATATGCAAATATCAATTATTATTATCTCAATATATAATACTCCCTCCGTCTCAAAGACTGTGTAACATTTCCTTTTTTATGTCCCAAAATTAATTATACTTAGTTTATATCTCACACTTTATCTCATTATATTATTCAAATAAAAAAAAATAAAATATATATTTATCTTTCCATCGCATCACCGTTAATACCACCTACCTAAAAACTTGTGTCCAAACGTTGCACTTTGTTTGGAACGGATGGAGTACAAATCAAGGAGAAAAAAAAAACATACTTCTTCTAATACTAATGATATTTGTACAAAAATATATACAAATATAAAAATATTTTAAATTTCAAATATAATGATACAAAAAATAAATAGTATTGCTCTATAAGTAAAGGTTAACTATGTCATTTTGTTTGAAGCGATGGAAAATAGTGATATTTTAATGTAAAAGTTGGACAAATAAAAAGTAATAATTCGGTATGATATAAAATTTATTAAAAAAATAATAAAAAATAATATTATAAATTAAAAAATATTACAAATTAGTTATAAATTAATAAATTATGCATAAATTTTTAAAAATATAACCAATATATTTTTTTTACAAATATAACAGTTATGTAATCAACAAATTGAAGAAATCCCAAATAAATTGAATTTAGTATATTGTTTTATAAAAAAAAATATATATTTATTAAGATTTTTAATTTTAAATGATATAATTAAATTGCTTTTAGTGTTAGAACATTTTTGACAAGAAGAGCATATCTTTTATTTTCTTAAACAATTATTTATATATATGAATTAGTTATATATTTTATAATAAAAATATTTTATATTATTTTATAAAACACAATATTAAGATAAATAAAAACTACAAACACAAGTTAAAAAAAAAAAAAATCATAAATCAAACACACCTTGGGAGTTTGGATTTTGAGTTTGAATTTGAACGAATTTTAAATTTGAATAGTTGTATAATGTGATATAAACAAGTGTTGATGTGATGTTTTGAATATAAAATTATTTTTTATTATAATATAAAAAATAAAAAATAAGTGTTTAATTTGATATTTTTTTGGGGAAAAAAACGGAATGAATACCCAAACAAACACATCCTTTATGGATAAGAGGAAAAATATAATTATGTAAATGAGATGGCAGTAATATATTATTGTAGTATGTATATAATTTTGAAATGGCTCTTTACGAATTTGTAATAGTTCGTGCAATCTTTTGCAAATTGAATTAGTCATAGCTTGATAAATTTCAAAAATATATACTGTAAATTTATTACTCACTTCGTCCCGAATCTATTTTTTTATTTTAGTTTTTTCCATAATTTTTTTTAAATATCTGTACTGTCTACTTAATATTATAAATACCTTTACAATATTTCTAAAATTACGTTAAAAAAATCAAATGAATATTGAGGGAGTATATAAACCCTATTTAGTTATTCATGCACGAAGAAACTATTACATATAAATTTTAATTATTTTAAACGGGACTTCATTTTGTCCAAATGCATACGACGTCGTTTTGAAAATTTATTTAATTTTTATTATTTTTATTTCCCTGAGAAATGCCGATTTGTAATACACAGAAAAATTAACCACGACGCTTCCAGTCTCTTGTCACAGTTCCGGCGTAGCCAAGCTGTCAATTCTCCGCAATTTACCGGCGATTTCAGATTCCGATTCCGTCGATCGGAGAACTCCACATCGGCGGCTGCGGAGGCTGCGGTGATGGCGAAGGTAAGCTCAGGCCTCGCTTATCCGGAGCGGTTTTATGCGGCGGCTTCATATGCTGGATTTGATGGATCCGCGGATTCCACCGTTGGAGCCGTGGCCTCTAAATTCTCCAATGAAACTGCTTTACTCCTCTACGCTCTCCACAAGCAGGTTTGGTCCCTTTAAAATTTGTTCTGTTGTTCAATTTTTTGTTTTTTCTGCATGCGCGAGTTGTCATTATGTTATTTCAGCACAACTAGACTTGATCCGTTCGTGTTTCATGGATTTTGGGGTTTTGAATGTGTTTTTTGGTTCAATTGGGGGCTCAAATCCTTGATTGACTGCCAAAGTTTTCTTATTTGAGTTGTAATTCCTTGTGAAAAATCGCTTATTCTTCACATTTAGCTTGATCCGCTGGAGAGCTTTTCCAAACTATTTTCTTCTATCACTAAGTGCTGCAGTAGGAGTCTGTATCTAAACGCCGCCTTTAAACTTGATGATCTAATACTACAATGAAGGTTATTTCACTCCCGCTTATATATGTATAGACTGGGATTTCATTTTTGCGATTTTACTGGATTCAAATGGTCGTGTATGCTTTGAACCATGTTCCGCCTTTCCCTTTTTTTCACTACTTTTTTATGGGGTCAAGAGTTTTCTTCTTATTTAGCAAATCAGTGACCAAATTTAGCATTGAGGAATCATACGGTGTGGATAGGTAAGTGATTACTTTGATCTGCACTCTGACCTTGATCTCCATGCCAGCGAATCAATGATTTGCTAAGACTTGTTTTAATCTGGTTATGTAAGCTTTTGTGCTTGGAGCTCTAATGTTGACTTCCCTTCTCTGTTATTACTTATGATCTCCTCAGAAAATAGGGTATTTTCAAATCTTAATTAGTAATATAGACCCGTTTAAAGCATTGTTATCTTTTCTTATTCACTTAATTGGTTGTAACACATACGGATCAGTGACAGGCTTTCCATTCAAATTTGTATTTGTTCAAACTAATTTTACTGTCTGTTGACTGTCACAGGCAACATTGGGGCCTTGCAACATGCCGAAGCCTAAAAGCTGGAAGCCCATCGAGCATAGCAAATGGACTAGGTTTGAAGTAGATGCATAAATTTATGGTTCTCCTCCATTGCTCCAGACGTTTTATTTATTGCCTTGTTTTATTATCTTGAAGCTGGAATGGACTTGGGGACATGCCATCTACAGAGGCAATGCGTCTCTTCGTTAAAATCTTAGAGGTTAGATATTCATAATACAGATTGTTTTGAACTTTGTAGCATGTTGTTCTGTATGTGTTTAACCATGCACCAACAGGAAGAAGATCCAGGGTGGTATTCAAGAGTCTCGAACAATGTTGTTGAACCTATGGTTGATGTAAAAATGAATGTAAGTTTGTCCAATGAATTGACATGTCTTCTCTATAAATTCTAGTCCCCTGTTTCTGTTTGATCTGAGAAACAGTTTTCTAATTCACCAATTCCTATGTTAATATTCTTAAAATTGAGTTGTACAAAATATTATGTACCATTTACACAGGATATTTCTTTTTGATGATTTGTCTCACAGCAAGACATGGTAAATAATGCAAAGGTGCCATCCATACGTATTCCTACAGAATTTCTCCAGTAATTATAATTTTCATGATGAACTTTCACGTAATATGCACAACCCTCTTATGACCTAAAGTTTGGTCTTTTACATTATTTGTATCACCATCTGTATTGGTCTTTGGAAAATATGATTGACAAATTGTGATTTTCTTGGCTTCAAGTGTGTTAACTTCTAGTTTTCTGAAGGTAATGATTATAAATCTTATGTTTCTTTTCCTTTTCAGTTGTATCGAGGGATGAATTTATTAGCAAGTGGAAACAAGATCGTTTGCTGTGCATCTAACAAACCTTAATGCACCTTGAATTTCAACTCGCATTGATCTTTGTTCCTTTTTATAAAAACTGAGAATTATTACATAAAAATCACATTAAATTTTTAGCTTTCTAATTATGCTTCAAGGCTAAACCACAATATTTATCTTACATGTGTTTTTCTGTTTTGTCCCATCGACAAATTGCTCTAGGTTGCTTCTAGCTGATGATCGAACCTAGCATATTCATATTTGAGCTTGAATAGATGTAGTAAATGAAGAAACCAGTCATACATCCTCTCATTGCGCATTTGATTGCTTTACAATTCATACTCCCTCTCATATTACCTTGATCTATCTTTCCTTACACATCTCCGTCTCTGTTGCTCAGCAGAATCCAGAAGTTGTGGTTGCTCCTGATAATGGAAATGCCTATCCTGAGATGAAAACTGTTGCTACTGTAAATGGTCATTTTTTAGAAAGTCAGGATAAGGATGTTGTATCTGAAGGCCTTGAAGTAGTCAGTGTGTATGACCAGTGGGTCTCGCCGCCAGTATCTGGCAAGCACCCAAAAGCCAGATATGAGGTTTACCTTTTCCCCGTGTCATTCTAATTTTTCCTTGCATAACTTTTTGTATCTTCTTGTTTCTTTTTTTATTATTATTTTTTTTATTTTCTTATTTCTGAGCTTTGCTCAATTATATTAACAGCATGGAGCTGCAGTTATTGAAGATAAGATGTATATATTTGGTGGGAATCACAATGGCCGCTACCTTAATGATCTTCAGGTAATGGAATGAAGAAAGTTTACATCTGCTTGTATTCAACAATCTCTCAGTTTTATGAATTTCGGAATACCCTCAAAAGTTAAAAACTATTGTAGATTAACTGGTTTTATTAAGATTTTGTGAACTTTTTGAGTGCTGTTTTGTGATAAAAATTGGATGTTACTTTAATGCTTTACATTATGTGCCTGTTTATCCCTTGTGTTTTTAACCACCCAATGTATTTCGATTTTCTGTTTTGTATCTTCATATTATATTTTATAATATCAAGCGAAATTTTATTTTATAATATTTTTTTCATATATATCTTCATATTCTGGGACTGTGAATAAGTATTATTGTATGTATTCGTTCATCTCCTGTAATTAGGTTTTGGACATGCGATCTTGGTCTTGGTCCAAAGTTGAAGTTCAAGAAAGGACTGATGGCATGACATCTCCCTGTGCTGGCCATTCCTTGGTTAGTTTGGAGTTAGATTTTGCCATAGAAATGCTCATTTAAGTTAAATAAATGAGTATGCATAGCCACACAATATTTATAATTAATTTCTTTGTAATATGGTATGCTTATTGCATTCTTCTAGATACCATGGGATGGGAATAAGCTTCTCTCAGTGGGTGGACATTCAAGAGATCCTTCTGAAACTTTACAAGGTTGGAGAATTGTCACATTACATTCTGAGTGATTAGTTATTTATAGCTTCACACAGTTGCTCAAAATTATCTATGAATTAGTCTGAATTGATCCCTGGTGTAAGAGACCTACCAAGAAGTGTTTTTTCTATATCTCTAAACCTCAAGATTCAAGTGTAAGAGAAAGGTGAACAAATAGTATTTTCATAGTGAAATTTTATGATGCTTCCTTCAAGCTTGCAAGCCCCTATGCTTAGTAAATAAATAAATTTCAGCTACATTTAAATTATTATTTGACCTACATTTCAGTTTACCTTTTGTGGCGAATTTGGGCCACATTTAAGTTTACCTCGATCCACACAGTTATTATATTTACAGCCATGTGGGAATTTGCTTCTTTGGAAAGGATTGTCTAACTTTACCTAAGAGTATTCTTTAATGACAGTAAAGGTGTTTGATCTGCCAACTTGCACTTGGTCCACCTTGAAGACTTATGGAAAGCCTCCGGTATGTTATACTCTGTTTTATTGTAAAATCTCTTTCACCTTCGTATGTGTGTTCAGCCGTACCTGCATTGATTTTTAGTATAATGATTGTGGAGTTGTCAGTCACTCAGTTGTTTCTTTGTAATTATTTAGACAATTGTTTAGAATCTTAGAAGGTTTTTTTTTTTGTTCCTAACCTGCATTGCACTTCAGATCTCTCGAGGAGGACATTCGGTGGTTCATGTTGGAACGACTCTAGTCATATTTGGAGGACAGGATGCAAACAGATCTCTTCTGAATGATCTACATATTCTGGATCTGGAAAGCATGACGTGGGATGAAATGGACCCAGTGTATGGTTTTAGCTCTCTGAGCATATAAGAATTAAATAATGTCTTTTGTTCATTCTTCTAGACCCTACTGCTTGACTGTTTTTTTTGTTTTTTTTTTTTTTCCAACATATAAGAAAAGATAAACTAAAAGTACACTTCAAAATTTGTTTTTCCCTGTTATTATATCAACATAATAAGTTAATATTCAAATATCAATATTAATCTCAGTTCAAACTCTGTAATCGCTTAAGCTCTTATATTTGTATCTCAACTAGTCTCTGTATGAAATCCCACAAGTGAAAAAATAAATAAATTATCCTACTACTAACCGAACAAGATATGACATCGACTTGTCTCTGATAATATACTAAACTAATCAAACTAGCTTTTTGTTATATTTATACTATGTCTAGAGACCTCCAAATCACTCACGTAGATACCCAAAAACAGTCAGTCAAATCACTTATATTTGGAAATATTATGTCATGCTGGCCAGAGGAAGGGAGTTGTGGGAAAATGACATGCCTTTTTGTTGGTTTTAGAATTTAGTGTAACAGATTTCATACTTATCACGCATATTTAACTTTTTATGTCCCTGCCACAGATATGATTTGGTCAATATTTCTTGGGTTGATAAGTTGCACTTCTGACTAACTGATTCTGCAGGGGGGTGCCGCCATCTCCAAGGTCTGATCATGCTGCTGCTGTACATGCAGATCGTTACCTTCTCATCTTTGGTGGTGGTTCACATTCAGCTTGCTTCAATGACCTGCATGTTCTTGATCTTCAAACTGTGAGACAGAAGAAAACTTGTGACTTTGTTGTATTATTTTTATTTCGCACTATTTTTAAATTTATAATAAATATAATCTATAATGCATTAGATGGAATGGTCGAGACCAATACAACAAGGTGAGATACCTAGTCCTCGAGCTGGTCACTCTGGTGTGACGATTGGAGAGAATTGGTTCATTGTTGGTGGTGGAGATAACAAGAGTGGTACAAGATCTGATATATTTTATTTATTTCATTCTGATCCAATTTCGTGTGCTAGTACTGCCTCATTATTATTAAGACCAAGGGTTCACATGCATTGTATGCAGAGCATTGATGACCAAATCCACAGATGAGATAATGTCAAATAACTGGTAGCTTTGGAAATTTTCAAATGGTTCTTAATTTTCCAATATGTTTATGTTTTTATAGTTTACGGATTATGTCCATACTACAAGATAACTATGAGAGCTTCTTAAGTTGTGTGATATGCTGAGCAATATCATTTTCATGAAATAGTGTTGAGAAATCTTCTTCTTCAGGCGTTTCCTTTCTAATATTTTACTACTGGCATGTGTGTTGTGGATAAGATATCAATGTTTGGTCTGCTTATCACAAAATCTACAACTTCTGGTTTTCTGTACCTTTTTTTTTTTCCCACTGATTCTCTACTTGCAATGAATTTCTGAAGAAACTTATTCTCACTGTCCAAATTAATTTCCAGTCTAGGTGTCCATGTTAATTTGAGGGTATTAAAATGAGAATTACTTCTGCATTTACAAAATTGCAGCAGATTTAAATTGTGATTAGGATTTCTGAAAACACTTCCCTTATTTCTTCAACCACCCTAACTTCTGTTATTAATAAGCAACCTTTGCTAAATGAAACTAGGGCTACCATATAGTTGATCTCATTTGGCCTGTGAATTCTTGCATGAAATGGTAGAACAGTGTATATCTTTGTTTCCATATGTCTCTGTTTAATGATACGATTCGATTCCCATCCTTGTTTGGTCCTACCAACAAAATTTCCATCGTCTTATTATAAATGCAGGAGTCTCTGAGACTATTGTTCTCAACATGTCCACATTAGTCTGGTCAGTTGTAACAACTGTTCAAGGGCGTGTTTCCCTTGCCAGTGAGGTATTTCACTATCCCTTTTTTAAGCAGATAAAACCAGATAAAATGTTCTATGTTATATTTATTGTTTAATATCTCTTAATTTAATGAACATTGAAAATAGAGTACTGAGATCTGAGACAAGCAAATTTTAGCATGCACTATAATGGCCTCTTGTGCATTATGCTATATAAATAATATAATGGAAAAGGCTGTTTAAAGTACTTTTAGAGAGCATTGGCCTTCTTAGTTGGGTCTTGCAGTTGCTGATGAGAGAATTGCAGAATGCAGTTGATGGGTAAAAGTAAACTTTGCAAGGATGCTATGTTATGGACTATAATTCTTGGTTTGTTCTATTTATTCAACTTAGTGAGTGTAAAGTTATTGAAATGAAGTAATTCAAGGGAAATTTGATTAATCCTTGTCAAAATCTGAAATTTGACCTTCCCAAGTTTTGAAAATTTCTAAGATTGGTATAATAAAGAAATCATTCCTCTGATATCTAACTCCAATGCTTTATTATCATGTGGCCAATCTTTAAAAGATTAGTTAGAGTTACTGTGATTGGCCGATTTGGAAGCATCTTTTCTATTGATTTGATATATATATATTCAAACACCTAACCCCTTCAAGGAGCTGAATAATAAATTGTTTGCCTTGGACGTACCCCATTCTGTTGTGATACTTTGCTCAGCCTGTTTCTTTCTGATAATTATTTGAACCGAGCATGAATAATCATGTTGGATTTGACCATATGGTATCTACCAACATTTTCACGGTTAGTTATTTCTGGTGTTAGTTGAGGATAAAATGTAAATTACTTGATCTTTATATGTAGGGTGCTACTGTAGTCTTGAGTTCGTACAGCGGCGAAGATATTCTGGTAGCATTTGGAGGATATAATGGGAGATATAACAATGAGGTTTGTAAGAACTTCGTATTTGTGTAACCCCCTGAAAATTTTTATCCTTCAATATTGTTTTGCTTACTGCCATCAGGTCAATGTACTGAAACCAAGTCATAAAACATCTTTACAAACTAAACTCACCGAGAGACCAGTGCCTGATAGTCTATCTGCTGTTCAAAATAATACAAATGCTACTAGAGATTTGGAGTCTGAGTTGGGAATGGGCCAAGAAGGAAAAACAAGGGAGATTGTTATGGAGAATACCGATTCAGAAAGAAATGTAAGTTGTGGTGGAAATTTTATAGCACTGATAACTGTATAGCTTTTTCAATTTTACTGATTATGAGTATTTAATTTGAATTGATTAATGTGCATTATATCACTATATATTCGTTACAAATTCAGTACCCCAGGACACTACTATATGTAAATTGATTATGGCTCATTTTCTTCTTTCAGGTTGATTACTTTTAGCACAATATTTTATGATCTTCATTAGAACATATTTTTATGAGATTTGACGAATTGCATAATAAGTGATTCTTTTAATAAACTATGTAACAGTGATTTTTGGTAGTGAAATATTTCAAACCCTACAGCTCCTTATGATTTATCATTTATTGACTCAGAAAGAAGCAACTCTGACTCTAATACAAACCCTGAATAAAGTTTCTTGATAAGGATTATATATTCTCTGTAAGCTCAAACGACCATTTTTTGTGTTTTTAAGCTGTGAGGTCAGTTGTGAGAGCTGAAGCTCTGTTATAACTTGTGTGCAGTGTCTGTTAAGCATCTCTCGATATAAACCTCTTAATATACTTACGTGCTCATTCAATAGTTTCTCCATGTGTTTTTTTCTTTTCGGTGTGTGATCTATGTTATTTGGTCTACATATGTGATTGCGAACTTCACAAAGTTCCCAACTTTCATCCCTGTGTGTTCCCCAGATTCCCAAGGTTGAAGAGATGAATAAAAATCTCGTTGCAGTTCTTAAGGCAGAAAAGGAAGAGCTTGAATCATCTCTTGCTAATGAGAGAATGCATGCACAGCAACTGAGGCAAGAGCTAACAGAAGCAGAAACTCGTAACGGAGACTTGTACAAGGTAAATTCTTTCAAATTTATGTATTTCTTGTTGGGTGGGATAGGGATAGGGATAGGTTTACCTCAGCAAAAGTTATTAAATTTGTGCGTGATCAAGATAAATGGTCTGTTTAATTGATGATCTTACTATCTAATAGTTTCACCTCATGCAAAAAAGAAGCCTGTTGCAGATTAAGGCCATATAGGAATGTGGAGCCTGGAATTAATTAACACATTAGGGGTGTGTTTGTTTCAAGGTTTTTAACCAAATTCTACTATTCATCAAAACTTTTCCCCACAAAAACATCAAATCAAATACCTATTTTTCATTTTTTATATTATACTAAAAATTACTTTTACATTCAAAATATCACATCAAAATATATTTATATCACATCATATAACTATTCAAATTCAAAATTTTTACTATTTAAATCCCAACTCAAAATCCAACCCTCAAACAAACACACCCTAGGTTGAACTTACCGGACGAGTTGATTATTGGAAGCACGTGTGATATGATGCTTATCTCATATTCAAGAATTCATTTGGTTATATTAGAATGTTAATAAATGCCTTTAGGTTATTGGCTATAGTCCTGGGGAGTCAAGATATGGCGTGGCACTAACATTATCTGAGAATCACTAGCAATGCACTTCATTGAAAGTGTTGTGTCTTCCACCACTACTGCTTCCGGATTTTGCGGATGTGGCACCTTTCTAATTTAGTGACTCGACATTTTAGGAAAGTTGCCCTTTACTTATAATTAAGCGACTAGAAAATGCATGCCCTGTGTGTGTGTTTCTGTAAATGTTAACTTTGCTACCCTATTTGCATGATTGAATCTTGTGCTACAAATTTGAATCTACGAATTTTCTTGGAGATATTTCGATACGCTTGAATGACCCCTTGAGAATGTATAGAACCCCATTCCGGCCTGGTCCGGTATGGAATGAACTTATAATCTGATGATTCAGTGCTTATTCTTGGAGATTAATCTACGAATTTTCTTTTCCAACTAATATGTACGCAGAAATAGTGCGATAGTAAAAAAAATTATTCTGAGAAAGAAGGTTTGTTTTTGCAGGAGCTCCAATCTTTGCGCGGCCAGCTTGCTGCCGAACAATCCAGATGTTTTAAACTTGAGGTTTGTATCTTTTCGATTGCTATTAATGGCCTCATATATTCTCTTGATCTGAAAATGTTGGTATTGAAAGATAAAAGCTCATGGTTTTGTGTATTCGATTTATTATTTTTTAAATGAAAATTAAAAGTTTGTATCGAAGATGTGATGTTTCTAAGGAGAAAAAAGGTATTTTACCTTGGATTTGTATTTTTAAACACCTGAATGGGAGGTGTGTACATATATATATATATATATCCCTATCAATAAGGCAGCAAAACATGTTCTTTCATCAATTTATTCATTTCTTCCTCGAGCTTCTACACAACCAAGCTGATTGCTTTTATTAGGTTAGGGACACCAAAAACTTTTAATTTTCAGACTTGTAATTCTATCATATATTTGCACGAACTTACAGGTAGACGTGGCTGAGCTGAGGCAGAAGCTCCAAACCATGGAAACCCTGAGAAAAGAAGTAGAGATTCTCCAAAGGCAAAAGGCTGCCTCGGAACAAGCGGCGCTAGATGCAAGACAAAGGCAGAGCTCAGGCGGTGTTTGGGGGTGGCTCGCCGGAACACCACCTGACCAAAGAGCTAACATCGATGAATCATGAAAATCTAAAGTTGATGTTAATTCATATTACATGTTTTGTGCGTGCCTCTCGTCAAATTATACATTATACCACCTCTCGTAGTTCACATTCTTTTCTTATTATATTTTTTGCGAACAAATAAGAATGTATTCTCCTCGAGTAGAACCCGCACTCTATACATGTTGGAATGAAGTGGAATAGCTGGTTTCCGATGCTCGATACACACATATGTATGTGTCATTTTGATGGTGTGACTTGTGAGTCTCTCTGGTTGTACACTTGATAGATAGTCTGTTTTGATTGTTTTTATGAATCATTTTCATTGTGACACAGCCAGTTGTTTGTAATTAATTATAGGGTTTGTTATTTTTGCGCTTTATTTTCTTCTTTTCCTCTAAAAATGTTAGTATTTAGATTTCTTTTTCATCCAACAATTTTTTCTGACTTGATTTATCTTCGTAGACATAATTATTTATACCTTACATAAAAAAATAAATAAATAAATAACTTCAAACAGACAAATTCTTATTATTCAAAATCTATATCCACGAACAAACACACAGAAAGAATCTATTCTTTTTATTATTATTATTTTTAAAAGTATCCAGAAACCTAAATTTATAAATTCGAGTCAATTTTTAGATTCAACCGGTTATCAGTTCCAGCTCAAACTAAATATATGTATTATAAATAAAAAAGAGGTTGCACGAAAACAACACAACGTTTAGCTACAATAGTTCTCTACTCTACAGTAACAACCATCAAGAAAGCAGTAATAAATATCCGCTCAACTCAGCAACTCTCAATCAATAATTTTAAGGAAAAATCACATGCCCCATCCATGATCCATACTCCCATACGCATCATCCATGTATCCTCCGCCGCCGCCGTGGTGGTGGTGGTGGTGGCCGGTGCCACGATCTTCACTAAACATCTCCCGGTGGTTGTTTTCGGGCTGAGGTTCTTCTAGAACTTGCCTCGTAGGCTTCGGTAAAGAAGATACAAACTCGTGAATACTCTCCGCTACCTCCTCGGAGTTTCGCTCCTACAACAACAAAACAGACCAAACTTAGCTGTGTGTTCGTAGAATCGGGAAGTCGAATCCCCAATAGTGTATATACATACGTCATGTCTGTCGAAAAAATAACGATGCTTTCTACCACAAAATTTAAGAGGATTAGACACTAGAATGTTTTCCTTCGAGTCCTCGTGCTTCCTCGTCTTCTTCGACACATTATAAAAGAAAAGAGAAAGCATTTCGACGTGGAGATAACCTAACCCGCAAAGTTCGCAGCCACCCGATAACTAATTACCATCTCTAGCAAATGCTACCAATAACTAGTTCTGTTTGCATATATTTTCAAATAGCCTCTGAATTTTATAATTCATTACATGACAAGAAACTAACAAACGCATGATATAACCACAAGCATTGTAAAGATTTATGCTAACATATTATAAATATAGGACATGACATAATCCACTATAGATACGAGAGAGTTTAGATAAATATAATTAGTAGATAATTAAAAAGTGTATTAGTAAAATAAAATAATGTATTATAAAACTAATTATAAATTAAAACTAAGATATTTAAATAATATAACTAAAATTATAAAATTTAAAAATTAAAATGTAATTAAAATCTATAATTATATTTTGTAAAAAGAAAATCATAGATGTGGGACAACCGGAGGTAGAAATATCCCATAAATATTTTTTCATTCAATTTTTTACTATTTCCCCGACTCTTTTCAAAACATATCCAAACACGACCTAAATACCATAACCTTAGCAAACGATCTATTTCCGATCTCTAATTAACCTTTCGAGACACTAAAAATTTCAATCTACAAAAACAAACAAACAAACAAGTAAAAATGCATAAAGAACAAGACATATGAATAAGCTCTCACCTCCATCCATCGCCCGCCGGAATGTGTCACAAAACTACCTTTTGAAAGGATTCCGGCGACTTTCCGACCTTCCTCAATCCATTCATCCGACCATCCACCTGACCAAATCACTCGTACCGGCAACCCCTTGACGCTCTCCGAACTCCCCCATTCCGACAAATCGAAACTACCGTTCAATTTCTTCCCCATTCCGGCAACCGCCCACCCGCCGTCCCTCCCCTTCAACAAAATCCGGTGAGCCTCCGCCTCCTCCCTCCCGACCTCCCTCACACAACACAATGCAAGTACCCTCTCGAACATGAATTCGATCCCCAACATGGCCTCCCTCACTATCGGTGCTGCCACCACCCAAGCCGGAAATGCCGGCCGGCCAGCGGCGGCGTCGAGCACCACGAGACTTCTAATCAATCCAGGATTGTCAGAAATCCAGCCGGAGCTCAGCCCTAGAGCAGAATCGTGCACCACCAAATCCACCGGCGATAGCCGGAATGTCTCCACGACCTGCCCTAGCAGCCTCCCCATCTCCTCGGCGCCGAATTCGATCGGCCTCACGGCGGCTCTCTTCGGCGCCGCCGCAGCCTCTAAATCGATGTAGCCTTGCTCGACGAGCTGATCGAATCCCCAAAACAATCCTTTCTCCTTAATGTCTTCATACACCTGCCGGAGAGTCTCCAGCGGCCCTACGCCGCCCTCGGCAGCGTCTTCGGCCGCCGCTACGGCGGCGTCGGAGAATCCGGAGCCTGGGAGATCGATCGCGACCGCGAACGCATTTCTGTGCCCTAGAAATTGGATTAAGTGCCGGAACGCGAAGGAGCTGCAGCCTAGGCCGTGAATAATGAGGACGCGGCTGTCGGAATCGGCGTTGCCGTTCTGGATGGAGAAGAGCTCGATTTGGGGGCGATTGGGAGCGGTCTGGACCTTGATGGTGCGGCCGGTGGAGTAATGGTGGCGGAGATTGGGCGGGAGGTTGAGGAACCAGGTGCGGGGGTCCGGCGAGGATAGGGAGGAGAGGAGGACGGAAAATAGGACGACGGCGGAGACGGCGAGGATGAAGTAGAGCCAGAAGTGGAATGGATTCGTGGAATTGGGGGAATTCGGATTCGAATCGGAATTGGAATTGGAATTCGAAGTTGGTGGCGGAGGTTGGGGGTCGGCGGTGGGCTTGCGGTGGCGGAGTTGGGGCGGGGGGACTGGGGAATCAGGATCTTCTTCAGTGATGATGGCCATTGGTGCGGCGGAAATTGGCATAGACGTCCAACGGAGACTTGAATTAAGATTCAGGTCTGCTTTAATATACACTTAAAAACTTTTTTGGAGAGTATTATTTTGAAGTGGATGCATAAATACATACGATTCATTTTCGGGATACACAAAAGCATTCTTTAAATCGGGAATTGATTAATAACAATAATAAATAAATAATAATAATAATATATACCGTAATACATAACTCAGGGCATAGCCAATTTTGACCAAAGTTTACTAACAAATCTTCATAATAATAATGACATGTATATAACTGATTTCATAGATGTACAAGTAATTTCAACGGACCTATTAAACAAACTGAATAGCTAGCAAGTCACGCTGGATTCAACTCATTAATAGCTAGACAACAATCCCATCTCTCGACTAGGGTATAGTTTGTTTGTTCCATGAACAAGTTTTTATTTTCTATTTTTATTTTTATTTTGTTAATTATCCTGCATACCTAATACACCACAAACTAACTCAAATACTATTAATTAAACTAATAGTACAATAAAATATATACATATACATTTGAGTAGAAGAAGAGAGTGCAATAATACACCACAAACTAACTAAAAACCAAAGTAGCATAATATTATTATACTGAAAAATACCCAAATCAAATGTAAGTTTAACTTAACAAACCCTAAACTCTAAATTTATATATAATTTGGTAGGTACATACACACACACACACACACACAAACACAGCATGAATCATAAAAACAACAATAGACACCAAAGCCTAAGGCTAAAGGAAAAAGCAACATGAACACTTGCAATTTCCACACACAAAGAAAAAACTATTTGGGAATTGGGACAAACCAAACCACACATACATACATACATTTAGAAGCATTTCTAGGTAGATATATATATATATATATATAGCTATAGATATAGACACTCATAGATACACACACATACGTGCCCGCAGAGACAACAAACAAACCCAAGGTAATGAGAGAGAAATGGCAAGGAAGTTAGAGAACATCCTTGGCTAGTCTTACTGGTTTGTCTTTCAAAAATGCCACGTTACTGTTTGGCGCAATCAGTAGATGATGATTTACATCCTCTCCCATCTCCTCTTCTTCTACTTCTTCCCTCTCATCTCCTGATTCCGAGCACGAAGACGCACCCCCCGATCCACTCCCATCTTCAGGTTTTTAATAACCAAAGTTAGTGAGTGTTTGTTGGATTAAAAAGAGAGAGAGGGAGAATAAAATATTTTCCAACATTGTTAACAACTTGCCTGAATACATTTCAATATCGGGAAGATTTGAGACTGATGTAGCTTGGAGACTCTCGGGCAGCAAACAATTACATAAAGAACCTGGGAAGTTGCAAACATATGTATATATATATATATTGGAATGTAGAGAATCACTTGAAAAATGGGATGATACAAAAGATATGAGGATACGATCTCTTAGAGATAACACCAACAAATATTAGATGACTAAACACATAAAACAAAGATAAATGCTGGTGTTAAGAAATGCAGGAAAAGGGGTTAAGCTCCTCACCTAGACGAGCCAACCGATTTACCCATCCAGGTATAGGTTTTCCGGTAAGCTGCAGGCAAACATCTTCGGTGAAATGGTTGCAATTCTTGGAAATCAAATTGTATGTGTCACCATGGTATTTGTTGGAAAGATGCTCCATGAATGACTTAAATTCGGAATGAGATAGATCGATGCTTCCCAAAACGATTGAGCGCCTAAAGATAAAGCCAGGGCAACTTCTCGGCTCAACCTCAAACACTCCACTGGTTGGGTATTCATGGGCTCCAAACCCATACTCCAGCCCGTGTGCTATTTCATAGAATTTAGATACCAAAAAAATTATTTAAAGGAAAAAACAAAACAGAACAAAGCAACAAGCCACTATATCTTAAAATAGAACATTCAAACATTTTTAACATAAGATTGAAAATCGCCGCTGCCAAACAACCTTCAACAAACAGTTCGGATAGTGCAAAGTAGAAATGAAACCCTTCACATAGATGATATGCCGTAGGATGATTAAAGTAACAAGAAAGGAAATTTCAAGAATTCACTTTTCCAATGCAAAAATACACGACTCTTCCAGAGAAAAAGGAACTAAAATACCCGCACAATTTGACAATCATAGCCAATAAGCAAGTCAATTGCTTCGAGACATAAATGAAAAGGATTATATATCTTTGTTCAAACTAAAAAAAAGCATAAATAACTATCCCGATCCATCCAGTTGCATAAACAAAGATGACAGAAGATGGTAAACAATTCTGCTTTAACAATCACCATGTCCACTTACAAAATACCAAGAATTTACAAATGCACAAATATCCACGAGAACACACTGCTCGATTCTAATTTTCCTCTTTCCAATCTAACTTTCAGAAAACATTCAAAAATATCAGTCAATTTAGGTGCATTTCAATCTCTAACCATTCCAAAAGCATCCAGAACTATTCTTTCAACATTTACAGCATAAATCACAAACCTTCAGCCAAAATGTACATTCCAAAATTCGTTCGAACAAAATTACAGCACTGACAACTACACCACAAGCCACCACTCAACAAGCACAAAGAACAGAATTCCGACACCGAACATTCTTCAGATACCAATAGGCATAAAACGAGGTTCAAGATTTGCAGCACTATGTCAGCAGCAAGCAAAAGATACATTTAATCAGAAAAGCATAATCGATTTATATATTCATACCTTCAACACCAGAATGAAAGATTCCGCAGCCAAACCAATAAAGATAATTGTTTACGGGAGTTAGATCATAGATATTGAGGTACAACAGCGCCCGGCTTTTCTCGGAGCCGCTCCTCCCCGTCCCCGTGGGTGAGCTATCGGAGCTGGATGAAATTGGAAACAATTTCATCGTAATTATCCCGCGCCCGCCCCAATCTCACCTCCAAACAACTCGTATGTCAATCAATCTCAATGGAGATATATATGTACAAACAATTATCTGCGGCCGTCTCCGGAACCAGAACCCAGCATCACATCAACCAACCCGAAAAACCCTGAAACGAATTAGGTTAGCTAAATCACTGAAATTATCAAGGGAAAACAGAAATAGCAGACATCGAACAACGGAACCGGAGGGTTTAAAGGGATGCGGAGGAGGTTGAGAAAGGATGCAAGAAGAAGAAATTAATAAATTAGAGCGAAAAATGGAAATTGGGAAGGAAAGAGAAGGCGCGTACAAACCTTGGTAGCCCGAGGAAAATGAAAATGCAATGGATGCAGTGCGCGATTCAGGAGGGTTGATGGATTGGGAAATTGAGGAATACAATAATGAATCGCGAAGGAAGGGAAGGGAAGGGAAGGATTCCAGGTTCCAAATTCCAAATTCCAAAGGAGAGGAGAGGTGAGGAGAGAGATAGGGTAGGGTAGGGTTTGGTTTGATTGAGTTGGGGCAAGAAAAACAGCAACTTCTTTGGACCGCTGCGACTCTTGTTTTGAATCAACCTTGAATATATTGCCCTTCATTTCATTCTTTCATTTTCGTTTTCATAAATTTAAATTTTAAAAATATATATTTACAATAATATTTTTTAAAGAAAAGTTATAGCAATATTTATATATTTAAATTTAATATGTATTTTTTAAATTTTTCAATATTACCAAATTTCTTCAAAAAATTTGTTGCTAGATAGTGTTAGTCCAATATTTTTCTGTTCACGCGACTATCAAAAAATATTATAAAAAAACAATATATACATATTTTTAAATAATATATAAATATTATATTTACTTGGTAAAAAATAGTAATAATAATAATATAAAAAAAAATTATAATATCTAATATAACAAATACATTCAATACAATGCTCTAGGTATAAGTAAATACTATCTAACTTCGTTATATATGTTGTCCAGCTAACTTTGTTATATACGTTGTCCAGCTTTCAAACCATGATTAAAGAAAGAAGAAAAGGAAGAAGAAGACACCAACGTAAACAAACGCAAAATAAATTTAACCAAATGAACATACAAAGAATATACAATTTACCCAAAACTTGAAAAATACACACAACAAACAACCCCATCTCTCTCACTCCTCTCCTCTCTCTCTCTCTCTCTCTCTCTCTCTCTCTCTCTCTCTCTCTCTCTCTATATATATATATATATATATGTGTGTAATAGATAAAAACATAACACAAACACATATGGATCTATGCATACATACATATATATAACCTAACAAGAAAAGATAAAAGAGACTAAATTTTGGAAGAATTAAGACAAAAGGACAGAATGAATAATCAAGCTCAGGCAGCAAACCTCAATTTCCTCCCCATGGATGAATGCCTCCAGCCCTCCGGCCGACCGGCGTGGAGGCGATATAATCGTCGAGGGTGGTGCGATTGCCCCAACTGCAATAATAAGCTGTACAGGATGCGTACCTATGTCTGGATGTCGTCACAGCGCCGGCACCACTGATTTTTCTTTTCGCCGAGCCATCAGGAACTGTGTATTAGCTGCTGCGGCAAATCGGGAGGATTTCTGCTTACCAGGTTCGCCCAGAGATTCACGAGCTTTACCATGCAGCGTTGGTCATCCCACACAACGATCGTCGCACCTGGTTTGAAATCGGAAAGATTTTTAGGTCGATTATTTTTTCGAGCAATTTATAAAATAGCGAGGAGAAGATAAGGATTCGACCTGGCACTGCATCTGCAGACAGGAGCGATATCTGGCAAGAGGGTTCCGTTTTTGAGTAAACATACTTTTGAAGCGCGAGGTTGTCGAGACTGACGATGAGTTTGGCGGAGGACGACGAGGATGGAGAAACACTTGAAAGAGCTTCTTCGAGGCCAGAGGACAACCACATAGCAAGACATTCGTCTACAAGAGTGTAGACGTCGGGAAAATCCGCTGCATGAGAGAATGTCCACGGCTTGTAAAGTCGGGATGAAGCACCGAGAACTGCAACCGCTTTGTAGATTTCGCCCAGGCCTAAAATGTACTCGCTTCCTGTGTGTCAACATTTTTAGTTTTTGTCGGGATGTTAGCGAATATTGAAATTTAGAATGCATCTATATGCATTGTATACCTTTAGATTCGGACAGTAATTGACTCTGAACTTGTTTCGCTGCTGCTTGGTTCCAGATCAAGGCTCCATGTTTTAATTCTTGAGCGCAAGCATGAATCATTTGGTTCCATACCGAGAAATATACCTTCCGGTCCTCCACTGTTCCCATTGACAAAATCTTAAGCATTGTTGTTGCGTGTTTAATAAGTTCCATGGCTGATGCCGTGTCCTTCTCCGCCTGTAACAGATACGAATAAGTTACGAAATGATAATGGGAATCTGCGGGAAAGTTTTCAGGGATGCATTAGTGGAAAGAGAAGATTAGAGTCATTTTGGATAAATTCATTCACATGATAATGAGTCGAATAATATGAGACTAAGCAATCTATAGAATCAGGCGAGAGATCAAGAAATGAAAAAGCGTACTAGCAACAGTTTGCTTGATAAGTTATATTCCGATTCCAATATTTGAAACTGTGGCTTCAGCAAAACTTCTACAAACTTCCTCAGCCTTTCGTCTGATGGATAATCGGGTGGTGTGCTTTCTTCAACCGGAAGGTTCAGTTGTTCAAGCTCCTTGGAGACCATCTACAAATGATTGGAGGACATGAAGTAATCAATGGATAGATTTGAACATGCAAGATTGTCACCGAGAAAATGATGTAGGGAATGAAACAGAATAAAGGTCAGACGGGAACCTCTAAAAGAGAGAAAAAGATTGATTTAAATTAATATCTAGTGACGGCAGCAAATTTACCACTGGCCGGCTAACTAAAAGCATTGAGAAAACAAATTCCAATTTTGTTCAATATCAAGAAATGGACAACATATTTACCAATGATCAACACTAAGTAAAATCATAGGTATGCAAATTCTAGAATGCTGCAATGCTTTCGACTATGCAGATATTTTTGGTACATCTTGCATACTGAATAATTCAATAGCTATTCTAATGTATAACATGCTGACCTTCTGTCATTTTGGAAAAAAGATTTGGCAAAACATAGAAACTATGAAACACTTCATGCAGTTAGAAGACTGTATTAAGATGCAAACGACTTTGTATTCAATATACTGTCCAATACATACTGGAAAATATAACCATTATTCAAACTAAATGCAACAAGCATTCAAAAAATATTCAAGCAAAGAATACTTTGAAAAGGAAAAATGTTCGGGTTTGCATGGTTGTGTTTCAAATACTATATGTTTGTTTGGGGGTTTGGATTTTGAGTTTAGATTTGAATAGTAAAAATTTTGAATTGGAATAGTTGTATGATGTGATATAAATAGGTGTTGATATGATGTTTTGAATGTAAAATTGATTTTTAGTATAATATAAAAAATAAAAAATAGGTGTTTGATTTGATGTTTTTTGGAGAAAAAAAATTGGATGAATAGTGGATTTTGGGTAAAATCCATGTCTTAACTATTCATCTACAATATCTTTTTTTTTTTTTGGCTCTCCAAAAAATCTGACATTTGTACAGATATTTTTTATTTAATATATTATATTAAAATTTTATTTGTAATCATAACATTACATCAAATACATATATATTTATCACATCAATCAATCATTTTAATTCAATATTTTACTATTCCCAAAACAGAGTCAAACAAACTTGAAAATTTCAGCAGCCTGACAGAATACCTCCTAAGTACTATTACCATTTTTTCATATTGTCAAAAATAAAATTTGTATAAGCAAGAACGTGGATAGAGATATGATGGTCCAATCATAGCAGCACAAGCAGTTTATCAGTCTTTAAACTATAGTTCCAATACACAATCCTAGAACTTAAACAGTAGCAGACATGGAAACGAGCAAATACCTGAAATTCAATCTCGAGAGATGCAGCTCTTGTATCTCCACCGGAAATAGAAGCACTGTCTCCAGCATCCTAATAATCATGATTCAAAAAGAAAGAAAACGGTTAACGCTAGTAAATTAGCAGTTAATATGGAAAACCAGTCAAGTACAAAATGCAAGATTGCCATGATGCTGTACATACCCATAGGTTTTCAATGTGCCGGTTAATGACGAAGCACAATTCTTCCGCTAACTTATGGTAGAAATCCAAATAGTTCTTAAATTTCATCTGTGATGAGTCGTCCAGGTGTGCACCTTCTACGACATTAAGAAATGCCTCACTGTCACCTCTTGTTTGAGGGGCATCGTTGAAATCCCACACACCACCCTCAATATGGTTAACATTGGAACTGGAAACTGAATTTGAGAGGCTTTCCTCAGTGTCTGTGGGTTTTTCGAGAGCATTCATAGAAGATGCCTCCTCTGCTTGACTGTACAAACTTGATATCAGATCATTAATAGAAAATACTGGTGACGATGTATGACTATTTCTTTGATCAGAACTAGATTGATTTTTGAATACATCTTGAACATCCAAAGACCCCTCCCTTTGTGATTCTTCATCTTCGTACTCATCACCACCAAAAATGGACAGTGGAATTGCACCCTTTTGACTCTTTAACTTCGTATTGTTCTCCTATAAAATGAATACACCATAAGAGGAAAGACAAGTTTAAGAAAAAGACTCCACTATCAATTTAGGGGAACTAACTATAATGAATAACATTTGGTAAGTAACTAAGTTCCAAGCAGGCAGCTCAATGAAGATAATGAGCTGTACCTAATGTATACCCAGGTGTTCTAAATTTGAATGTTCAATTCAGCGACCAAGGAAATGGTGCAACTGAAATCATATCAGCTTGTGCAAAGAGTAATTAAAACTAAAAAATTAGCATGGAACAAGTTTCCATGAAAAAAATAGGCCAAAAAGATGTCCGTAAAGAGAGAAACATACCATTGTCACTGATCCAGTGTCAGCAGCAGTAAAATCTCCAAAATCATCGTCAAATTCTAAATCTTTAACATCTGGGCTATGGTTTAATGTACTGTCAATATGCTCAACAGTTGTATTTTTTCCGGGAGTAAAACCATTAGCAATTTCTGAGTTTTTATGGACACCACTCAAATCTACTTCTTGGGAAGTCCTATAAATACCGTTTGAGGGAGCAAAACAATCATCAGATTTTGATGGCATTCCAAAAAAATCTGCTTTTTCATTTGACATCTTAAATACATCAACCGATTCCTTTGAGTTGCTAGGACTCATAAATGAGTTTGAGCTTTCAGCAGCTTCATAAACCTACAGATGGAAAGTTCATCACATTCGACAAACAATGAGTAATAGACAATCAAACAAGGGTCAAACAGTTAAGATGATAAAGGAGCAACTTACCCCCAGTTTCAGTCCAGTTTCTGCGGCTGCAGCAGTGAAGTCTCCAAAATCTTCATCTGTGTCTGCAGCGTCGAAGTCCACAGCATGGTTGGGTGTATCATTCACTTTTATTTGTTCAATGTTCGAATTTGTGTAAGAATTATAACCAGTTGGGGCTGTTGACTCAAGGCCAAACAAATCCACTTCTTTGGAAGTGCTAGAAACACTACTTGAGGTTGCAAAAAAATCAACTGGTTTAGCTGAAGTCGCAAATAAATCAATTGATCCATTTGAATCCCCAAATACAACACTTCCTGACGAATTCACATTTCTTTTAGAAACTTCAGGCACCATGAAGTCAACCTTGAGATAAAATTATCACATTCAGAAAACAAATGTAAAGACCACAAGGAAAGTACATTTAAATAATAACCATATAATCCAATCCAAATGTTACATGTATTGCATTCAAATTTGTAGTTTGGCAGGTATCATACATACTATGGTTCCATCCATCTAGTTAACATCTCAATTATTGAAATCTAAAGAACTCGCTAGGAGAACAAGACGCCAGAAATTCAATATTAAACGTCAGGAACATCATTAGATCACTTTCAAACACATCCTCTATCTTATAAACCACCACAAATGACCTTTATCCTCTTTTCAAAATATATTCTTTGATTCTATACATCTCAACCATCAACAGCTCACAATTTAGAAAGTAGTTAGCACATACATATATAAACAGATAATACCTCAAAGGCGCATAGATTCAAATTTCATGTAAGCAGTGGCGTAAAATCGAAGAAACCACTTCTTCAGAAGAGCAAAATAAATGTGCGTGCGTGCCAGTATGAAACACTCACTCAATCTCTCAGACATCAATGTTTTCGATAAACATGAAATATTAATCAAGAAGCCCCTGCCTAACGACTTATCAGTTTAGAATCTGTTCAATTCTACTATGAAGAAGCACAATGTGTCATGACTTGCGACTCTAAAGAAAGAAGCATTCATTTAGGAAACTTTACCAAGGGAAATACTTAAATTCACCTGCATTTTCCCATCAGGTATTAATGCTTCCGCACCTTTAGATGGGGAAAAAACATCATTTGTAGATACTTCCTGAAGTAACTGACAAATCTTTAACATACACAGCCATATGATACATGAGATAAACAATGAATAAAGGCATAGAAAAGCAACCTACCTCTGACTTTAAGTCAATATCTGCAGAGGCCCCCGTAAACTCCCCAAAATCTTCATCAAAGTCTTCGATTACAACACCAGGACTTTGGTTTATCTCACTGCCAATCGCCGTTGGTTCAATAATTGATTTTGCATCAGAAGTCCAGCCGTTGGGAGAAGCGACTGCCCCCTTCTGATCACCAAAGAAATTCATTTCTATTGGTAAGGCTGAAATACCACTTGAGCTAGCAAAATAATCAACCGATTCAGTGGGTTGTGAAAAGAAATTCGATGATCCATTCGAAGCCCCAAACAGATCATGTGATTTGCTCGAATCAGTTACATTCGCAGAAAAAGGAACACTTCCATTTGACATTTCCTGCACCATAAAGTCATCTTCAGAGACAATCAGCATAAGAACAATACAAATTCATCTCTAATGGCTGCCAATATTTCAAATCAGGAGTTCTACGAATTCAAAGCTCTATTCATCATTCAAGATTAAGTGGTTTTATTAGGTGAGAATGAATAGGACAAGTAAACAACTAACAGCAGCTTCAACTTAGCTATTTAATAAATCAGATGAGTAGCTTTCCTTACATTCTTATTGACTTTTTCACTATCTGCATCCATGAATTCCCATTCATCATCACCACCGTCGTTGAAACCATCCTGTTGTTGATTCTTCTCCCGAATTCCTGAATCTGCATTAGACATCTCCATATTTGGAGATCTCGCGTTCAAATTCGATTTAGCTCCATAAAATCCCTGACTCCAACTGCCAAAGAGGTCTTCATCCCTGTTTCCATTGTTTGTCTGACCTTCTTGCCTTCCCTTATCATTCAGCTCAGTAACTGCCGAACCAGACGCGTTCTGATTCGATCGGAAAGAAACTTCTGCACCAACCGAAGCAGCCGCGCCGGCGGAATCCGTCTGTGGATACCGATTGTACAGATCGGCAATGTCGATATTCCGAGAATTAGGCACATCCTTACCTCCCAAATTCGAATTGAAGTCCCCACCTCCATTCACGCCGCTCTCCCGTTGATCCAAACCCCAAGCAACTCCTGAAACCCCCTTCTCTTCCTCCTCCTCCTCAACACCCCCAAATATCGAAAGCGGCAAAGCGCCGCGCGGCTTCGTCCATGTCGCAGACTTATCCGGCGCCGGTGGATCGGAGTGCTGCGATTGCTGCGGGGAAGTCAAGAAATCACCCCAATCGTCGGCGGCGGAAGAAATGGGAGCGGTGGATTTGGAAGTGGATTGGAAAGGAGCGAAGGCGAAATCTCCGAACGTCTCATCATCGTCGTCCTCCGCCATATGATGATGGCCGGCGGACAGATGATTCTCCGGCTGGGTGGGGGCAGTGAGCAGATTTGTGGCGGGGAATCGACCGCCGGAGGATTAATCGGCCATCGAAGATGAATCACTGGCCACGGGTACGTACGGACGAGTGCTCGTGATTTAACAATAATACTCCAATAAAATACCTGTGAATAAATTGTGCTGAAGTATGGTTTTTAATTAATATTTATTACAATATATTAAATTTATATTTCGGTTTTAATAGTGGAGTATTTGATTTCTGATGTTTTCAAACTTAAAAATAATTAGTGAATTAAATTTTTAATAGAATTAGAAAGCAATGACCATAGGAATTCAATTAAAATGCAATAGAGCAAGAAAATTTATTGTTACCTTTGTAAAACATAGAATTCATGTAAAAATAAATTAAATTAAGTTATTCTATAAATAAAAGATGTTACAATAAATAAGAATATATATTTAATTAGTGATTTTTTTATTTAAATAGTAATTTAATGCGTGCTATAAAAAAAAATATAAAAATTAATAGTAAATTATTTATAAAATTATATGTAGATAAAATATTAGTAATAAATATATTTAAAAATAGTCATGATTTCTTAAAATTGTTGTTGAGTATATATATATATATTATCTCCGTCCCAGTACAAATTATTTATTTTTTTATTTTGATCCGTCTCATAACCTAACACTACAAATGCCCTTACAATTTACAATATATTACACAAATATCGTTACTTTTATATCACATAATACTAATAAAATTATTTTAGTTATTTTTATTTTATTTTTACTATATATATCAATATAATATTAATATATCTTAAAACTATGTGCAAGAAGCAAACACATACTTACTTATGGGACGGAAAGAATATTATCTACTTAAAATTATAGAAAAATGATAGTACAAGATAATAAAATTACAAATAAAGTAAAATTAGTTGGGAATAAGACTTATATTTTTTGTTTATATAACAAATAATTTAGTTTTAAAAAATACTATAATTCAGATGAAGCAATGTCTACCCGCCACACATGTTGGTCTAGTATGATTTGTCTTTTTTATCTAGTTTGCAGGGTATTAAATTCGGCCAGTGGTTTATCCTGTGCGTATTTTCGACAGCGGCTACAGATTTTGAAATTATAAAAGAAAATTAATTAATAAGTGAAGTTACAATTTGTAATAATTTATTTGAATGTAAAATTTTGTAAAGTTAAAATAATACTTCTTCCGTCCGCTCACATTTAACTTTTATATAAACATTAAAAATATTTTTATATTTGTATAATTTTTTTTTTACAAATGTCATTCTATCGGTATTATAAGGCATTAATGAAAGTATGTTTTGTAATTTTTTCTTAATTTGTATAATAATTAATATTTAAAAGTTTAGACACAAATAAAAAATAAATAAGACTCCTATAATCGGACGGAGACAATATTACATATTTTCAAATAAAATTGTAAAATTTAAATTCAGAAGTACAATTTCTTTTATATATATATATATATAATAACAAATTAATACAGTCTACGCAACTAGGAAGGCAAAGAGCAAATTTAGGGTGTGTTTGTTCGATAGTTTGGATTTTGAGCTGAGATTTGAATAGTAAAAATTTTAAATTTGTATAGTTGTATGGTGTGATATAAATAAATATTGATGTGATATTTTGAATGTAAAATTGATTTTTAATATAATATAAAAAATAAAAAAATAAGTGTCTGATTTAATATATTTTGAGGGAAAAAATGAGATGTGTATTTAAAATCCAATCCCCAAACAAACACACCCAGTATTAATATAAAGTAAAATAATTGTGTCGGATTGGGATTTGCACTTGAAACTTAGCTAGAGTCTAATATGCATTACTAATATATGCAAAAGGGAGTTCACACCAATTTAAAATATATATTTTTATTTTTTTAATTAAATTAAACATTTTAACGTGATATAAATATTTATTAAATATAATATTTCAATTATAAAATATATTTGTATATAATATAGGAAATATAAAATAAATGTTATCTTGTAAATAGACAAAAATAAATCATTGTCGTTGAATAACTTAAAAATTTTCTTATAAAATATATTAATTTATTATACAAATATCACCTTTAGTAATTACTTTCTTCTAAAATTGAAAATTTCAAACATAAAATTTAAATCACAATATTTATGAACTTTTAAGAAATTTTGTTATTTTTTAAAATATTATATGAAAAAATTATTTAATTGATATTCAGGTGTGATAAAATTAAAATCAAGCACTCACGCCAATTTTACTATTCAAGTTATTATTTTTTAAAAAAACTATCGAATTAAACAATTATTTTTTTTATACTTCTCGTACATATAATCTACCTATTTTTCTATTTTAATTAAACTATTTAGTCATCTTAATTTATAATTATTTTTATTATAGATTTATAACATAATAATTTTTACTAATATACTTTTTTATTTTTATATAACAAATTTATTTTACAATATATATAGCATTAAATAACTATTTAAATTCAACTTTTTATTATTTATAAATTCAAACTTTCTAACAAGCACGCTAATGTTCTAAATTTATCAAGATTTTATTTTCTCTTTGTTATATTGAAATAATATTTAAATAAAAATTCAAATATAATATTTAATTTTAAATCAAGAAACATATACTCATTTTATTAAATATTTGTTGTTTAATGGAAATATTTATTGCTTAATTATTACTTCTTTAATATAGGTTAAGCTCTAGAACCAGAATTTATTAATTTTAGAGTTTATTAAAAACTAATTAATTATTTATTTATTTATTTAGTTTCGCTCAATAAAAGAACCCTCTCCCCCCTTCTGTGTGATACCCAAAAGACTTTCTTTTAGTGCGAAGGCGGAAAGATTGATGGAAGTCTCTTGGCGCTGCATGATAAAATTGCTTCTCTAGATTCCATCGCCTCCACCGATTCGCTGTTTCCTTTGCTGATTTTTCCTTCGGGAAATGCAAATTTGATCTCCAACTGTTGCCCGCTGCTGAAATCTGCCTCCAAGGTATGGTAATTTTATGCCTCAGTTGAGGTTTTTGCCCTCGAATTAGGAGTTTTTTGGTTTTTAATTCACGGATGTGTTTCAAAAATTTATACTGTTGCTAGTGTAACGGAGGAATTGCTGATTCTGTGTCGGTTTGGTTTGTCTGTGCGGAGTATTTGGAATTTTGCATTGCTGTGAAGTCTGGATTAGTCGCAATTTATGTCAAGTTTAATTTTGGGCTGTGCATGCCTTTGCCTAACTTTGAAGTTCTTGTTTCTTCGCATTATGGTGTTAATTGACCGTGGGAGTGACTATCCCTTCTTTAATTTGAAGATTGGTTGGTTAATTGTGCGAAATTTTCTGATTTTACGACCCCCTTCGCCATGGATAATGCGTATAAAGTTTTTATTTCCCGGTTCTTTTGCTTCTGGTACTGATTTCAATGGATTCAATATGTTCTTTGTTTTCTTCCCCTTTTTGTTTGGAATGAAAATAAATAAAATTTGAGGGATGCAAATTTGGGTGGAGTTCAGCGAAGGGAAGAGTTATTGAGGGAGATTACATGCTTTTTCTGCACCATTAGAGTGACTTCAAGACTTCTACATTGAGTTGAATCACAACTTCTTAGTTAGTTAGGATTTGTCTGCGTTCAATTATCGACAGACTGCATACTCTTGGGTAGTTGATGTTTCTGACTTTCATTTTCCATAAACTGCTTCAGATGAGAGTATGTTAAATTTTTGGTCGAATGGAGCCAAACTTATGAGACATTGAGCTCGAATATGCTATTTGTATGAAACATAGAATCTGTAAATTTGTCGTCATCGAATGGAGCCAAACTTATGGGAACGTGAGCTCGAATCTTAGCCGTTATGCGTAACAGATTATCTTACTTACTTTCCGTTATAGTTGTTCGAGAACCTGGCTTGTCTCATTCCTTTAATTTCTGTTACAAATGATAGCTCAATTCAATGAGCACATTTTTCGGCTACTCAAGTTAATGATGCTTTCTGCAATTTCCGCAATTCGATACTTTGCTACATTAGTTAGGACACTGTGCATTTGTCCGAGACGCCACGTGGTTGTAGTTAATGCAGATTTTGAATTTTGGCAGGTCGAATGATGGAAAATATGGTTGATCTACCGCTGAGTGATGATCAATGTTTTCTTCTCTCCTTCATCATGGGAACCTATTTCGGGCCTGACCTTGAGCGAGAAAGACCCCATAAGTCTGCTTTGCAGAGACACGCAGAGGGACTCCCTGAATACCGTACTAACAACTTGGCTGTCTCGCAGATGAAAACATCGGTAATGGAAAGTGTATATTACTATATAATGAGAAAGGCAGATGCATCTGTTCGTGTGAAGCAAGATTTGTTGCGCCCGTATATTCATGGAAGTCTTCCGGTGTCAGTGAGGTGGCCTTCAACTTATCCTCAGTTTGAGGATCTATTCCCTTCCAAATTGCACTGGCATTCCCGATTCGGAAGCCAGCAAGATACGATTGGTAACATAGTGTTCCTTAACAATCCAGCGACTGATTTCATCAAGCCGGGGGACATTGCTCGGTTTAAGAGGCTGACAGGATTGGATGATTTTCTTCTAGATAGGGGAAGTGCAATGCAGTATGCACTTGCGAATAATGGAATTTTACATGATGTGAGAGTGCAAGAAAAAGTGGCAGAACAGGAGCCGATCCAGCCTACCAATGTTGAATATGTCAATTGTGTTTCTTGCACCAGTACCTGCCCCGATGGAAATGAGATACCTGATTGTGTGATGCCCGGTGGTAGCTCTCCGTGCAATGCTGAGCCGATAGCGTACTCCACCCAAACATCGCAAGTGACTGCTAATGGGGATGATCTCGATCAGGGAACACTGTATCTTCCATCTTGCCCTTCTAAGGACGACTGGAGCAACCTTGTTCACTCTGTAAAATGTGGGTTTGCACTGACTGGAAGTGCTGCAAGGGGACAAGTCGGACCTGTTCTAGGCCTGATGGATATTGGTGAGTCGGAGGATTCCTATCTTTTCCGAGTTGCCCTCCCTGGCGTGCAACGAGATGAAAGTGAGTTACAGATCTCGTCTAATATTTAATCGTTGTGTTGGTTCATCAATACTAAATGTTGATTCTGGTATCCCTTTATTCCATATTCGCATTTTAAGCATCTTCGATTAATACATGAATTTGTGTATCTAATATTATCGATTGAGACTTTGGGATATTAGTTTGTATCACTTGTATGAATGACTTCGAATTTAACATCATTGTTTTTCAAACTAGTCATCATTTCTGCTCACCTTTCCTTAAATGCTTGCCCTGTAGGAGATTTCAGCTGCGAAGTCGAGAGTGACGGAAGAGTGATAATCAAAGGAGTTACAGTGACAGGTGAAAGAACAGTTTGGAAACACTCCCAGACATTCCAGATGCTATCTCACAATCTTTGCCCACCGGGCCCCTTTTCAATCACCTTCACTCTGCCTGGCCCTGTTGATCCTCAACAATTCCATGGAACATTCGCCGCCGACGGTATTCTCGAGGGGGTAGCATTTAAAGCCAGCATAGAAACAACTTAGACCCCAACAAATGGTCCGGCTTTGCACACTCCAGCTTGTGCTACTCTACTCACAACTCAAATGACAGGTTAGAATCGTCAATCTTGTAACTTGTTGTTATCATGCTTTCGGTTAGATGGTTTACCTTAATGTTCGACACTGCTGCTAGTCTTTTCCTTCCCCGCATCTTTATACATTTAACAGTGTTCGAAAATTTGCAGTGGTAGGATTGCTTGAATTATTGAACCTTGTTTGCTACTTGTAGTTTCATCATTTTTAACATGGATGGTGTTGTGGTTTTGTTTGTTTCATGTCACAAATCTTTCAAAAGCCTCATTTTGTTCCTATATATTTTGCTATTTATTATTATTGTTTATCTTAAATCTGCTGATCCTTATCTATGTCATAAACACTGATTGATCTCACATAAGAAACTAGGCATAATGTGTATATGTAATTTGAGATGCATTGAATTTGGTATAATATGCTTTTCGTAGTGTTATGGCCCCCCCGCCCCCATTGGTTGGACAATCCTTATCATGCTCATAATTGAATCCATAAATATCCAATCTTTTTTCATAGCAAGTTCACTTTATTCTTGTGATAGAAGACATTGTTTGTTAGATACTTTTGTAGGTCTTTTGATTGGATTGATTAGTAATAATCACATTTCACTAATACACTTTGAATTGTTCTTTGATTCTAGTGGCAAACAATAATTTGAACAAGACATATTTGATGAGTTTTAAGTGTTCCGTCCAGACTTTGGAAATTAGTGTTTCTTTTGATGAGATTCCGAAAATTTTTGTATGTCTAATGAGATTTTTTGTGAAATAAAAAAGTTTTTTTTTTTTTTTCAAAAAACGTATAGTCCAAGTAGTAAAAATTTGAGGTTTGGATGGTAAAGAAACACACCCTAGTCCTAAGTGTGTGACCGATCATGATAATAGTGAAACTTCATGAATGGTTAGAAAGTGTGTATATTTTTGCTTGGCTTATATGAGTTGAACTCTAGTACCTTTGATCGCTCTTAGACGACCAAGTCTTTGGCTATGGTCCTGTATTTCGTTTCGCTAGATTATTGATAGACGATGAAAATTGTATGTGTAAGAAATCTATGTTGGATATATATATATCTTGACAAATTGATATGTGCTTGATTCTATAGTACCAGTGTTAGGCTCTGTTTATACATATATTTTAAAGTTTTTTGGCACTATAATGTTTTTCTAAAACATCATATCAAATGCCAATTTTTTATTTTATTTTATTTTTTTTTTCGTTCGTCCCACAAAAAACTTTTTACACATAGGGTCTATTATAATATTAGTTTTAAATTAATTGTAAATAAATAAATACATTTTTTATTTATTTGTATATTATAAAATTTTATTATCTACAAAATGATGTTTATATTGCATATTCATATTTTATTAACATATAATACTAAAAATATTTAAAATGTCAAAAGATCCATCTGGAACCGGAAATTACTTTTTTTATTAATTTTTTCTTCAAAACGTTAAAACTCTGTGTCTAAGCAAAGCTCTTTAGTCGAACGAGGATTAAGTACTATTCTTCTTTCTTTTTTTTCACTATTCTTCTTATTATTATGTGAATAGTTTGTTTTTTGATGTTCTAGATTTGAAATTCAAAATTTTATGTTTCAAAGGTAAATATTAACCTGAAACATTGCAAGTATAATCAGGGGAAGAAAATGAGGTAATTTGATGCGAGGGAGGGTAGTGAATTGAGACATGAGAGTGGTAAAGATGCGGGCATTAAAGTCCTGGGATCTCCCTCAACCCCAACCCTTATCAAGAAAATAGAATTATACTTTAATACTACTAAGAGCAGCAGCAGAAGCAGAAGCAGAAATAGGGACCATCTACAGAGTAGAGAGAGAGTAGCAATCATACATCTACCACATTAAATTTTGGCATGTGACCCCGACCCAACCAATCAATGTATATTATGCACTATACAGCCAGCCAGAAAATATATATATATATATAGAGTGAGAAAGAGAGAGAGAATCCTCTATATCTCTATGTAATGTGATTGGCAGTGCAGTGCCACCACATTCACATTCAATCTGGGCTACAAAATCAATCACCACGTGAACAGGAAAGTTCCTCAATATTCATCCCTAAATAGTTTAAATTCTACATCATCATTGCCAGCCAGCACCCACAGAGAGAGAGAGAGAGAGAGTGGGACAGAACAGAACAGAACAGAATTGACTAATCTTGTAACTCTACATAGGATATATATATATATATATATGTAAAATTATCTAGAATAAAATGAACCCAAAATCAACATACAGGCTAAACAAAAATAAATAAATAAAACACAAAACCATAATAACTAGAAAGAAACCTGCATTAACTTACTAATAACTTGTTGTCTAACCAAGTCAAAACAACCCTTTCTTCCTTCCTCACATTACACTGCAACTCCCGGTGTTCTCATCACTGAACATGTGAGTGTAGTGGTCGCCGCCGGGAGGCGGCGCCGCCGTCGGCATAGACATATACCCCATATTATTATTATGATTGTATCCCCCATACTGCTGCTGTTGTTGCTGCTGCTGCTGGTACATCATCATCCTCATTTGATCCATGTATTGTGGGTTGTTGTAAGGAGCCTGAGCGTGGTGGTGGTGGTTCCCCTGCCCGAACCCGCCCGGGTAATGGCCGCCGTTCATGGGCCCCATTCTTGATAACCCTTGCGCCGCCGCCTGGAAATTTGGCGGCATTTGACCCATCATATTCATGCCAGTGTTCATGTTGTTGAAGCTCGGCGGCTGCCTTGTTTCCATTCTCGGGAATCCTTCGAAATTCTCATTCATTTTTCCTCCATTGCCGTGGATCATACCCTTGTCATTGCCCTTGCTGTTCTTGGCACCATTTTTGCCTTGATCGAGCTCAAAATCAATTCCTTTTTTACTCTTTTTGCTGTCCCCCTTTTGCTTCTTATCTTTCTTCTTCGAATGTTTGCCTTCGGCGTCTGTTTTGGCGCCACCGCCACCGCCGCCGCCCTTTCCCAGCATGCTCTTGAGAAATGTATCGAATCGGCCACTTCCACTTTTCGCCTTCTCGGCCTTTATTTTCTCCCCCTTTCCATCTTTCTCACCCTTCCCGCCACCATTCTTGCCACCATTTTTGCCTTTCTGATGGCTGAGGTCTAAATTCACTTTATTTGCTTTGCCACCATGGCCGGCAAGCGGCGCCACCTTGGCCGGAAGCTGGTGGGCTGCATACCCTTCGTCGAACCCATCCTCGAAACTGTCATCCTCCTCAGAATCATCGAAGTAGTCATCATCATCATCGTAGTCTTCTTCCTCATCTTCAGGTAAGTTGAATTTTACAGACTTCTTATCCTTCCCAAGAAACTTCATTTCCTTAAACTCATTATTCTTCAGCTGCATCATCTCCTTAGGAACCTGAAATCCACCCTTCTGCTGCTGCTGCTGCTGCTGCTGACCTTTCCCACCCTTCTGGCCCTTGTTACCTTTCCCACCGTTGGATTTCTCCATCTGAAAGTTCTTGAACTGGTGGTTCAGCATGGGGATCGCATTTGAACCCCCTTTCTGCCCTCCCCATAGCTCAGCATGCTTCCCTGCCTTCTCCAGCTTCTTTATCAGAGCTGCTGGATCGACGTTTCCTGATACAGTCACCTTCCCTTGCTCCACATCTATGCTCACCTTGTAAACCCCTGTGTTCGGAGTAGAAAATGGAATTTTAATTCAACTGTTCCTTTTTTTTTTAAATTGTAGAAAGTAGACAGAATTAGGTCAAAAGTGAGATGAAGTGTAGACATGGCGTACCTTCAACCTTCTGCAACTGCTTCTGGACTTTATGCGCGCAGCCATCGCAGTGTATATTCACTCTCAAAACCCACGGCTGCAAGCAATTTGAGTTCACGAAACAGAGATCAGCAACAAAAAGACTCGACAGAATTTTGAATCTCTCACAAACACAAGCAAAAAATCACCATACCAGAACACAGGCAACACTTTCAACTTCCTAACCGATCTCAAGCATAAAAACCGCCATTAACACCTCCTTCTAGTACTTCAACAAACAGGGAATAACAACTCGAAAAATCTCTCAAAACCAAACTAAAATCCACCAAAAAAAATAAAGCAGCAACAAACAAACTACACTTCCAAACTGATCTCACGCACCAAAAAACCGCCATTAACACCTCCTGCTAGGGTTCCCACTCCCAAACTCCCCCAATTCCAATTCCAAGTAACAAAACCAAAAAAAAAAGAAAGAAATACAAGACATACCTGAATCTTCAACATATCCTTCTTATTATTCATTCTGGTGCTAACACTGGTAAATCAAATCCACACAAAACAACAACAGAGAATGCCGAATCTCCAAGGCAACGTGAATGAAAGAGAATGCGTAAGCCGAGAAAGGCGGTTGTGTGTGTGAATTGAAATGCCAGAGCTTTGTTAAAAATGAACTCTTTTTATATACATACATACATACGTATATATATATATATATATTCTTGCCTGCTTGCCTGCTTGCCTGCCTGTGGCTGTCTGCCACAGCGTCTGCAGCACTGAAGCTTCCCCTGATAGAGGGTAACCGGCACTAGACTAGCGCTTTTGCTAATAAAATTTTAAAAAGCGCTATTCAAATTATAGTATAGTAGCAGTAAAATAAATAAGTGAGTAAAACGCGTCTTTATCCATCCCCATCTCTTCTCACTTATCATTTACTATTATTATTATTATTATTATTATTATTAATTTTTATTTTTGTCGCCACTCTAATACACAAACACAGTTGATGTTGACTAGAGACACACACCCTGTGGAGTGTGAAAAGACAGTTGTGCCCTCGGCTTGATCTTTTTTCCTTTTAGGGTAGACAAGATATACATAGCTGTGCTTCTTTTCCATTTCTATTTAACTTTGTACATTTTAATATTTTTTTAGAATATATTTTCTTCTTACATATAGAAAAATAAATACTTATTTTAGATCAAATAAATAAATTTTCTGAATGCAATTCATACTTAAAAAGAATTACACGTATAATTGAATAAAGTTGGATTTAAGAGTCTTTTGATAAAAGAAGGAAGGCAAAGTGGCTTCAATGTCACAATCCTTCCTACGCTTTTTATTTTATTCCGATCTTTGATTTGAGTGCTTTTTTATTTTTTATTTACTATTTTTAATCATACTTCTTCCCATTTTAAAAGTAGATACCGTATCAAATTTAAGATATATTTTACAATTTTTGGAAAATAGTATACTAAATATTTGATTGATTTTAATAGATATCGAATATATAATTTTTAGAAATGAATTTATGATGAAATAATCGATATTGGGATTAAATATGATTTTTTTGGGGATGTGGGTGTAAAAGTTGAAGTTAAAATATTTAAAGAAAAAAGGATTTGTTTTGTTTACATTTTAAATTGAGTTTTTTTTTTTAATTGAATTTCTTAAGATTATATATATATATAATTCTCTATTAGCGAAATTGATTAATATTATGATTTAATAGAATAATATAATTACTGTAATTAACTTGTAAGCATATATAAATTTTATATAAATAATATTATTGTAGTTTATAATAATTTATTTTTTGGCTACATAAATTTTAAGTAGTATATAACTAATCATTTACATTATTAATAATAGTGTAATGTTTTTTTATGTTATGGGCGCCTCGCCTGTTGCTAAGCCTGACACCATTTCCAGGTTTGACTGACCTTTTACTTCAATAATAAATAAATAAATTAATAAATAATTCACGCTTCCCTTTAATAAGTAAATAAATATTTTAACAGTCCGAGGATAGATTTAGTGAGGTAATAATAATGATTTCAAATTTCTTAATAATAATAATAATCATAATCATAATCACCAAGTAATAATTATTCCAATCCGCTTTTTAATTTAACTTTTTTTACTGAAGAAATACAATTTTAAAATACTCTCTCCTCCAAAATTTATTTATTTATTTTACTACTTTTGATTCATCTAAAATGTAATTTATCAAATTTCCTTTTAGTAATATTTAGAAAAATTATTACTCTTTATTTATTATTACAAAAATATTATCTATATAAAAACAGATTATTTTCTTAAAGAGAGAAAGAGGGGGCGAAAAGGGTTCCACAGTGTCGGTTAATTAAGGGTGTGTTTGTTTGGGGGTTTGGATTTTGGATTGAGATTTAAATAGTAAAAATTTTGAATTTGAATAGTTGTATGATACGATATAAATAAATAGATATTGATGTGATGTTTTGAATGTAAAATTGATTTTTAGTATTATATAAAAATAAAAAATAGGTATTTGATTTGATATTTTTAGAGAAAAAAAATTGGATGAATAGTTGTATTTGAATCGAATCCTCCAAACAAACACCCTTAGAGGAAACATGAAAGGGTAAAAATACACTGTAGAAGGTGGGGCCCGCGCTAAAATAATGGAGTATAGGCTCCTGGCCCCCAGATCCCGGGACCAAGACAGCTAGAAATAAATTTTAAAAAGGGCGCAATACCCTAACCCTGAAAATTGACCAGGAGAGACAGCACTCACTTTCTACTGGCTATTGGGACACCCAAAATATCTTTCGAAATATAAGCATTTATTTGGTTGTATCATTAATTTGATTTAAAATATATTATTGATTTAAATGGTTGTTTAAATAATAATTAAATTAGAATAATATTGATAGCAATTTACCTAGCTAAAGCAAGGCCCAAGTGTACACTCAATTCAAACCTAAACTTCTAATTGTTGTGTTTGTTTAGTAAGATTATTGGAAATAAATTAATTTTTTTTTTTATTTGAGTGACAGGGAATTGTACATAGAATATAAAAATAATAAATATGTGTAATATATTAATATTTTTTAAAAAATATTAAAAAAATTGTAGAAATAACAAACTCATTTTATTATTATTATTATTATTATTATTATTATTATTATTATTATTATTATGTGGGATACAATTCCTCTTTTCTTACTTTTTCTTTTTTCACCAATATTAAAACATTCATCCAAGCTAATTATATTATTTTTTGACACAAAAATTAAAAAATAATGATATTTTAATTTTAAAACATAGTAGAAAAAAAAATATATTATAAAAAAATCTATTTAAAAAAATTGATCAAACAGTGATGTGTTGAGTATAAAAAGTAATAAATTAATTATTATTTATTACAATAAAAGTAATAAAATTTAGATAAATAATATTTTTATTATAAATAAATTATCTATAATTTCATAGACAACCAAAAAAAAAGAAATTTTAATATAATTTATTTTTAAAATATTAGTATTTAAAATCAAAATTAAATCTCAAATTTCCAAAAGAAACACATCTAATGTAGTATTACTTTCCATCTCTTTCCTATGTCTCGTGTGTTACCCGGTATATAAAAATAATCTTTAAGATATATATGATCGAAAAATATATTTCATATTTACAGTAAAAAATAAATATAAATTAATATTAAAATATTTTATATATTAATATTAATATTTTTTAAGTGAGATGAAGCAAGTATAATATTAATATAATTTCTTATACTTCCTCCGTTTCATAACTACGTATTTGTTTGTTTTTTGCACGTAATTTTAGAAATATTAGTATTATATTACGATGTAGTTGGAATAAAGTAGAAATGACTAAAATAACCTTATTAGTATTATGTGATATAAATGTAATGATATTTGTGTAATATATTGTAAGTTGTAAGGGTATTTATAATATTAGTAAATAGTACAGTTACTAAAAAATAAAATGAATATTTTGTTATGGGACGGACTAAAATGAAAAAATGGATAGTTTATTATTAAAATTGCATTAATTAATTAGTATGATTAAATTTTGGATATTTATAGCTTAAAAATTTAAAATATACTAAAAATATATACTCCATGTATTACTGTGGACACGAGAATTTATGTAAAATATAATTTGTAAGTAATTAAAAAATGTATTAGTAAAAATAATTATTATTTAATAAAAATAATTATAGATTAAGATTAAGATAAATAAATAATTTAATTAAAATTAAGAAAATTATAAAATTTAAAATTTAAAATGCGATTAAAGTGCATAATTATATTTCCAAAAATAGAAAGGACAAATTATGTGGGACGGACGAAAATAGAAGATAGGAACAAATTATGTGGGACGAAGGGAGTAGTTTTTTGCCAAAAAAAATGAGACAGAAAAATTGCATAATAGACTGGAGATATGAAACGTAAGAAATAACATATATTAATGTCGAAATATAAATTTTTTGCACTCGAAGTAGGGATAACATTAAGTTGAAGTAGATCCAACACGGATCTGAAACGAAATTTGAATTTCATTTATTTTAGATACGAATATAAGAATTGCTTAGATATTTCAAATTTGACCAACTTATGTGATTTTATCGAGTTAGATCCGAGTATAATCACATACAAATATATTCGGGTTGGATATCGGGTTTAGTGGGCCCCGACTTTACCCGACTCATTGTCCAAATGAAGCTCATTGGACCGGGTCGGGTCAACCTGAACCGGCCCTGTTTAAAAATTCTAAATAAAGTATAGTCCGTATTATACGGTGTATAATGTACGTACGGATTGGTGTAACTATACACGATGATGTACTGGAGGAGTAGTGATTTGTTGTTATCACAAAGACACACTCACAGACAGACAGAGGCAGTTGTCGTGTCAGGACACGCGCCGCCATTGTGGCGCGTGGCACATCATATATAAATAAATAAAGACAATGATTGGAATTTACTTTTGTTTATTGAAAATAAAAATAAAATAGTAAGTGGAAGGTTGTGGCCTGTGTGGCATCAAACTGCAATGACAGATCACCTGCAATTTTTAAGGGTTTTTTTTTTTTTTTTTTTTAAAAAAAAAAACTGAGTTTATATGAATAAAATAAAATATTTTATTAACGAAAGTAATACTCATATATATTTTTATAAAAAAAGTTACTCATTTGCATAGTAAAAAATGGTATATTTATTTGATATTTAATTATATATATATATTTTTTGAATAATAATTTAAATATTTTATAAATAAAAGAATTTATTTTTATTGAAAATTAAGATTGTTACTAAAAATATTAAATTAAATTAAATTTAAAAACAACATAAGGGTGTTTTATCGGAGGTTTGAATTTTGAATTGGAGTTTGAATTATAAATAGGGGTTAATGTGATGTGATATTTTGAATGTAATATTATTTTTTAATATAATATAAAAAAAAAATTAAGTATTTTATTGATATTTTTTAAAAAATAAAATTAATGAATAGTAAATTTTGACAAGAATCCTCGATCAAATACACCTATTAGACTACTTATACATTTATATAGAAATTTAAAGGGACCATATACCGAATTGTTTATTGTGAGTTTGTATTTTTTTTTAAAATTTTTTTATTTAAATATAGTATATCATTTAAAAATATATAAAAAAAATTCTTGTCCGCTATATTCAATATTATAGACATTAGCATTAAATTCGTCTATGCATATCTAAATTTAAGCAGACCTAGAAGCGACACTTGTTGGAGTATTAATATAATGAAAATACTTTTTTAGGTGAAATGGGGTAATATTTTGGTTAAAAAAACATTAGTGGCGGTGCAAAAAGGTATTGGATAAGCGCATTTAATTTATTTTATATTTAAATATCAGTTTTTGAAATTTTTTAAAATTTAAAAATAATTAAATATTTAATATTTTTTATCTCACATATAATATCATATTTTTATTTCAATTTCATATCTTATACTATTATATTTTTTTAAAAAAGAAATTACATATTTTAGTTATATTTTTAAATTTATAATATATAATTTATTAATTTTAATTAGACTAATTAGTTATTTTATTTTATAATATTTTTATATATTGTAACTAACTTTTTTTAATATATTAATAATTATTTATTAGTCATATTTTTTTTAAATTTACGTTTCTTATGATATTTACCAAAAATAAACAAAAATTAATATTATATAATATTTTATTATAATGTGTAAACGAGTGCATTCGAAGTTTTAAATCCATAATTTTACTGTCACACCACGAGGTTATTTATTTTTTATCGGATTCGTTTGTTTGGATGTTTGAATTTTAAGTTGAGATTTGAATAGTAACCATTTTGAATTTGAATAGTTGTATGATGTGATATAAATAGGTGTTGATGTAATGTTTTGAATATAAAATTAATTTTTAGTATAATATAAAAAATAAAAAATAAAAAATAGAGGTTTAATTTAATATTTTTGGAGAAAAAAATAGGAAAAATAGTGAAATTCAATCCCCAAAACATACACAAATGCACAAGATATTATGCACTTATTATTACTATTATTAATAAGAATAAGCTAAAAATTGGAGTGGCCCAAAAATAAAAATGGGCTTTGAGCCCAATAAAAACTAATTTGTTTAAAAAAATAAAAATAAAAATGAGAGCATAATGTCAATTTTAATTAGATGCCAAACAAACACGCCGTAGTTCGGTATAAAGTCAAGCAAACTAATAAAACCCTATTAATTAACATTTAATTTGCACAATTTTTTAACAAGTAATTACATTAAATAATAATAATAATAATAATAATAATAATAATAAGTCCATTTGCAAACCAGCAAATCTATTGCATAAATAGTATGTAAGGTCTACCTTACTTTCTATTAGTTATTTGTCACAACAATTTTGTTAATTTATTTGGGTGTCTTTTTTTGTGAAAATTATATATATATTTTCTCTCAAAAATATATTATATATATTTATTATTTTTTATATCATATATAAAAACAAAATATTCTTTGAAATTATTCCAGAAAATACATCATTGTGATTTGACATACAGAAATATTTATGTTTGTATAAAAAAAAGAAGAACATGAGCCCGTATTAAAATTTATATTCAAAAGTTTGAATTAGAAAAAGTATTTAATAATTATTTTATTAAAAAATATATAAAAATATGCAATAAAACAAATCTCTAATAAACAATTTAAAATAGAAAAGAAAAAGGTGAATGAAGTAGACCATTATTTGATTGTAATTTAAAATTATTTTTTAAAAGATATTAATTTAAATTATTTTAATAATAATTTATGAAAAAATAAATATTTTTATTAAAAAAATAGGTCAAAATAAATTGTTTTAATTTTAATTTTTTATTTGAAATAGTAAAAATAACAAACTCAATAACCAAAACAATGAAATCACACGTGCTCATACAGACTCATATTTATATGTATAATTTAATTCTAACAATAATGAACAATGTATGTATAATCTATGTATTGGCGACAATGACAAAATCTGGTTTGAAGGCATCAATTTTCAGCGGATGCTCCAATTCCAATTCCTATTCCAATTTTTTGGTTTTTGATTTCCTCGCACTTCACTTCAACCTACTTTACTCCCAAGTCAGGAGGAGGAGGCCATGGCTGCTGCTGCTGCTGCTGCTGTTGCTTTTGCTGCTGCGGCCGCGACGCCTTCATCTCTTCCAGTTCCGCGCAGCGGAGGTGGATTCCGCAACCGCCAACTCTCCGATGAGTTCACCCGGAATCGGAGGAGCTTCGCAATTCGGTGTGATTTGGACTCCAACGTCTCCGACATGAGCAGGAACGGTAATTTTCTTCATAAATTTGTTAGTTTCCAGTGTTGATGGCCGGCCGATCGATTGATAGATTGCCGCAGTAGGATTATTGATTCTTCTTCTTCTTATTATTATTATTATCTCCTTCAGCTCCAAAAGGTTTGTTTCCACCCGAACCCGAACGGTACAGAGGACCTAAGCTTAAAGTGGCCATAATCGGGGCTGGACTTGCCGGCATGTCAACTGCTGTTGAGCTTTTGGATCAAGGCCATGAGGTTCCTACTTCAATATAATTCCATAAGGACATTGAGGAATGGATAAATTTATGTTCAATTTATTTCATGCGACTTATGTGCTTCTTAAGTTATGATTCAAAGGGTGTTGTTTTGGTTCTGCTGGAGAAGGCGTGAAGTACAAATTCTTTATTTTCTGAGCTCTGATTTTAAATGTACTTTCGGCGTAGATTTGTGAAGCAATGTAGTTTTTGTGTGCTTACCGTTGATGTTGGGCTTGTTTCTTCATTAGTACTTAATGGCATTGAAAATGATGTTATCCACAGGTGGATATATATGAATCAAGGCCGATAATCGGTGGAAAAGTGGGTTCCTATGTAGACAAGCGTGGAAATCATGTTGAGATGGGACTGCATGTTTTCTTCGGATGCTACAACAATCTCTTCCGCTTGATGAAAAAGGTCTAAATCATGTTGTAACTCATGACCATTCAGTTTTGTACTGGCTAATTTTGTGAATTGTGGTTGCCAAACTAAATGTGGTTGTTTATAATTGTAGGGGTATTGTTCTCTGCTAAAGCAGTTTATTCATATGTCTATTTCAATGTGTTAAAACAAGGAAAGTTGATGCCATATTGATATGATCTACTTAGTCTTATCCTACTAATTGTTAATTTCCTGTTTAGTATTCTGGAACAATGCCTTTAGGAGTAAATTATTATTGGTTGCAATTGTTTATAACGTGAAGTTTCTTTTACGAGTGTCTATAATAAATATACTAACTTCCTTTGAAGTGATAATAGCACTTGGATGACAAAGCTCCTATAGATTTTCTTACTTGTAGAATTCTACTATGCTGTTACTTTTAACTTGACATTATGTCTCATAAACTTGTTCCTTATCTCTCTTCATTCGAGTTGTCGATAGGATTATTCCTCTTAACTATTCTTTGTAGGAAGAGTATTTGTCTTAAATTCATCCTGTAGTTATTTGGATGCAATTACCAAATATATACATGGTTAAAATAACTACTTAAGCACCAGTGTTCTTTGCTGTCTGCAGCTGGCTATGCTTAGATTATATTAGCTTTTATGATGTTAATACATTTGAGTTTTTCGGTTGCATATTGGTTTTTGGAGAATTATTTGAATAATCAGTATGCATTGATTTTTCAATTGTACATATTGCAGGTGGGTGCTGATAAAAATTTGCTTGTGAAGGATCATACTCACACATTTGTGAACAAAGGGGGAGAGATTGGTGGTAAGCAAAATGCATAATATAAAAACAATCTGTATACTTCTCATGAGCAACTAGAAGTAAATAAAAATGTTCAATTTCCATAGCCTGGCATGTATTGTATGTCCAACTGATGGCAATCTCTAATTGCAGAACTTGATTTTCGATTCCCAATTGGGGCTCCATTGCATGGAATATATGCATTTCTGACGACAAATCAGCTTAAGGTGCTCATCATTCTGTACAATAATTTATTTGTTTCTTATTTGTCTTCCTATTTCATTGATAATATATCCTTGGAAGAGAACCTATGATATATGCTGGATTTTGGAGTGATAGAAAGCAATCCATGTCTTGTACAACAAATGGTTCATCAAGGATAACTTAGTTAGATATTGGAGTGGAATAATTTTGTTGCTTGCAACAAACATTTACTATCTTCATTATGCCACTCGTGCACTCTTGGACATAAAATGGGAGCTTTTTCTTAATTTGAAAGTTCAGTTTATTTCTATTCAGGATTCAAGTTTTTAAAGTCAGATTCCACGAAATATAGTGTTCTAATTAAAGCGTGCTGTTGTGTACGGCACCAATGAGTGCCGTAATGGCAACATATTTACATTGAATAGATACAGAAGAAGATATATCTGCCTTCTTTTGTCAATTTTGTCAACCAATTTAACAAAATGAGAAACATCTGAAGCTTCAATCTCATTACAATTTCTTCTGTGATTTTCTAAATGCTTTGTCTCTCTGATTTTTAGTCTTCAGATATTGCCAGAAATGCTGTAGCTCTTGCCCTTAGTCCAGTTGTGAAGGCTATTGTTGATCCGGAAGGAGCAATGAGGGATGTTAGAAATCTGGATAATGTGAGTATGGCACTCTGAAATCATAGCTCCATTTCTTTTCTTTCCTTTCAGCACATATTTACATCTTGCTATTCTATTTCATTTTCTTTTCTTTTGGGTGCTATCCTGAGACCCTGCATTGTTTACCTTATGTTTGAAGTGGTAGTCTTGCCTCTTATTGAGCCTTAGAAAGTTTCCTCTGCTGGTTGACATTTCCCAAAACATGAAGAATTGATGTTATGTAGCAATTAAGAATTACTAAGGTGTCTTGACTTAGCACCTTTGAGATTACTGGACTCTACATGAGTACCCCCCCTGCGGTGAATATCGACTGTCCCAAAAGTGGCATCACCCATATTATTGAAAAAATTAAAACTATGGTTTCCTCATTCTTTGTTTCATGATTTTAGCTTCTACAATTAACTTGCGAATCTGTGCTTGCATCCAGGTAAGCTTCTCTGACTGGTTCTTGTCCAGAGGAGGGTCTCGCTCGAGTATCCAGAAAATTTGGGATCCTGTTGCTTATGCCTTGGGATTCATTGACTGCGACAATATCAGTGCTCGTTGTATGCTCACCATATTTACTCTGTTTGCTACTAAGACTGAAGCCTCCCTTCTACGAATGCTTAAAGGTTCTCCGGATGTTTATTTGAGTGGCCCCATCAAAAAGTATATCATGGACAAAGGAGGGAGGTGCGCTTATCTGCATTTTCTATTTATATCATCTTTGTCTTAGTGATACATGCTGAGTTTGATGGTGATTCCTCAGGTTCCATATGAGGTGGGGATGCAGACAAGTCCTCTACGATAAATCTTCTCGTGATGGAGTGTATGTAACTGGCCTTGCTATGTCAAAGGTAGTGCTTCTCGTTTACATTCATCCTCTTCCAATTGATTTATGCATGATATGGCATCACACTCACCCATTTTTGCCTCGGCGGTTATATTCAATACCAATTCTTAGAATTCTGTGTTTCTACTACAAATGGTTTTAAAGGATATAATGTTAAAACATCCTCCATAGAGGATGTTGGTTGTCGAGTGGGATGATAACTGACCAGCTGTATTACTTTTCTCAGGCTACTCAAAAGAAAATCATACAAGCCGACGCTTACGTAGCAGGTTTGCATTTGACCTTACTTCAGCACTTTATGCTGTACCTTCACCGAACTCAAGAATCTAATTCATGGGTCATTACAGCCTGTGATGTCCCTGGTATTAAAAGATTACTGCCACAAAGTTGGAGGGAGATAGAATTCTTTGACAATATCTATAAGCTTGTCGGAGTACCCGTTGTCACAGTGCAACTGCGATATAATGGCTGGGTTACGGAGTTAAAGGACATTGAACTTACACGGTGAGTTCTAATCTATACGACACTTCGTTTTCTGCCATGGTTGCTTCAATACATAGCTCATAAAACTTCGAATGGTCAGGCAATTGAAGCAAGCTGTGGGTCTGGATAATCTGCTCTACACTCCGGATGCAGATTTTTCATGCTTTGCAGACCTCGCACTCACATCTCCGGAGGATTATTACCTCGAGGGCCAGGGCTCATTGCTTCAGTAAGATTCCCATTTTTCTATATTTGAACATATTTTACAGTCTACACAGGTGTCTATGCTGTACAAATTTCGTATGATTGCTCGTGTATTATACTGTTTATGCTCAATCTTTGTTTTCTCGGCTGTTTTAGGTGTGTATTGACACCCGGGGATCCTTACATGCCTCTATCTAACGAGGAAATTGTGAGGCGAGTCTCGAAGCAGGTAAGCCCCATCACTATATATATATATATATATATATTTGAGGTGATATAAATTAAGTGTTTGATCCGATGTTCTGCATAGGAAATAAGTTCTTAATGTAATGTTTTAAATGAAAAATAGTTATTCGATATACTGTTAATGAATAGTTTGGGAAATAATTTGAAAATTTGACGTAAATGGAGCCTTGATTTTGTTACTGATCACGAGTTCTCACTCAGGTCTTCGACCTCTTCCCATCCTCACGAGGCCTAACGGTGACATGGTCATCGGTGGTGAAGATTGCACAGTCACTGTACCGTGAAGAACCCGGAAAAGATCCTTTCAGACCCGACCAGAGGACACCTGTAAGCAACTTCTTCCTCGCCGGCTCTTACACCAAACAGGTAACACTCCATGATCGACTCATTTTCATTTCTTCCGTGCTTTCGAGCGAGCATATACAAACTCAACTACCGGGACATGTATGCTATGCTGCACCAGGACTACATAGACAGCATGGAAGGCGCAACGCTGTCGGGACGGCAAGCATCCGCATATATATGCGATGCCGGCGAAGATTTGGTCGCCCTGCGCAAGGCTCTGTCGAGTCCCGCCGCCGCCGCTGCCGGTACGTCCGATGAACTTATTCTAGCTTGATTATATCATATGAAAACTATCATTGCTTACATTTCTTTCTTTCTTCAGAATAGAATTTAAACAAACATTGATTGATATTAAAAATAATTTGCCGATTAATTTAGGCCTTTTGATCGGACAACTTATCAATTTGATTCATGTGATAAAGCGTTATGTGTATTTATGCAATTTTAATTTATTATGTGCTTTTGTATTTATCTCAAATGCTATTTAATGTTTTTTGGTATGTCATTCACTGCATGTAGAAGGTGCATGTGCTGAATAGGTACCAAAAATAAAATAAAATAAAATAAATAAGACAATAGTGATTCGTATTTGATTCGAAATAATGCTCAAATCATTTGAATTGATTAGTATTCAAAACGAAATGTTGTTCAAATTATTCGAGTTATGGCTATACAAATCTTGCAATATTAAACTATTCGAATATTTGATAAGTTTTGAATCTTATATGCGATTCATATTCAATTTGAAATTGCATTCAAAATTTTCAAGTCGTGGTGTTCAAATTATTCAAATCAAATAGGGCCGAAACTATTCGAGTATTTGATGAGTTTTGATCTTGAATCGCAATTTGTATTACATTTAATTAGTTTTCAAATTATTTTAATTAAATTAAGATAAATACCACAATATGTAATGGTGAATGCTCTTTAGGGTGTGTTTGTTTAGGAGTTTGGATTTTAAATTAAGATTTGAATAGTAAAAAAAATGAATTAGAATAGTGCTATGAGCGTTAATATGATATTATTTTGAATGTAAAATTAAATTTTTAGTATAATATATATTTAATTTGACTGTGGAGGGGGAATTAGCGAAGAGTAGAAGTTAGAAACCTTACCAAATCGGCCAAAAAAACACACACATGATTTGGCAGAATATTCTATTCCATTTTGATAAATTTTGGAAATAATTATTTTAAAATTAAAAGTAAATCTAAAATAATTTAACATATAGAAAGTTAAATAAAATTGGAAATAAACTTAACTTTAACATCTAAACACACAAATTGCTGCTTACAGGTGGCTATAATGTAATGGTCAATGTTCAATATAGTCTCAAAGGGTGGAAAATTGAGAGAATTCGGATTTATTAATTGAATTGTATTTTTTCATTTTATATATTTTTAATACCAAAATACAATCCCACGACCATACGACCATTGTGATATGATCAACCATAGTTGAAAAAATAAAATTTAAAAATAAAAAAATTGAAGTCAATGAATATATAAATATGAGTGTAACCTTTAATAAAAAATATGCCCACTAAAGTTTGAAAAACTACGCCATAAAAAGTCATGATAAGATTCTTTTTATATCTTAATATCAGATATCAGTCAACAATAACCATATATTTCTTCCCTTCTTAAAGTATGTACTATTTTACTAATGTCTGTTAAAAATTTTAATTTTTATTATAAGTATTACGTAAATTCATTACCATGTATTGTGTGGGACGTCGTCACCGTAACTGGCCGCATTTAAATTAAATATATATTAAATTGAATGGGCGAAGATACTGATGAGACAGAACAGTGTGCCCGGGGGATCCAATAAGAGAAGTCCACGTGGCGAGCGTAGGGCCGCGTATAGGCGAACTTTGGAAATGTGAAAGAAAGAAGTTTGCACTTTGCAGGCGGGCAGAGATGGAAACAAACAAACAAACAAACAAACTTTTAGGCAATGGGTCGTCCAACTTGCAGTTTGCCTTGCCTTCACCTAAGTATTGTCAGACTTTGTTTTCATAAATCAATTAATCAATGGATGGATGGATGGATGGATCGTTGAAATTGATTGATTGATTGGATCCATACTTCCTCCTCCTTGAGTTCCACGACACTTGAAATTGGAATTTGGAAACTGGAAATGGAATCGGCCCCCTCTACCTAGCTAGGTGTTTCAGCTAATTTTGTAGTAGTAGTTGTTGGATTTGGACTCTTTGGAGCGGAGGAATTTGGCTCCGGAGGTTTTGGTTTATGTTTGGGGATTTGGATTGTGCTGCTGCTGCAGGATAGGATGGAGGTGTGGTGGTTTCGAAATCATGGAGTTGTTGTGGTGTTGTTATGGTTGGAATTGGCGGTGCTGTGGCGAGGAGGATTTCGTGAGGTCGGAGCTCAATCGAGTCCGACGGATCAAGGATTCGGACGCTATCCTTACGCGCCATTCACGCCGTCCATGGCGGTCATAGTTATTCTTCTGGTAGGTGCGGTGGTTTTTATGGTGTTTTTTGCGATCTACATTCGTCGGTGCTCCGGCGGAGCTGGTGCTGCTGGTTCTGGTGGCAGCATCCGCCACGCGCTCTCATTCCGGTCGCGCCGTACCGCGGCGGCGCGTGGACTTGACCGTGATGTTTTGGAGACTTTCCCGACGTTTTCGTACTCGGAAGTGAAGGACCATAAGATCGGCAAAGGAGCGCTGGAGTGCGCCGTTTGCTTGAATGAGTTCGGCGACGATGAAACGCTGCGTTTGCTGCCTAAGTGCGACCATGTCTTCCATCCGGAGTGCATCGACGCCTGGCTTGAATCGCACGTCACCTGTCCGGTCTGCCGAGCGAATCTGGAGCCTTCGCCGGAGGACGACGCCGGAAAGGATTCCTGCGCGGCGGAGAATACGGATTTGGAATCTTCGAGAACCGACCGAATCACGATCCAGTTAACCGAAAATCAGCCACAACAGCCGCCGGCGTCGATGATCCGCAACGCGAGCTTCGAATCGCCGGCGAGGTCGTGGTCCGTACGCCAGCCGAGATTATTCGGTTTCGGCAAATTCCGATCGCACTCCACCGGTCACTTCCTCATCCAACCCGGCGAAAACCACGACCGGTATACGCTGCGGCTGCCGGCGGAGGTACGGAAGGAGGTGATGGTCCGCGCCTCTCTCAACCGCGTAAGAAGCTGCGCGGCGGTGCTGCCGCGGGAGTGCAGTTCACGGCGCGGTTACCGAACCGCCGGCGGCGGCGAAGGCAGCAGCCGGACCGGGAGGTTTTACCAGAGACTGGACCGGTCCGATCGAGGAACAAACTCGAACCGGTGGAATTTCCTCACGAGAGGATTCTCGATGCGGTCGACCAGAGTTGTGGCCGAAACCGCCGGCGGCGGCGGCGGCGGTGGTAGCAGCCGCGCGCCGGTGAGAATGCCGTCTTTACGCTGCCTGGAGCCTAATTCGCCGGAGCAGACCGGTTTATTTAAGGCCGGTCCGAGCGATAACCCGGCTTAGTACGTAAGTTGTGTATATTTTTTTTTACGGCCTAGGGTTTGCGTCAAATCAGATAATTAAAGAGCTAATAATAATAATAATACAGTAGTTGATAATATTATTTTAAATTGGTAAAGTTCTGGAAATTTTATCTTACTTACCTAACATCAGTAACATGCCACGAGCTTATTAGACCATCAATTTCAATCAAATTTAAATAAATGTAATTGTTTTTTTTCTTTTTTTATTATATGGAACCAAATGTGTGTTTGTTTTGTTTATTAATTTTTTGAATATGACGGTTGTATGGGATGTTTAGAACTCATGTGTGTTTGGGGTTGTATATGGTGTTATAATTGTGTTCAAATAGCATGTAAAATTTTTTTAAAAAGAGAATATATATTTGTATTTACATTAATTAGTAGATATTGTATAATATTCCATCCATCCGTCTTACATAATTCGTTTATATTTTTTTATTTTGGTTCGTCCTACCTAATTTGTCATTTTTTTTAAAATATAATTATACACTTTAATTACATTTTAAGTTTTATAATTTTTAATTTTAATTAAACTGTTTAATTATCTTAATCTTAATTTATAGTTATTTATTATTTATTAATTATATTTTTATAGTAATACACTCATATTATATAAAACGAAGAGAGTAAAATAAAATAATATAAATTTTAATTTAAATAATATTTTGATATAAAATATTTTTATTGAAAATAGTATATGCCCTATTAATGTGTATATACCCGATTAATGTATTTAGATTATAATTACTTGTTTATGTTCCTATTATCATATGTTGTTTTAAAGCCTAAAGTGTGTTTAGTTAGTGATTTATTTTAGTTTTTCATTATATATAGTTGAATTTTATATTTAGTGAAAATAATAATATATTTTTATAATAAACTGTGATGATTAAATAGTTTAATATAATTAATTATGGTATTTATGTAGCAACTAATCCGATAACATCTATAAAATAATTATTTGGTAAACTCATAATTTATTTAATTATGTATAAATCACACGACTTAAAAGATGTGTAGTTATGAAACATTTTATATTATTGAAAACTATAAAAATATATGATTAATTTTATTAAATAATTTATAATAAATAATATATTTTTATTTACCAACGAAATGTTGTGAAAGCTAATAAATTTTTTTGTTGTAATATGAAACTTAACTCGTTTGTTTTAATCATAAAAAATTATATATATTTATGATGTGATACAGATCTTTTTTAATAAATTTAAAATCTTACAATTCTCCTAAATAAAGTACTAACATAATTATAACTTTCTTTTCTTTTTTAAATATATAGGCAAGAGCCCTTAAAATGGGAAGCAAAAATAGTGCTTTTAAGTTTTAATATTTAATATTTATTTATATAAATATCATTGTATTTATTGTTTTTTTTATCTCTTTATTTTTCTTTAATTTCTACATATATATTCAAAAATATTTTAAATTATAACACAAACAATATATGAATTATGTTAGTATAATTATACAAATAAAATATATAAATTAATTGTACATAATATATTAATAGACTAAACATGTACTATATTCCTATAATATAATTATTTGAACGCAAAATCTCACGATTATAAATACACTCGAACTATATTATATAGGGTGTGTTTGTTTGGGGGTTTGAATTTTGAGTGGGGATTTGAATAGTAAAAATTTCGAATTTGAATAGTTGTATGATGTGATATAAATAGGTGTTTATGTGATGTTTTGAATGTAAAATTGATTTTTAGTATAATATAAAAAATAAAAAATAGAATATTTAATTTAATATCTTTTTTTTAAAAAAAAAATAGAATATAGTAAATTTAAAATCCAATTCTCCAGACAAATAAACCCATAATGAACTCCTATTTATATTAGGTCTGAACGAGAGCCCTTCTTACCTATACTCATAGCCGGCCCTGAAATTGATAATGCATACTATTGTTTAATACAACACATAATATAATATAATGACATGTTAAGGCAATATACACGCATAGACAATACATGATAATTATGTAAAATAATATGAATATAATACATAAATTAACTACATTTAATATAATTTTATGTATCACATGCTATAATTGATTTTTAATATATTTTTTATTTAGAATAATATATGCTTATATAAATGAAATTGTGTTATTTTAACTTCAAAAATTTTATAATTAAAATCTCAGATTCAATCTCCAAACCTATAGATAAATAACCATTGCTTTTTTGAGTATGTATATTTGTATTTTTTTTACTATAATATAGTTTTACGAATATAGTATTTAATGTGGCTATTTTTTTAATATAAATAGTAAAAATATACACATTTGTTCACTTTATAATTTATATTTTAAAATTATTATCTTTAACATTCATTATATATAATAAATATTGTACAATGTGATACAGATAAGCAAGCGTTTATAGTATTTATTTTGATATTTTTTAAATAAAAAATATAATGAATATTAGAAATCCTAATAGATAAGCCGAACAAAAACATGCCTGTAAATACTTTTATTTTTACATAAAGTTTTTTGGAGTTGTAAAATCTTTAAAAAAAATTTAATAATGATAAAAAGCAGAAAGTTGGGTATTTAAGGTAATAAAAATATTTTATAAAAGAAAATAAGGTTTTTTTTAACAAATTTATAATTAATAGTGTCAAATTTTCAAAAAATTTATGTAATAAATAAATAAAATATCATATCAAATCGCGTTTACATAAATTCAAAACACTTACACAAATCCAAACCAACCATAATCCTTTTCTTAAGCGAACAAACACAAACTTTTCAATTTAATTTCAGAATCATCGACACCGTTGGTGGAGGCCAGCCAACGAACGGTCCAGATTGAGTCCGGAAGGGCTGCTAAGTGCTAACGCTAATGCTACATTGGAACCCCTACGCCTACGTTGTCACGCGTTCCAGCCCACCTACAGCAGTGAATGGTCCAGATCATTCGGGACCCCGACACCCGGGACCACATCAAACCAGGAACCAACCGATGGGGGTGTGCAGTAGCACAGCACAGCACACCCCAGCGTAGGTGGGGTGGGTGGGGTGGGGGTAGGGGGTGGGGTGCGGTGACGCATTCAACCCACGAAACTAACCAATAAACCAAACGGAACCAAAGACTCCTCAGATCTCTCTCTACACATTCAATCATCGCCTTCAATTTCTCCGATGGCCTCCGCCGCCGACGATTCCGGTACAATCGCGCCACCAGTTCCTCCGCCCAATATTTTCAACGAGGATGAGGATCTTCTCGACGATGAGGACGATGACGACAGCGAAGACGAATCCGCCTCATCGGCGCCGGATCGCGGTGTTCCGTCGTCGGTTTCGGTTTCGTTGGAGCAAGTAACGGTCGCCGTCCCCGGAGTGCCGGTGATGCGCGTGGATCAGGACCTCCACCACCACCAGCAGCATCAGCATCAGCAGCCGGAGATCGTCGTCGCGAAGAAGCCGCCGCCGCCGGACGAATCGCGGAAGCTATTCCAGAGATTGTGGACTGACGAGGATGAAATTGAGCTCCTTAAAGGCTTCCTCGAGTACACCACACAGCGCGGCGGACCCCATAGCTCTTCCTCTCACCACCACCACGACACGACCGCGTTCTACGACCAGATCAAGAGTAAATTCCAACTCGATTTCAATAAAAATCAACTCGTTGAGAAGCTACGGAGGCTCAAGAAAAAGTACCGCAACGTCATCAACAAATTCGGCGCCGGCAAAGACTACGCCTTCAAAAGCCCTCACGAACAGACCACTTTCGAAATCTCTGCCAAAATTTGGGGCAACGCCGGCGTCAATTTCAACGGTGCGCCCGCTTTCCGGGGATTCCCCGCTCCAATCGACGAAGACGACGAGGAATCGCATATTCCCCACTTCATCGATTGCCAAAGCCCTAACCCTAATGGCATTGATGTAAATAGCAAAACCCCAAGATCGAGGAAGCGCAGCCGCCCCGGCGCTGTGAAATTGGAGGAGAAACATCACCAATATCACCACCACCACCACGCCTTCAACAGCAATCCCCTCAACAATCAACCGCCGCCTATGCCGATGCCGCCGCCGATGGCTCCACCTCCGGCGATGGGCATGGGCTTAACAGGATCATTAACGGGCGTGGTTGAAGAGGCTGTGAAGAATTGCTTATCCCCAATACTGAAGGAATTGCTTGGCAACTCTTCTGGCTACATTCCAAACGCCGCCGGTCTGTGCTGCGGCCATGGCTATGGACTGTCATTAGGTCCGATGCCTTTGGGTCTTTCCGGCGCCGTCGGCGGCGACAAATTGGTGGATCCGAAGTGGAGGAAGCAGCAGATACTGGAGCTGGAGGTTTTCTCGAAGCGATTGGAGTTGGTTCAAGAACAGATTATTGAACAATTGCACGAGCTTAGGTCGATTGGGAATTGATAAAGAAACACCATTTGCATTAGTAGTAAGTATATTGTTCTTCGATGTCTTTGCAGATCATTTGAGTTTCTTCAATATAATTTTTAAGAATTCGAAACTGCAGATTCCAGGTGGTGGTGGCGGTTAATAACGACTGGGGATTCGTCCGGATCGTTCGTGGCTTGCTTATTTCGTCATTGCATATGTGCAGGTAGTTTGACATGTATATTAGAAACTATTTAGATAAAGAAATAAGTAGTTGATGTGTTTATGACTCATGCTGCATAACATGGAAAAGATCGAAATTTGATGAGGAGGATGATGATTATGTGTTTGAGTTTAAACTTATTGGCCCGTAAATGTATCCCTCATATCTCTGCTACCTCTCGTTACGAATGTTGAGGATGGGGCTTTAGATTCTTGTTTATTACATGGATGCTTGTTGTTATTGCTGTGTATTAGCCTTACTTTGGGATGAAATTTAGGCGATGTTTTCAGTTAAGCTCGTAGAGACAAGGATCTTTTATGTAATACTGTTTTCTCATTAATACATATTAGTTTGCTAAACTCGATTGGATTTGTATGTTCGTAATTGTTTTGCCTATGGGAAGATGAGACTGAAACTAAGGACATGTATATGAGATACTTATAGATTTGCTGAGCATGCTTTAGTTTTTCGTTAGAATTCTTCGATTGTAGCTTGGGAATTCCTCGAACGACATGAAAACCTTTAGTTTGTTTTGTTTAGACATGTTGTATGATCGTTGTGCGCATTGTTCTCTGTTTTTTCTCTGTGCTTTAGGGTGTGATTGTTGCTGCACTATTTGAATTTTCTTGTGATCCGTTTAGACAAAATGTTTTGGAATTTTATATGATTTTGGGAATAGTAAAAAAATAGTATTTGATGTGATATTCGTGAATTGAAATAGTTACTCGATGTCATCTTTTAAAACAGTTACTTTTAAAGCTGTGTAGGTAAATTGAAATGTTTGTATGCTTTTGGAATTCTTCATCTGTATATGTTGTATTAACTTTGCTGTTTATTTCATACACTAGTTGTATTATTTGCTTGTTTGTGATTTTTAGAAAGTGTAACGAAGTTGGCTCTACTTACAGAATTGGCTTCTTTGTAGAGATTAAAAAGATTGAATCTTTTTGTAATTACTGAGAGTGATATCTTTTCTGTGAAAAATAGGATATATATATATATATATGGTTGAACCAAAATAGAGAGTAAAAAAGGTGGTTTCATACCAAACAAGAAGTGTGTTCTATGTTATGGTTTTATTTTTATTTTATTTTTTAATTTTATACTCCACTTTTTAAACTTGTTTTGGAATTTGATGTTGTCCCTTCATTTTCACTAAGTATGGCCACTGGTATCTGCTTTTTTGTCTTTTATCTATTGTCTCTGTCGTCTACACTATAATATAGTAAAGCCTTTTAGCTTTACATTTTTATTTATTCATTTTGTATTACTAGTTACTTTGTCCATACCTTGCAATTTTATTTTATTTTTTTAACAGCCTTTTAAAAAGGTTTCTAGAACACTATGCATGGATCTGTTTATATTTAGGTTATATTTTAGTTTTGTAATATTAAAAAGTGAATTTTGAGATGATATTTTATGATTAAAAATAAAATAAAATTATTTAATATATACTTTATATATTTCGAAAAATTAACATTATGTATGTAAATAGAGCCTGTGTTTTAAGAGGTACTATTGTTTGAATAATTGCTTTATGGAGTAGTTAGGAAGGATATTTATATATACATTTTTATTGGTGTAATTGAATTATTGGCTGTGTTTCTAACTGTTTTCAATTTTATTATCAGATGCTTTTTAAAAAATATAAATAACAATTCAAATGTTTCATAAATACATTTTTCGATCTTGCAATTTGATCTTTTTTGTCATTATAATTTACTACTAGTGTTAAGCCGTGCAATTTACTATATGATTTTTTATATCTGTATATTGATTTTTGAATAAGAGCAATTGATAAGTATGATATTTTATAGGTAAGATATATAAACTTTTATATGGAATTATAAGATTGTACATGTTGTGTTCGTCCAATTATTTTATATTCTAACAACTTATATAAAAAATAATAATAATTTAATATAAAATATTATTTTCATATTATTGATATGATATCTTATATTCTCTTTATCTCAACATAAAATTTTTTTTTATCATTTTTATTTGTCTTACTCAAAAGTATATATTTTCTATTTTAATGAAAGTAATAATATACTAATATAAAATGATTTCAGCTTTTACTTAATTATAAATATAGCATATATTTTTACTAATCAATAAAATATTATTTCATCTCAAACATCTGCAATAGATATATAATGCAACATTTCTAAAAAAAAAATAATTAAATATATTTAATATATTCTCTATATTTTATCACATCATCCAAACAAACATATATTTTTCTCCTTCATCGTATTACTTAATTTCAAATTATTCTATTTAATACTATCCACCTAAATTTTCATGTTAAAAATAAAATTGCACTGGATGGTTGGAGCAGAGGGGTATTATTTTTTAACTTACTACAAAACTTCAAAGAAGTGCATTCATCACGACGGAGAGAGTAACACATTCATTTAAAAGGACGAAACAAATATTGACGACGTGAGAATTCACAATTGCTCGCGTTCTAAGTAAAATTTCGATTAAATTTAATAGCTTGCAAATTAGACTCAAGTGAGATCAAAACGACGCTATGGTCCCAATTAAGAGGAAAAATGAGAGAGACAAATTCTATTTAGAAATTAAGGTTTGTTTTATGTTTAATTTTTTTAATAAATAAATAATATAATTTATACTATATAAATATATATTAACTCTTATAATTATCAAATCATTCAAGTTTTGGGAAGGATAAATAAATTTTTAATAAAACCAAAAATCTATTCCGAACTCAATCACATTTAAAACTTAAAATTCGCATAAATTAGATGTATATTATGTAAACATCGAAATAAAATATTGTAAAATCATTGATGTAAATACTAATAAAAATAAGTAATAAAATAAAAAAACACCCAATTAAAAAAAATAAAAAAACATCCCCAATTCTATAAAAGCCAATTCCAATCACACCCCCCCAACCAAAGCAATCCCAATCGCAGTCCAATCCCAAACCCAAACCCGACCCGAATCCGTTGAGTTTGTACGTTTTACAGAGGTTATACGGGTTGGCGTTAGGGTTGCAGGGAGTGGGTTTTCTCGCGCCATGGAAGACCTCAAAGGTTATATCATGTTATACGTCCGCACAATCATTCGTTCTACTTGTTATTGTTGCTGTTATTTCATCTCCAGAATCTTTAATGCCTTCTCTAGATCTATAACTTGCGTTTCGCTTCGATCTTTTTGGTTCTGATTGATTGATTAACTGACTCTACTCTGCTGTAATGTTCTGTTCGATTGATTTAATTTCTACTTTTTACTGTAAATTGATCAATCCTGAGTTGAATCGCTGTTCAAAACGTGTTGTAATATGAGATTATCCATTATCTTGTGTAGTGAAAAAATGCGTCCTTAATTTGAAGGTGTTCTGTTTATAAATAGTTTAAATTCCACCATATGGGCGGGTGGGAGCTGTCCGCCATTGATTATTCATGTCACAACAAGCTGTACCTTCTTTTTCCTGTGTTTTACAGTTCTAGATGCTGAAGATCGAATGAACTCAAATGCTTCTGCATCTGCTACTCATCCAGAAGGTAGTTCAATTTGAAAATCTTATTCAGGCTATACCTTCATTCTTGTTTGACTCTGCAGTCGCCATGTCTTTTTATTTATCGAAAGGATAATACTTTTCTTAGCTTTTTAGCAAGAATGGCCTGTTTCCTTAGCTGTTTTAACTTGTTAAGAAATGCTGATAATGTTTTGAACTTTTAGGTGCTTTTGGGCTTGGGAATTTATTTTGGTGTTTACGATAATCTTCAGAGACTGTACAAAAAATACATATAAATTATTGTGTCCAAAAAAAGAAGAACCTTAAAATTAAACAATTTAAATTTGAAAGCTGGGCAGAGTAATCAAGATGCCAAAAGAATTTCTAGAATACGTAACTGGTGCATAAAATATGACTAGTAGAGTGGATGGCCTCCTTGGCAAAAGGAACAAACTGTGGCCGGATCATGGAGTTCTAAGAAAATTGACAAGTAAAAGAAAGTCTTACGGTAGAAAGTCTAGGTGTGTGATTAGATATGTTTTGGGATTTTGGGCTGGTTTGGAAATCGTAAAGAGTTGAATAGAAACTAGGTGTTCGATATAATGTTTGGAATAGAGAATCTCAGAATAGGTTTTGATGTAACATTTTAAATAAAAATTAGGTATTTGATGTGTATATTTCTCTACAATGAAAATGTTGAGGAATAGTATTAAACCCAAGTTGAAAACATAGGTAAATAAAGCTTTTTCCTTTTTCAGTTGATGAATTTTGAGTTTTTGACTCATGTCATGTGATTTTCCGCTTATTTCCTTCGCTCAAATAAATCCTTTTAATGCTTTAATTCAAAGAGCCGACTGCCATTGTTCCAACTCCCTTTGTTCACATGTTTGTGATATAGCTACTGATACTTTCTGTACATGGCTCCTTTTGTTATCTTTATTGCATTTTCACATGTTTATAGTTCCTCTTGTCTATGAAGTACATATTCGGTTTATTAAGTGGACATACGGTTTGTTAATCCAAGGAGCTTTATATCAATGCACATGTGATTTTATTCTTCTCTAATGGCCACAGATATTCAGGACAAAGATAAAACCTTTTTGATAAGAGCAGTTGAAGAAGCTTACAAAGGTGTAGATTGTGGAGATGGAGATCCATTTGGTGCTGTCATTGTGCGCAATGGTGAAGTAGTTGTGAGCTGTCACAATCTTGTTCACCAGCAAACCGACCCTACCGCTCATGCAGAAGTTACGGCAATTAGAGAGGTTAGAACTCTGTAACTTCTGGAATTTAGATGCATTATTTGCTTTTTGCTTGCTATATATGCATTGTTGGATACAAACATTTAAATAGAGAGAGCTGAATAAGAAAACAATTGATGATCAAGGATCGAAATCTTTTTTATCCAAAAAACTGCTCACAAAATGAAAATCTAGGGTCAAAAATCCTAAAGCCTAACAAGGCCAAAATAAGATTTTTTTTTTTAAAAAAAAAAGGAGACCCAGAAAATACAAAACATCGATTGGAAGCTTTAAATGATCATTGCAGAATTTTCTAATTCCAAACATGAACACGAAAAGAAAGTTGGCAAGGTTTGGAAAATAGTAAATCTATTTCAAGGTAGGATCTTAGAAATAGTAATCTTGTTATGGCTATTTCTAATCCATAGTTACTTGCATCAATCATGATTCATATATATATATATATATATATCTTATGGTCGATAATCGGTTTTAGTTGTCTTTATTGGAAAAACGACTTTAAGTAGCTGTGCTGGATGGGCAATGCTTATCATGCTTTGTTTCTATCAGTTTTGAAACTGTGTAGAATTTTTGAGTTGATATTTATTAAAATTACGTTGAAAATAGTTTTTGGATGTAATGTTTTAAATCGAAAATAGTTGTATGTAATTTTTTTCTTAGAAAATACATTTTGCATATAATGTTATGTTTCCGGTGGAAGATGCAATTTTGATATAATATTTTCAGTAGAAGTTGATATTTTGAATAAGAATTCTTTTTTTTTTTAAAAAAAAGGTATTGCATATAATGTTTTAAATAGAAAATGTACTGAAAATGTAATGTTATTTTACCGTAAAATGAATAGTGCGAAAATAAATTTGAATATACAAATTTGAATTATTGTTCTTATTCAGGCCTGCAAGAAGCTCAACAAAATCGACCTTTCGGACTGTGAGATTTTTGCTTCATGTGAGCCATGTGCGATGTGCTTAGGCGCGATCCATATTTCACGAATCAAGGTTTGCTACTCGACCCTTTGTCTTTGCCTATAGATTCCAAACCAGCCAGTTGCGCTTTTCTTTTTGTTATATTTTGCAGAATTTCAAAGTTACATATCATTAATAATGAAATGAGGGCCCGATAACTATGTAATTTTAACAATAGAAAATTAATTTAAAATTTAAATTAAATATTTAAAATATCTCAAACACTTTCCATGTGCTTGAGCTAACCGTCGTCATTTATCTCTTACAGAGACTAGTTTATGGCGCCACGGGCGAATTTGCCGCTGAGTTTGTAAGATTGAAATACAATATGATGTGATTTTGCGAGGATTTGATTCTTGGATGCATTAGCTTTTTAGTGTTTGTGTGTGTTTTTATCTACATGAAATATACCTGACATTATATCATTGTATTTATATTTTGTATTTAAACAGTGGTTGGATGTTATTTTGCAAGGATTTGATTCTTCTATGAATGAATTATTTTAGCGCTCGTGTGTATGTTTTTTTTTACATGAAATTTATATTACATTATATATTTTGTATTTGAATAGTGGTTAAATGTTATTTTGCAAGGATTTTATTCTTCGATGTATTAGTTCTTTAGTTTGTTAGAGGAAAATACGATTTCATGCAATTTCACGCAATTGACTTTGGAAATATTTAATAAACGACAGTCGGAGTCTAAAATTAAAATCTCCAATCAAAACACCACAATTTTAACATCAACACAACGGGATTGTTACAAACTAAAATTATGCTATGAAAATTTGAAACAAAGTTAGGGCAAGGATTTAAATGCATTTGAGACGCGAAAATTATTACCAATCGAATATTTTTTACCTTAAAATTAGATTTAGAATGAAGAAGAATTGTCGTAGTTTTTAAAACTTTTCACACATTGATGGAACTCAAAAATAAAATGAAGTTGAAAAAATATATTTTTTAAAAAAGTTTTTGACCGTATGACTAATACGATGTCTGAACAATAAGGCATTGTCCTGAGTTATAACTCACTAATTCAACTTTTATTGATCTATCTTTTGTGTAACTTGATAGTAAACTAAAATCTTATCTCCATATAAAATTTCACATTCATTGGATTTATAAGCAATTTATGGTGACTTCCTACTCAAATGGATTTATATCTTTTGTTTGATATCCAATCGATTTGTCGTTAGTGCTACAAAAAAGTTATTTAAAAATCTAACCATGAGATCAAATTCACCCCAAATAAAAAATTCAATTTTATATTCAATCGAAATAAACACATCGATAGAAAAGTTAAAACTTAAATCCATAATTAAACAGTTCAATTACATGTCAGATTTTACACCAATCAACATAATACTAATGGATTTTCAACATCATCACCTATGAGCATTCTACATATAATATATACATAGATGGATAGATATAAACCTATATCTACATCTGTCCATATATAAGTATTTGTTTGTCGCGTAAATTTTTTAATATTGTAATATTAATACGTAGTACAAATTAAAAAAAAAATTAACAAAAATAATCTTAGTATTATATAACATAAGATAACGATATTTGTATAATATATTATATATTATAAGAATATTTTGAATGTTAAATAGATAATACAATATATACTTTGTTACGAGACGATGAAAAATTGAATAATTTGTTAAATTGGGAAAAAAAAAAATATTGTTCTTATTAAATAGGGATGAACTGAGTATTATTTAATGCAATTTTCTTCCTGTTTTCTACCATATTTATTTGTTTTGTTAAAAATAGTTTCCACTTTACAATAAAGTATTGTATAATTTTATCATACATCGAAAATATAGTATATTTAAATTGAGTTGATAAAGCTATGCGGTAATTTTTTATTTACGAGTATATCTCCAAGATACAGCAAATGCCACGTCATCATTCAGAGTCGTGTATGTAATTGAATATTTTTGGATTAGGTTTAAATAAGTGAATCACTATTTATTATTTTTTAAAAATAGTTTTTTTTATCTTTAATATTTTTTATTTCATATTACATTTTTTTATTGAAACATATTACAGCAAAAAAGTTTTCAATATATTTTTAAATTTTTTATGCTATCTGTCTTTGAAAATTCTATACTATTTATCAACAAGTGTTTTTTAAGAAAATATGTATTTCTATTGTAAATATCAAAGTAAATTAAAAAAATAAAAAAAATCTAACTAAATATAACTGAAGCACCAGTCCAAAAAAAACAGCTTCATGATAAACTTGAGAAATAAATAAATAATTGACGTGGTACGTGGCGACTTGGATCTGATCCAACTAAATTTATATAAAAGTTTGATTCGATATGTTGGGTGTCGTTGTTTAATTGTATTCTTTTTAATATTTTGTAAATATTTTTTTTTATTTAATTTTTTTATTTTTTATCAAAAAAAATTAATTATTTTTTTTGTCTTACATCTTAAGTTTTAATTTTTATTTTTGTTCGTTTTCTATTTCATGTCTATCTTTTTAAAAATAAAAAAAAAACAAAAAAAAAAAGAATTACATATAATTTTACGAGTTGAGTTCATCCTCATCTTTTATTTCGTTGGTTAGGTATATTTTTATTTTTACTTTTAGTAAAAAATCATTTATTATTTTTGAAATATTCATTATTTTATAAAAAATAAAAACTATATAGTCATAATATGTGCTAAAAAATCCGAGGTTTATGAACAATAACAGTTTGAACTTAATTTGTAAATAAATTTGACATAATATTTTTAATAAAAATTAATTAATTTTCTTTTATATATTAAATAAAAAATAGACTGTTGGTTTGATTGTTTTGTAGAAATATTTTTAACCATTTTTTTTTTTTTTCCCAATTTCTTTGACATTACTACACAGCTCGTCATCTCTATTCAAAATATATCCCATCGATATATTGGATTTGTTCACTTAATTTTCTATGATCGATTTTTTATAAATATTATAAAAATATATATAATATATACACATTAATATTTTAACACAATATACATAATATATATTTATTTATTTATTTATTTAATTCAATAATTCAATATATATTTTAAAATTATCAATACAATTATACCTAACATAAAAACACCTATATAAAAATACGGGGTTTAGTTGATAAGAATACAATATATTGTCTAATCAATAATTGAGCTATAAAAAAGTAATAATTAACATGAATTGATGGCGACTATTATTGTGTTTGTCATAATATATGGACTGTTAGGGTGGGTTGGAGTTTGGATTTTGAGTTGGAATTTAAATAGTAAAAATTTTGAATTTGAATAGTTGTATGATGCTATATAAATAATTGTTGATACGATGTTTTGAAGGTAAAATTCCTTTTTAGTATAATATAACAAAAAAAATATATATGTTTGATTTAATATTTTTTGGAAAAAAAAATGGGATGAATACTGTATTTAAAATCCAATACCCCAAACAAACACACCCTTAGTATACGATATATTGTTATACAAATCAAAACACTAAACAAATAAATTATTTCTATGTTTGAAATTTAATTTTAGTTTTTTTTTGGTTATTAAATTATTGAGATTCTTTATAAAATATTATTTTATTTAAAATATTACCATTAAATCAATTTTTAAAAGACTTAAGTAACATGTTTAAAAGAAGAATTAAAAAGTCAAGTGGAATTAAAATGGATGTGCATTGCAAAAAATTAAATAATGGTACTGAAATGACGAGGACCGTTGAAATGATTATCGAATAAATTAAGGCAGGGACACGACATTAAGCATATGTTCTAAATGACATAACTACCATCTTTAATTAATTAATCATTCCATTGCAACCAAATATTCACTTATATATATATTAATAAATAAATGATTAATAAATTTTAAAAATAAATAATTAATAAAATAATGTTATCTTCGAAAAAAGTTTAATATTATAAACCGAAAAATATTAAGAAAGAACCATTTATGATATTGATTTTAATTTTTACAAAAATTCATTTATACTTTAACATAGTATAAAGAAAATGTAAATAATTTGGAAGTGTGATTATTACACATTTAAGTTATAAATTAAAAATATGTCAAAAATATCTAACAAATAAATTATTAATTTTTAATATATCAAGGGTAGTATATAAATGAACCTAATGCATGACAAATACTGAGCGTCTGTTTGTTTTGTGTTTTAATTTAAAATAATATTTTTTTATGTGAGATATAAGTAATTATGTAAATAATATACAAATAATAATAATATAATATATTAATTTTTATTTTTTTTTTTTAAAAAAAAAGAAAATCTAACGAACCCTAGGGTTGTCCATGTTGTTGGACTATTTGTTATGTGAACAAATCCCAATCCAAACCCTAATCCTATCCCCCCCAATTGGATTTAGCATTATCCAGCAAAATAAAATGAAATCATTTTTTTAAAACAAATTATCCCACCTACTAAAAACAGTAAAAAAATATTTCAAAAGATAATATATATATATTTTTATGGATATAACTATATAAAATTCTAAATAAATATAGAATTTGTTTACCAAATGTTTATTTGAAGCTACATAATAGAATAATTAGTATAGACTAGTATGGTTGTTTAAGATTTCACATGATAATTGTTATTTGTTTGGTAAAAGTTTGAAAAATATTTGTGTCTCAAATATTTGTTTATTTGTTTGTTATTATATACTCCCATTTTTTTGTTATTCCCATATAATTTGTATTTTTATTTTATAATTAAATTATTTAGGTATTTTAATTTTAATATATATATTATTAAATTATAATTATATTTACTAATATATTTATTAATTATTCACAATATCTAAAACTTCGCATCTAATATAGAGTGTACAATTTAAGTGGAACGAAGAGAATATAATTTTATTACTCACTCCGTTGTTCAATTATATTTTTAATTTCTTTTTTGTTTTATTCAAATTTATTCTATTTTTTTTAGTAAAAAATATTATTTTTTAATAAAAATTTTATTTTTATCTATTTTTCCCGGTCAAATGAGGGAGGGAATATTACTTTTACGTATAAGCTTTTGAAATTACTATGTATTTTTCAATTTTAAAATTTTCAAAATATAAGAATATATAGAAATTCAAATCACGTCAAATAATATGTAATAATAATAATAATAAGAATAATAATAATAGGAGTTAGGCGTAAGTTGAGTCAGAGACTCATCAGAGATAAAGCTTTTAATTTTATTCCGCTGCGTTTCACGGCCACAGATTCCTTGCCACGAGCGCGTATCGTGCACGCGAGGCCGTACGCAGCCACTGCCTATATAAACTTGCGTGGGTTCCCGACTGGCAACAAGTAGGTTGAAACGCTTTTGGCTTTTTCAATTGGATTCAAGAAGTATCTGCGATTCGTGAGATCCGATTGCTTTTTCTCGGCCATGGAAGACCAGAAAGGTTATCCGTCTGGTGAATTATGTTTTTATTTTTAATTTTTTGGCCTCCGAGTAAATTTGGATGAATGTTTTGATTCTGCGTGCGTCTGTGTGAGTTCTTTTTGTAATTTGATTAACTATTTTTCGTGATTGTTTGTATTGTAGTTTTATTGATTTAGTTTTTGATTATGTTAGAAACTTGTTTTCGAGATTGACGGTGGTAGGCGAGACTAGCTGTTTTATTTATTGCTTTTTCTCGGAATTTTCGCCCGTCGGTGTGCGAAATAAGATTTGAGTTGTTTCACAATTGACTGGGTTTGTTTGGTGGTGAAAGGATTCAATTTTGCTGGAAGATTTGATGATGGTCCCCTATACTTTAGAGCATTACTTCGTTTCTGATGTTGGACAGTTGTAAGTCCGCTGTGAATCATGCAGTGCGGAATGTATCTTTTATTTACAATTCCTGAGCAGGTTCTAAATTTAAAATACGTGCAACAGTTGAAAGTATATACGGCCAATCACTGTGCTAAAGCTTAGGAATTTTCCTTTCTCCAATTTTCTGTGCGATAAATTTCTTCTGTATTAGTGATATGACCTAGCAGATTATTATCAGAGCTTTCATTATATTGTGGATTGGAACAATATCTTGTCATGTATGAAACCTAATTTGAGCATATATTATATGTAGTTTGAATTCTTCAAATCATTTTTTTTTTGGGACTGAAATCATTATTAGTTCAAGATCATACACTGGCTGGACCAAAAAGTTCGGATAGAAGCTATGATAGTACTACTAACCCATGCTAACCTTCCCAACATGCTATTAAATCCTTTGAGTTTATTTTCTGTGTGGTGGATCAGGTATATACTAAAGTAGTCCCACAAAATATCAGTTGTGTTTGTGTAATGACATCTGCTGATTTTGCTGACTCTTATTTCTCAATGTTATGTGTAATTAATCGTTTGATTAAATTTCTTTATAAGAATTTGTTGTTATGAGCCTGGTGCTCTCTTATTTGTTACCATTGCAATGATTACTAATTGCCATGAAATTTATGCCTTTGCTACAAATATTATTAATGTGTATAATGATCGGTTGGAGGCATACATAATTTAGAAGATCACACTTACAGAAAAGTGTATACTCTCAAATTCATGTCCTTCAGTTGATTTGAAACCTTTGAAGTCCTCCATGGACAATTTGCATTCTCAGTGTTGCTAACCGAGAAAACTGGGCAGAAGTCGGTTAATAAAAAATTCTGATTTGATTTGTCCTTATTAGACGTAGCCCCAAAATTTTATTTGTGTGTATGCTGACTATCCATATGTTTTATAGTTGTTGAAGTTAAGGACGGAATCATCCCAGTTGATTCTTCATTTCCTGGTCATCAAGAAGGTAATCCAGTGATTTTTTAAAAATTTTTTTTTATAGAACAGATTTTCCTTTTTTTCTTTCCTTGTCTGAGTAGACCAACTTGTGAGCTCGAAAGTTGAGCATGATTTCTCAAATAATATGGAACAACAAAATATTATATTATTGATTTATTGTTTGTGCACATCTTTTCAGTCAATGGATATGTAGTTTTTAAGACAAAAGATAATTGTATGTAACATAACCTGGTAAATATTTACTTCATAAGGATATGCTTATGCTTCATAATATTAGCACCAGAAGAGAGGGGGTTATAATGCACTGATGATAAAGTAGTGCAAAACACATACAAATATTGCATTTAGAACAGACTCAGGGTAACTTTTTGTATGGAATGCCAGGAGAGTTTGCCTTTGCCCCTTTGAAAGAAGGTAGATGTTATCACTTTCATGATTTCATTCTTATTGATTAGCCCAGTCCAACAGATCCTTGTATGTTATTTTTCCACTTAAAGGTGGTGTTGTGGACTAACATTTTCTTGGTTGTTCCTCTGATCATGGCAAGTTGCTGACACTCATTTCTTTCTTTCTCAGTTCTTGATGCTAAAGATGGAACAATCTCGGTTGCGTCTGCATTTGCTGGTCATCAAGAAGGTGACTTAATTTTAAATTTTTATTTAGGTTATCTTTACATATTTTAACTGTTCCCTCTGGAATCAACATGTTTTTTCATTTTATCGATGGGATTTTTTTTTTTACTTTTTATGCCTTCCAGACAAGAATTGCTATTTTATGTATTTATTTATTTCTTCCTATGGGGTTCAAAATGATATGGCTAATATGTATTTTCTCATAAGAAGCCTTTTCTAAGATATGTATGCTGCATCTATTGAAAATAATGGCCTTTGACAGATAGGCTCATTGGAGCCATGTTGGTTGATACTTTGTTGGAGATTGAAAAGTTGAACAAACTTACTTTCATTTTCCCCAAAATTCTGGGAGACAAGCTAATTGCTCTTTACGTTTTTGTTGTTTTGCCCCTGAAATCCGTAGATCAGGGTGAGAGATATATCTTTATTTATTCTTAGTTTACTATAAGGAAATACTAAAAGGATCCCAAATGCGCTTGCTCATGGTACACAGCATTGAGCTGTGGCCGCCAAACCTTATGCAGTTAGCCTTTAACGACTGTAACATTGCTTAACGCTATCTAATGCTTTAATCAAGGCCTCAACTAATTATATTATTTTGTAATGATGGCAGCTGTTCAGGACAAAGATCACAAATTCTTGAGAAGAGCAGTTGAAGAAGCTTACAAAGGTGTAGATTCTGGCGATGGAGGTCCTTTCGGCGCCGTTGTCGTGCGTGATGGAGAAGTGGTTTCCAGTTGCCACAACCTGGTTCTCAAGCATACTGACCCGACTGCCCATGCAGAAGTTACGGCCATTAGAGAGGTTCGAACTTTACCTTCTGAAAAACTTAATGTGCCTTTTAAGTCAAATCTTGTATGGCAAAATTTGAATTTACTCGGTAGTATTTTGCATATGCTTGTTTTATTCGATTTATACGCTTTATATGAAGCATTAGAAACTGCTCTAATGCTACAAAATGAGAATAATGAGAAATAATAAACTTCAGCATTGATGAAACCCTGTTTATCTTTCAGGCGTGCAAGAAATTGGACAAGATAGAGCTATCGGACTGTGAGATCTATGCTTCCTGCGAGCCGTGCCCTATGTGCTTTGGCGCTATCCATCTCTCGAGAATCAAGGTTTTCCATCCCGGGATTATTCTACTTTCCGATTTTCTTCCTGCTCAATCTGAGCTAATCCAACCATTTTTTCTTTTCTCCAGAGACTGGTGTATGGAGCCAAGGCCGAAGCTGCCATTGCCATAGGGTTCGATGACTTTATTGCCGATGCATTACGAGGGACCGGATTCTACCAAAAGGCTAATTTGGAAATCAAAAGAGCCGATGGTAACGAGGCCCTCATAGCGGAGCAGGTGTTTGAGAAAACGAAGGCAAAATTTCAGCTCTACTGACACCACACCACACCACACACATACATACTTATTTCTCCCCGCTTGTTTGTTTGTCTTATCCATCCGTTCGTAACGTTTGCATTGTCTGTCCGTACTCTCGTAGATATGATCATCTTACAATAACGTACGTGTTTAACATTCAGAACATTTTTCAATAATTGATTATGGTTCTCGATGTAAGTTGGAAACATATAACCTCACTTTCTCTCTCTTTATGGTAAGTTCTTTTAGAATTCATTCCGGGTTTCCGTTGCTTGGCATTAACGTGGTCGGGTTGAGTCGAGGGTTGATTAAAATGTGTTGTCTATTTTTTAGCTCAGATTTTAAAACGGCTGTGTTTGGACGTGGATTTTGTTTTTCTTAAATCCGATTCGGTAAACGGCTAGAGCACCGGGGATGGCTAATACTCCGGGCGGAGCATCGACCGGAATGAAGAATATTTTTTGAAAAATTGTCACTGCTCAATCAATATAAAATATTATTTTTTTCTCGTTCTATTTAGTAAAAAAATTTTTTACTCAAGACAAAAAATACTTCAATATAATTTTCTTAGTAAAAAATAATGAGTAAATTATGTATTTTTTTCTATTAAAAATGTATAAAATATTTTAAATACTTATATTATGCAATTTTTCCTAAAAACACATGATTTATCCAAAAATGAGAATAACTCGGAGACATAAATGGAAAAATAGACTGGGAGGGATGGATATTATTTTTCTCTTTAAAAATAACGTACAGTATAAAATTAATAGTCATAAATCGAGTTGTGGACTAGAGTGAAAACCAAACCCCAGTCTCGTTCAGTCGTGTCTCGTCGTCAGTTTCCTTTCCATTCCTTGTCACCAAAGTAACACAGCACAACACAGCAATCGCCGCTTCCATGGACGACGCCGCTGGAATCGCCGCCACTGTGGCGCGCGCCATAGCCACCTTCCTCGACTGGACCTCCTCCCCCGATGCGCGTGCGGCGTCGCACGCCTACTTGGAAACCGTAAGTTCGATTTTATTTTATTTTTGTCCAATGTCGGCGCCGAGCATCACTGCTTGTTTTTGTTGTTGCTATTGCTTATTGGTTTATTCGAGTGTTTTTGGAAAACGAATTGGGCGGGAATTTAAGTATTAATTATTCAGGAGTTGGTTGTTCGGCGAGACAGTTTGGATTTAATGAACGAGGAAATGAATTCCGTTAGCTAAGGGTTTGAAGCAGATGGATTATTTTGTCCTTTTGGTCACTCATCATGTGATGCGATGTTGGCAATTGGTTGAAGATGTGGTTCTGTCGTTGCTTGTGAACATTTATTTGATTCAATTCCTTCTGTCTTATGGATAGATTACTATGTCATCTCAACTATTTTGTGTTGATTGTTCGGTTCAGTGTTTGTGATTTGATACTGTGGTTTGTTTTCTAGGATTATTTTCGTTTCTCTTTTGGTACTATAGTTTAGGAAGTTTCAATGTAAGTATGGTGGTCTGGTTACACTTTAAAATCCAACTATAGTAATGTTTTATAGATGCAATTCAATTTAATTGCTTCATGCTCAACGAGCTAGTTGTTTATGGGGAGATTGTTGCCATCATTGCCATTTGCAGATAAAAGCTGGAGATGCTCGAGCTTTGGCAAATACATCCTTTATTTTGGTCAAGAGAGATTGGTCTTCTGAGATCAGGTTGCATGGTTTTAAAATGCTTCAGGTACAATTATTTGGCATTTTTTGTTTATTTTCTTATTCTTACCCTGAAACACTTTTATTTGAAATTCTGTGTTATTTGAATCCTTGTGCGCGAACTGAACAGGGCAGATATAGAGAATTTTTCCGAGAAATACCGATATTTTTTTAGAGAATCTACTTTCTACAAACACTATATGCTTGCAGCAAATATGAATGTGGGTTGTCAATATTTTCTAACAGATTAATAAACTCATACTAAAGGTTAAAATAATAATAATAATAATAATAATAACAAGCCTACAAAAAATTCAAAATTAAATGAATTATCGTAGCCTTCCTTGCTCTCAGAAAATAAGTGTGCCGTATTTGGTGTTTCATCAATGCATGAGTGGGGCTACTTGTTACTTTTGTAGACTTTACTCAGAAGATGCTCCTTTTTAGGGATTTGATACCCACGTGTACATCGTGTTAAGTCTAGAAAGGATAACTTCATGATAAGCTCATTTATGAATGTGAACTTTTTTCCAATCGTATTATATCATTACAATTGACAGCTGTCGCTTGTAGTGGTGTATTAAAAGTTCCAGGACAGCCTTTATCCCCGGGGAAGAATCACAAATTGAATCCACATTAGTTAGGACTTTGTCCTGGATTTGATACCCGATTAAACGATGCGAAATTGACATGTACATCGTGTAAAATCTAGAAAGGATAACTTAATGATAAGCTCATTTATGAATGTGAACTTTTTTCCAATCGTATTATATCATGACAATTGGCAGCTGTCACTTGTAGTGCTGTATTAGAAGTTCCAGGACAGCCTTTATCCCCGGGGAAGAATCACATAATGGAATCCACATTAGTTAGGACTTTGTCCTGGATTCTTGATCACTGGACAATAATACTTTGTTTCATAAAAAATGAGGATACAAGCAATACCTTGATGTTTCATCACTTATGCAGCCCTATTAGGATATCATTTCCCTATTAGCTCTTTTTAGCAATAAAAATATTAAGGATGCTGGATTTCATTATATAGATAGGTTTCACTCTTTCTTCAGAAGTGTTCTATTTTTCAGTAATCAAGAGGTATTGGAATACCTTGATGTTTCATCACTTATGCAGCCCCAGACAGTATTGATGCTTGCAAATTGTTAGATCTAAAAACCATACTTCAATGTAACAACCTCGTACAAACATTCCAACTGTTGAATGTGCACAACATTTCATCTCCATTTTCTTTTTCCTTCTCTTCTTCTTTGTTTTCTCTTTGTCCATCTCTCAACACCCTACCTTAACTAGACACACTAAGGTCAAAACATGAGTCAGGCGAATCAAGTTATCCCTGTTCGGCCTGTTCACTTTTTGGGGTCTATTCCGGTTGTCTCAAGTTTGATCCATAGAAGGTCCATTGGAAAAGCTTGGTAGTGTTCTCATTCTTAGTGTATAAATAAGGATAACAAGGTTTTTAGGATAGTTGAATGTCAAAACTCTGAATTTTAAAATTCTTTTGGTGTTTGTTTAAGCAAGAGTAATAATATTTTGAATTATTGCATGTTATAGACTCGTAGTTTTGGTGATTTTTTTTTTTTTTTTTTTTTTTTTTTTTTTTCCGGAGGGAGACTAGGAACAATCATCGGCTATGCCTTATATTTGTTATGTTCTGACTTTTTACCTTTAAAACTTATGCATTTATTGTTGTGGTGTTATAATTGGGTAGTTATAATTTGAATGAAACAGGGCAAAAAATATGCTCTTGGATAGTTACTTACTTTCTCCTTTTTCTTTTCAATCAGCATCTTGTGCGATTGCGTTGGGATGAAATAAATCCTTTGGACCGAAGAAACTTTGCAAATGTATCTGTGGATCTGATGTCTGAAATTGCAAGTCCTAGTGAAGAATGGGCATTGAAAAGTCAGGCAGCTGCTCTTGTTGCTGAGGTTCTTTACAGTTACTATTGTTGTTGTTATTATTATTATTATTATCGTTCGTATTATCTTTACCTGCAGTAGACACCTCTCTCTCTCTTGCTTCAGTTTTACTATATTGTGCAGATTGTTAGGAGGGAAGGACTAAGTCTATGGCAAGACCTTCATCCATCTATAATTACCCTGTCCAACATGGGCCCGACACAGGTCACTAAATAATCTCTATTGTGATTGTAGCTTCTGTAGTTTAGAATTCTTGGAATTTATCAGTTTTGTTTATTGAGCATGTGACCTGTACTAGTCCACAGTAGAGCATGCCTACTCACTTGAGTTATGTGATGAAACACATGGGTGTATGTGGATTTTAGGAACTAGTAATATTTTATGCAAGTTATTGCTTCTCAAATCATCTCAGGCTGAGCTGGTGTTGATGATGCTGAGGTGGCTTCCGGAAGATATTACAGTTCATAATGAGGATTTAGAAGGTTTGTGCCAGATACATATAAAGAGTTTACATTCTTGTTGGTCTTTGTGATTAACCTCTAGAATTCTTCTCTTGTTTCATCGTCTACTTTTTCTATAATAATTTAAATGTGATATTTTTTAGCTTTCTATTATTCAGTTTCACCATAACTGTTGAAACAAAAGTAATTTTCAATCAAAGGTTTATATGTTATTGCATACTTCGTTGAATCAATAAAGTAATTCTATGGTGTGTATTTGCTTTCATTTCATTTTGCTTTTTCCTTGCTAACCGTAGGGTAAATATTGGTAATTAGGTGATAGGCGCAGAGCTTTATTACGTGGGCTAAGTCAGTGTTTGCCCGAGATCTTGCCTCTGTTGTATACTGTAAGTTTTTGTTGCTGCCTTGTTTATCATATGCCTGTTCTTGCATTACTGTTTGATGTAATCTTCTGATTCAGCTGCTAGAGAGACACTATGGAGCTGCAATTATGGAAGCTGGTAGAAACCAAATGGACATTGCAAAGCAGCATGCAGCAGCAGTGATGGCTGCAATCAATGCTGTTAATGCATATGCAGAGTGGGTTCCATTACCTGATCTTGCAAAATATGGAATTATATATGGGTATGGTAACTTCTACCCCTCTAGCTCTCTAGTTGAATTGTTATATTTTGTTAGTTTATCTTTCTGTGTTACAAACAGGTGTGGAGTTTTGCTCGGTTCTCCAGATTTTCGGCTTCATGCTTGTGAGTTTTTCAAACTTGTGTCACCAAGGTGGGCAATAAGAACCTTTTGGTTTTTCCCCATAATATGCAATCAGATCTTAAAAGCTTATGGCATGTTGATATGTGATTGCTATTTGCTACTGTGTTGTACTCTTCTATATAGGAAAAGGCCTGCAGATGCTTCTTCAGACTTCGATTCGTCAATGATGAGTGTTTTCGAAATCTTAATAAATGCCTCCAGAGATTTCTTTAATAAAACAAGCTCTGCTTCTGACAACAATGGAAGTGAATTTGAGTTTGCAGAATATCTATGTGAAAGTTTGGTTTCATTGGGTTCTACAAACATGGAATGTATTGCTTCTAATAATTCAGCCCTCTCAATTTATCTCCAACAGGTGATTTCTTCACTCCTTATTCGTGGCAGTATTATGCATCTTAAGTATTTTTGGCCCCATTAAACACCCAAGTTGATCTTACCTCTTGATGAGTTCGTTATGTGGATTAATCCAGAGTAAAAAGATAGTTAATAGTGTTGTTTCTTATTGAGCTAACTTATGTATTGCAAGTACTTAAACTGTGTTGTCTGATAATATGGAGAGTCATGATGAGATCAGAAATGATAGTCTCTGTTTGACATGTCATACAATTCAAACGTTGTAGTACTTAATTCTTGGATTAAAAGGGTAATAGTAAGGATGGCAATATCAATGTAATTCATTCTGATCAAGTTGTCTTTTGCAATTTCATTCGATCACATGTTAGTTCTTAAAGAGCATTGAAAACTTCTTGGCTTTGTTGTAGATCAATTCTGTTTATTAAGTCGACTAACATCTGTGAGCAGCCTCCATTTTGATCTTATTAAGGGGGATTTGTGTCAATGCTTGCATAATCATGAACAATTTATTGTGGAAAGAATTTCTTAGGAGTTGTTTCATGCTATGAGATGAAGTTTCCCTTTTAATTCATTCTTCTGTACATCATTACTTGTGCATTCCTGATGGATTCTTGTTTGAGTCTCTATGCCTTGTCTTTTGTACTAGTGGGAATATCTGAATATCATTTGAGTGAATTGCAAAGAAGTTGACATTGCCCCATGCAATGTGAAGGTTGTCTTTGGCATATTGTTATTAGTTTCCCATTGGAATAATAATGTTAACCAGTGGTTTGATTCCTTTTAGTTTGTTTCTTAAAATTACAGATGTTGGGGTTTTTCCAACACTTCAAGCTGGTTCTTCATTATCACTCATTACTCTTTTGGCTGGTATGATCTGCAAAATTTCTCCTTAGCAATGAAAATTAAAGTTTTACGTCCTTAATTTTAATGAATTGTGGTTCTTGTTGTGATAGTTGTTGATGCGTGAACCAGTCTCAAAATCTAAGGCTGTTGTGGTTTCTGAATCCAACATGGGCACTGGACAAGTTGAAAATGAAAAGAGAAGAACTCTAGATTTAGTGACTGACGATATATGCAGAGCTCTGTTAGACACATCGTTTGAACGAATGCTGAAGAAAGAAAAAGTCCAATCTGCTGCAACACCAACTTTCGGAGCCTTGGAATTATGGACTGATGATTTTGACAGCAAAGTAGAATTCAGTCAATACCGTGCACGACTGGTATGTTTTATTTAGCAACTGGCTTTGCTTCCCTTCCATTTTGCACAATAAAAGCTTCTGTTGGTAACCATGTTTTTAGGAATTTTAACCTTTCTAGGTGAATATTACATGGGATTTTGTCTACTTCCTTAGATTATTCTTATCAATTGTGTCAAAGGTTTTGATGATTATGCCCTTTGTGGGAATAATGAAATCTGACAAGATATTTATGATGGAATAAATTAGAAATCGGTCAGGGCCATGCCAAAGAGACCCTGTAAAATATGAATATTGAACGGGGCTGTTTTAACATGCTGTTGAAATAGAACTTTCTCACTTTGCGAATATTTCCATTGTGATTGCTGCCAGAGTATATGGGAAATAGCTGGTATATTATTAGCTTATTCTTGTGCTTGTATCTACTAAGGTTTTCTATGATGCAGTTAGAATTGATCCGGCTTATAGCATATGAAAGGCCTCTCGTGGCTGCTGCTAAAGTTTCTGAAAGAATTACAGAAGTTCTAAGTCGTACTATAATTGTACCTGTACCTCCTAAAGTAAGTACCTCCATATTTAGTTATTGTACAATGTAATAATTTACTGAATTGAAATTGTCTCCTCTGATTAAATGCTAACTTTTTTACTTGTAATTATCTCATGGGTTCTTGAATTGCGAACAAAGGATATGGCCATGATAGAAAGCATGCATTCTGCTTTAGAAAATGTGGTCACTGCAATTTTTGATGGATCTAAAGACTACCGAAAAAATAGCACTGATGTCCAGCTTTCATTGCATCGAATATTTGAAGGTTGATCACCACCATACCATATGTATGAAGCTTTTTCTGTAGCCTCTGCCTTCTTATAATCTTGTTACACTCACATGCAGGTTTGCTTCAGCAGCTTATTTCATTGAAATGGACTGAACCAACATTAGTTGAAGTTCTTGGTCACTATATGGATGCATTGGGCTCTTTCTTGAGGTACTTCCCAGAAGCTGTTAGCAGCGTAATCAATAAGCTGTTCGAACTGTTAACGTGCCTGCCTGTCATGGTTAAGGTTGTCCTTGTGTATTCTTTTCCACTTAAATACTGTAGTACTCACCTTGCACGTGCTTAAAGTCATGTTTGATATCTGTAGGATCCTGCAACTAGCACTGCTCGCCGTGCAAGATTACAGATATGCACATCATTTATTCGAATTTCAAGGGCTGCCAGTGAAAGCGTCTTGCCTCACATGAAGGTAATCTGTGCACTTTTAATTGAAAATTAAATTTAAAGAATGTGCTCCATTACTGTTTTGATTGATTAGAATTATAAACTTGGGTGGTTAGAGCTTGCTATAATAATGGCATCGGACATCTTATATCTTATAATATAATGTTTGCAGGGGATCGCTAGCACTATGACATACTTGCAAACGGAGGGTGTTTTACTACGTGCAGAGCAAAATCTTCTAGGCGAAGCATTTCTAGTTATGGCTTCTTCTGCTGGGTAATCACTCTATCGAAAACCTAGATTTGTATGTTCCTTGTGACTATTCCTGCTTTTCGCATTTAAAATCAATCATTGTTAAACTTTTGAACTTGTTCAGCGTTCAGCAGCAACAAGAGGTTTTGATGTGGCTGCTCGAGCCTTTGAGTAAGCAATGGACTCAGCCAGAGTGGCAAGAAGCGTACTTGTCAGATCCATCCGGCTTAGTAAAGCTTTGTACAGATACGCAATTTATGTGGTCCATATTCCACACATTGACATTCTTTGAGCGGGCACTGAAGAGGAGTGGCTTTAGAAAAGGCAATTTGAGTTCAGAAAACGGTTCAAAAACAAATTCCCTTGGTGGGCACCCAATTGATTCGCATCTCTCGTGGATGCTTCCACCTCTTCTTAAAGTAAGGATGCAATGTTCTGATACCCTTATTCCATCAGAAACAACCAATCATTATTTAATTGTTGATTTTCTGATTGTGGCTTGTTTAAATGTTCAGCTGCTTTGCGCAATACACTCACTTTGGTCCCCGTCTGTTACGCAAGCTCTTCCTGGAGAAATGAGGGCTGCAATGGTTATGAGTGATTTTGAGAAAATTAATCTTCTCGGAGAAAGCAAACAAAAATTGCCTAAGGGAGGATTAACCTTCAGTGATGGATCTCACTTTGACTTTAACAAGGAAGCCTATCCAGAGCATAATGAAGCAGATATTCGGAATTGGCTGAGAGGGATCAGAGATAGCGGGTATGTATTCATAATTTGGTAAAATCCGCAATGATATTCTCTTGCGTTCACTGATCTAATTATGCCAATTTGGAAAGGCAGTTTTCTCTAACTATTTATCTCTTACCTCAGGTATAGCATATTGGGTTTATCTGCGACTCTCAAGGACTCCTTTTACAGACGTATGGATCCTCATTTTGTTATCTCGGCATTGGTGGAAAATATACAGTACATGGAGTTCAGGCACTTAAAGCAACTCCTACACCTGGCTCTAATTCCCATAGTTAGATGCTGTCCCACGGATCTGTGGGAGGTGTTACTGGAAAAACTCCTTCACCCATTACTCCTCCATGTCTCGCATGCTCTAAGCTCTTCATGGTCCAGCCTTTTACGAGATGGAAGAGCACAAGTTCCTGACCTTATTGGGATACTTCCTGGGCCGGACTTAAAAGTAGAAGTCATGGAAGAAAAGCTTCTCCGGGATTTAACCCGCGAAATCGGTTCCCTGCTATCTGTTTTTTCTTCTCCCGCACTTAATACTGGACTCCCGTCCTTAGAACAGGCCGGCCAAGTTAGCCACATGGATGCTTCTTCTTTGAGAGATTTAAACACCTTTGCTGCCAATTCGATGGTTGGGTATGTTCCTGAAACCTTATTTTTATTATTTATGCAAAGTTTCGAGTTTTAGCTTGTGGATAGGTTAATGTTTGGGCTGGTTTTTATGTTCTGCGCAGATTTATATTGAATCATAAGAGTCTTGCAATTCCAGTCTTGAAGATATGCATCGAATCATTTAGTTGGACCGATAGTGAAGCAATGACTAAGGTTTCTTCGCTCTGCGGGGTAGTGGTTCTCCTTGCAATCTTTTCGAACAATGTTGAGCTCAAAGAATATGTGTGCAGAGATTTATTTTCTGCTATCATCCAAGGCCTAACCCTCGAATCGAATGCTTTTATAAGCTCTGATTTAGTTGATCTCTGTCGCGAGATCTTTATTTATCTTTCGCATAGAGATCAGTCACCCAGGCAGGTTAGATGTGTAACAAATTTTTGTTGACTGCTGATGCTATATCTTTAAAGTCGAGAACTGACCACAATTATTGTTGCAGATTCTGCTCTCTCTGCCATGCATTACTCCACAAGATCTATTTGCTTTTGAAGAAGCTTTGTCGAAGACGGGTAGCCACAAGGAGCAAAAACAACATATGAAAAGTCTTTTAGTGATGGCAACGGGAAACAAGTTGAAGGCTCTTGCCGCTCAGAAGGGCTTAAATGTCATCACAAATGTTACAAGTAAGTGGTTTGCATTTGGACAATTATTTACCTTCCTATGAATCAGCTTGTTTCTAAATTGGCGAAGTAAATTATATATTGTGTAGTTTATATTAGATTAATCTTTTCTCATCGACAAATTCCATCCATAAGAACATGACATATGTGATATGTGTTAGGACACATCTATTTTTATAAATTTTAAGTTAAACCAACTTTAGTTCACAATTTGGTGGTAACGAGCTGAAACTTCGCATGCCTATTGGTATTTGGTTAACTGCGAGACAATCTCTATTAGTCATTAACGGAAACTGCATTTTGTATACTAAAACTTGGTCTACTTTGAGATTCTTCATAGAAAACTCCATATGTTCATCCTTCTGGATTTGCCATATACTCCAAATTTCGACATAATCCGTCCAAGGTGGTGTGTTTTTTGTTTTTTTTTTTTACCTTTGTTAAGACATTTTCATCTTCTCTGCAGCAAGACCACCACGCAATTTGGAAACTAATCCAGAATCTAGTCGGGATGAGGGGGAAACCATTGGATTGGCTGCAATGACATGAAATAGTCGGGTATGTCCTCGTTTTCTTTGCTATACTAAAAAATGCTGATCATGAAGAAACTTCAGTTTTCGGAGAGGTTAACAAAAATATCTGAGTCTATTTATTGGACACTTTTTAAGTTTCTAATCTCTGTGATCATATATGGTGTCTCACTGGAGCTTGTTATGTATATACTATCTGTGCTTAACTGAATAACCAATCATTTATTTATTTTTCTAATTTCAAAGTGCATTGGGTGATAAAATAAATATATATATATGTATTTCGAGTTTATTATGTATATATTTGCATAGCTGCTGCTGCGGCTGCTTCAAGCACAGTTGTAGTTTCTTTGTACATAGTAGAGCTGTTGGGCGAAAAGCTGGGCTGGTGAAGTGTATCATTCGTTCAGGTAATAAATCTATATTTTTATTAAAGTTTTTGAATTATATAATGGATATAACTTGAGATTGTTAAGAGTGTTAGTGTGGGACTAAGTATGAGATTATAACTCAGAATTCTTTTCGTGTTTATTTATTTATCTAATTATTGGGTGTTTCAGTGATTTAAACGTATATTTATGTTCCTTTTTTAAAATATTTTGAAATTTTGAGTTTTTTTGAAAATATTAAAAAATAGATGTTTTTATCCAAGATATATATATATATATATTCTTACATTATTCTCAAGGTTTGTTCACATATAGTAGTATTTTTTTATATATATTATTTTGTTAACATTAATTTTTATTAATTTTATTTTTTTTAATCTAAATTTATGTTTTTTTTTTTGTCATAAAAAAAATATTTTTTTTTTAAGTAAAAAATACCAATTTTATATTTTTTTAACTGAAAGAAAATATTACTTCATCCATTTTTATTTTAAAGTATTCATTTCTGTTAATATTTATTTAAATTTCAAATATATCATTAATACATACAATTATTTTTTACATTACTATAAATTCCCAAATGGCCCAGAACATGACTAAAGTCCTGGTCATGTAATGATTTTTTACTTAATGTCAAAAAGGAAAAATGAATATAGATTTAAAATATATTTCATTCATTTATAAAAAATTAATAATTTAATTTAAAATAGTGTTTTATCTGTCTCTCAATACAATGGTTTTAATTATATTTTTGTCTGCAATCTTATTTTTATTATAAAAAGTTTTATTATTATTTTTTTGCCAGACTATTCATAAAAAAATATATATAAAATAAACAAACCCTCAATTGATATTATAAAAATGTACTCCTTCTGTTCCAGATACCGTCAGTCTCACCTACCTGATATCCGGGAGGGAGTATTTTTTATTTGTCATTCAAATTTATGTATTTCTTTTTAATAATTACAAAAAATGTATTTTTATTTTCATTTTTTTGCAAAAGGTATAGTTTTTGTATATATATATATATCTATTTTTCATTGAACCACATAATTAGATAATAAAAATATACATATATATATATATACACTAAGTTCACACCATAGGTATATACTTACCTTAAAAAAGTTGAATAGATGAGAAAGAAATGTATATTTATTTTTGTTATTTGTGATATGATAATGATGTATTTTTCAATTTATTTGAAAAATATTGCAAGAAAGTGACGTGGGACATACGGAAGGAGTAGTATAAAAATAAAATTGATATTTCGCCATATACAATAAATTATTATTTTCATTAAAAAATTATATTTAAAATAATTGAACATATTGAAAATATGGCGACCAAAATTTTGGATTAAATCAGACATAGTTAACGTACATATATAAAATAAATTTAAGAATCAAATAATCAATTAAGAACATGTACCAGTCAAAAGGATCGGATTCTCAGAACTGCGTAAGGCGCAAAAAGTAAAGGCTCGATCCGAAAAAACATATCATATTAATTGTTCAAGCAATTGAAACGCCAGAAATTCAATTCCAGCCAGAAATTTCAATCAATCTCCGTAGACGACGTGCAAAGGAAGAGATTAAAGCAATTGAAACGCCAGAAATTTCAATCAATCTCCGTATACGACATGCAAAAGAAGAGATTAAAGCAATTGAAACGCCAGAAATTCAATTTCAGACAGATATCGCCAAAATGCAGTTTCAATCGGATCTCCGTAGACGACGTGCAAAAGAAGAAATAGAAGATTAAAAGCCAGAAATTCAATTCCAGACAGAAATCGCCAATGCATTTTCAATCAATCTCCCTAGACGACGTGCAGAAGAAGAAATTAAAGCTAAAAGCAGCTAAAACAAACCGTACGCACGCAAAGTAGGAGCATCACGCATTTGCGCGCTGAACCGCCCTCATAAGCAAGCTGTCTCCCTGGAGAATAATGCATACCGGCGAATTTCCGATTCCGCGCGCCTTCGCGAGCATGACCTCCTTCGTGAGCTCCGCAAATTCCTCCGGATCGATCTTGCCGTTCCGATCTGCGTCGAACTTCTCGAACAGCACGTCGTACAAAGCGGTGATTTCTTCCTTCGATTGCAACTCGAATTCCGACGAGGCGAGCTTCCCGGCGCGCTTCTGCAGTACGTCTCTGGACAGAACACCGTCGCCGTTCGCATCCAGCGATTTGAACTTCTCGTTCACCCATTTCTGAAACGCTGTGGCGTCGTTCACGAATGCGGTGACCGTCGGACCGTCGATGAATTCTACGCTCATTTTACCGCCTGTAGCGTTGTTGTCTCGAAATCGGTGGGCGTGCGCGCGGCGGAGGGAATGGAGATCGGAAAATGTCCGTTCGCCGATGGAAAGCAGTTTTTGTGTCGAGTGCTGGGGAAGGAAATGGTTATAATTAATTAATTAATTAATTTGCCCACACAACCTATATATATATATATATAGGTAGGCGCTGAAAGCGTGTTTTGTGGTGGCGGAACTCGTTTCACGTTTTTAGGTCTACGTGGGCCGTCGTTTCACGCTTTTAGAGGTGGCCCAGCAGTTTTCCCAATTTTTATGGGAAGATAATAAACTACACCATCTATGATCTATTTTCAATATAGTTTCAAAGGGTGGGTGTGGGTTTATTTGGAATTTGACCACTTGTATTTTTACATATTTAATTTTTATAAACTAAAAATAATTATTGAATATTTTGTATATAAAAAAAATGTATTTTAATACGCAGAGTGAACCATTTCAATTCTAATAGTTAGAGTGTGATGAGCATGTATAATATCTAGATCAGTTAAACTATTCTTATAATTTATACAAGTCAAAGATATTCCACTTAATGTCAATTAATTTTAATTTAAAACCTCCAATCTTCTCTTAATATTTACACAATTTCTCATATTTCTTCATTGTTTAATAATTTTAATAGATTAAAAATAATTTAATTTATTTAATTGTTAACTGTTGAGATTGATTTCAATGTGATTAAATTTGAATTTTTAACATACTAATCTGATTGTTTATTAAATACTTTATTCTATTTTAAAAAATATTCATGTTTTATTGTCAAGTTTTACTATCAGATTATTATTTTTACATCAATCTTTTCACAAATACTCGAGTTTTACTATTAAATTATTTTTACACTATTTTTAATAAGTCATTACGATCAATTTCCAAGTAAACAAACAAAGACGTTGAAATTTTGACAAGAATTAAGACATTGGCCTACAAATTTAGGAAGAAAAAATAAAAATTTGTTGTCGATCCTAATTTGAAGGATGGAAATTCCATGACAATATGGAAGATTATTGGCCCCTCGTTGAGTAAGAATTTCTTACATACACAAATACTACATCGACCAAATTTAGACAACATCTGACTCTTATAATTATATATATATATATAATACACTCTCACCCAAAAACACTAAGAATAATAATAATAATAATAATAATAATAAACAACGGATTCCTATAATTTCTTCAAATCATCGTTACTATTCACACAAACAATTAATTATTCATCCATCAACATTATCTACATACATATATAGAGAGAGAAATAGAAATATCAATTAGTGAGAGAAATTAAAATGAGCCAAGACCAACCCGGCAGGCCGCAGCAGGCGGCGGAACACGGCGGCGGCGACTCGGCGCTGCAATCGGCCGCCGCCGAGGTCTTCGGTTTGCTGTCCACCAACACCAGCGATGTACGTTAATTTTGTAATGTTAGTTTCGCGTCCATTTATTTATTCTTTTATCTTCTTTAAAAACATTTGAAATTAATTATATATTATAATGATGGGGATTTTATGATTGGTGGGCGAATTAAAGGTTGCGGGGCTGACGCAATTGCAGCAGCGCGGAAATATCACTATCGGCGAGGCGCTGGAGGCCACGACGCTCACGGCGGGGAGCTACCCCGTCGGCTACAGCGACGCCGCCGCCATCCAGGCGGCGGAGGTTAGAGCAACCGGCCGTACCAACATTGTGCCCGGCGGCGTCGCCGCCGCCGCCCAATCGGCTGCCACGCGTAATGCTAGGATCACACGGGATGCTGAAAAGACAAAACTCGCCGAGGTTCTTTCGGTAAGAATTTTATTTTTACTATTTTTTTTATATAATTTATTCCCTCCGTCCATTAGTTTATTTGGGCTCCGTACAAAAAAAAAAATTGAATATTTTATTAAAAAAATAATAAATAATCAAGATATTTTTTGAACTTTAATTAAAAGAACACAATTTTAGAGATTTTTTGTCCTAAAAGTTTTGTTTTGAAAATTTTGTTTATGTGAGAGATACAAAATTATATGAATAAAATAAAAAATATATATATATTGAATATTAATAAAAAATATATATTGATGAATTATGTAAAAAAAATCTTATACAAATTAATCCCTAAATGATATATTAAAAAATTGTGATGATAGACTCTTGACCATAAAATTATGACTTATGATTTCTTTATTTTTTTATTTTTCTCTCTGTGTTGCAAGATATATGGTATTTTTTATATACACATTAAAAATTAGTAGTATTTAAACGTAATTGGTGATATTTTTATAGCAAAATTTTTTTGCCATGTTTTAATTTGATGTAATAATATTAATGTAAATTATCATAAATTTAAAGTTACTTATAATATAAAGTGCGGTCAAATTTACTAAATAAAATGTATACCTTATTATAAGCTAGACAAAATCACGACAGAAATAAAAAATTATTATTATTATTTTTATTATTATAAAAACATATGTTATCAATTTTATTTTTTTTTATAAAACATATGCTTAGTGCGTTCTTATTGAGGTATGAAAAATCATACTAATATAATAGAGAACGATATTTTATGTGTTTTTAATAATTTGTATTAGTGTGTATATATTGAATATTGTAGTTTTATAGCAATATTTTTTAAAAATTATATTAAAATAAACGGTTGAATAAATACATAAACCTATTTTCGAAATATATTAAGCATTAATATATACTCGATAAAAACAAGTAATATTTGTCTTTTAACGTAGAATTATATATTATGAACACACAGGATGCTCGGGCCAAGCTACCATCGGACAAACCGGTGACCCGCCGTGATGCCGAAGGAGTCATTGTAGCCGAGCTGCGGAATGATCCCAACCTTTGTACCCGTCCCGGTGGTGTCGCCGCCTCCATTGCCGCCGCCGCAAGGCTTAACCAAAATAATGCTCATTCCAATACCAAAAACAACAACAATGCTAGTAAATAAATACAAATGTTTATATTATATTAATTTGCTATTTTGTTTTATATTTTTTTTTTTACATACATTTAAAAAAAAATAGTATGTTTATTTACGTATAGGTAAATCTCGTTTTAATCGAGCAATTAATGTTGTAACAAAGATTTTAGCATTGTTATAAGTTTATCTAGCAATTTTATCAATGTATTCAACATATTTAAATAAATCGAATAAATACAACAAACTTCACGATTTAATCTGTGTTTGTTCGGGGCATTGGATTTAATATACATTCATTCCATTTTTTTCCCCCAAAAACATCAAATCAAACACCTATTTTTTATTTTTTATATTATACTTAAAAATTAATTTTACGTTCAAAACATCACATCTACACCCATTTATATCACATCATGTAACTATTCAAATTCAAAATTTTTTATATTTAAATATCAACTCAAAATCCAAACCCCCAAACAAATACAACCGAAGGGAAATGAAATGTTGGTTGATTGTAATTCTAGTTATATTATAATATATATATATAAATAAAAATAAAGTTAAAATATTTTAAAATCATGCATCATAAATTATATACCACAAATAAATAAAAGTGTCTTAAGATTATGGGTTCAAACTTTGACACATCCGGTGTCCATCTGCTACACATGATTCGTAGTATGACTTGTCTTGTCGAACCTAGTTTGCATTGAACTTAATAGTATTTAAATTATACTCGACTAAATAAAAATATATAATTGTGTTGTATAAATGTATTTTATATGTTATAATAACTGTTAATGATGATGTCTTTTTTATTATGATAAGTATTATCCGTTTATATGTTAAATTTATATTATATTAAAATATAACATATAATAAATATCATAATAAAAGAGAATACAATTTAGGGTGTGTTCGGTTGAGAGATTTAGACAAAATCTTACTATTCATCCAAAATTTTTCCTCAAAAAACATCAAATCAAATACCTATTTTTTATTTTTTATATTATACTAAAAATCAATTTTACATTCAAAACATCACATCATTACCTATTTATATCACATCATACAACTATTCAAATTCAAAATTTTTACTATTCAAATCCCAACTCAAAATCCAAACCCCCAAACAAACACACCCTTATAATTGATTTCAACACGTGTAATGTTACTACGAGTTTATTCCGCTTCTTTCGAGACCATTATTTTTTTTTAAGTAAATTGATAGTTTGGTTTCATTTTTACATAAAACTATATTGATGATGCTATTAAAATATTTGAGAAAATTCCAAAGAGAATGATAATAAATGTTTATATTGCATATTTAATACTATTTTTCGTTCCCCGTTTCATTTATTTTTTGCGTGTTGATATTTGAATATTAATTATTATATTAAAATGTAGTACAAATTAAGAAAAAATTCTAAAAAATATTTTAATCAGTGTTTTGTCATATATAAAGATATTTTTAATGTTAAATATAATGTAAAAGGTAAATGTGTCGTTTAAAGACGGAATGAGGGAGTATTAAATTACTTATAGAAATTTTGTAATTCAAACGTGTGTTTAATCGGAGGTTTAAGAATTACTTTAGACACTTGAGAATTACAATTTTAAATTAGATTAAATATTTGATATATAATACTATAAATAAGTACCGATATTTTTTAATATAAAATTTTAAATATCGATTAATTAGTTTTGGTTTTTTTTTTTTTAAATCAATATTCAATTTGATTTATTTTTAAAATACTATTTAAATTAAAATTTAAATTGAAGCCAACTATTAACTCTATTGTGACTTGGGTTGAAGTTTAAAATTGGAGTCTTACATTTATAAAATTTGAAATTGAAATAGTACTATTTCATTTTAACCTAAATGGTCCTATTTAGTTTAAATACTAAATTTTATGCATTGTGTAATTAACAAGTAATTAAAAAATGTATTAATAAAAATAATTATAATTTAATAATAATAATTATAAATTAAGATTAGAATGAGTAAATAGTTTAATTAAAATAAAAATTTATAAATTAAAAATTTTAAAATATGATTAAAGTGTATAATTATATTTTTTAAAAAATAAAAGAATAAATTATATGAGACGAACACTATAATATACAATCCAGTAGTATATATATGATATTTTAATTATAAAATTTAATTTTTAATATAAATTTAAAAATAAAAAATAAAATTTTGATTTATTTTGATTTACATTTTTGTTATATAAATAATAAAAATATGGTTAAAAGGCTACACCAAAAACCGAGTCATAATTTAACAAATGACCTATGTACGTATATATTTGTGTGTGGGGAGAGCTCACGTGGCGAGCACGTGTTTCTTCTTCTTCTTCCTTAGTTCTCAAGCGGACGGGCAGAGTAGATGCAAACGCAGATCTGTTTTCCTACAATGTCATCTCCCACCCGATGAACCTCACACCCAACCAACCATCGGAATCGGAATCAGTAATCGGAATCTCTCCTCGATATAACTCACTGAAGTGAAACTAGCAGTGCTTTCGACCGAGGATGGCGGCTTTCATGGCGGCCTTAGAGTCTGATCTCAGAGCTCTTTCTGCGGAGGCTCGCCGCCGTTATCCTTCCGTCAAAGACGCCGCCGAACATGCAATTTTGAAGGTATTTCTATTTATCCTTTTTTGTTGCCTGTTGTGTCTGCGGCAGAATTGGTTGTTTATCTGAATTATTCACTGATACAAAAAAGGAGAAATGCTAGTACTTGGAGCTTTCGATGTGGAACTTTAGTATGTGCTGGGGTTTTATAGTTTAACTGACGATGGAGTTTATGTAAATGTTCAGCTTCGATCGCTGGCGAGTCCGGACGAGATTGCTCATAACGAGGACATAGTGAAGATATTTGTAATGGCTTGTGAAGTTAGGAATGTTAAGCTAAGTGCGATTGGTCTCTCATGTCTGCAAAAGCTTATTTCTCACGATGCTATTCCCCCTTCTGCTTTGAATGAAATTCTTGCTACCCTAAAAGATGTGAGTTACTTAAGACTTTCGTTCTGATTTCCATACTCTGTGCGCTGAGTTAGTTTCTTAAAGTATTGTTATTGTTTTGTTTTATGTTATTTTCTAAATCTGTTGGGATAATAAACTTAATCTATTCATATCTCATATTCACATTTTTTTTTTTTTTTTCAGCATGGCGAGATGGCAGATGAGAGCATTCAACTTAAAACCTTGCAAACTATACTAGTAATATTTCAATCTCATTTGTTGCCAGATAATGAGGTAAAGGTCAATTTATCAGTGCAAATTCGTATTTCTTGTTAGCATCGTTGTATCTAAAAAGGATAATATCTATGGACATAACATGTAAGGTTAGGAGGAAGCTAATCACCAACTACTGGAGAGTGAACCTAATCTATAACCTGGAAGTTTTGGATGGAATTTAGTTAAGATGGCTGTGGATGTTTGTTGTAAAATTTGATGGCATTGCTCTATGGAACCCTTCTTATGAGACGAGTGTTAAGATCATCTGTTCCTGTATATCATCAATTATATGCATGTTCTTTCAGTTCCAATATCTTTGATCGCTGCTGAGTTGTTACACCTGTCTGGATTTTGCTTATTGAACATATTGGGTGTGTTTACTTGTGAGGTTTTAGTTTTGGGTTTTGATTTTGATTTTGATTTTGATTTTGAATAGTAAAATTTTGAATTGAAATAGTTGTTTGATGTGATATAAATATGTGTTGATATGATGTTTTGAATGTAAAATTAAATTTTAGTGTAATAAAATAAATAAAAATTGGGTGTTTGATTTAATGTTTTTTGAAGGAAAAAAAAGTTGGAATAGTAAAATCAGGTGTAAAACCTGACAAGTAAACACACCCAATATCTACGATATAAATAATGATAACAACCACAAACCAGTGGCACCGTATACATAATGCTTTCACTGAAGTTAGACAAAAAAGACTTTTTCATATCAATGCATTGTGGCATGATCATAATATATTACTTTTAACTAACACTGGTGTGCATCATATCTTTGTCTTCAATTGTGGATGTTTGAAAATGGTCTTTTACCTTATTAATCCTTGAATAATATAGAAGGCTACATATTTATTTGATTCATATATGCATATATATATATATACACATTATGTTCTAGGGGTTTAGGGTTTAGATCTTAGAATTATTGATAATATTATTTTGCCTATTGGGATGGAGAAGTTTAGAAATGGCATATTAGTCTCCGTATGAGACTTATCAATAGGGTGGTCCAAGTCTGGGATTCTTTTAATAGGCTATCCTTCTCACATTATCTTGTTGACTGCAATTCAGATAGGATTCTTTTGGAAGCCAAATCTGAAAGGGGCTTTCCCTTGCCATTACCATTAGACACCTGATTTAAATCCCCATCAATTTTGGCCCCCTTATCGCATTATCTAGTCTTCCAATGTACCCACAAAGTCAATACCTTTGTTTGGAAGCTTCTCCATGGTGACCTGCCAATCTAATGTCTTTTATCTTCTAGGGGTTACTTATGTCCTCTTTGCCACCTCCACGGAAAAACAATCAATCATCTTCTCCTCCACTGTCAGCTGGTGTCCTATATTTTGATTCAATTTATTTGCCTTTGGGATTTCTCTTGGTTTGGCCTTTTTGAGGGCATGATCTCTCCCAATGGGATTGTTTTTTTATGGCGTCAACCTTCATTTCTTGGGGTAGTATGCAAAGCCATTCTTTGGGAAAAGTGACATCTTGAGATACTGTTGTCTTGGATAATGAAGCTTTCTCATTAGAACAGGTCAGCTCCAACAGCTCACTGTCAAAGTGTGGTACAGAGCTCATTTTCTAGCCATGGTCATTTCTCTTTCTTCTTTGATAAATGATAATCAAGGCATGTTTCATGGTCATTCTAAACCTACAATGACTAAACCAATTGTCTTGGGGAATCTTCCGAATCTACCTTGGGGGAAAATGAACACAGACGCCTCAGATTTTGGTAAACCCTGACCGGGTAGAATTGCAGCAATTATTAGAGATCACCATGGCCATTTCCCCTTCATTCTTCCCAAATTTATTGGCATCAAGGATTCAAATGCGGCTGGAATTCTAGCAATTTGTACACCTTCAGTGTGGTACAAATGGGGATGTAAACTTTTATCTGTTTGGCTTTAAATTGTCACACTTTTCTACTGTTTTCACTAGGCACTGCGTATCTAATATTTTTAATTATCAATAAAATATTTCTATTTTCCAATATATATATATTATGTACTAGTTGAATGATGTAACATAATAGGTGCCAGGTGGCTTGGTGCAAAGTATATACTCTTGGCTATGTGCATATTTAAATATGAGTGCCTCTACATATAGGCTTAAACTTGAATATAAAAAAGGTTATGATTGGATTATAATTAAATTATGCAGTTTTAAATTTTACTAGATTTATCTGTTGTTTCTCATTGATTCATGAGATCTGATATTAGAATCCACATCTAATGCTGTCAACTGTTGTTTCTATGAATGCATACAGATCATTGAATTTGCATATATGGATTTTGTTTTAACTTTTCGCTACTGGCAGGAGAACATGACTCTTGCTCTTGGTATCTGTCTTCGTCTCCTAGAAAACCATAGGTCATCCGACAGTGTTAGAAAGTAAGTGACTATTGAATTGTGCCGTTGATAATTTTTCCTGCTCTTGCCTTTTGTGCTTTTCTTATATAACTGATCAATAAATACTAGTTTTTTTTTTTGTTTTTTTGTTTTTTTGTGCCTTTTATCAGCACAGCTGCAGCAACCTTCAGGCAAGCAGTGGCACTGATATTTGATCATGTTGTTAGCTCAGAGTCACTGCCTGCTGGCAGATTTGGCTCTGGAGGATATGTTTCTCGGACAAATTCTGTTACTAATGATGTCAATCGCAACATAAAACGCCTAGAGTATGTGATTTTCATTCATTGAATAATACTCACTACCATAGATTTTGTACATCTTACCAACTAGTAGTAGTACATGTTTATGCAATTTAGTTATATTTTTAGCATTATCTTTCAGTTATATAAGTATTTAGTGATTCCACATGCATGCAAGTTTGAATGAAAGGTCATTCTTCCATACTTCCAAGTCTTCTTATAGGTGATTAAATTATGCATGAGCAGGTCACTGGAGTTGGAAGTTGTTTCTGGAGGGTCATCATTAAGAAGGACTACTCTTTCCAATTCGGGGAAGCTTGGCCTTATCTTGCTTGAGGACTTGACAACTCTTGCTGCAGGTGGATCTGTATGTGCTAAAATAAATTAATTTACATCTTTTTTTTTTTTTTTCTTGATCTTCAATATTAACTCCTATCATTGCCAGCTGAAGTGGATAGTTTTTTTCTAGAACTTATGCTACCTGCTGTTCATCTGGTTGTAATGCTTGTGTTTTTGTTGGGTTTTTCAGGCTACCTGGCTACATGTTGGTTCCATTCAACGGTCATTTGCACTTGATTTAATTGAGTAAGGATTTTATTATTGTACAATTATATATATTCAGTTAAGTCTGGTGCCACCATGTTCAAATGCTTGCCTCAACTATCTCTAAATAAACATATATATATGTGTATATATCTATATTGTTGATGGAGATGTTTTTGTGATGTCTGTCCACTCATAATTTTAGGGAGACAACTGCTTGAAGTTTTCTCCTTAACTTGTTTCCAATATTGTGTTATTTTTTCATTCGCATTATGCACATTCCTTGTATTACCGGGGAAGTTTAGTAACAACCAATCTAATATAGCAGTACATCTTGTTATTTATTTATTATGGCATTTAAGGTTCATGGGAGAGCTGTGATGGAAATAACTAAGTTCAAAATTTTCTCAACTAAGAATGAACTTCAATTTTCTATCAAGAACATTATAAATTTCTCCTGTATTCATTAACCGTATAGTACACTTATATACCCAATCAATGTGACCCTACGAAAGGAAATCAGTTTAACTACATGGTTTCTGTATATACATATATTAACGTACATTATTTCTCAGTCTAACTCTAGCTCCACTGAAGGCTAATGCTAAAGTACCTCCAACTTCTTCAGTTTTCACATAACCTGCATTCATATCCTCTGTTAGGTATTCGTCTAGTGGAGTGTCAATCAACTTCTATAGTCTCTGCTCATGAAACCCCAAATGTGAGGCTATGCAGAGTGTTCCCTAATTATTACACCACAATTTGGTTGGATGTGATCTTAATGCCTACATTAGCTAGAAGTTGATGCATCCAAAGTATCAATACTCATAGTAGCCTTGTCACTTGCACAAGATCAATTAGACACTTCTTGCTTTTTAATGACAGTTGATTTCCTCCAAAAATTTTACGAAGTCAGTTGTTGGCTTCCTACCTGACTTTGAATTTGCCCAATTTGTATCCAAGAAGAATCAATTTATTATGCTAACTTATACAACATTCCCAATCAAGGGAACTTTTAGGCAATGTGGAGTTGTTTTAGGGCATTCCATTGATGAACTGTGTCAGTAACCACGCTAATACAATAGGAGTCTTGGCGATGTAGGAGTCTGAATACTTGTTATTCAGCACTTGTGGAATGGGTGTGGGCTTTGGTTTGAATCCCATTTGATATTTATCAGAAGCTGTGCAATTTGTTACAACTTATGAATAACAGCTTTTAGAAGGATGATTGAACAGGTGATTATGAGTATGAATAACTCATTCTTTTGAACGGAAACATTTCAGGTTTGTATTATCTAATTATGTGGTGCTCTTCAGGACCTTAATCCCTTTTGAACAGGTATTGGCATTGCTTTTAGAGTTTGTATTTCTGCATTTGACTCGTTACTAATAGGTTGTTGAAACAACAGGTTCAGCGTCACCAACTATGCTCACTTCTCATTACATCACTTCGCACTAACTCTGAGGTGGTTTTAACCTTTTCAATTCATAAACATTGTCGACAATTTTCCACAATTAAATTATCATTCTGAAGATCACAATTATATATTTTTTTACTTGATTTTGTTGTTAGATTGAAGGTGAAATAGGAGAGCCTTATTATCGCCGCCTGGTCTTGCGGTGTGTAGCCCATATCATCCGACTTTATAGTTCATCTCTTACTACTGAATCTGAGGTACTATATTACTCATCTTTATAAAGAATTTCCATTTCATAGCTTTGTTAAAAGGAAAATGTATCTAATTGTACATACTGCCCCTAAAATGCTTCATGCTGTGTTCGACAGTATTGTAGGCAGATTAAAATATGATGACGGTTGATCCCATTTCTTAGTCTTTTCGACATTGGAATATTAGAGGAAAAAAAATTGTGGTACCTATGTGTTTAACAAATTGGCACATCATGCAAATTTTGAGTATAATGAATAGAAGTTCCTCTTTCATTTTATTGATCATACAATAGTTTCTACTTGTGTCAAACTTATGGTTTGTTTACTTGTAGTGACTTCATTGATGGTGCTCTCCAGTCTAACTCTGTTGAGGCATAAATAAAGCAAGCCATTGAGGGTGGTCTATATTAGTTTAGTGTTGATGTTTGACAGTTGCCTAAAGATATTGTATACCAATAAATGATTAAAGGATGCTAGCTTTTGGTTACTTGATGTTAGCTACCAACCTCTTATGACATGGACATTGTCACATCATATATTCACCTACCTATAACAATTTGAAAATTAATTTTCTTTCTTAGCAAAGAAACAGTTTAAAGGCTTGAAGTCATTTTTATAAACTCATCCCAGCTTATGTTTATAGGTGTTTCTCAATATGCTATTGAGGACTCTATCTCTTGATTTACCACTTTGGCATCGGATTCTTGTACTTGAAATCCTGAGGGTAAGGCCAAATCCAACAGCTTAGAAATTAAAGTTTTTTATTCATTTGCTAAATGTAGCTTAATTGATTTAAGCTAATTATTTGTAGGTTTGAATTGACAGGGCTTTTGTGTAGAAGCACGCACCTTGCGCATTCTTTTTCAGAATTTCGACCTGTAAGGAAATAATGCACTTAATGTTTTAATATTTATTTATTGAGTCTTAAACCCTTTTCTTCTGTCCCATCCAAACATCTGAGAGATCGCAATAGCATATTCTTTCTTATGATGGGAGTAGAGTTTCATAATAATCCCCTGGGTTGAAATTGATGGGATTTGGGTTATTTCTGTTTTAGAATGGCCCGCGTGCTGTATCATTTTGCATTTCCTTGGTTGGGTCTACCACTGTAAAATCTTTCCATATCTAATGAATCAATATACCTCTTTTCCTCAAAAAAATAAAAAAGATGATAGCATCGAAAATCTCTCAGGGCTTTCAGCTGTGTTACCTTCTTCTTCTTCTTCTTATTTTTTTCATGACCTTGGAATTGGAATGAAAATGAGGCCATATTTTTGGAATAATAGTACTTTTAAGCTTGGTTCACAGAAATCCTTATTATTATTTTTTTGCTTAGTTTGTGCATGTTTTCCTGTGCTGAAAGCCTTGTATACTCTAAAGTGAGATACTGTTACTTTTTATTCTTAGTTTTTGTTATGTCATGGCTCCTTCTCTTCTTTGTTATGTTTTTGCTTCCATGATTTGTAATTTCTTGAAAGTTTTGCTGTGTTAAAAAGGATTAAACCTTTTAATGACACATGCAATGTCATAGTTGTCTTTCTAATTTGCTCCTTTACCTTATTCTTGTTTTATTCCCTTATTTTTTTTTTTCCAAAATAAAAAGTCCTGAATGTATTTCTGCGACTTAGGCAAACATCAAATTATGAATCGAGTCTTAACTGGATGTTTCATGTTTTTATGTCCGATTACAGCTTTTGTCTCTGCTTGTTATTTTCATTCTACATCCTTTATATGCTCGCAATTTTTTGATGTGTATTGTAGACATCCTAACAACTCAAATGTGGTTGAGGGAATGATAAAAGCTCTTGCAAGAGTTGTCTCCAGTGTGCAGGTGAGAGATCCATTTCTTTTTTTTTTTACATTAATTCTGTTGGTCACATTTAGTTTATGTTTGACATACTTTGGCATATTATGGTGTGTTGAAACTGAAAGTGTGGAATTAATGTTGGGATTTGTTTGAAATTAGTTTTTACTAATTTACTGAAAGATATCAGAAAAGTGCTGATTTACATTGATGAAACTAGAAAAGCTTGTGTTGGCATCTATTTTCTCCTCAAGCTGAGTTCTTGTACAAGTTCAAGCTTGATTTGAGCTTTTATCAACTGTGCAGCTAATTTATCCAATTGCTTCATTATGATATCAGTATTTAGATAAATTTCATGACTTAGACAGTTGAATGTTGGAGATAAATTTAGTGATAACAACATTATTGAAAGATAACTACATTGCCAATTTAGTTGATTGTCTTCACTCAATGAAGTAACTGTAGGTACCTTCGGGCACCATATTGTGACTTTAATTGTTATTATATGGGCAGGTAATATGTGTTGGTTGAGATGGTGCCTTTGTGCTTTGGATGGAAAATCCTATTCCAAAATCATTATGTATCTTCTTTGTCATTCTCTTATTTGTGGAATTGGTTTATCCTTCTCACTCTCAGTATTCATGAATTCATTTAAATGTTTCCATTATGCTACAGTATCTTGAAACTGGTGAGGAGAGCCTTGCAGCTGTTGCTGGAATGTTTAGCAGTAAAGCCAAAGGTGATATATTCCTTTAGACTTATTAAAAAATTAGGGGCTTTCTTTTGAGGTGCTGTTCTTGAATGCTTGAGTTACTAGTCACCTGTCCTTATGAAAATTCCAGAGTAAGAGTTAACTAGAGTGTCTGCTCAAGCTTTGCCTCAATTTCCCTGTTTTTGTCCTACATTGATCTGGTAGGTCGAACCATTGATACGAAAGCAATATTTATTTTTGAAGAAATTAAATGAAAGCAATAATACAAGAATCTCCTCCTATTCTGTAGGAATATTCTCCTTATCGCTTGCTAAAAGGGCTGAATGACAAACGGCTTATTTATAAGGGAAGATACCTAACCTTAAAAAAAGACTTATCCGAAGCATAGAAAATCTAACTTGAGGGACTTCTATCAAACTTAAAATATTGTTAGTCATGGACTTCTTTTCCGCACCAACTTGATTAAAATTATTTGATAACTTAACATCTCTTAACCCTAATGGGTCAGCCTTAACACTCGACTCCCTTACATCCATCCACTTGGTATGAAGGCTTAAAAAATATTTCTGCAGAAAGGCTGAAATGGCCTGCTAATACTTGTTAACCCATCTCCTTGTAATTGGACTAGCTGGCTAGTGATTCACTACATCGGTGACCCTTTTGCCACCTTGGAAGTCCGTCCCTCATCTTACACTTCTATTTCTAAAGATCCTAAGTATGTAGATGTGTTTTTATCCCCATTCTGCTCATGCTCACATTCTATATTGATGTCCTATCTGTAACCATAATTGAACAATGTGGCGAAAGAATATCTGAATCTTTTTATCATGTTGCCAGGTATTGAATGGAGCTTGGACAACGATGCATCAAATGCAACTGTCTTGGTTGCAAGTGAAGCACATGCTATTACGTTGGCAATTGAGGGTCTACTGGGGGTAGTTTTTGCTATTGCCACCTTAACTGATGAGGCAGTGGATGATGGTGAGGTAAGATATAAATCTAATACCCTTTTCTATTACCTCTTTTCCTTCCTTCCATAAATATCTTAAAAACCGTGTTTCTTGTTTTGTGTTTTATGTTGGAACAATCAGCTTGAATCCCCCAGATGTGATATAGATCCACCCAAATGTACTGGAGTAACTGCAACTCTTTGTATGTCAATGGTTGATTCAACGTGGTTAACAATCTTAGATGCTCTGTCGTTGATTCTGATGAAGTAGGTTGAGAATATATATATATATATATTTACTATGTCATATGATAACCTAAAATTTGTCAATTCTGACATGTAGTTCTTGCTGTAGGTCTCAAGGAGAAGCTATTATACTGGAGATCTTGAAAGGATACCAAGCATTTACTCAGGTGATCTTTTTTACAAGATATTATATCCTTATGAGTTATGACTCTAGTGTGTACATGTATGTAAATAATTTTCAGTTTTTCTATTACTACAGCCTAAGTTTTTCTAGCCATAGGCCTTACTGAACTACAAAGTACTAACAGTAGCTATATGAAGGTATTATAGCCATGTGGCTACAGACTAGTGTTAATGCACTTCTAACGTGTTAATTCATGGCAAAGAGAGATATACTGATATCTATCGCTTAGATTAATAAATCAGTTTGAGCTAAGGAAAACCTTTATTGAGCTAGGGTAACTACTAAAAAAATTGCAGTGCGTTAGAGTTATATTTAATCTTGTATTATAAAGCTGATGATTCAAGACCTGTTGAGAATGGGTTATTAGTCTTGCAACCTATATACAGGACCAGTTAGGTTACTGTTAAACTTGTATTTTGCTTGTGGGTTTCTCAGATCACCTTTTTCTCTATATGCAACATTATGTGTATGCTGCCTTGCTGAATAATACTCATTTTTTCGTGCAGGCATGTGGAGTTCTCCGTGCTGTCGAACCTTTAAATTCATTTCTTGCATCCCTTTGCAAGTTCACTATTTATATGCCCAATGAAGCTGAAAGGAAAGGGTATGCGTTTTGAGTAAAGATGACAATTATGGTTCATTTAAAATACCCTGCCTTTTCTTTTTGGGTTAAAAGGGATTTCTTTTGCAACCTTTCTTAAGATCACTGGTTTCCTGGCTTAGATTGTTGCAGCTCACCTACATGTGTAGCGCTCACCCTCTTAATGATGAATACAAGAAATAGGAACCGGGGTTGGAAATACATATGAGTATGATAGAAGTTGGAACTTTTATTGATAGAAGAGTGAAAGGAAAATCTGTACTACAGGGTAGATCTCCCCATCCCAACTTTAGCCATCACTTGCCCTCTAAACCTAATCAACATAATTAGCCTAGTAAGTCAAAATAGAATGTAGCTATTCTGAAAACATAACCTGCTTAAGGGAAGTGGCCCCTGGCTGTGTCTCTGGGTGAAAACCTGCAGTGATGGCTGGTTTGCCATTGCCAGCGGTGCAGGTCTGCAATAGTACCACTTCCACATTCTGTGAAGAAGGCAAACCAGCCCAGTTGACCTGTCAGTTGGTAACTCTTGATTGGATGCTCATTAATACATAAAGTTGTTTCTGTTATAGTTTAAATAGGCTGAAGAGGGGAAATGGGGCTCAGTCACATAAGAATATTAATTTATCAAAGCATCAATAACCTTTCAAATGACCTTCAAGCGTTACCTTAACTGTTTAACTGTCTTCTGAAATTTGTTTATGGATGTAACTGGAACTACTTCACATTTTGGTGATTAAAATTCTTACTTATTTTCTGCCTTGAATTGTGTCTTAAACGATACAATTGAGCAACTAGCTTACCCATGTGTACGTGCAGCGTAGCTCTATCCCCTGTGCAAAAACGTGTTGAGCAGTTTATTGACCCAAAGGAAGGCATTATTCTTACACCAAAAAATGTTCAGGTTTCTCTCTAGATACTATCATTTTTTATCTTCAATTTGTGGATTTCCGATATTATTTATACTAGATTAAACCACATAGTCAAAGATAGTTTGATTATGATGCCCTCAATGCTTACATATATAGGCTCTGAGGACTCTCTTCAACATTGCTCACAGATTGCAGAATGTATTGGGCCCTTCATGGGTTCTGGTATGTTAATTTTCTTAAGAAGATGTTAATAATAATATCATATCTTAAGATAAATATTTTTTGTTTTATAATTTGGAGGTGTTGGAAACTCTATCTGCCCTTGACCGAGCAATTAATTCTCCACATGCAGCAACACAGGTAATATTGAGATATATACACACACACACATCTCTCTTAATACTCATTATTTTATTTAATTTTTCTTTTTACAAGCTTGCTTCCTTGCGTCTGAGTGGACCAACTCTGAATGAAGTTTAAATGAAACAAACTATCAAATTAAAAATATTCTTGAGTATTATGGTAATAAGTGAATTCTTATATCCAGGAGAGTACAGATGAAAACAGCATTTGGTTTGGCCATTTTATTGTAGAAAATGCTGTACGGGTAAATTGTGGTATAATCTGGTAGTTTGATAGTTCGAAAACAACATATTCATATGTAAGAGTACATGATATTTTAGAAAAATAAAATGTAGTAATACATCATACTTGTTAAACCTTTTGTAAATGAAGGGATTAAATATTCTCTCATTGGATGTAACTATGTGAATGCCCTCGTGGAATCCATCTGCTTTGGTGTCTCACTTATCTGTTTCCAGGATTTTTATTTCTTTCTTATTTATGGTCCTTGAAATTTGTGGTTTGTTAATAGGCATTGGATATAATGTTTTGAATTGAAAATAGATTTTCTTATGTAATATTTTTAATGAAAACTAGGCATTCAATGTGTGATGTTTTTAAGGGAGAAACTTTTATCAATAGTGCTAAAACAAAGTGAACACAGGTAAACATAGCCTAGGTTATTTCTAAGGTTTATAAACTACAATGGAGCACCTACCAACTGCAGTTTCCAATATTCATTGTAGTTGTTAGGTTTCATATAATGCACAGCTGTTAACAAAAGTATTTGGAGTCTCTATGAAGTTCTGGATGGTTTTTATGACTGACATCTTAAATTATCACTGAGACCTTGATTCTGCATTTGGTTGTTTGACCAAGTAGGAGGTTTCTGCTGCTGTGCCCAAGTTAACCAGAGATTCATCTGGGCAATATAGTGATTTTAATGTCCTCTCTTCACTGAATTCTCAGGTATTTTTTCCCTTCAGATTCTCTTTTCATCTTTATTCCATGGTATCATAGTGATTATGCCCACTGTGGCTTGGTTTTTCTCTTCTCCAATCTTATACAGCTTTTTGAGAGCTCGGGTATGATGCATGTGTCAGCTGTTCGATCAATTCTTTCTGCTCTGCGCCAGTTGTCACGTCAGTGTATGGCAGCAACTTTGAGTAGTACTGGGCAGGCATCAAATCAGAAGCTTGGAAGCATTAGTTTCTCCATAGAGAGAATAATATCTGTCCTCGTAAATAACCTTCACAGTATGGTTCTTCATATTTCATTGACCTCATATAGAGTGGTGCCTGATTATACAGATGGTTTTTTCTTTCTGTCTTTAATTTATTTTTTACAAAGGTGATAGTAAGATATATTCACTTCCCACACTATTCAACTTGTTGTAGTTACTAGCTAGGATTGAATTAGGCATTGTTGTTTATTACACATCTCACTAGTCTTGAAATAATCTGCACATTAATAACTTCTATAGTGAACAATCTTCTGTATTTTGATTGTAAGAAAACTATGAAACTAAATTAATAACACAATAAATTTGTCCCAGCATATGAAACAGAGCAATTAAAAGAGGCTCGATCAAATTTTCTAACTTGATCTATTAAATTGAAGGCTTATATTTTTTTATCATGATTAGTAAAGGACCCCTAATTTATCATAGTAATGAACCGTGGAATTGGATGAATATGCACTCAAGCTTGGACGTGATCAAACTTCAATATATTCTAGCTGCTGCTCAGTTTCGAGCCTTGATAAATACCTCTTTAGTGCTGGTTTCTTAAAATCTATCTGGATAGACCCTGGATGTTGACTGCTAAACTTGCGTTTATTCTGAAATTTTTTACAGGAGTGGAATCATTGTGGGATGAGGTTGTTGGTGATTTCATTGAGGTAACTGGTTTCTGCTCTTTTGATTGTTCCTTTGATATGTCAATGTCATTTGATCATCCATTTGTTCATTGAAGTCTAGCGATTCCTATATGAAGTTATGAACCTACATCAATCATTATCAACTGTAACATTTGTTTCAGCTTGCTGATAGTCCCAATCCACAGCTACAAAATATGGCCCTTGATGCATTGGATAAATCTATATGCGCAGTCTTAGGTTCGGACAGATTTCTGGATAATACATCGAAAACTGTTGATGTATCAAATGATGTGAGAACTTTGTCGCTTACTCTAGGGACTATATACTATGTTTGAATTTTTTTTTGTAGTTATATCATATAATCAATAATTCCTTGTTTAGATTAGTGATCTATCAAAGTTGAGTTCCTTGGAATGTGCTGTCATCTCTCCATTGAATGATCTCTACTCTCAATCCCAAAGTTTTGATGTTCGTGCTGGAGCTCTGAAGATTCTTCTGCATGTTTTAGAGGTAACTCTCAATAAATTCACTGAAAACTGTCCTTTGCACGACTTCTTTATGTTGTCTTGACTGATCTACTTATCAGAGATGTGGAGAGAAATTGCATTACAGTTGGCCAAATATTCTTGAAATGTTAAGGTGCCTTTTATTTTGTTGTCGTTTTGTGCGTTTTTTCTTCTCTTTATATATTTGAAGTTCTTATTGTAAAAAGTGTCTTCCGCATATGAAGGAATGTAGCTCATGCATCAGAGAAGGAACTCATCACACTTGGATTCCAGGTAAGAGAAGCAAGTGTATATAAAGATGTTGATGGAATCTAGTGCCCCTTTTCGTTTTCCATTCACTTGAAATATTGAAAGTGTATTTTCTTTCTACCAACTATTATGTTTCTTATATGGAAACGTCGAACTAAATTTTCCTTAGAAACAATTATTTCTACAAAATTCAGATTCTTCCAGTTGTGAAGTTGGCTGGTTAAAAATGTTTTTATCATTTAAATATCATGGTACAAACAACAATGTACGTAGGGCTGCTGCACATCAACTATGAATCTATGATATACAGGGCATGCAACAAGCATCCATGATATCAACTCCCTGTTGCCACTAAAGACTTAGATTATGCCTTCAATTAGCATGATAGAGACAAGTACCAAAGTTGCAAATGAAAATAGTGATTCAATAGATCTGTAATGGGTAATGTAGACATTGACGGATTGATATGTAGTGGCACATTTCACCAATTCTTGGGGTTTCTTGGCCATTATCTTAAATAACATTTGAAAAGTCATAAACAGAAGGATTAATATTGCAGAAAGGTGAGACTGAATAGCTACATGTCAACCTGCTCTTTGCTTCTCTTCTTCTGAGCTGTTGATATGCCATGCTTCTGTTTTGCTTTTGCAAAATCCATTATCTCCCATGAAGAATCAAAGTTATAGTTCTTTTTTTAAATTTATACATTTCACAAATGAAGCTGTGAGAAGACTGAGTTATAAATATGGGCTGGTGCACTCATACCTGAATAACTTAGTTATATATATTCATCATCTAATATTTTGGATTTGCTCTGATCAGTTGTGTTCTTATTAAGTTTGTAAGATAACTTAAGACATGTAGTTTGAGTATTGGATTGGGTATTTCTGACAAAATGTAGTCATTGTTTATATTAATGATATTTCAGTGATGTGCATCAAATCTGGATGAATGGTTTTGCAAAAGTAGTCATTGTTGATGTGCATCAAATATTTGCAAAAGTTTACTAATCTTATGAATGCTAAATTCTAACATTAAATCTAGATGTCCATATAATATTCTGGATCTGTATCTCATATATGAAGTTTCTTCCATGCAGAGCCTTCGTGTGATTATGAATGATGGGCTGCCCACTATACCTGCTCACTGCCTCCATGAGTAAGCACACATCATTGTATTATTGTTCTTGTTCTCCAATTTAAAAGACTCTCATGCATCGTTTATATAGTTGAAATAGTATTCTGCATTTTCCCTGGGATTGTAGAAAATTAGTTTGGTGTTTTTATTGAACTTAACTTTTTTATCAAATGTTCTGAAGATTCATGTTATGTGCCTAGATAGCATTAACAATTACATTTATGCAGTATTGAAGGCATACCTGCATGATATTTTGTCAGCCATAATAGAGTATAGTGTACAAATCTTCCATCCCTAACATTGTTTACTAAACCAAGATCAAAACCATTCGGCTATTTGGTTCATTGTCAACTCCCGCTTTTTCCCTAATAAATCATGAGTTTTAAATTTTAATATAGACATAATGATTGACATGGCGTTCTCTTATAACCCAATCAATTAACAGTTTCTTGAAGTCACGTAGGATGGGTGGTGTGGTTATGCTAGAATGTAATATTTGATATCTATTGTTAAATTATTTTGGTGATCAATATGCTTATTCATCAGGGTCTACTCAGAGTTGTTTCCTTCAATAATAATAATAATAAAAATAATAAAAATAGTCCCAAATTTGTACTGTTACAACTTTCTAGAAACACTTGATCAAAGGTGCAATTTCCTTCCTACATTGCTCTTATGTATCTCCCATTTGGATGCATTTGACCTTTGTCAACCTTTGATCTTTTTTATAACTGGAGGGAGCTATCCAATTCAAAAATGAACCATGAGATTTGGGACTGGCTTTTGTAAGGCAATTTATTATTTATTATTATTTTAAGTTGTGGAAGCACACAACTAGAGTTATATTTAACAAGGTATTCTCAGCTCCTTGGGTTATTTTGTACTTGCACCTTATGGTTGGAGAATGCTATAGAGCAAAGTTTCCTTCCATGGATATTCTCTCGCTTTTTTGGTCAGTAACCTTCTGGAGAATCTCACCATCTCCCTGTGGCTCCTAGGGCTAAATCTTCAGTGGAATGGTCGAGCCCGGAGAAAGGCTGGTGAATAATAAACACAAATGGCTCAACTTTTGGCAAGCCCAAGCGGGCTCTCCTTCTAGTTATTGTGTTTTATACAATAGAGCCTTTCCTCGTTTTTTCGATGCTCCCATCCATGCAATCTATGATTTCACCATGAGATATACTCTTTTCTCTATAAAGAAATATAGAATGAAAGAAAATTTAATTTAGAGAACTTAAAAATTGTTATGTGAATCCATTTTCTTCATCCTAGGAGATAAAAGATTGTTTGAACTTCTGGAGAAGAGGATTTTATCATGCTGCTTGGAAACTTATATGACCTCAAAATTATAAATCTTACTGGTCAAAGTTTACACATTCTCTAACGCAAACTGATTTTGCAGATGTATTGATGTAGCTGGGGCGTACAGCTCTCAAAAGACTGAACTGAATATAAGTCTAACAGCCATAGGTCTATTATGGGCTGCTACTGATTTCATTGTAAAGGGTCTCATTCCTTGGACTAAAGAAGGACTGGAAACAGGTTCGGCATCAACATAAACTTACAAAATTATTATATTTAGCTGTGTAGCTTAGTTTTTGTAGAATATGATGTGTTGCTTTGGGTGTCAGATCAAAAAGATCATGTGATGAAGGAAGAGCCAGTCCTGGATTCTTCTCAGGAGAAATTTACTGACACCAGATTGTCAAGTATTGTTGAACGTGACAAGTTGCTATCCTCTGTTTTCTCTTTGCTTCATAAGCTGGGAACTGATGATAGACCCGAGGTAAATCTGATTTTGAAGGGAATAGAATTAACTTATGCTATGGTTTTTCTGTTTCTGAAGCATTATAGACTCACATCCCATATTACCTTATCATTTATCCTGTTTGAGATGTGCTTATATAGTTTCCACTCAAAATGAGTAGTGGCACCATTCTTTTCTTGGTAATGTAGTGCAAAGCTTTGATAAAACATGAAAAAGGTTGCTGATACTCACCCAGATAATCAGAAGGATGTAACATTAGTTCATCTGCTAGATGGGTGAACTTTCAAAAATTATTTTTTATTTGCTACAGACTTGATCACTAGTTTTCTGCAATTATTGTTATTGAAACGTTCATTTGTAATATTCTAAACAATATCAGTGTTACCTTCAGTCAATGGGTCTTGTGACACACTTTCTTGTTTTTCATTGTCTGCTATTATTATTTCATTTGCTGCTACAACTGTTTTTCTCTTGACTTACTCTCATGGGAAAAACTTCATAGGTGAATCTCTTATGTCTACAAGTCTACAAGATAATTGTCTTCCACCCATAACTGACGTCCTATGTGTAGGTTAGGAACTCAGCAATAAGGATGCTTTTCCAAACTCTTGGAAGTCATGGACAAAAGCTTTCCAAAAGCATGTGGGATGATTGTCTCTGGAATTATGTGTTCCCAACTCTAGATCATGCATCCCACTTGGTAAGTTAAATATATCTTCATATGAACCTCTTTTGTTGTCTTGACTGAAAAGCTTCCTGGTTTTAGGCTGCAACCTCGTCTAAAGATGAAAGGCAGGGTAAAGAACTTGGAACTAGTCAAGGAAAAGCAGTTCATATGCTTATACATCACAGGTTTTGTGGATTTCTACTTGGTTTTACACTATATATTATATAATATTCCTTATCAATTCTTGCATAATAAAATTGTCACACTTAATTGATTGGCAGCCGAAATACAGTTCAAAAGCAATGGGATGAGACCCTTGTGCTGGTGTTGGGTGGGATAGCCCGTATTTTACGATCATTCTTTCCATTCCTTAGAAGTTTAATAAATTTCCAGTCAGGTTGGTGTTTTTTTTAATCTTATTCCTCCTCTTTCATTTAATTCTTTCATGTTATTTACACATAGATACCATATTTCAGGATGGGAATCATTACTTGTCTTTGTCAAGAATAGCATTTTAAATGGCAGTAAAGAAGTTGCCCTTGCTGCAATAAATTGCTTGCAATCAACTGTAGTTTCTCATTCTCCAAAGGTATTAGCTGAACAAGCCTCTTTGGTGTAGTCCTTTTCATGTAAACACTGATCAGACTGTACGCTGAACCTGATTTCTGTTTGGCATTGCACTTCTTAATATTGTTGATTATGTATCTTTTCATCATTTTCTAAATCTGCTTGAATCAGGGAAATCTTCCAATAGCATATATTCATTCTATACTTACTATATATGAGGATGTTCTCCGAAATTCAATGATTGACAACCATCATCTCCAAGCAAAAGTGAAGCAGGAGATTTTACATAGTCTTGGTACAAATATATACCTAATCTTGTTTCCCATAATTCTGTGGTTAATATGGTTTCTGTCTCTTTTAAATTACAGATATTTCCCTCAGGGTCAGGGATGTTTGGCTGGTACTAACATTTGCTCTTTTCTGTCATTTTGGCAACACAATGATTACAGGAGAATTATACTCACAAGCTCAAATGATGTTCGACACTGAAATGTATAAGCAGTTGATATCGCTTGTGGATTCAGCCATTAAAGAGGCCAGGATGGCCGAAAATAGCTATGAAGCAGAATATGTATGTAATCTTCCTTGCATATTGTTCACTATCCCTTAACCCTCTTCTTCTTATTTCCCTCAATGGAATCTTATAAACCGTAAATTTCATATAAGTTAAACATCTTAATTCACCGCAGATTTATCATTTTTGGATATCTCTATTTGGAATCTCTCTTGCATGTAGCTACCTGCATTACCCTTTTAGTAATTCAATTAAATGTGTTCCGCTAATATGTGCATAGTGAAGTTGTATGTCTTGGTCAATTTTGATCAGGTCTTTGCTGAACAGAAAATTTATTTTTAAAAAAAAATAAATAAATAAAGAGAGTTGCCATAGCTAAAGAAATATTGTGTACGTTGAAAGCAATAACATTTGCACTGCATCCTTGCAGGGTCATGTATCACCTTTGCAACGGACTATACTTGATATCATACCGCTATTACGTCCAGCAGTACACCTTAATTCCATGTGGAGTCTCCTTCTCAACAATTTATTGTATTTTCTTCCACCAGCGGAACCCTTTTTGGATGACTACAAAGAGGATTCCAGTTCCTTCGGTAATACTCATGGTAACTGCCTATAGTCTTGGTTAATTAAAACCTTGAACCTGAACATTATTTGTTATTTTGAGATGGTTTGTACGCCTAATGCAGGTTCTTCAACAGCCGAGACACTCACAAAGGCCAGCAACTCGTGTAATGTGTTTGCAGAGAAACTTGTACCTGTGCTAACTGGTCTCTTTTTGGTAGCACCAGTTCCAGAAAAGTACAAAATTTTACCGAATGTTATTCAAAGTCTGGGAAGGTAAGAGTCTCTCTTATGCTCACATAACCAATAAATATTTCTGCTTACAAAAACTTTTTATCTGTATACCTTTAAGAAATCTATCAGGATAATGATGGTCGTAAATGACAGTGTGCTGAATCAATAAAATAAAATAAAATAAAGACAAACAGATAATTTTGGCTTGTTTTTTTCTTTACTATATGTATATAGTCCATATTTGTATGATTTAATATAATTTATATTATGTTTTCATATCCCTGTAGTGTTGAAAATCACATTTGTTGATATATAAAAATATACATGTAAGATTGAGTCTTTCCTGTAATATGATTATACAAATTACTTACAAAACTAAAACTCTTAACTGCTGATTATTGTAATGTAATTTTTAAGCAATTGAATGTGTATTAGCCCTCTGAGAATTTGACGGTCAACATTTGCCAAATAGCCAAACTACCTTGTATAACTATTATTCATGGTCTCTCTTTACCTTTTTTAGCTTAACTTGATACCAATATCAATGGATGGTGTTTCTGTCTCTTTTATTATTTAACAAAATTAAGCATTTGTTTGTATCAGTGCATATCGTAATTTTGTCAAAGCAAAGGCATTGTATAAATTATTTAGCTGTGACAATTTAACTGAAAATCTTGTTGAGTTAATGGGAAGTATGAAAGTTAAATTTGATTCTATAATATTTATTTGAACTTGTTAGAGATAACATGAGGCTGACTAGAACTTAGGATGATAAAAGGATGAGTCCCCTTCAGCAGTTGTAATCTGGAACATCATTGGAATCGGAAGTAGAGCTTGCTGAAGTGTGCTATAGGATTTTGAAGAAGTATGAAAATCTGTCAAAGCTCAAGTAAATCATCAGTGTGCCGTGTGTTTCACGGTTTTAGCAATATTGGCTGAATTCACTAGAATGTGCGCAAATCTGAATCATAAGTCTCAATAACTCCTTCTTTGCAAGCTAAATAATTGCCGCAACAGAGAGCTAATTCTAAAGTTATCAATAATGTTAACCCTTTGGCATCTGCTTAGAACTCAAGATGCATCTAGTTTTAGCTCAAGATGCATCAGTGTGCCGTGTGTTTCACGGTTTTAGCAATATTGGCTAAATTCACTAGAATGTGCGCAAAACTGAATCACAAGTCTCAATAACTCCTTTGCAAGCTAAATAATTGCCGCAACAGAGAGCTAATTCTAAAGTTATCAATAATGTTAACCCTTTGGCATCTGCTAAGAATTCAAGATGCATCTAGTTTTAGCTCCTCTATTTGCCTTTTGATGTTTCTCACACCAAAATCTATCCTATGATTTTCATGTCTTTGTTTTTAATGTGCTGCACTCTGTAATGGGATACACTGCCCATTTTATTAAAATAGATGACCATCCTCATTAGTTTTTTCATATCAATTGGATTTCTTTTTCCTCCTTTTCCCACCATTGCAGGTGTATGACAACTAGAAGAGATGACCCCGATGGCAGGCTTTGGAGAGTAGCAGTTGATGGTTTTCAGCGTATTCTGGTTGATGATATTAGAAACATGAACCCAATATCTGGAGCCGAACCAACCATCACTCGAGTTTTAAGAATACATGTCTGGAAAGAAGTGGCTGATGTGTATGAAGTGTTTTTAGTAGGGCACTGTGGTCGCGCGCTACCATCCAATTCACTGTCAGCAACTGCTCATAAGACTGATGAGTCTCTTGAAATGAACATTTTAGATGTCCTGGGAGACAAAATTCTTGCATCAGAGACTGATATACCTCTTGAGGTAAGTTCCCCTTACATAGCTGTTTCTATATATTTTACCTTTATGTGCTTTACGCGAATTATCTGAACGTTTTTCTACAAGGAAATACACATAGGCATAAATGGGACAGGCAAAACAAATTAACTGCAGAATTACTAGTTAATGGAAAATTGTAAATATTCTAGAGCTTTTGGCTTCTAGTTTTTATTTTTGATTTATTTCCTTTCTCTATCATATTTTAGTAGCTGGCATGGAAACATGAAAGAAGGAATTATAAGAGTAATTTGCATCTCTAAGTTGTTTCTTTGAGCGGCCATCTTATTATGATTAGTTTGGAACAAATTGCATTATGTTCTCAAACTTCTGTAATAAGACATTTCTTCTGATGCATTTCACAGATTTTACAGAGACTGATATCTACCCTTGATCGATGTGCATCACGTACTTGCTATTTGCCACTAGAAACTGTCGAGCTGCTGCCTCCCCACTGCAGCAGATTCTCTTTGACATGCTTGCAGAAATTATTTTCTTTGGGCAGGTGGGTTGAAGCTTATATTTGATTTAGAATATAGGTTAATGTAACGAGTTTTATATTAAATATCTCACCTCAAACATCTTATTTGCAGCTTTGAGGGAAGTCATTGGAGTTCGGCGAGATCAGAAGCTAGCAAAATTGCAATTTTGACTCTGATTTCAAGATGTGACTCTATTTTAAAAAAATATTTGGCGGATGAGATTGACTTGGGTGTGTACTGAAAGAATTTCTTTCTTCTAAATTGACTTCTTCAAGTTTTCCTTGCCTTCACCCAATTTGTTCTTCATTCAGGTGACCGTTCCTTGCCTCACGCCAGAATGGAAGAAGTCATATTTGTACTCCAAGAGCTTGCCCGTCTTTTGATACATCAAGAAACAGCAGAATCCCTTCCTTTGTCTCCTAAATTAAAGGAGAGCGTGTACGAGGAGGATCTGGGAAGACGTTCTCATTTGCTGGTTCTATATCCTTCTCTTTGTGAGCTTGTTCTATCAAGGTAAGATAGTAAATTTGTTGTATTTTTTTATTTTCTTGCGGTTTTGCAACTCTATACGACTACATTTTTTCCCTCCGCCCTTGGCCAGGAGATTTCATCTTTTTACCTAATTAAAACTAATGATGAAACCAAACAGCTATTACTTCTAAGTTTGAAATGCAAAATAAGAACATTGTAGATTCTTCACAGTTGGATTTCTGAATCCTCTCGATTAATTTGATGCTTCTAACATTTTCTACGGTTAAGGACCTAAGGTTGGAGAAATTAAATATTTATAAAAATAATACATTTTATTAGCTTAAAGGCATATTAGAGGTATTAAATAATCATCGAAACACGCGGATTCTCATTAGTTCAACATTTTGGTGAGATGAACTTCATACAGTGTTAAAATCTGCACACTTACATTGCTACGTCTTTACCCACTAACATGTTTAGTTGCAACACTGTAGTTTGAAGATTAGACTGAACCCTTATGCACGATACATAGAAATTATGTTACTTGGGGTCACACTATAATCCATATGTTGTTTGTATTCGAATTAGCTTATATGAGTGCTTGTTGCTACCACGTTCATGTTTTAACTTAAAACCAAATTTTGCTATTGATGGAAATAGAAGTTCTGTCTATGCACTTCACATTGAAATCCCCTAATGCTTCCATGGCCTCCCATTCGTGACAGAGAGCCGAGAGTTAGAGGTCTCGTGCAAGTTTTGCTTCGTCTGGTTGCCTCGGAATTAGGGTTGCAAAAGCTTGAATCGACTGCTTGAGCATCGGTTGCATACTGTCAGTGATCTCTCTTAGTTTTTCATCGGTTTCTCGACGCCTTTTAAGGTGACCTTCTCCTCTCTTTCCATCTTCAGCATTAGAAATATTGTTGTGAAATGGTGCCATTGTGATGCTTATGGATTTCTGTTTCCTGTTATGATTATTTTTGTTTACAGCTGATATTTTCATATATATACAATTTTCTTGCATCATAAAAGGAAAATATATATATATATATATATTGTGGGATGAGAAAAGAATATTGACATATTTGAATATGCTGTGGCTATGGATTTATGTAGAAATTATTAAATTTATTTGTCAATACGTTCCAGATTTATATTCAACCTTTTCATATTAATTCAGCAGTAATGATATGATTTTCCAGGATAGTTTGTCATTTTTTGTTATGGAATTGAATGTTACAATATCTTTAATGAGTAAAATATATAGGTATGCTTGGTTGTGTTAGATTTATATTCAACATTTTCATTTTAATTTTGCTTTGGAATTTGTTATGATTTTACATTTTGTTGTCTTAATACTAGATACTCTTTTCGTTCTTTTTTCTTTTTTTTTTTCTATTAGGTCAAACTAATTAGTTGTTGTAATGTTTTTCTAAATAGATTTCTAATGTGATGTTTCTAGGAAGAAAATAAAATAGTACTATTCATTAGTAAATGATCTGTTTATATATGTATATTTGAATGTTTTATATTAGTAGTATTTTTTAAAATATATTTCATCAAATATATATATTTTATTGCATCAAAATCTCTAATTTTTACTATTAAAAAAAAGGGAAAATCTTCAAAACTCTATTATAAATGTAAAAGAACAAATAATTGTTGTAACTGAGGAAGATAGTCCTGCTTTTATGTATCTTTTAATTTCGATTTAAAATTACTATTATAATTATCAATAAAATATACTATTTTTATAAAAATAAAATAAAATTAATGTCTCATTTTAAATTAATCTAAATCACAATAAAACAAACCTTTTAAACTTTTTTTTTATTATTTCTTTTTAAACTATGTGAATAGACTCGTATAACTATTCCACCAAATTGACAGTAAATGTAATACGTACGTAATTTATTATTTTGGCATTCAGTCATTTTTTTGTTTCCCTTAATTGCCCTTTGGATTCCGCCTGCAATGCGAGCTTATCAGTGTTTTAATGTAATATTTTATATAAAAATAAATAAATGAAAAATAAAAATTAAGTAAAGAAATTGTAAAATTTCTAATGAATTTTATAGCATTAATACAGACAGTGAGAAATAAAAGAACATAGCCAAATGATAATGGATATTGAATATGGAGTGGCGGTTCAAAATTAAATAGACAATTTCGGTGACTAGTCAAACGCTTTTATTACTCTATTAATTATTCCAACAGTTACGAAGATTTTGGAAATAATAAAAATTTATATTAGAATAAATGTGTATTTTTTTATTTTTATTTTTTGTAATTTTACATTTATTTATATTTTAAATTTCTAAATGATTATTTGATAATATTACACGAAAAATGAGTTATATGTAATAGTTTGATGTAAATAAATATTTTATACAAAAATATATATGAGTGTGTTCAATTGTGTCTTCAAGTGATAATATTTTTAAAATATAATACAAATTTGTTAGAAAAAACACACACACACACGTAACACAAAGTATCATTCTTCAATTTTTTTCACAAATGTTTGTATTTCACAATAAAAATATCTAAAACTATAAAATTAACAAAAATTTGATATTTATGTGATGTATTATTTATTATTTATTTTGGTTTTAAATAATATTTTTTAAGTAAGTGTAGAGAATTATGTAGATAATATAAAACACAATAAATAAATGTGTGTAATATATTAATTTTTGGAGCAAAACATATTGAAAACATTTGGGTAAAAGAACAAAAAATTAGTTTGTTCGGTTGTGTATTCAACTATTTAGTTTATTTTTTTATCTAAAAAAATATCACAATATATTTTTTATTTGATATCTTTCAATTATCAATTCTATTTGTTTTTATTGAATTAAATAATAATTTTAATTTTAAAGTTTAAATATATAAAAATACAATCAACAAAGAGTAAAATATTTAAATATATACTTTTTTAAAAAATAGTAATAATAATAACAGGTTTAAAATGTAGAAAAAAATGCAAGTATACAGTAAAAATATATATATATATATATTAAACTCAGAACTTCATTGGGCTAATTTGGATGCTTTGACAAATCATGGAAAATGAGATGCCGAGTTTTATATATGATTAAAATTACAACAAGTACACCAAAAATCTAAGTCAAAATAAAATAAAAACTTCTTAGATTGAAAATGAAACACAAGCTTTAATGGTAAGCCATACCTCAATACCTTATGTCACCTATGGACTACGGTGGCCCCCTACATACCAAAATTGTTCCCATAATTAAATAAATATATCACAATAAAATAAAATAGGTTCATTCAATCATTATTTTTTATACGATTTTCCATCAATATTATATATATAAAGGTTGTTTACTTTATTTTTTTCAATAGTACAATTTCAATTAAATATTAGTATTAGAAAATATATTATATACATATACATTTTATCTATTTAAAAAAAAAATTAATAATTCAACTCAAAGTATCAAATTAGACTCCAACTTGTAAAAAAAATAAAAACAAGAACGTATGTGTTTGACAATTATCTGATAGCTATTCAAAAAAATCTTTGACAAACACCCTCAAAATCTACTATTCTTTATAACAAAATGTAAAAAGATATTTGTATAATAAAAAAAAGTTTTCAAAAAAATAAAAGCTTCCTAGCTATAATATTTATTTTTAAGGGGTGAGCATAATCACAAATAGATCCAATTTAAGTTTATATGTATACATATATCTTTTTTTTTTTTCAAATTTAATTTTTCAATTTCTTTTTGGTCTAGTTAAAAAATATATACTATTTTTTATTATAATTTATTAATCATATACAAATAACAAAGTTTTTTTTTTTTTTGTTTGTTTTTATAAAAAAATATTCATTTTTTTATATTATCAAATTTAAAATATCAAAAATTATTTTATATATTTTTACTAATTAATAAAAAATTATTATACATTCGATTGAAATAAAAGGAGTATATACTTATATAAATAATTACACTAAGGCTGATCCACAATTATATTTTGTTAACAAAAAGTTAAACATCACATGAATCTAATTAATCATACACCAACAAGAGTCGAGATAATATATTAATAATAATGGGTGTATTGCCGCAGCCGCTATCCGAAATTGCGCATGAGGTAAACCTTAAACCGAACTTAATACTCTGCAAACCAGGTTCGACGGGAAAGTCACACTAGGCGAACCCACTCAAAACCCTTTTATTTCTATCTCTCTTCGATTAACAAATATTTTGATCTACCTTTGAAACTTTTTATTGTATTATATAAAATTTTATTGTCTACAAAATAATATATATTTTATTGAGATATAATTCTAAAAATATTTAAAATACAAACAACAGTAAGCATATAAAAAATAATAAAATATTATAATAACTTAATAACCTCCGCGGCCTAAAATAAGATATCCCTAACAAAAGAATCGTTTTTTCGCAGGGACGGTAGTATTAAATTTATACCTATTTCTTTTAATTTATTTATAAAAAAATATATTTTTTATTTATATTATTTAATAGTACACACTATAACTTAAGTATCCAAGTATTAAAAATTTTGCTAAATGAGTAAACTCAAAAATAATAGTGATATTTTATTATAACTAAGATTAAGAAGTCGCCTTTGCGCATTTTGTCTTTTTGTGCCGCTGCCAGTAACAATAATAAAAAAAATAATTAGTAGTAGAATTATAAAAGAGTGTGTCTGTGTACACATAATGTGTTGGTGGGAGCAGAGCAGACAGACAGTAGAGAGAGTGTCTCTAAATCTGTGATGGAGGAGGAAGACGACCGAGGAGGCCGCCGACGCCACCATTTCCTTCCTCCGCATTTACTGCCGCCATACCTACGCTCGCTCTCCTGAACCGACCAACCAACTACTACCTCTTCTGCATTTACATTGCTCTTCCTCTCCACCGCAAGCTCCTGATCTGCACAGCCGCGACCGTTACCCCTACCTTTCAAGTCAGTGTGTTTGTAAGTATATTTCGTTTTGCATTTTGCTGATTTTTGTGTGTGGAGTGCTGGAGAAGAGCTTTGAAAACTTTGAGGAAGTGCGTACTGGAATTGTGATAGTTGCTTGCTGCTGCTATTTTGTGATTTGTTTCAGTTTCGTGTCTGGATTTTTAATTTTTTTGGAACTTTGCTTGAGCTTGCGTTAGCAGCTTTGGCGCCGCCTAAATTGCTTGAATTAAGGCATGATTTATGGCGCATTTTGGTTTCTGAGTCTGGATCTCTGTTGTTGTGCTGGAGTTTGAATCAGGAAAATTAAGGCATACTATTTATGAACAGTAATCGCTTATTTACTCACCGACGGTTTAATGCTTCATATTCTCTAAAAATGTACAGATTTCAGAGTAAATGCGTCATAACTCCAAAATCACGATACCGCATTGTCTGGATTTGGTTTTAATTCTTCAACAAATCCACAGCGTAGTGTGTTTAAGGACGACTTGCTGCTAATTTCTGATTACTTGACACCGTTGCTTAATGTTTTATGCTCTTTTGAGCGTAATGTTATGTTCCATTGCTGAAAATTGATCGTACTTGTGGGTTTTAGGTAATGCGCATCTTAGCCGAAGTGAATATTTTGAGTTGAAGATATTGGAACTCACAGAGAGAAGTTTTGTTATAGCATTCAATGGAGAAGTATGAAACACTGGAACAGATCGGGAAGGGAGCTTTCGGTTCTGCCCTTCTTGTGCGGCATAAGCAAGAAAAGAAAAAGTGAGCACTACATACGCGATATGGCTGCCGTGTATCAATTATAGTGTATGTTTAATCCCTGATAAGTTTTTCTTCTTATTGAATTTTGTTAAGGTATGTCCTGAAAAAGATTCGCCTTGCTCGTCAAACTAACAGGACTCGTCGATCTGCACATCGTGAGGTTAATTGTCAATCCCTGCTTTGTTATCAAAGATTAATTTGAAATACGTAATGTAGGAGTAAATAAATATTGGGCCAAAATATCACACGAACCTTAAAGGGAATTTACAATGAGAAGTAACTTATTCATGCTAAAGTGATCTTTTAAGGAGTTGTGCTCTTCTGTTATGGACTCCTTTTGTAATGATGTTTGTCTCATAGGGTTTCGCAGACGTACCTTTATTCTGCTAACTAATGTTTGTTTCCTTTTGTTTTTTTAACTCTGTAGATGGAGCTTATATCCAAAATGCAAAATCCATTCATCGTGGATTACAAAGATTCATGGGTAGAGAAGGTGACTAATTGCATTGTACTCTCTTCTTTGATGTCTATTTATTTCAAGGCTAAACAGTATGAATTGTTGCGTCTTTGACGAGGTCGTTGTTAGTGACAAGATGAATTCATCCTATTTATGGGGCTATAGTACAATATTCTGATTAGAAGTATAAGTGTCTTAGTTATTCCCAATTAATGCAATGATAGAAGTGGTTGGATTATTTTTAGCAATTAAGTACATGCAGGGATTAGATTGTTGGAATATAAGGTGTTAGTTAGATTCGTAGATTTGTTAAGCAAGCTGAATGGTTGAGGGCCCACAACAGCTGTACAAACTAGCAAAGAATCTAGAACTAGTGTAAACTTCTACTTTAACTTAATCGCATATTTAGAAATTTTCTAAGTTGATTCCTTAATTACCATTTAGTGTATAACAATTGCGGCACTATTGCTACTTCGATAAGCAATGTTCTTTTTTCTTTTTAATTCTGACTCGTTACAATTGAATTTTTATGCGGTGTGGTTACAGGGTTGCTATGTGTGCATTATCATAGGTTACTGTGAAGGAGGAGACATGTAAGTAGTTCTGCATCCAATCCTTTTAGAATAGATCAATGCTTTCACAATGAAAATCCCTCCTCAAAAGCAATCCATCATGAACGCAGGGATGCTGGCATTCACATGCTTATGGCTCATATGAAAGTGTTTCTCTGATAAGATAAACATCAATTAGATTTACAAAGTTTCTGCTACTTCTCTTTTGTAGGGCAGAGGCCATAAAAAAGACAAATGGTGTCCATTTTTCAGAAGAGGTAGTCTCTCTAATTTAGTCCTGAAGCCTGAATTTCTTGTCTTCCATTGGCCTGATAATGTACCTTTCGCTTTCCTGATATTTGACATAAGCTAGCTTCTAATATTGAAAAACTTTTCGCAGAAGCTATGTAGGTGGCTTGTTCAACTGCTTATGGCACTTGACTACTTACACACAAATCATATTCTTCATCGTGATGTCAAGGTGAGTTGCACAGTTTATCTACTGGTTATGTTACATACATTGTTGTGAAATTTTTAAGACGTTTTTCAAATACATTGACAAATTTGGCAGTGCTCGAATATATTTTTAACTAAAGAGCAAGACATCCGGCTCGGTAAGAGATTGTTATATTTTCAGGTTCTTTTTTAAAATTTCATTTCTTATTTTGAGGAATTTGGAAGCAGTGCTCATTTAATGGTTTCTACAGGTGATTTTGGACTTGCCAAAATGTTATCTTCTGATGAACTTGCCTCCTCAGTAAGTATAGAGTTTGATAATCGTTTCTCAGGAATATTATTGTTCACCACTATCTTGCCCATACAAGTTTCTCATGTTCTGTTATTCAGATTGTTGGTACTCCCAGTTACATGTGCCCTGAGCTACTTGCGGATATTCCTTATGGTTTTAAATCTGATATATGGTCCCTTGGTAAGCAAAGGATATTTTCTTTTTACCTGTTTCCATTCAAAAAGCATAATCGGAAGCATGAGATTTATCCTCTTATGTTTAAATGGAAATCAAGTTCATAATAATATATTTTAAGATACATTTTTTAAGCAAATGGACTTATCCCTGCAATCCCATGAACTCAGGGTGCTGCATTTATGAGATGACTGCCCTTAAACCTGCATTCAAGGCATTTGTAAGTTGTTTCAATCGCATCAACAATCATAATGTACATTATTATCTTACTAATGAACTGTAGTCTTATAGATTTGAATATATATATATGTGTGTATGTGTGAGGAGAAAATAAAAAAGAAAAGAAAACACCCTCGAGTGTGTCAGAAGTCCATTGACTTATTTATTTTAGTTTCTTTTATTTTTTACTTTTTGCATTCTTGTAGTTTCCCTTTTATGTTGCGATGTGGAAGTGTTGCCTATTATTTTGACTGAAAATGTCCACAGAAGGCACTGTCCTTGAACTATATGTGTGCAATTTCTCTTTCCCCCTGTTGTATAATAATGACTTGACATGATTGGCAATCCTTTTGCATGAGAACCCATGACATGAAGTGTAGTGATCATCATTGTAGTTGTAGGGTTAAATGGCCTACTTGAATTTCCTACATCGGATACTAAATTTTTGGTTCGATTATGAGTATGATTTCTTGAATAATCATTTTCCTTGTCTTGCCCATAACCAAATGATGCAAGTTTAGCTAATGTTTCTTAAAATTAGCCTTGAAGATCTACTTTTCCTTGTTTGCTAGTTATATTATTGCTCATCGTAAAGCGACATTTTTTTTTTCCTGTTGATACTGATATATGAGATTATCACATCTATGGACAGGATATGCAGGCTCTCATAAACAAAATAAACAAATCCATTGTTGCTCCACTGCCTACCAAATACACTGGTGCATTGTAAGTTTCTTCAACATTCTTGGTTTTAATTCTGTGTAAAGTCACCCTCCTGTTTCCCTTCTTACAAGTGTATAATCTCATTTTTAACCCAATGCCTTGATATTTGTGTTTCAGCCGAGGTCTAGTCAAAAGCATGCTGAGGAAAAATCCAGAACTCCGGCCAAGTGTAAGTCCTACCACTGATTCGTAATTTATTTCACTTGCATTATGGGCATTTTTTTTAACACGTGTTGCTGTTTTTTTTTGGGCTCAACTGCTCAAGTAATATTTGTTTGTTAAAATCCATGTTAGATACCCAAATTAGTTCACATATTCACATTCTGTCCATATAGCTCTCTGTGATGATGCTGACTGATAATTAAAATCGAAATAAATCATTCAACTTACAATAGTGTTAATAATAATTGTGCAGGCTGCAGAACTTCTGAAGCACCCACACCTTCAACCCTATGTGCTCGATGTTCATCTGAAACTAAATTCCCCCAGGCGTGACAATCTTCCACGTCCATCACCTGAAACAGAACAGCATAGTGCTAGGAAGATTCGATTTTCGGATCCAGTCCACATGCCACTTCCAGCGTATAGAGAGAGGCGACTATCATGTGGAAATGACAGGACCTTGAATCCCAGTGTATCTGGAGCTGATCAAAGCTATAGCTCATCAACTAAGATAATGAGACCCACCCCTTTCCACATGTATCAGGAAATGAAAGAACTGTCCACTGGAAGCAAAGATGATGGAACTGTCGTTACAAAAAATGTTACTTCGAGAGCCTCAGTGAACCAGAAAATTGTACCACCAAAAGCTTCAACAACTGCGAAGAGTAAACCAAATTTTCCGAAGAAGCAAAATATGGTAAGATTCCGAGAGTAATCCCTCTGTTTGCTATTTTTCTTGTCGCTGATTATAAAGTTCTGCGATGTTTTCCTCAAGTATCTTCATTTTTATCATATTGAAATTTCTTTATGAAATGCTCTTCCTAGATTATCATAGAGGGTTTTATATAGAATAGCAAAACAAAAAAGAAAATGCTTCAAATTAGACCATTATTATGATATTAGATCTTCGAATTTTAGAAAAATCAAAAGATTCGGAGACAAAGACAAAAAAATGATTTGTCGCTGAGGTCATTTGGATAGGTTGTTTCAAGTTTTCTCCAGCTTATAAGAGAAATATATCAATCTCTAGCAAACATTCAAAACTTTTAAATCTTAGTCTTGTCCACATCAATGGCTCGCCTTGGGCGCTGCCACATGTAGTTTGACCAAAGAAGCAAATTCATTCATTAAAAAAGTTGAACTAGTTTTTCTCAAGCAGAAACCAGAAACATGAACTAGCATAACCTTAAGAAGCTCTCTCTTTTGCAGTAATAGTTATATTATATTCTGAAGGTTTTCGTTTCCATTTTTATGCTCTAGTTTAAGCATGTGATATCAAACAAATACTTGTCTGGACGTATCTAAAACATCTTAGCAGCTAAATGTGTTTTTTGTTTGCAGCTTCCAACTTCGAAAAGCTCAATCAAGAAATCTGTATCTACAGCACGTAGAGCTTCACTTCCATTTCCTGCCAAAGATGACATTCACAAATCCCATCACAGGTCCAGTCTTGGAACTCTTCAAAACATTGGCATTATCCGATCTCCAGATGTTTCGGTTAACGCCCCTCGCATGGACAAAATGGTTGAATTCCCCCTAACATCATACGAGGAATCCTTTCCCATCTGCATTAACTCATCAGATTCTGTGCAAGGCTCCTCTGCGTCACAACAGGTTGACTGCTCTATTATGAAAGATCGGTGCATCATTCAGTCACCTGATAAACCTGGCAGAGTAAGCTTGACCAGTTGGCAAGGAGTTCAACAAACTGCATTTAAAAAGGAAAAGGACGATGGAAGTGAGTATTCAGATCAAAATGCCACAGCTGGTGCCTCAAGCCGAACATCATCAGACCAAAGACGCCGCAGGTTTGACATGTCTTCATACCGACAGCGTGCTGAAGCATTGGAAGGCTTGCTGGAATTTAGTGCAAGATTGTTGCAACAAGAGAGAATTGAGGAGCTTGGGGTTTTACTAAAGCCATTTGGCCCCGGGAAAGTATCTCCGAGAGAAACTGCAATCTGGTTAACCAAGAGCTTTAAAGAGAAAACAATCCAACCAGAAGATTTTCACTCTTGAATCAGCTTTGCATCTGCAGGATTTCTTCATGAAATAAAATATCAACATTCTTGTGCAACGACGTAGTTCTGCAGTTCTAGAAGCAGAGAGAAGTATTTTAGATCGTAGTTTAGCCTGTCATCTAGGCAAACTTCAAATTATTAGATAGTGCTCAAATGGGAATTTAGTAATCGCTAGACGACTGAAGTATCTGCTGATTCCATTCCATTGGTTTAGTATCTAGACCACATTAATGTCGGCTATAATATCCTAGTATTCTGTTTCAACTCTTGTTAATATATGGTTTTTCAGTTTTTGTGTTGCTCCTGCTGCCTGCCGTAGAGTGTAGAGTTTTGTTGAGTCTGAAGCTAACTTCTGTCTCCTTTGTTTCTTTCTGACAGCTGTGCAAAGATCGTCCTGGCATGCCATCCAGAACATTTATATAGCAAGATTTCTACTGTTGTACTCGTGACCGCTGAATTATTTCACATGGTTCTTATATTCTTGTCTAATGTTTCTTTTGTCAGCCAGCAAGGAAAAGGAAAGAAGAGCCGCAACATAGGAAAATGCATATTTTATGTTTGACTGGTTAGTAGATTGGAGTTTATTCTCCTCTGCCTTCATCTTCAGGTCTCTGAAAATCCAAGATTTCTTTCATGTCTCGATTTGGTTCCCTGTTGTGCTTGTCCTCTCGGCTGCTCTTTTTCAGGTGGTTTCAGAATCAGTTCAAATTCATGGGAGGCTGCAAATGAAGAAATGATTCACAACCAAGTTTGAAACTCAAGTGAATGAATGGAAGTTCAACGGGTGATCGAGAATCTCAGCGCTTACCTCAAACGGTACGAATGAATTCCTCTTGTATATGCTTGCCACAGTAGTGATATACGATTCCCTCTCTCTATCAGTGGTGAATTTTCCTGTACGCCATAGTTTAAGTAGCCACGGGTACTGATTTTCTTGGTCATTTTTCCCATCGATTGATGAAGATCGCCTGCTTCTCTGCTTGGTATTTGATTCAGGGCGCTGCCGTGGCTCACTGTGTGATCTCGCTTTTGCTTTTGATGATTCCGTATTGTTCATATAATTTGGCGTAAAATTAGAGCTACGGGGTATGTTATAATCCGGACAATGTGTCGGCAGTCGAATGATGGAGTGCTTGTTCTCTGGGCAATAAAAATACCTACCGGAGTTTTGTCTAGCCTTTTTTAGTGAAAATTCCTCCTGTGTCCCGTCGTAGGTCGTCGAGGTCGAATCCGTGAATGAAACTGTTGATGGACTGGCTAATGAATGAAGTTTGCTGTCTTTTTGCGATGCAGGACTATCGATTTTCCAACTACATTCGTCTCCTTGGGATGGGATGCATTCTGCCCTTGTACTTCTGCTCCTCAAACCTCCAATTACTCGGAAACTCTTCGAATCAGCTGTATTCTCCTGCATTAAGATGATCGAGAACACGAGCTTCTCATTTACCGAATTTTCAGAAACGATGAATTTGAAAAGAATTAGATGGGATGGCTCACATTAGCTGATGATTCTCTGTAAGATTTTCTTTGTCTCTCAATCACCTGCGGCTCTTCCGCCATTTGTATCCGATGAATCCGAGCTCTGACTTGGATTTTCATCACGGCATGCACCGACCTAACGACTGTATTCATTTGTTTTCTCACTAGGTACCCCCTGGCTAATGCCTGCAGCTTGACCAATCCTTTCAAGGCGCGCAACGCCCTCTTCGCCTGCAGCAGGTACACGCTAATTTAATCCGACAATTATTTTCGTTATTAGAGAATATGCGAAACTTAAAAATGCATGCATCATCATACCAAATAGGATCGATAAATAGCTTGTATTTTTGTAGCTGCATCGTGTGCATTTAACGCGGATTCCATCCCTTGAATCTTAGTATTGTCTCCCTGATTTAGTGTTGGTAACCAGTCGAATGACGCGCTGCTTCTGCGCGCCGTGCTGCTCGATCTTTTTAAACTCCATCCCCGTCTAACTTTACGAGCATCGGTCGACGAAACCGAGTGGCCTGTTTTCTTGCTTGTGTCCTCCCTTTTACCCATCAAGAAATTCCTTATCCATTTCCCTGCCTTCCCCATGCTTTCTTCTTTACCTGTGAACTGTGAATCCAAATATCCTAAAAATGTAGAGAGAGAGAGAGAGAGAGAGAGGTGTGTTCTAATTTAGCAGTAAGAAAATTTACATGCCAAGTAGTAGAGAGTTGAGTTTTTATAGTTGCATATGGTTGTTAAAGAAAAGGTTTGATTTATTCATGGGGCCTGCACTGCACTGGAGTGGTCTTTTCTTTAGCTGCCATTTGCCACATTATCTGTGTAGACAGGCCATTATGTATATATATGTATTGGTGGGATTAATTTTATTGTCTCCTGTAGTAATTTAATTTGCTTGGGGATTTATTGATAGTTTTGGAAATTAGGGATTTGTTAGAGATTATTTGGCCATTATTATCATGTTTATAAATGAAGTGGAATAAATGATAATATGTAGATGAGGAGGAATGGGGTTTGGGTAGAGCGCCTGTAAAACCTTATCCACCTGCACAGTGAAATTTAGGGTTCTATTTTAGTACACGTGGCTCCATATGAAAGTTTTGTGTTTTTATCTGAGAAGACAAAGCGTATCTCGTAGAAGGAAAATGCAATTTTGCCTTTGAAATTTGTCACAGTAAAAAATTAAAATACTTAAAAATAAGAACATGTGGTTGAGCCTGAATGTTTGATCATCATTTACATCACAATGGTGTTTACTGTGTATATATATATATATATATATGTTACATTTAATATTCGTGTTATTTTCTTTATATCATCCTTCAATATATACACGAGTGATAGTATGAATAGAATATATTTTGTGTTAAAATCAATAACAATATATATTGTGTAGGCTGTTGTTCATTCATAAAAACAAATAAATTAATTAAATATATGTTAAAACTAATTTTATATTTAAAAATATCATATCAATATATAAGTAACGAATTGTTTTTTTTGTTTTAAAATCTAAAATCTTAACTTCTAAATCCTAATTGTCATTAGGGAAAGCCTTGCTATATTAATATTCGTTCTTACAAAAGATAAGTTTCTAATAACACTATCAAGCTCTCAAAGCATGTTATTTGACGTTTTGATTTGGTTTGAAATCTAATTATTGTAAAAAAAAATTGAAATAGTACTATTCGTTATGATGTACTCCATTAAATGTTTTGAGTCGACGCTTTTACATGTTTAATAGTCCGAGATTAAATTCAAACAATCTTAAAATTACCTACATTTAGAATTTTTTCAAAAAATAATTTTAATTTTTCGGCTGGGAATTTAAATAAATTATTAATATTACTTTGACACTTTAATAATATTCCTTCTATCTCATTTAATTTTTTATTTTTTTTTTCGTTCTTTTGTATAATTTATAATTTGTTATCTTTAAAAATATAATTATATATTTAATTATATTTTAAAATTTATAATTTATTTTCTCCGTTCTATAATTAGATATATATTTTACTTTTTGTACGTATTTTTAGAAATATTAGTATTATATTTGTATAATATATGATAAATTACATGTTAGTAATAGGGAATTTACTTAAAAATAAATAAATAAATATTTTGGTATAGTACATACTAGAAAAATGGGATAATTTATTATTGGACTGAGGGAATAATCTTTTAATTAGTACCGAAGTAATCATAATAATAAAGAGAAAATGCTGATTGGTCCGCGGCACAGTTGAGTTGACGAAATAACTTCCAAAGAAACAAAGTGTGAGGCGGAGCAGCAACGGGTACAACATCCAAAGCGAGAGGTTCATCATAACTTTCAGCACATTCACTCACTCCCAATCCCCAATCCCCACCATCCATGGCCGCCGCCGCCGCCGCCTCCACCGTCTTCCTCCTCCCGCCCTCCTCTCGCCGCCGCCGCAGCAATTCCGTCCGCCTCCTCCGCCCCACCATAAAGGCCTTCTCCGCCCCAACCCTCACCCAAGACGACCTCAAACGCCTCGCCGCTGACAAAGCCGTCGACTACGTCAAATCCGGCATGGTCCTCGGCCTCGGCACCGGCTCCACCGCCGCCTTCGTCGTCGACAAGCTCGGCGCGCTACTCAAATCCGGCTCCCTCACCGACATCGTCGGCGTCCCCACCTCCAAGCGCACGCAGGAGCAGGCCGCCGCCCTCGGCATCCCCCTCGCAACCCTAGATACGCATCCGCACCTCGACCTCGCCATCGACGGCGCCGACGAGGTCGATCCGGCTCTGGACCTCGTCAAGGGGCGCGGCGGCGCTCTCCTCCGCGAGAAGATGGTGGAGGCGGCGTCCGACGCCTTCGTGGTGGTCGTCGACGATTCCAAATTGGTTTCGGGACTCGGAGGGTCGGGACTCGCTATGCCTGTGGAGGTGGTCCAGTTCTGCTGGAACTACAATTTAGTGAGGCTCCAGGACCTCTTCAAGGAAGAAGGCTGCGAGGCCAAGTTGAGGCTGGACGGCAGTGGCAAACCCTATGTGACTGATAATTCGAACTACATTGTGGATCTGTACTTCGCGACGCCGATCAGAGACTCGGCGGCGGCGGGGAAGGAGATCGCGGCGCTGGAAGGGGTGGTGGAGCACGGATTGTTTCTGGACATGGCGACTGCAGTCATCATTGCTGGCAAGGATGGGGTGAGTGTCAAGAACAAGTGAGTATTTTATTTTTACTACTAATTTTCTTTCTGGATTTTTGAAATTGGTTTGTGTTGTATTTTGCACTGCTGATTTGGGTACAGAAAATGGATCAATAATTTCTTGATCGTCACTAAAAATGGTTGGTTTGGATCAAGATTTTGGGTTTACAGTTGGATGATGAATGTGTGTGTTTATACACACCACATTGGTTTTTTTGGATTTGTTTGCTATAATGGAAAAATGAAGAGAGTAAAAATTCAAGAATTTGATGGTGCTGAATCAGAAGCTAATCTACTGAGTTAAGAAAAACTCAATCTTTTCTAATTGCTATATACATCTCCAGAGGAGCTTCCAAAGCCAAGCAAATTTTGGACGTCACAACAGTACACACTGCAATATTGGTTTCTTAAATTCAATTCAATAAATTTTAAAATACTTTTTCTGTTTATCATAAACATATTTCAACATATCTTTTATGCGGTATAATAACATAACTCTAATAAATTTTGGCATATCAATGAAACCATAATGATAAAAGTTAAAAACACCACCACCAATTAACCAAAGCAATCGAAAAAATAACAAAAAAAGAGTAAAATGCGTCAAAGAGTGTCACACACAGTGCAAGAAGAATAAAAGTCAGTCATCCGGGGAACAATTTGATCCCCAAGAGAAGAAGAATGGCAACATATTAGAAACCGGCGCAGTGGCGGGAAGTCAAGATCTCCGACAGCGCCGCCTTACTGCTTGCCGCTGCCGCTGCCGCCACCGGAGGAAGAACCGGCCGCTCCACGAATACGCTTCTGGAGATGTTCCAAGCTCGCCACCCTCTGCATCGAAACAGTCCTTCCAATCTTGTTCGCCCCGACTGCAGCGGCGTCGTTGGGCTGTAAATTCTCCCCTGGATTACCATCGATCAAACCGTTTTGGATCCTGTGGTCCTGCACGGCGACAGAAGCACGGTTGTTAGACTGCGGGCAGTGGTAGTATTGCTGGTTCAGATCATCTTGCACCGGGACAGCTGCGTCAGCAGATGTGTCGGGACTGCCGGAGAAAGCTGGCCTGCCTAATGCCGACATTTCAGACATGGCTTGGAAAAGTGGGTTCAGGCCGGTGACTCTTTTCACCGTTTCTTCAGCCATTTTAACCTGTTGAAGGAAATACCAGAGATTAGTCGGTACTCGGGGCTGTTTTGGAGATGAAAAATAATTCAGGCAATGAAGATTTTGAAGCGACAGAAGAACTACTGTGGAGTGATATTTAGAGCAGAATATCAGTCCATATTGAAGTGATCCGGAGAAATATTTCATTTGGCAAAGATGTTTATGCTGAAGATTAAGCTGGGTAGAGATTGCTAACTAATAAATAACATTAGATTCTCAAATGATATAGCTAGTAATATAATTCGGGTTCTTCTAGAGGTATAATAGGTTTGTGGAGATAATTAGTGTTCCAATCTAATACGAGAACCGAAGGGGAGGCCGTATTTATATGCAGGGTAAGTTATTGAGGAATAACAAATATGTTTGGAGAATTTGAAAAATCAGAAGCAAGGCAAGTATAAAACTCTCGTAGAATTGATTACCTTTGCTCTCAGTGTCTCGACATCAGCTTTCAGAACTCTGTTATCAACAGCTGCTTCATTATATTTGTTGCTTATGTCCGTTAGCCGCTTGAGCAAAGATGAGTTCTCGACTTTTAATTGAGAAACCTAAAAAGAGGCAAAATTTCAGTGTCTTATGGGGCAATAACTGCAGGATCGTTGAAATGAAGTTGACCGGAAATCACCCTTTACCTGTGTCTCAAGCTCAGTCAAATGGGCTTGTTTTCTTCTTCTAGAGCGACGAGCAGATTCTCTGTTTGAAAGCATTCTGAGAAAACATAAGGAAATTAATCAGACAAGATTCACTGTTAAAACCAATGATCTAATGGAATGTGAGAAAACTTAGGGCTGACAGCCATCAACGAAGAGAAGCTGACTATTTTGTGCCGATGAATGTGGTCTGAACAATGAAAATAACAAAGGCAAAATCCACTTTAGCAAGATACTATCAGAAAGCCTTTTCTCAGTTGATAACCGATCCCTAGCGAGCAATGCAAGTAAAATACACAATCTACCAACACTATATTTCTTTAGGCTACACTTTATTTGGTTATATGATCATGGTCTGAACCATACGAATATAGCCGAGTACTCCTCAATTATTACCATGACAATCGAAATACCTTCAGCTACCATATTTTCCATTGCCTAGCAGCTTGTGTGAGAATTTTTACGGTCCTCGTGTAAACTAACTCCAAGTCTAGCCTATCTCTCCCCCATTTCCAGACAACCGGTTTTTTACACAATCATAAATGGCTGGTTACCAAATGATTCAGGCAAATACCTTCTCATTCGTTTTGCATCTGTAGGATCTGCATTTAGACTCGTTTCATTTTCTCCCTCTGCTTCATCATCATCTGACTGATCCCCTGATGATCCGCTAGCTGTTAACTTCACCTGAGCACCAGATTTTTGCGACATAGCAGGCAGTGGAGGTATGCCAATCGGTCCACCAGTGTCCTTGTCTTGTAACTTTGATGCATCCAGCCCACTTGCTATCAAAAGAAAATGGTTCAAAGTTCAAACAACATCACGCTAACATAAAGATATTCTAAAGACAAGATACCATAAAATACTTCGATTTATGTGAAGACACATGTGAATTTCAATGTGAACAAATTGCACACAACAATGTGCGGATTACATTCGTGGTGAATATAACAAACAAAGCTATGTTAAGGCACTGTAGGAGTCAACAAGAGCATAACACCACAATCACAAGAACAATATTCTTTTAAATGGCTAACAGAAGTTATAAACATATTGTGAAATTTTGTAAATGACCATTTGGTTAAAGATTAATGAGTGGAAAGAACTCAATGCTATTGGGAAAAACCGGTACCCCTAAACTCAACATAGTCATTTTAAGGCTTGCTTGTGTTCAAAACAAGGATCTAACGAGTAAATTGTGCAGTTTATACATCAAATCTAGATTATGGGCAGGTGTACAATGAAAAAAAAAAAGTTAGGAAATTCAACTTTGATACAAGTGTATATCATGCAGCCATCTTTTTCTCATTTTACAGGAACCCTTCATTACCCATAACTACATGCAATGGTGTAGATGATCCATAAACGTAATTTAATATTATAGCCCTTTGGAACAAATGTATACATAAAATCAAAGCCAGTCATTCATGTTGCTCAGCAGGAAAAGATGGTCTTGAAAATATTGAAAAAGAACCTTTGTTAGTAACATGAGACCCCATCGAATTAGAAGCCTGAGACACATTGTCGGGTGCCACTGCAGGCGATAAACCCGGAACCTTGCCACCGGTTGCCTGCATGAGTTGTAGAATCCAGAATTCAACATATAAAGTGCAACATAAGAAATAAATTACCAACATTATAGTCTTGAAATACTTCAAAAACTAAATAATCAAACCATAAATATATATATATATAGATAGATAGATAACAGAGAAATATATATATATATAATATATTACACAGATATTATTCACCAACTATATTGTAGGCCTGAAAGAATCAACAATTTTAAGCTGCGAAACCTAAGCTCCGACCACCACAAATCCAGCCAGATCAGCTCAAATTCAAATCAATTACGCAAACAACGATAACTATAATTTCCCTATGTTTAGTTAAAAAGCAATTTCTTCAACTTCCTCAAAAAGGTCAAAAGGAAATACCCGAGTCAAAGCGACGGCGGCGCACGCCAGTTCGAGGCGGCTTTTCAAATACGCCTGATAAGCCTCCGAATCCGCAGGTATATTGTGACGCGGAGCCCCATCCGCCGCCGGTGGCGGCGGATGCTGGCCACTAGTACCCTCAGCCCCACCGGATTGGTCGCTTCCTTTGATCTCCACCACATCGTCGTTCTGCGGCGTATTCCTCGTCGAGGAGGACGCAGAAGACTGCACGCCGGCGGCTCCGTTTTCCGCCGCGACGGCCTCCTGGAGAAATCGCTGGAATGCCCATTCCGACGAACTCCGGAGCATCCGCATCATTTTGGCAGCGGAGGCCGATGAAACCGCCGAAGACGAGGCGTGGTCCGCCTCCGCCGCCGCCGCGGCGTCGTCGTCCTCCTCAGGAATCGGAGGAGCGTGCGGCGACCAGAAAGGCTCAGCTATGTCGTCCACTGAGAAAACTCTATCCATCGTTCTCTCTCTTCCTTCCTGCTTTGTCTCTTCTCTCTCTCCGTCTCTCTCTCTCTCCACTACGGAAATGTTAAGACCGTGTTTGGCTTCAACTTTTAAAGTCTCCATATATTTTCCGTATCGTGAAAGCGTGTTTTTTTTTTTTTTTTTCTTTCCTTTTGGGTGTGTTTGTTTGGAGGAATGGATTTTAAATTTATTATTATTTTTTTTTCTTAAAACACATCAAATTAAATTATTATTTTTATTTTTTATATTATATTAAAAATTAATTTTATATTTAAAACATCGTATCAGCACCTGTTTATATCAAATCATACAACTATTCAAATTCAAAATTTTTACTATTTAAATTCCAGCTCAAAATACTAACTCTCAAACAAACACACCATCATTCGTTTTGTTCGGGGTATGATTTTTATTTATTTTTAAATTTGAATTAAAAAAAAATGAACTGAAATATTTGTATAATATATATAAATATTTATTTTTATGGTATTTTAAATATAAAATAATTTTTAATATTTATTCAATTTAGCTAAATAAATATATATTTACTTTCCATATAAAATTTTAAAAATATAGAAATATTTTAATTATAAAAAAATAGTACTATTTTAATTATAATATGTAGTTAAAATTAGTGATAAGATAATATTATTGCCTTTGATTTTTGTATAAAATTAGTGATAACATAATAGTATTTGTTTGGAGGAAGGAGTAGGATATTTTTGAATTGTTATTTTGTACAATCCAGTGACATGTATATTTTTTGAATTGACAAAAATAAATAGAATATAAAAAATAAAAATAAATTTTTAATTTGATGTTTTGAAAAATAAAAAGAATTATATTGAAAATGTCATATTAACAATTATTTATATCATATAATACAACTATTCAAATTCAAATTTTTACCATTGAAATTCCAAATCCCCGACCAAATACATATTCAATATAAAAAATAATATTCCTTCCGTCCCAAAAATAAGTATCCATTTGCTTTTTACACGTAATTTTAAAAATATTAATATTATATTGGGATATAGTAAGAATAAAGTAAAAATGACTAAAATAACTTTATTAATATTTGTGATATAAAGGTAATGACATTTGTATAATATATTGTAAGTTGTAAGGGTATTTGTAATGTTAGGTAGATAGTACAGTTACTGCAAAAGAAAATTAATACTTTTTATGGGACGGATTAAAATATAAAAATAATTTTTTTGTTACGAGAGAACGAAGTAATAATATTTTATTGAACCGTTCACTTTTAGTGAAAATATTTAGTATATATATTATTTATATAGTATAAATATGTATATATTGAAGTACTTTTTATGAATATCTTATTAAAAATTATGCCAACATAAAATTATAAATAAACAATTGAATATATTTTTATTAAAAGATTAAACAATGTACTATTTTTATTTTAAATACAAACGAAATACATATATAAATTAGAAATATATTTATAGTTTTGATGATTTATTAATACCGTATTAGTTGTCACAATTAGTGTATATATACACTAAAAATGACATATGAAATATATGTTACTTAGCTATCAGAATCATCACAGTAACATACTTCATTTATGGACTCTATGTGATCCAATATATATATATATATATATATTAATTCCTCTCTCTCAATATAAATAAGTGATTTGAGATTTTGTAGTATATTAAAAAATAATACTCCCTCTGTTCCATAAGCAAATATTTATTTATTTTTTGCACGTAGTTTTAGAAATATTAGTATTATATTGGGATATAGTAGAAATAAAATAGAAATGACTAAAATAACCTTATTAGTACGTATGATATAAATGTAATCACATTTGTGTAATATATTGTAAATTGTAAGGGTATTTGTAATGTTAGGTAGATAGTACAGTTACTAAAAAAAATGAATACTTTATTATGAGACGGAGTAAAATGGAAAAATTGATATTTTGTTATGGGACGGAGGGAGTAATATTTTATTAGTTCATAAAAAATATAAAATAATTTTAATATTTTTTTTGTTTTTTACTTTGTGTATAAATTAATTTGATGAATAATTGTATATTTATAATATATGTAAAAAATTTAAAATATTTTGATATTAAAGCACAATTATTTTTACTATAAAATAAGACGAACTAAAATGGGTCCAGTAAATATGACCTGGGGATAAATTCGTGACTAGGTGGCTATGGGTTTAAACACGGATAGCTCTTGGTCAAACTATTAGGTTCGGGTATAAAAACACAAACGAATGATAAAAATAATCGTTTTAGTTGAGAAAAAAAATGTCCTTAAGAATAAGGAAAAGATGGTGTCAAAATGGTAGACTGTTAATTAGTGGGCCCAGTTTTGTAATTATCCACGACAACTGCCACGGATTTGTATGTACGTTTTTAATTATTTGTGTTTGTTTGATTTTGGTTTGTATTTAAATAAATATTTACTCATGTGAGAAGATAAAAAAATATATATTAAAAAAATATAGGGCAAATAAATTTAATATTTTAATATAATAATTATACTAATATCAGACTCATCTTATTGAATTATAGTGAATTTTTTAAGCACAATTATTTTCTTTTATTAGAAACTTATTTAAAGAAGCATCCAATCTGTTGGTGAGTGAAAAAATTATATAAATAAGCTGACCTTTACACCTTTGACACATGATTTTCTATCCAAACACAAGTTTTCTCCTCAAAAATCAAAATATTATTTAACTTTTATTTAATTTATTTATTATTTATTTTCATAATTTGATGGAGATTCATTCAGTATTCTACAATAAATTGATTAATAATTATTCTCGTGTTTTATTATCACGCATCTATATTTCATGTTACATCAAGACTTCGATTAGGCACGTTGAAAACAAGAATCCTGTTAAAGATAGCATGAATATGATTACATTGATTTTATTGAGAATATTTACATTGTATTGTATATATATTTTGTTACTTTTTATGATTTCAGTGTAGCATTGATAGGTGGGGTAATTTTGTAATAGGTTAACAGCTAACTCCATAGAATTTGTTTGTTTAATATTTTAATTTGAAAAATTATTTCAACTGTTTAAAAATATTATACTATTTATTATATTTATATTACATATATAAATTTTTATATTATATATATATATATATTTTTTAATGTAAACAAAAAAACACAAAATATATTTTATTTTTATTTATTTATGGTGAAAGAGGTGAATGTAAAAACGGAGCTAGAACATACCCAAAATTTGTTGAAGTCAAACGTGTTGAATTAAATATAAAGCAAAGGCCCTCCCTCCCAGTCCCTCCATCCCCAAATCCTTCACGACCTGAAAACCCTAGAGAGAGAGAGAGCGGTCTCCTCGTGCTCCAATGGTTTTTCCGATTCCTGCAATCCGCCACTGATTCGGTCGGTTTACAGTTGGACGAAGAGGTGAAATCATGTCGGAGGTGGGGCAAGAGACCGTGGATTTCGCTGCCCTGGTGGGCCGCGCCGCCGAGGAATCGTACGGCTCACTGAAGGAGCTGGTCGAGAAATCCAAATCGTCGGATGCGATGTCGGATTCCGATAAGAAGATTATGATATTGAAGTACATTGTGAAGACGCAACAGAGGATGCTCCGACTCAATGTCCTTGCTAAGTGGTGCCAGCAGGTGTTTATTTTACCATTTTTTTCAATTTTATTGTTCTTTTCGGTTCTTTTTGTTTTATATGTTATATGGCTGCTTTCCCATGGTGCCGTGAATGGAGTGTTGATTGTTCTTGCCTTGGAATGGACACGGAGTTAAGGAATATATAGTATTTATTACCCAGAATTGTGGGGAAAGGGTATTTGTTATGTTGTGTGATAAAATGAATATGCAAGAGTGATTGTAAAGTACACTTCCCCAGCCTGCACTTCGTTTGAAATCTGGTTTTCTAAGGAAGTCTCCCCATTGGATTACTCAGCATTCTCTAATCTCATCACAATTGGTTGCGCTAGTCTGTGTGTCTGTCAAACCATTACTCACCCCTTATCTTGTAAATTTTTTGAGTAGACAAGAATCCCTTGCTGGCGTTTAGTTAGGTAAATCAAAGGTGGTGTTATCTAATTTTGTTAGTTGTCTTTTTACCCATTTAATTAGTTTTCTAAATTGGAAAAAACATCTACAATTTTTCATCTGTGCTACTGGAGTTGCAGGTTCCCCTGATACAATACTGTCAGCAACTTGCATCAACTCTGTCAAGTCATGATACTTGCTTCACACAAGCAGCAGACTCGATGTTTTTTATGCACGAGGGTCTACAGCAAGCTCGAGCTCCTATTTATGATGTTCCATCCACAATTGAGGTTCTTCTAACTGGAACCTATCAGCGCCTGCCTAAAAGCATAGAAGATGTTGGTACACAGGGCACATTAAATGAGGAGCAACAAGGTCCAGCGATAAAGAAACTGGACACACTTGTCAGGTCAAAGTTACTTGAAGTTTCACTTCCCAAGGAAATTACAGAAGTCAAAGTTTCTGATGGTGTTGTGCTGCTCCGTGTTGATGGCGAATTTAAAATTCTTGTCACACTTGGTTATAGAGGGCATTTGTCCATGTGGAGAATATTACACTTGGAGTTGCTTGTTGGTGAGAAGGGCGGGCTCATTAAAATGGAAGAATCGCGGCGCCATGCTCTTGGAGATGATTTGGAACGCAGAATGGCTGCATCGGAAAACCCTTTTGCCACAATGTATTCTATTCTTCATGAGCTCTGTGTTGCTCTTGTTATGGACACTGTTATAAGGCAGGTGCAAGGACTGCGGCAGGGCAGATGGAAAGATGCAATTCGTTTCGAACTCATATCTGATGGTAGCAGTGGGCATGGGGGAAGTTCTTCCACCATTCATGGTACTCAAGATGGGGATGCTGATTCTTCTGGGTTACGAACCCCAGGATTGAAAATCATATACTGGTTAGACCTTGACAAAAGCAGTGGCATAACTGAAGCAGGGGCTCCATTCCTAAAAGTTGAACCTGGTCCTGATTTGCAGTTTAAGTGTTTGCATAGCACATTTGTGATCGATCCTCTAACTGGCAAGGAAGCAGATTTTACGCTCAATCAAAGTTGCATTGATATTGAGATGCTACTGCTCAAAGCTATTGGTAGTAATAGATATACTCGGCTACTTGAGATATACAAAGAATTAGAGAAGAATGGACAGATCAATAGAACTCCTGGTGATGTCCATCTTCAGTATCATTCAGATGACTGTGATAGAGAATCTGGAAAGGTATCATTTACATTTATATTTTTCTAAAAAATTTGTCTTTTCTATAATCATAACAGTTTCTTATAGCTTCCAATGCCCTTGTACGCAAGTTATTAGCAATGACTCAGAAATTTCTGCACCTTCTTAGCATGGCTGTATAATTTAATAGTAGAGGCATGCCCAATTTAAAAATTGATCATAAATAAACTACCTTAGAGCTGGTTGTAGTGGAGGCATGCACATGATGTAAGCAGTGCATATATTGATGGGGAGTAAAGATATGTTTTAGTGGTATGTATGTTTTATTGGATATTGAGTACAGATATTGTGGCATTAAAGTACCGATTCAGCTACCAACCTAATATAGGGTATTCAATGTTGGGGAGTGTCCAGATACTGAGATATTCAATTCCAGATTTTTGAAATGTGTTGTTGTCCCTAATCATTTGACTGGTGCTGCTGCGGGACCAACATTGAAGGTCATTTAGTGCGTAAGATCCATCCACTGTAAATAAGCGAGATTCCATATTTATGAAAATAAAAATCGGTTTAATTTCGGATGCATTCAATGACTTCCATTTATATAGTTGTTTTTGGTTGTAGGATGTAGATGGCAGCTAAGCATGAGATACCTATGTATTCATAAATTCATAACTAATTACTGTAGCACTATAAAATCAAAATTGTCTCTGTTAGTGAGTTTTTTGGGCTATTCTGAATATTTATGATGGTGGGCCTGGATGTAGGCCTTGTTACATTGGTTATAAAGTTGAATTATACGCTTTCGACAGTCGAGTTCATTATAACCATTTCATGCAAACAAGTTTATATTGGTGCATCTAAGGTGACTTGATTACTATGATCTTAGCTTTACAAGGTAGTACACAGGAGCATTCCAAAGGAGTGTCTATTGATTCCTTCAATCATCTTTTTTCTTAATTTTATTTTATTTATGTACTGCTTTAACTTCTTAAAATTCTAAAACATTTTCCCACTGTTGTTGGAGAAGATAATAAAACCTGTAGCTTTGAATTTTTAGAGACAAGGAGAAATATTTCATCTATTGTCTGTTTTTGACCAAGCTGTGATTCGAGAATACTTTTAAAATAACCAATCAATAGTATGTTATTTTATTTTATATTTCTACTTTGGGTATAACACATTTTACTATATTATGCTGTTTAAGGTTTGTTTGAATTATTAGACATAATATAAAGCTTCTATTAAGAAATATTGAACTATGCTCACTGAGAACTCAAATCTTCTTGCTTTTAAATCATTTAAAGAGTATTAGCTCTAATCAACGGTATTCATCAGGAACTGTATTTTTAAAATTTAACCAATCACAGTAAATAGTGTCGTGCCATCGCTTCTCAGTTTGTTTCCATCCGATTGATTGAATTTTCGCATTACAAACAACACGATCCTACATTAGATAAAAACCTATTTTAAATAAAAAAACGACCCTTAGAAGAGATCCTCCTATTACATCAGACTTCTGATAACTGCTACTCAAGTTGAACTTAAGCACTCCGTAGACCATTTTGCTCAGTGGAGCGCCAAAGGAAATGTTGATTATCTGTTTCACTTCAGATTTTGGCTTTCTTTCCGATTCCTTCGTATTATATCTATGCTTTGCTATCAATAAATTTATTTTACTTTCAATAAAGAAAAAAAGTACTACTTATTTGTTTATTTTGGACATAAATGTTAAAGAGAGACAGGGAACCGTCGCTTGTAGAGAGACATCACTTTCATGCTTAGATGCCCTTTTTTTTCGAAAGATAAGACATCTTATTTATGATAGTTAGTTCATGGGGAATGACAGCAGTAGTTGATTCAGTGAGCCATAGAAAATAACACATCTATGAATGTATGTGACATACGCATCCATTGTTGAGAATCACAGTTATTATGATATGCACAACCTGAATTCACACTCATTGATGGCTCAAAAACATCCAATTCTACTGATGCATTACTGGCCACAGCAAAATGTGAACAAATGGTTTAGTTGCCTGGTTTTTTATTTTTATATTCAACTTTTAAACATCTTGAAGAACCTGAGTTCTGAAATTAGCTTAGGGTTGTAGTTTTGTATGGACACTACTTTAGGGCGGGAATGTAAAAATATGAATAAATTGAAACTACATAACTAATTTGAAACCAAATAGCATAACGTTCCCCACTCTAGATAAATCCCTGCTCTAAAATGAAGGTTCCTCTTGAAGACTTTAAAATGGTTGAATGCAACTCATGGATTACTTGTGTTTTTTCAAATAGGGAGATGACACATTTGATATGCAAAAGCATGATGGTGAGGTTGCTCTGCACGTCCGTGCCTATGGTTCTTCATTTTTCACTCTTGGAATAACCATAAGGTTAGCTCTTCTCTTACCTGTTTTCTTTTGTAACTACGTGTTGGATATTCTTCTGAGGTTTTCTACTGCTGTGCTGATTTGCTTATGAGAGGTTTCTACAATAGCTTACGACTTTATACTTTTATGTTTAATTTTTGTCATCTATGATTGATTGTTCAATAATGGCCTTTTCGATAAATATTTTTTGCTCGGCAAGTTTTAGATTTTGATTAATGGATGATATTTTCATGTCCTGGACCACATAGCTATGACGATTCTCAGACGAATTTTATGGTATGCTCAAACAGTATGTTATTAGTGTTCCACATCATGCCACAAATTTGAGTTTTGATGAAGGACCTTCTCTTTGAATGGGATAAAATGCAACAACTAAGTTATGCTGAGATGGTTTGATGGCTAAATGGAAAACTTTACCCTGTGGTTGACACATAGTTGTTCACACTGTTGAAACCTGCAGTGTAATTGTTAATGGATTTTAATTGATTCAAGTATCAGTGTATCTCATATTAATAATGTCAAGTATTCTTGACAATGTTACTATTGAATATGGCAAAGAAACCAGGTTTTGGAGTCTTAATTTGAAGAAAATGCTAAACAGAAACAAACCAATCTTATTAATTTTATATTATTTACTTGTAGGTTTTTTTGGGGGGGATGCCATGCCATACACATACTCTGTTAGAAGTTAGTACTATTTACCTACATTAAAATACACAGTAGCTATAGCTTGGCTATCGAACTACATCAACTCACATGTTTCAGGCACCTTTTCTAACAAGTTCATCTGTCCAAAAATATTCTATTGAGTGTTTTTTGAATGTCGGGATAAGTTGTGCACGAAGTCAAGGAAAATGATAAGTTACCGTCATTACATTCGTGCTTACTTTAATTGAGGAAGGCCAACACAAAATAATTGCCAGTTAACAGCTTGAAAGTTTCTGATAGAATTTAACCAGAGTTACAAGGAAATTATTAGTGTGAATGGTAATTTCCATGTTGAGTTTGACTACTACTGTATCTGTAGTACAACACAGGGTGTGGTGTTATTTGATTTTTTTTTTTGGCACTATGCACAATATACAATAGAACATTTTCCCTCCTAGAAAATTTTACATCCAACACCTATTTTTCATTCAAACATCACATCAGAAAAAAAATTTCCACTCAAAAATTACATCTAATACCTTTTTTTTTATTTAAAATATTACATAAAAAACCTATGTAACTATGTTTCATTAGAAAGATTTCAAGTCCAAAACATCCACAAGCAATCCAAATCAAACAAACACACCTATAATAACTGCGACACAATGGAATTTTAACTTGTTTAATTTGTCAGTTTTTCTTGTAATGCTTTCAAATGCAAAGGAACTCCAAATGTATCTACAGTGACCATAGTGGATAAAGCTGGGAAGAACTTGATCTATACAATATTTGATATATGATGTAACAGTTGCAGTCTAAGAGAATTCTTCGCTCACCATAACTGAATAGTGAATACTAAGACTCTTTGCATGTGTGGCCCTATGTGTGTTCTTAACAATAAGTAATTGCTCTTTTATTTTATTTTACAAACCAGCATGCTAGTAGCACTTCTGTGTGATTGAGAGTTGGAATAATGAAAAAACAACCAAGCACAATGTACATCATTCCTTCTAATTTGCAGGAATGGCCGTTTTCGTCTCCGTTCACCAAAAAATATTATATCAACAAAGGCTTTGACAGAGTGTGAAGAAGCACTGAACCAAGGAAGTGTTACTGCAGCCAAGGCTTTTATCAACTTGAGGAGCAGTAGTATTTTACATTTATTTGCATGCATTGGAAGGTTTCTGGGTCTTGAGGTATGCAAAATCTTATGATTATTTCTCTTTACTATGATGAAATTGCAATCTAGAGTCTAGACCTTTAATATCTACCTGAAGGAAGTTGTTGAAGTTCTATGTGGCAAATGTCCATTGATTTCTTGAATAGATTATAATCAAGGTGGATGCTCTTCAATGTTTAGTTTTTTGTCATACCTTGCAAAATTTTCAACGCACACAGAAAGGTTTGCACAGCTGTCTTAAAGGCATTAATCCCTTTCTGATAAGTAATTGAATATTATATAGTCACCTCTAATAATTCAAGATGGTATTGCTTCTGGTGATGTGATCAACTAGATGCCTTGAACTCAAATTCCATTGTCACTCATTAACAAATTGTTGCAGGGAGTGAGTAACTCGATAATAAATCCACTGCCGCCTTGAAGGGAGTGAGACTGGGCTTGTTAAACTTAAAACAACTTCAATATCACATTTCATGGTTCTAACTTATTATGTTTCTAATCAAGGAAATTAATAAACAAAGTCAATGCAAACATATTTATATTCTTGGATTATGTTGTATTGTTAGTGTACAAAGTGGTGGAAAGCTACCATTGAAATACTGCTCTATCTACTCCTGACTAATGCTAATCGCTATGTGTTGGTGGCAAAAATACAGTTCCTAGTTTACACGCACACACCGAAAAACAATTGCTAGATGAAACTTATTAAACACACACCCATCATGAATATATGTTCTAAGTGAATGTATTATTTGAGGCAATTGAATAGGTGCTTTTGTTCTTTCTGCAGGTGTTTGAACGTGGTTTTACAGCAGGAAAGTTACCTTTGAGCATTTCAGATGATCCAAACTCATTGTTTATGGGATTCCCAGAATGTGGGGGATCTTATTTCTTATTGATGCAACTTGACAAAGACTTCAAGCCGTGTCCCAAATTAATAGAAGCTCAGGTAGGCTCCTCAGGGAATGCTGAGCCAGTTAGTGACAAGGCCAAAGCTGTTCGAATAAAATCTGTGGATATTAGCCGGATACGTATCTGTGAAGATGAACTCAGTTTGAGCCTTATTTGCCGTAAGGCATTGCCAATGCTTAATGATGGTAATTCTAAAGAGATTCCTGCACATAGTCTTTCTTCCAACTCCAACTTGGAAGGCAGTCAATCCAACATTCCGATAAGTTTCTCCTCCATTGTTGAGGAAGTGTTTGAGCTTGAGAAAAGATCAAGTGTACAGAATACATCTTCTACATTTGGTCTGTCTTCCACATCCAATTTTGGTATGAGCTCTATGAATGTCATAAAATCTTCAGCATCACCTCCTAGCTGGGAAGGAGCACAATCATCACAAACTGCTTTGGGGAATTTGAAGAGATCAATGCAATCCAGCTCCAGCGATTCTCTTGCCCCTAATTTTGTCAGAGGGATGGCTGTGAAAAAAATGAATGCTTCGAAGTCAGATCAAGATTTAACTTCTATGAGATCTCTACAGGCTGGGGGGTTTGGTTCTAGTGGTGCAATGGATGATAATCGGATGACAGCAGCTGGACTCCCCCCAGCTCATATTTTATCCCCATCCCAGAGCACTGGTTTAGCAGCCAGTGCGAAATCTAATGAACCTAAGAGCCTGCCTGTTGGTATAGCATCACGGAGCTTTGATTCTGGGTCTAACTCATGGATTGCTTCTCCCGTATGTAAGATGCTGTCTTTATTGTTTTTGAGTTTACGTTTGTCTTTTAAAATTGCAGTGACATGTTCATTTACATTTGATCATGTTTTCGCTCTCAGCTTCCACACTTGATTATTCTGGTCTTGAGAACTCAAAGCAAGAAACTGGTCTTCAACACAACAGAACATCAAGAAAGCGATCCCTGTCTGATATGTTAAATTCCTTTCCATCACTTAGTGTAGAAATCAAAGAACAATCTAATAAAAGGAGAGCATTAGGAGTGTCACAGTCTCATAATCCTTCTGGACAGTTGCTTGTTTCACGCAGTCATACTGGTAAAGCAGAGGGGTACGTTTTGGCAAATTTCATAGCTGATGCAAACATGGGAAAAGCTTCTCCGTGCATTTATGTATCAGCGCTACTTCACATAGTTAGGCATTGCTCCTTGTGTGTCAAACATGCGCAGCTGACTAGCCAGATGGATGCACTTGACATCCCTTATGTTGAAGAAGTTGGTCTAAGAAGTGCATCATCAAACTTGTGGTTTCGTCTTCCTTTCTCTGGAATTAATACCTGGCACTGTATATGCCTGAGGCTGGGTAGACCTGGTAGCTTGCAGTGGGATGTCAAAATTATCGATCCCCACTATAAAGATTTGTGGGAGCTTCAGAAAGGGAGCAATACCACACCATGGGGATCTGGGATTCGCATAGCTAATACATCTAATGTAGATTCACATATTCGATGCGATTCTGAAGGGGTTATATTGAGCTACAGTTCGGTGGAGGCTGATAGCATTAAGAAGCTAGTTGCTGATATTCAAAGACTTTCAAATGCTCGGAGTTTTTCCCTTGGGATACGTAAACTCCTTGGTGCAAGGACTGATGAAAAAGTAGATGATAGTGTAGTAACTTTAGATGGCAAAGCTTCAGCTGGGTTGAAAGCTGTGACAGAGGGCTCTGAAAAGTTTACTGAACAGATGAGACGAGCATTTAGAATTGAAGCTGTTGGGTTGATGAGCTTGTGGTTTAGCTTTGGTTCAGGGGTTCTGGCACGCTTTGTTGTTGAGTGGGAATCTGGTAAAGAAGGCTGCAGAATGCATGTTTCTCCTGATCAACTTTGGCCCCATACCAAGGTTATTTTTTGTTTTTCATTTTTCTACAGATGATCTACAATTTTTGTTTCTTCATTATCGTATGCTCGATGAAGTATGCTGCAGCTTCTCTGAATTGTGCCTTTTCTTTTCTTTAACAACTGGAAAGTGGAAAGAGTTTATTGTTAATGTGATACTAAATATATGGATAAGGGTCAGGTGGAAGAGCCATATATAAATTGAATTCTAGTTGAGTGAGTAGTCAGGGTTAGTGGGCAAGCTTTCTACCGGAGTCCTTTATAATATTATGAAAGTTCACTTATTCAACTGTTATGCTTGATGTTCTTGTGTTTTCTCGTAACTTTGATTTTTCTGAAATTATGAGCTCCTACTCTGGCTGCAACATTTGATTTTTCCACTGCTCATTGGGATGAAATAAATAGGGAGGCATAGGACATCAACTTTCTTGATAACAAATTAGGATAGATGATTGAATAATAATCTTTTAGATTCAATTATAATTTCTAGGTACAGTTTCATTCTTAAACCATCCCCTTATTTTATTGTCAATCTGAATCCTTTTTTTGGAAGGTTGTGTTTTCATGTGCTTAGGTTGAGTTTATTTAGCAGTCTTTCTATAAGACAGGAAAGTTATTGTGGTTTGACCCCAATCAAGTTACATGTGCGCAAAATTTTATGTGTGCAACACCAACGATTTGTTATTAATAAACCTAACAACTAAGGAGTCGGCTGTGATACAAAGTAAACCATGAAATGTGCTTCTTTACCATGGAGCATCCAAAATTCGTATATTGATGTTAGTGATTAATCTTACTTGGACAATAACATATAAATTTGTCATATTTGAGTGGTGAAATCTCCAACAGTTGTAAGAGAACTGTTTAACTTATGTGAGTTCCCTAAGTACAGATTATATATCACATTGTTTTTTCACTTTTCATTTTTATTTAAATATCAAGATCAGTTCTCTTATCTCAATGCCATTCCATATCATAGATCATAGATGCTTGACCCACATATTCTCTCGTAATACATGGCTGTATTTTTACCCAACATTGACTTGGATTTGCTTGTTTCAAATATATTAGTTGATTAGACTTGTTACTGTTTACGTAATGATAAGCTTTGCACTGTGCTTGCTATCTTGCCTTTTGCAATATATGCTTGCAGAGTATTGTTCTTCATATTTGCTTCTAAAAAAATTGTGTTTTGCTGATTTTATCGACAGTTTCTAGAAGATTTCATCAATGGAGGTGAAGTTGCATCCCTTTTGGATTGCATCCGACTGACTGCTGGACCGTTACACGCTCTTGCTGCTGCTACTAGACCTGCCCGAGCTGCTCCTGTGTCAGGGGCTCCTGGCATTTCTGCATCAATATCTTCTAGTATGAAGCAGGCGGGATATACACCATCTCAGGCTTTGCCCAGCAATTCTAACACAAACACCAGTCAAGCCACATCCGGTCCAGGAATTAATCCCGGCGTAACTTCACCACCAGGCCCTACTGCAACTCATAACAGCCCTACAGCAGCAGTGTTGACGGCGGCAGCGGCCGCAGCAGCAGCAGCTGCTGCTGGAAGGGGTGGTCCAGGAATTGTTCCCAGTTCATTGTTGCCTATTGATGTTTCTGTGGTACTAAGAGGCCCATATTGGATTAGGATTATATATCGCAAAAATTTTGCGGTGGACATGCGGTGTTTTGCCGGAGATCAGGTCTGGCTGCAACCAGCTACCCCACCAAAAGTCGGCCAACCCATTGGAGGATCGCTCCCATGCCCGCAGTTCCGACCTTTTATCATGGAACATGTCGCTCAGGAACTGAATGGCATAGATTCAAATTTCACCGGCTCTCAACAGGCTCTTGGAATGTCTAACTCAAATCATCCTAATCCTAATTCGGCTCCGCAGCTACCGGCTACCCCTGGCAACAGAACTAACCTTGGCAATGCTCCTGCACTCTCTCGACCAGGAAACGCAATGGCTAATCTGCGAATGGGAAATGCTCTTCCAGGAGCGCCGAACTTGCCAATGGTTAATCAACTACGCCGGTCACCCGGGTCTGGCGTACCTGCTCATGTTCGAGGAGAGCTGAATACTGCAATAATTGGCCTTGGGGATGATGGAGGCTATGGCGGTGGATGGGTCCCACTTGTGGCGCTTAAAAAGGTCCTTAGAGGTATTCTTAAGTATCTTGGAGTGCTCTGGCTCTTCGCACAATTACCGGACCTTTTAAAAGAAATCCTCGGATCGATTCTGAAGGACAATGAAGGTGCATTATTGAATTTGGATCAAGAACAGCCGGCCTTGCGCTTCTTTGTCGGGTAAAGTTTGCATTTCCTGTTTACGTCGGGATCTAAAGTTTTTGCTAACTGTCCCTATTTACTGGTGTTCTTTTATTTGCTTAGTTGTTTTGTTTTGTGCTCGGAAATTGGGTTCTCATTTCTTGGCCTTACGAACTACTTTTGCAGGGGTTATGTGTTCGCCGTAAGCGTTCACAGAGTTCAACTTCTTCTCCAAGTCCTCAGCGTGAAAAGATTCCATCATTCGCAACAGCAGCAGCAAAACCCGGCCGCTTCCCAGGAGGAGTTAACTTCGTCCGAAATAGCCGAGATATGCGACTACTTCAGCCGTCGTGTTGCGTCCGAGCCTTACGACGCATCTCGGGTTGCTTCATTCATTACCCTCTTGACGCTACCGATTTCGGTCCTGAGAGAGTTTCTGAAACTCATCGCATGGAAGAAAGGGTTGTCTCAAGGGCAAGGGGCTGATGCGGCCCCTGCTCAGAAATCTCGGATCGAATTATGCCTCGAGAATCATATGGCGCCGAGCAGAGACGGCGGCAACTCCTCGTCTGTATCGAAAAGCAACATTCACTATGACAGGGCCCACAATGCCGTCGATTTTGCGCTGACGGTGGTTCTCGATCCTGCCTACATACCTCACATAAATGCTGCCGGTGGTGCGGCTTGGTTGCCGTACTGTGTCTCCATCAGATTGAGATACTCATTTGCCGATAACCCTACTGTGACATTCCTTGCGATGGAGGGCAGCCATGGAGGGCGCGCTTGCTGGCTCCATGTCGACGAGTGGGATAAGTGTAAGCAGAGGATTGCCCGGACTGTCGAGATGACCGGATCTTCTGGCGGGGACCCCACCCAGGGTAGGCTGCGGGTGGTTGCCGATAGCGTGCAGAGAGCTCTGCACGCGTGCCTTCAAGGGCTGAGAGACACATAGGAGATGGCACCACATTGCGACACAGAGAGATGGATGGATGAAAATGACAACGCCGAAAGTGAGCTCGGCGGGCCGGGCTGGGCCATGCCGAGCTTGGTAGTGTTGGAGTTTCTTGTTGGTTGGTGTTTTTCAGGGCAACAAAAGGTGTGGTTGGTTGGTTGGTTTCTTGTTTGTTTGGAATTTTGACTGATGGTGATGAAGTGAAGTTAGGTGTTTTCTTGTATGGTGTGGTATGGTATGGTATAATGTACTATACTGGTGGCTGTGGGGTTGTGCTTCTTGATGGTGATTCTGTTGTATAATTCAAACTACAATTTAGGCGTTTCATCGTTCTGTAATTATTATCAAAATAGAATTTTTTTTCTTGAAGGACTTTTTCATTTTTTTGTTAACTTTGCAGTTCTCTAATTCGGAATTGTTAGGTTAAATGAGCCCTATTGGGCCTTTTTGATGGGCCTCCAAAATGACCTAAATAACTGTATATATGCGCCGGGCCTATTAATACTGAAGTGGTTAATAGGCCCAACCAGTAATAGCGGGCATTGTTATGAGCCTAATCATACTGGGCCAGTATCAAGGCAAATCACAAACATGGGCCGCAGTTACTGGACCAGGTTAATCACACTGGACCAGTAGCCAATCCTATCAGTAATACGGGCCACAAGATTGGGCCGATATGAATCGTACAGGGCCGGTCTAAGGCCCAAACAGCATTAGGTGCCGAAGTAATTGGGCCGGGCCAACCATAATTGGTCGGCAGTAGGCCCACATAGTATTGGACTAAAGTGATTGGGCCAGGAGAAGTATATCCCAGACAGGCCCAATGTTGGACCGGAATAAGGCCCAATGGTTTGGTCCGATCCTAATAATAGTGGGCCAAAATTAGATCCGATATGTTTTGGACCAAAGTGATTTGACCGGAGCCAATCACACTGGATCGGTAACAGACCCAAGCACTAACACGGGCCACATAGGTTGGGCCGATCTGAATGATACTGAGCTTGCTTAAAGCCCAAACAAGGTGGCCTGGGCCTAGTCTGAGGCAATAATAGGCCCAATAAGTACATTGGACCAAAATTAATTGGGCCAGGCTAACCATAATTGGTTATAGTAGGCCTTCGTAGTACTGGCCTACATTAATTGGGCTGGGACAAGTAGATCCCAGAACAGGCCCGATTATTTGGGCGTTGATTGGGTCGGCTATACTAATTTGGGCCTATACGAGGCCCAATATTTTCTTTTGGCCGGCCCTAATAATACGTCCGATATTAGGCCCTACATGGATTTGAATTTATAACATAATTGCCAGTTTCAATGGACCTATAATCAAGCCTTACCCCAAATCGGTTTAATGCACAGGGGGGGGGCCTTCCACGTGTCCAACTTTAATTGCTCAATTAATAAAATATTATTTTCATAACCGTCAGTCCATATATTTTGTGCGGCCCAAGCGAAACTTGTCGTACTGCTCCATGAAATGATAAAAGATCAGCCTGAAAAGGAATTACCATCTCAGAGTGTCAACTGGGCCTCAAAATAAATAACAATAAAGGATCATTATATATATTTATATTTATACTGCATAATATATATGTATATATATAGAGAGAGAGAGAGAGAGAAGAATACGACGATGTACAAACCCTAATGCCTCTTGGTCCAACCTTTCTGACCTAGTTTATAGACAAGACTATTACGCACATAGCTAATACGAACATAGAACAGGAAGACGAAGAACAAGAATGAATACCTTATTTAGTCCGCAAAAGGAGAGAAGGTTTGGAATCCGAAAGTCAAGCTCCATTTATAGATACATACTTGTTTCTCCATTAACATCTGATCTCCATCTCCCCCACTTTCTTCTCTTATAGGAATGAATGAATGAATGCCTGATAATAACAATAATAATCTCCACTACAACAATAAAAGCAAGTTAGATTTTGTTATAAAAAGACACACATACAAACAAAAGGAGGACTGGCTATAAACAAAACAAAACAAAACGAGTCTCCCGAGCATCGATTGCATTATAAAAAGTCTAATTCATTGGCATACTTACCAAATAACAATGGAGATTCGCTTCACCACTTGGATGGATGGATGGATGGATATCAGCATTGGCGTTCGCTTCAACTTCACACAAGAATGTCATCAAGATATTTTCGATATCTGTATCCTTCCCATCTCCTGTCGCTACAAAGCATAGTCGGGGTGGGAGCATTACTGAACTCAAATACAATCAAGGTACGTACAACACAAGAAGGGCTCGAAGATTTACTTACTACCACTCCAAAATTAAATTTAACTAAGCATCTTTCTCATCATCTGCTCTTTGACAAAGATATTATCCATTGATGACACACAGATAATACAGTCGATCGTATCTCAATAAGTAGTTGTCTTACACATGAAGGCGCCTGCCTGCAAGCATCTTGTTCACTTCAGAATCAATAAAGTTCAAAAGCAAAAGTGTCATCATTCTAAGAAGTCTCTTTTGTGCTTCCAACTTTATCATCTCGCTCCTCTTCACTCACTGTTGTAACTTTCTCACTAGATTGCTCCGCAGAAGTTTCATCCTCCTTCTTCAGCTCTGACTCGAATTCTTTCGCTGCCTGCAGTTGAAATGTATGAATGAGCTTTATTCTTTCGTTGAAGTGCAATTGCTTTACAAAGGACTCGAAACGCCAGCCAGATTTGAGGTAAGAATAAATAAATTGCATCATTACTTGTGTGATGATCATAGGTTGGATGAGTTTACTATTGTTACAATAGGCTCTTGACGCCAAAAATTTGGCATTACAAAGCTCACAATCATTGATTATTGAATTACCATTTATATAAACCAACCAAGAATCGACTACAGCATATTTTCATTTAATATCAGGGAAAACAATCTTTTTCTTCTTAAGAAACCCAAGCTTCACATTTAATTAAATGAATATGATCTACACAGTAACTGTCAGATTTCTTGCATTCTCTAATATAATAAACTACCAGTTATACCAACTGTAATTATACTATAATTGATTGGTGGTAAGGCTTAAAAAAGTCCAGAAAAATTTATTCTTCAGTCGAGTATATATGTTCCAAAGGATTAGACACCATATGTAGATTATTTTCCAAAAACGCATGCTGTGTTCACGATCAGAACAATTCCATCTCATGCCTACTAGACCAGACCAAGGTGGGCAACCTTACATTAACTAAGCAATTTTCAATCCTAACAATCATATTATATTCTTGCATCACCATCAAACATTCCCAAAATGGGAACAAAATTATTTCGCCCAATATCCCAGGTAGGAAGTTGTTAGCAGCCAAGACTATTCTACAGGGTCTTCGACCAAGTTGCTGAGTATTAGCAATCACAACCACTATACAGCTCTTCCAGAAAAAAGGGTTAACCGGTAAACCATTTAAACAATATGATGCAGCTACAAGATGATCATGCCGAGGATACAGAAAACTAGTTAGCCGTACACAATTTGGGGGTACAAGCACTTAGAAAATGATCATTGGGTGTAACATCAAGTTTAGCACAGAAGAAATTCGGATCATTCTTATTTCCAGTAAAGCTAAATCTCTAGTATTTGTGCAGGGAAAGTAGAGGCATGAGACAATGTTCATCTCTTAAAATGAAAGCATTAGAAGATATATCTTTTCTACCCTTCAATGAACTAACTTAATGCCCTAATCTTTCAACCAAAACAAAATTACAAGAATCAGCCATTACATGTAGGTAGTGCTAACATAACGAATCAAATTGGCAGCAATACTTGGCTGAGGCATTCATTTCATCAAATCAATTGGCCAAAACCGCATAGCCCCCAATCACATACGAACATCTACCATATACCCTAATATAAGAACATAAACCCTAAATCAATTGACATATTACCAACAGCTTAAAAAAGAAAGGGAATTCCATATGCGTATTAGCTCGGAATCAACCAAAAGCTCAAAATATAATAACAACAAAACCTGAGAAAAATCCTAATTATGTCCAACAAAAGAGTAAAATCTGAAATTAGGACCTGCTGAAAGCCCTTGACAGTCTTGCCAATGCTGCGGCCAACTTCAGGCAATTTCTTCGGACCGAATAGGAGCACCGCTACGCCCGCAATAACCGCGAGCTCCGGGACTCCAAGACCAAACAAACAGTTGCAGGACATCCCCCTTTTCTTCGCTGCTCGATGCCGAGACACCGAAATCCCGAGCCGAGCCCGGGAACAGACATTGTAACTGAAGAAAATTGAATTCGAGGAAGAAAGAGGAGCGAGTCTAGTTGGTATATTTGGACGGGGCGACGCAGCTGTAGCCAGCGCAGATGAAACCGCTGCCATTGGAAGACCTTCGGATTGGCTTGTCTGTAAACAAACATATATCTCTTCTTCTGTGTCTTTCTCACAATATATATATATAGACGGCGCGGCGCGGCCCCACTTCATGCATTGCATCGTACTGCTTGCCTAGTTGCCTTGAATTTCTTTTGGGATACTTTACGAAGGTGTTATGAGTTAAACCGTCAAAATAATTGTTAAAAAATTAATATTACATATATAGTATTTTAAAGATAATAAAATATGTACTATAATAAATACATATATTGAAAGAACATATGCTATAATTGTAGTACATTATAATTTTATAATTTACACAGATATATATATAAATTTTGTTCACCCAAACTAACACACTAAACACACTCATATAAATTGTTAGTTTTACTTTTGATGCAATTTTTTGAAAAAAAATAGGAGTATATATTTTATTTTATTTTTACTTCTACTTTATGTCAGATAACTTTTATAAATTATCTTTAAATAAATAGAAAATAATATATATATATATATATATATAAACAACAGAACTGCTACTAACATAAGCAGCAGCACATAAATAATAAATTCATCAAAACCAGTGAATTCAAATGATTCCCTGTGTATGATTGAATAAGTCAACCGTTACACCGAAAGTAATTTCACAGTTTTACTGCAAGATGAGCGAGCATATAAAGGGCAAGGGAACTACAAGTCAGCAGCATAAATAAAACCCACAATAAGCAATCGCAAAACACTCGATCGGACACCAGAACCGATATATAGATTAGCTATATATATATATATATATATATATAGGTATACATATATCTACTCCTCCTCAAGATTGATCGAATCCTTGAACTTACCATAAAGTATTTTCTTCAACTCTGCCATTTGGGCAACTATTGTTTCCCTCTCCTCCTCGAGTTTCTCCAAGTTCTTGCTTGTCACCTCTTTCATCTCTTCGATCCTGCTCTCAACCTCGTCTTTGGGCACGTGAGTGAATACCTCCCCTATCTGGAAACGCACGATCTCTTCATCAGTAAGGATCAACTCATTGCTCGCATCCTCTAGATTTTCATTTGTTTCCTGACAACATATATATACATTTCAATAGATTAGTGTTCCTGGAAAAAAATATATAAATTGTTATACTATTACGTGACTGAACTTAAAGAGCGACTGAAGAATGAATAACATAACTATGGAGCTAAGCCACCATGTTTCAAACCGAAGGAATCCAAAATTAAAAGGTAACACTCTGAATGACGCTTGTGAACCTAGGCTCCCCTGGTAAAACCCTGGGGTGAAACACGAAATAGCCTAGAGCCCAGATGAGATAAGACATATGCACCTCATATAGGTCAAGGTTAAGGCAACCCCAAGACGAAAGTGTGCAGGCCCTTGCTACCTGCTATGTGTATAGATGAGCATGGTTGGAATGACATCAATGGTTACTTGTGGTGCCTCTCGAGGCAGTAGCTATAGCAGCTCCATAATATTACATGTGTGATGCTTAGAATCTCAATTTGATGACATACTAGTAATGAAGATTAAGTGTGTAGACAAAGGTGAATAAATCTATGAAAGGACTAAGGAGAAAACAAAAATGAAGCAATCGGTGCGCAAACAGTCTATTTGAGAAGGGAAAAACAAAGAGAACTTTTCAACCGAGTATTTCAAAATGTTTTGAACTAGACATTTAAAATAACAGATGCAGCCAAATTAGTAGACAATTGAAAGCTGAATCTGCAGTGTTGCTAAAAACATTGGGAAAACTCACTCCTTGTCTCATCCCATAAGGTAAAAACAGAGAATAATTAGTGACATTGAAATATTTTTAGTAAAATAGGAAATGGGTTATATATGTCACTATAAAAAAAAATTATTTGAATAAAAAACTGGACAATTTCAGAGTTGTGGAGTTCTTCAATTAAAGATAAGAATAATTAGCGGGTAAGGCCAACCGTGGGCAAGGGCGAAAGGAGTGCCCCGCCCAGGGCCCAGTACAGAAAAATGGCCTATCTTTTTTCTCTATACATGCATAATTGTCTACATGTGATATATAATTTAATTGAAACAAAAAATCCATATTTCTTAATCTACACCATGTAAGAAAAACAAAAATGGGACAATTGTTTCATTGTGATTGCAAAAGTAAAAAAATATTATTGTATATATTTAAAGAGCCTCATTTTAGTTTCACCCGGGCCACTCGAAAGTCAAAAACAACCCAGCTCCACGACACTTAAACTTGCTGAACCAAGACTCACTCACAAGACTACTGGCCAGTAATAGAACTCACCGGCAAGCGAACAAAATTTTGGTCACCCAAACGTCAACAGAGGCTATATTCGGGTTGAACCATACACAATCGTATAACCAAAGACTTATAACAAAAAATCTGTCTACTCCCTTCAAAACTTGCAGGAAAAAGTTAAAAGCCAACACTTTTTAATGTTGCTCCTATTGGGAAAACTACAATACTCCACCATTTGTTGTAGCTACCAATACATCTTCAAAAGCATATACCTATGAAGTATCATTTTCTGAACTCGTGAAACCAGACTCGGTTGAGCATATTTTGATTTTCTAGCGTGTAACACAAATTCACATATATCCTAAATGAAACGGAATATGATAATATAATTTCGCAAATCATTGTAAACTTCAGTGCAATCTCTATACGAGATTATATCCTGAACCCTAAAATAATTACCAAGTCATAATCAACTAGCTGTTTGATACACGCAATCCGAGTGCATAACAGAGAGGGTAGAATCTAATTTCATGATAAGAACGCTGTATTAAATATGCGAACAGAGTGTAGATTCGGAAGGCACCGAATTGCAGAAAGTGGAACAAAAAGCGACAGGCACCAACAAGGGAATGGATACCTTAGCAGTCTTGATTTCATCATCTAATTCGTGAAGACGGTTGTTCAATCTGCCAAAACTATTGATGTTCTGTTGATCTTCCCACGTCACTTCAGCTTCCGATCCCGAAGATCCCGCCTAATTTAGTAATCAAAATAAAATAAATTGCATAAATTGGAACTACTGCATGTCGTGAGGTTCGATTCATTGCGGACAAACATCGGAATCTCACTCACCTGCTGCATTTTGTGAACGAAAGAGAAACGCAGTACGGTGCTCGCTGAAGGGACGGAGAAGAAGGTTTTAGGGCGGGCGATTCCGTCAATTTCACAGGGCACCTTACTCTGTGCTAAATTTTGAACTCAACCCTAAGGCCTAAAATAAGGGTTTGTTTATGTAAATATTTTTTATCCTCACACCCTTTTTCGGTATTATTTTTATTCTTAATATGAAATTATTTTAAAATTTATAATTTATAATTATTTTATTTATATATTTTTAATTATATTTTATTTAAATTAAGCTGAAAAAAATGTAGATAAAAAAAATTATATTTGTTTTGGGATTAGGTCAGTTCAACGTTTGAACTTAACTCGTAGTAGTGAAGTTCACTTAGGGGTGAGTTTGTTTGGAGGTTTGGATTTTGAGTTGGAATTTGAATAGTAAAAGTTTTGAATTTAAATAGTTGTATGATGTGATATAAATAGGTGTTGATGTGATGTTTTGAATGTAAAATTGATTTTTAGTATAATATAAAAAATGAAAAATATGTGTTTGATTTGATGTTTTTCAAGGAAAAAAATATGATGCATAGTGAGATTAAAATCCAATCCAGTAAGAATGTGGAAAGAGAAAAAAAAAAAAAAAAAAAAGGAAGAGAAGAGAGATAGAGAGAAGGAAAGTAAATGCATAACCTGAATTCGGGGGTGGGATTGCATGCTGAAGATTAAACATCAGCATTATGCTGATTGCATATTAGCCATTGGATTAATTTTTTAATACAATGGCTAATATTAGATTAAGGGTGTAATTGTAATTTTAATAACCCTAATTTATGTAACTACATCAAATATCACTCTCCTTCATTCTTTCACGCAGCAATCGGTGGGGAGAAACGTCACCATTCATTCTTCACTCTCCTTCATTCTTCAATGGTTGATATCAACGAAGGTGAGCATAATCAATTATCCATTATTCCAACCTCATTCAACCGCTCAACAAGGAATGGAAACATCGAAGAGATTGCAATTTCGGATGATCCAGCACCTTCGCCAGTACCAGACGCGTTGGAACTTGAAATCGCTCAATCGCATAAGTTACGCATCGAAAATTTACTTGAAATCGTGAACATTGTACCTTCTGTGATCAATTTCATTGAAATTATGTTATTCTGTTCAGCGGATTGGAATTTCGTAAATATACTTTAGCATTCGCAATTTAATGAGAGCGTTAGTTACCAGCATGATATGTTATTGTATTTGATACAGATATCAACATTTTGCCATTTATCTGAAAGCATATTGAAATATGGTGATCAACATTTTGATTAACAGAATTTAGCATTCCATGTGTGCAGAGTCCATAGATTGACATGCAATGGAATTTACAAAACCGGATGATGTATACAATTTCAATTTTGAATATGCACACAATAGAGATTTTTCAGTGAAGATAAAAATTCAGAAAAATTTCAGAAAAGATCGCACCAGATACAATACATGGAGTATTGTTGCAACAAAGCAGAGTTCAAAGAGAGTATCAATGTGAAACTAAACAATTTTGAGATTCATCCAAAACAATGTAGCGAGTTAAGAAGGATCAAAACCATGCATTATAGTCATGAAACGGGAACATACTGTAATTCAAAGATACAACTTCAATTTGACAATAAGAATGCAAAGTACAAGTGACATACTTTAAAGACAACCATAATCATGATCTACATCCTACAAAACACAAGCACATGTTTGTATTCAATCGTAGGATTAATACATCACATTTAATAATTGCGAATACAAATCAAGAAGTCGGACTACCAATCAGATCATCGTATGATTTGTGAAAATAGTTATCGGAGGAAAGAAAAATGTGAATATGCTTATTTACTTGGCTCGTCTGCTCAAATTAATAAATTAGTATGCTGAGTGTATTCTTCATATATGATGTTGAATGAACGTGAATATGCTGAGTAGGTTTTTACAGTCAGACAGTAATATTGTTCAATTTCTTTATCAGTTTCTGAATATGCTGAGCAGTTTTTACAACTAGACAGTAATATTGCTTCAATTTTATTTTTATTTTTATTTTTATCAATTTCAAAGAGTGGTGGAAAATCATAGAGAAAAAAAAGGAACAACAAGATTTTTTCGCACGAGATAGAAGGCTGGTTGCAAATCATATGTTCAACTCATTGACGAAATATGCAGTTATATTCTACACACCGAATGTCTTTCAATGGTTTCAGGAGCAACACCAAAGATCCTTTGAATTCATAACATAATACTTAGATGAAAAGACAACATATCTTATATATAACATGGAGAAGACATGCGATCAACATCTTGTGCGCGTAAATATTCAAGAATCTTCAATTGAGTGCACGTGTAATATATATAAAAACTCTAGAATGTTGTGCTGTCATTCAATACGCACGATGGATGTATTAGTAGAAATAGGTTGTGCACAGTTCAAAAACATCCCAAACAAATACATATTGAATCGATGGAGAAAGATGCTAGGAAGATGTTATAGTAGCACCACACAAGCTCAACATCTAGTCGAGAGGAAATAGATTTTTCAGGAAGATACATATCATTGTGCCACTTTTTCATGAATTCTGCAACGTTAATAGATTTTTCAGGAAGATACATATCATTGTGCCACTTTTTCAAGAATTCTGCAACGTTAATAGCATCTGAGCCAAAGGATTACAGTTCATTTTTACATAAATTCAATGAATTGCTTTACAACATAGTTACATGACCAAACTGTATGGAGGAATGCCGACGGATGAAAATAACAGTTACGTTTTGTATATATTTTATATTCATTGAAATATATATGATATTAAATTAATCGATTCTTCATGCTACATGAGAAGTACAAAATATAACCACTGCAGATCATTTCATATTGAAGCCAAAAGACAATCCAAAAGGAAAAATTAAAAGAAATATGTTAATCAGCAACTCTAAGAGACAAAAGAAACATCAAATGATGAATAAGAAAGATAACCAGCAGGATAAATCCAAGAAAAAAATGATTTTTTGTCAGTTCATATATGATTTAGCTGCAAAGTATTGTGAATAATTGATATTAAGCACTTATATATATAAGACCAAACATTTTGTCGAATACCAATGAACATCTTATTGAGTATCAATAAGCATTTTCTACAAGTGTGTTTAGGATGTCAATGAACTATCAAATTATATGAATGTTATTCGAGAAAATGCTGCAAAATTAATTGTCAACTTTAAAAATTATTCTTGAAATCATGCAATTTTTTTTTTTTTTAAAAAAAATTAACTTGTTTCTGCGAGCTCATGTAAACCAAGCTTGTTTCCGCGGAGAGTAGCCAACTTTTACAAAAAAAACTGTTTCTAGCGAAAACAAGGTCTGTTTCTGCTAGCTCGCGGAAACAGACCTTGTTTCCGCTATAAACATGTAGCATTCATTCTAAACCTGTCAGCATTTATATATACTAAGTCAAGCATTTTACTATGTAACGGTCAGCATCTTGTGTTTTAACAAAAATTATGAGTATTAAGCAGTAATTGTTGCGAAAATACAGTCAACAGATCAATCACCAATTAAAATTCAATCCATCGATCAACACCAACAATCTATTCAAGTTAAATCGATCGATCAATACCAACAATCTCTTCAAATTCAATTCATCAAAATCAACAAATCAGTTATCACACTTAATTTTTGTCTTGTCCACGACCTCGTCCTCGCCCTAAATATTTACCTTAAACTGCACAATGGGAAAAACAAAACTCAAAATAAGTAACATGGAAGAAGATGAACATTTATCCTAAACTGCACAATGGAAAAAACAGTACTTACAAAAAATCGCCTCCATGGACGCGCCTAGTGTCGTCGATTTGAAGGACGGTACAGAGAGTTGAAGAAGACCAATTAGAGACGACGCGCGAGGGAAGGGTTTCGTTGAAGAAGGCGATTTAAAGACGGAATGGAGAACAAACGAACGTGATGGAGGATTTCCGTTGAAGAAGGCGATTTGATGACGGAATATAGAATAAGCTAGCGCGATGGAGGATTTTTGTTAAAAAAACGATTTGAAGGGGGAAGATTAACGATTTGAAGACGAATGGTTCATATACACCTATAAAGACGAAGGGTTCATATACACCTATAAGTCTTTAAAATAAAATTACTATATTACCCCTGCGTAATCTAAACCGTTCATGATAATCTAATTATGATGAACGGTTCAGATTGGATTAGCACCGGATCTGCCTCCCCTAAAGTATATTTGTACGATTTTTCAGGTGATTATTTTTTTACTAATTGACAAATTTGTTCTTAACTGTACAATAGGGATTAAAAGTAATAAACGAAGGAATGATAAAAATATAAAATTTGTATTTAAAAAAAATAGTGCCATAGTTGTTAGATGTAAAATGTAAGTAGAACATTAATTTGCGGACAAATGGAGTATTATACTCAAATTAAATTTTACATTCAAAATATCATATTATATATATTTATGTCACATCATCATTTTAATTCAAAATTTTAATATTTACAATCAAAATACAAAATCAAAATTTTACGAATAAACACGCTCGAAATTGGCGCAGTAAATATTACTTTATTTTGACCCAGCAGTAGCTTCAACAAGACTTCCATGGCGGACTTGTCTGCGCCTCCAAAGGACGACTTGGCACCCTAGAGATTTGGCATATCGAGCGGTCCCCTATTTTAATCTGTAGATTCTTTCTTCAATCCACACAGGAAACTATCCCATCATTAATCAATCCATCGATTTACGGCGGTTTATCGCAGATTGAGTTCTGTGCACGAAAGCAAATATTCGCAGGTATCGGCTAGAGAACAGAGGGGGCGAGGAAGCAGCCGCGCATCTTATCTCAATCGCCTGAGGTCAGTCATTCGAAAGTCAAAATTCTCCTGGCAGGGTTCCGATTTTGGATGACGAGAGGCTGATTAAGTGGGTTACTTCGGATTTTCTGGTATATTTATTCTCCTCCCTTATCGGGAGGGCTCTCATAACGTGCGTTTACTTAAATTTTGCTTACTGCGTAGCAATCGATTGCTAGATTGCTTGATTTTGGATCCACTTTGATAGAAGATTGCGATAACTTGGTCTGGTTGTTTGTGGTTTTCAGATTACGGCAATCGAGACTAAGTTGAAAATGGATGGCAACAATTGGCGACCGACCCCGGGGCAGGTTCAGATGCACGGTCAGATTATGGGCGGCGACGCTGTGGCGGCCACCGGCATGGAAGGCGGCGGCGATTGGAGGTCTCAACTTCAACCCGATTCCAGGCAGAGGATTGTGAACAAGATGTAAGTTTCATTTCTTTAATTTTCTTTAATTTTTAAGCTCTCAGAGAGTGGTGTTAAGATTAAGATTGTTCATTCTTTGCCATGTCCCAGTTATACATATGTATACAACATTGATTGTTCATAGGAAACCTATGTGGTTCTGACAGTTGAACTTAATTGCTACATTTCCATGGTTGAGTAGGTTTGCAGCAGGTGAAGTCCAAGTCAGTATTAAGATACCTGCAATGTTGTAACCATTATAATATGCAATATAATCGACAACAATAACGAATAAATGAGTGGTGGGGGTGTACCTCTGGGTTTGATCATAGTCGCAAATTGGCGAATCAGAAGGCTCAAAATTTGTCTCATAGAAGTATTAGAAAATATTTTTGATAGATATCCATTAGATAAAGTTGAAATAAATTAGGGAAATGTGTTGTGATGTGTTCTTCCTTCTTGTAAAATTAACAGAGAAAAACTAATTTGCATGTTCAACCAATCACCTATAAGTTATTGGCCAGATGGCGAGTGTGTTTCTTTTACTTTGACAACAACATATCTACTATCTAGAAGGTGAATTATGCTCCTAAGAAATAGCAAATGTATGATTATCCTACGTGATCATAATATCACATAGAAAAAACAATTTTGTGAAAACCAATTTGCATATAGTCACCAATTTATAAAAGCGAGTGCGTGTTAATGAAATAAAAAAGTATCATTTAAAATAGTTCAAATTCACAAATTTCACACTAACTGGTCAGATATTTTACGTGATTTTGCAGTTATAGGAGAGTCAATAATTTAGTCTTAACGTGCCCCCCTGATTGTTTAATAGCATCTCATAATAAGCAAATTTTCTGTGAATGTGATAGTATTAGATACCATACCTAGTTCATAGAAAGAATATTGCCCTAGGTTTCTATATTGGATTTTATATTGATAAGCTCATTGAAGATAAGAATACTGTGAAATTTAGACATGCCACTTTGTGTTGTACATAGAAAACGACTTGACAGAATCCTGCATCCAAAAAAGTTTTACTATCTAATGACTTTTGATTCCTGTTGTTTGAAGAAGGCATACCTCTCTGGCTTGGTTCTATCTGTAGCAGGTACCTGTAAGAACTTCTATTATGACCTACAGTGATGGCCTCATCTCCTCTTTTTCTTCAAATTGTATAGATTATGTATAATTGGTTGTAAAACGTGTGAACTAGGTTTGTACATAGGAATGTACCCTAGAAGAAAATGAGAAAGAAAAAAGAAATATAGAAGGCCAATAAGGAATGGTCCCATAACCCTGGGTCAAGTATAGATTATTTGATCTTGGCCAATGAAACCATCCACTGGTCTTCTCTAAATTGAAACATTAGTTTTGTTTATGCTTTTGAAGATCTTACACTGATAGAGAGCAAGATTGATAAGAACATTAAGTTAAAAATAAGGAGAAAGTGGAGTTTAGGCCGTTGCTCGTATATCGACGACGGAGATGGGCTTAGGCTTGCTATTCTCGGGTTTAGACTTTATTTATTTGCTTTTTTATTAAGATATTATATTTTGATTTGAGCTTGTCCCTTAGTTATTATGTGGGTTTATTTTATTTTTAGTAAGTAGAGTTTAGTATAAGTATTTAAAGAGATTATTAGGGTTTGGAGAACATTATTCTTGATATTGGAAATGAAAGAGCTTGGTGGCTTTTGGGCAAATGGTTGATTCCGTTTGATTGTTCTTTGGGTAAATGGTTGATATCTTTTGATTTTCTTATTATTTTTATCTTGTTCTAACATACATTCACCCTGACATACTGTTTATGTCCATCGCCCTTTGAATTCTGTAGAATGGAAACTTTGAAGAGGCACCTACCTTTTTCTGGACAAGAAGGACTCCAGGAACTTAAAAAAATAGCCATCAGGTTTGAGGAAAAGATATTTACTGCAGCAACAAATCAGGTACATTTACTGTACTGTTTCTATCGACACTCGCTGTATTCAGGTTAAATCTGGTATTTCATCTGTAATTATTTTATCTCTTATAAACTAGAAATTTGTTATTTCATAGGCAGTGTTATTTTTGAACTGCACTTGGTTGCCAGGGTGTACTGCAGATAGTATTTTATCTTGATTATTTTTCTTATTTTATGGAACTGGAAGAAATAGTGTTTGCTTCTAATCCAATTTTTTGTTCTTCATTATACTTCTTTTTGGTTCTGATCTGTGATTGCATGTATTTTTATATAACTCTACACATAAGTTGGCTATCCAGCCAACTTTGTTTTTCAATTGAATAAAGTGCTTGTCATTCCATGCTCAGAGCTTTTATTTTATAGTATGAGTCTGTATGACATGCATTGTCATCAACAATTGTGCAGCTTTTTTACTTTTTCCTTTATAACTTGCTCTTGCAGTCTGACTACTTAAGAAAAATATCACTGAAAATGTTGACGATGGAGACAAAATCTCAGAACCCTATGGGCACTAATCTTCCTCCTAATGTTACAAGTAGCAGCAAAAATCCCCAGGATACAGGTATAGAAGATATGTGTTAATGTGCTTAATCTCTTTCTTCACAACTATGCATGACAATGTGATGTATTTCATCTTTCAAATTTGATTGAAGTTTTATCCTTGTTGATACTGATTTATGTGATTGCCGATTTAGCTCTAAGCTTGTGATTTTTGTGTTTGTAATCAAACTTTCTTGGCAGTTCATTCAGGTATTTAAATGTTTTTGCTTCATTTGAGTTTTTTTATGCCCTTACTGAACTTTCATTAATTCAATTTATACTCCATTCAAATTTGAGATTCTTAAAGTGTCATGCATATCAAATTCTCAATATTCTAGCTACAGTGATTCAACGACTATCCACACATCTACATTGAGTACATGACATTGGATCAATATTTCGCGCTCTCATCTCTGTATGAATAATTAAGAAGTCAGTTCAAGCATGAAATGGCAGTATATTCAATGATACGGTGGAGGAATTTAAAAGTAGCAATTCAAATAAACATTTACCTCGCAAGCAAAATAGAGGGAATTCTCTCATTCATCATCTACACGTTCTTTGTTAACTTATTGTTCGAGCAGGAGGACCAGCATTTTTTTTGGAATGTATGTGTTTTGATATATTATTTTATTGTATTGCGTGGTTATTACACCCCTTGGTTTAGTGCTTTCATATTCCAAACATACAATAACATCCAGTTTCGGTTGGTATGCTTACAATCAGTAGAAAGGGATTGAAGATATCCTGAAACTTGTTAAGCAAACCCTATCTTCACTGTTTGAAATACATAGCCATTGTTTAAGATCATTATCTAAAATATTCTTTAATTCTGATCTTTTCTACTTTAAACCCCAGCAATTGCCACTTAGTTGGTGTTGGTTGTTTTAAACTCAACTGGGGTAAGAGGCTGTAAGTTTGAATTTTTCGAGATGCAGGTTGTTTCTAGTTGTCATTTACACTGCCTTTGATACATGTTTTCGGGACTCTTTCTGCGATGTTGTTCCCTTGCAATCCCTCCTTTGTTTACTCTAAATCTCTCTGTGTTCTTGCTGTTATATCACATTAAAAATCGATCTTCTGTTTGCATCACCCTTGAATCGGTGAATGATCTTCTGATCAAGGGCAGTTTATCAATTGGTGTTTTCTGTCCATTTGCTTAAATATACCATCCTTCTGTTCCCTTTGCTCTTCGCATTTATTACCAATAACATATATACACATGCAGGATCATCTCAAAGCATGCAGTCTCAAATGCCAAATCAACCTCAGCAACTCCAAATGCCTGTGGGATCTCAAGTGAGGCAACCACTGTTATCTCAGAACATTCAGAATAATAATCCATCAGCTGGGGTGCCAAGTTCTGCTGGCTTGGCGTCTGTATTGCCTGCTGTTCCGTCCATGTCTCAGGGTACCATGCCCAATGTTCCTGTTCAGAATCCTAACATGCAGAACATGTCCAATATTACTCCCAGTGCTGTGGGAAATTCCATGGGGCAAGGTGTGCCATCTAATATCTATGGCAATAATCAGAGACAGATGCAGGGTAGGCAACAGCAGGTGGTGAATCCTGAGCAGCCGCAACAGTCTCAGAATTCACAATATCTCTATAACCAGCAGCTACATCAGCACCTTTTAAAGCAAAAGTTACAGCAGGGAGGTGTCACCCAGTCCATGATGCAGCAGCAACAGAACCTATTGCCACAAAATCAGCTTCAATCTTCTCAGCAGGGTGCTATGCAATCTGCTCTAAGGCAACCATCTGCTTCATCTACTCTTCAAAATCAGCAATCATCTCTTCAGCAGCCAAATCAATCTATGCTTCAGCAGCAGCCACAATCAGTCCTCAGGCAGCCGCAGCAACAGCAACAACAGCAGCAATCTGTCATGCATCAGCCACAATCCTCGATGCCTCAGCATCCAATGATGTCTGGTCAGCAGCCCCAGCAGCAGCAGCAGCAGCAGCAACAACAACAACAAATTAGTGGGCAGCAGACAAACCCTGCAAACATGCAACAGAACCAGTTAATGAGTCAACAAAATACTACTCTTGATGCACAACAACATCAGCATCAACATCAACAGCAGAGGATGATTGCTCAGCAGAACAATATATCCAGCATGCAGCAGCAGCAGCAGACGATTAGTCAACAAGGCAGCCTTTCAAGCATGCATCAACAGCAGTCCACTGGTCAGCAGAACATCTCAAATATGCATCCTCAGCAATTAGGCTCTCAAAACAATCTTTCGAATTTTCAGCAGCAGCAAATGGTTATGCAACATGGTAACTCAGGCTTGCAAACTAATCAGCAGTCTGTCCATATGATGCCTCAATCTAAGGTTGCGGCGCAGCAGCAAATGCAACAGAGTATGGCAAATATGTTACCTAACCAAGTTCAACAACCACAGTCACAGCCAATGCAACAACAGATGATGTCACAGATTCAATCTTCTGGGCAGCTGCAACAACAATTGGGGATGCAACAGAAGGGGTCTACATTATCAAGAGACATGCAGCAAAGGATTCAGACACCTGCTCCTTTGCTTCAACAACAAACTGCACTTGATCAACAGAAACAGTTGCAATCTGAAAGAGGTGGTGCTGCAGAGGGGCCTCAGAGTAAGTGTCTTTTTTTTTTTTTTTTGGCATGCCCATGCATATCATATTATTTTTCCTGGCCTACCTGCTTCTAACAAAAGTGCAATTCAGATTTTCTAGTCATACACCAATGTTACTTGTTTTCCAGTTTGTGCAAGGCATATATAGAATGACTTATAAAGAAAATTTACCTGGAAGAAACTATTCAATTGTTTTATTATTATTATTTGGTTGCGTTTTCTTACTTGATCCATGACTTGTCAATGTATCAATTATACTTGAGACGTAGTCATGCAACTGCTATGTTTTTGGATAATTTGTTCTCTTTCAGTTTTCAATGCAATGTGTGTTAGCTGGTAGCTCTTGCAAAAGTTCATGTTCCCTGTGAATAGAACATATAATGTTGCAGTGATTTCCAGAGTTTATGTTCATATTTTATTCATTCCATTGTATTGTTCTTTAGATTACTTACTACATTTTGATCAGAACTAGGTTCGGATTAGAGTGAATGAAATCATGTGCGTAATTTAATTTGAACTAGATAGAAGTGTATGTATAGATTTATTGCGATTTGAGCTTCGAAACTTACTTTAAGTGAGCTTTTGAGATTGTAAAAATTACGAGTTCTTTAAATGTTAGAAGAATGTCCTTGTAGTCCCACACTTCTTGTTTTTCCTTGAAACTATGGGTATCTTTGGTTATGGATGATTTTCAAAAAGAAGAATTGTATCTCTGCTTAAGGTTTAGAAAAGCTAATTTTGATGCCCATCCCCGCATCATTGAGCAAACATAGCACGAGACCTTGATCTTGTCTGTTTATCGTGTGTCTCTGTTGCTTTGAATTTTTGTAATGATATATCCAAGTATTGTCAGATTATATGCTCTCTAGTTATCATTTCCCGAGGCACTTGCAGTCAGCCGGGGAGCCCCAAAATTTATACTCATTGAGATGAAACTATACCCTTTCCTACATATAGAGACAACAACATAATTATCCTTCCCTATAGTTGTTGCAATTTCTGTATGTTCCTTTGTGATATTTCTGTCAGTTAACTAGTTTATATAATTACAGCATCTTTGGATTCTTCGGCACAAACAGGAAATGTGAATGGTTCAGACTGGCAAGAGGAGATATATCAGAAGGTATTCGCTGAGTCATTCCTTCATTTTGTTATTGGCTTATTGCACAAAAGGTTTTGTATAGTTCTCAATTTGAAGCTGTCTTCCTTCCTCTGTTGATTGTTTTCTTTTTGAGAATGTATGGTGCTCTCAATTAACTGTAAGTGTTTTCTTGCAGATAAAATCCATGAATGAGCTGTACTATCAGGAATTGAATGAAATGCACCAAAGGATGGCTGCTAAGTTGCAACAGGTAAGTATTGTATGTCAGAGTTTTACGTGTTAGTTAGCTTGAAACCGACTTAAATGTATAGGAAATACGGAACATTAGCTACCCATCAACTTCCGAGAAACACTAATCTAAAGGATGAATTTGAACAGTACTCAAGCTGCTGCTTGGTCTGCCCGTTTTCCTAATGCAAAGCAAGATCCTACATAACATTGTTATGAGACTAGTGTGATCAACAATATCTGGTTTGGATTCTGTCTAATCATTTTGTTCTACTGTGTTGCAGCATGATTCTCTTCCTCAACAACCTAAGAATGAGCAACTTGAAAAACTAAGATTTTTTAGGGTTATGTTGGAGCGTCTTATAATGTTTCTGCAAACCAGCAAGAGTGATGTTCAGCCAAGTCACAAGGATAAGATTCCTGGAGTTCATAAGCAGATTGTCAATATTCTCAGTTCAAACAGACCAAGGAAGCATGTTCCTGGAATGCAGCAAGGACAGATTTCACAGGCTAACTTGCATACTATGCAACAGTCTCAGCTGCAACAACCTCCTCAAATGCACACAAATGATGGGCAAATGAATTCCCAGATGCAACCAGCGAATGTGCAGGGTTCTGGGGTGTCTACACAGCAGAATAGTATGAGTAATGTGCAGTACAGTTCAGTGTCTTCTGGTGCTTCAAATTCTCGTGCGAATATGATGGATGGACTGCAGCCTGGTTCAAACATTGAAACTGGACAGGGCAATGCCATGCACCAAGTGTCTATGAGTTCTCTACAGCAAAATCCTGTGAGTAGTCCACAACAGACGAATATTAACCCAGTATCATCACAAAGCGGGTTGACATCACTACCGACAAATGTTAACCCCCTACAGGCAAATTCAAATATACTTCAACCCCAGCAAATAAAACAGGAGCAACAGATGTTTTCAACCCAACAAATGAAACAGCAGTACCAGCAGCAGCGACAGTTGCACCAACAATATCTGCATAAACAACAGATGATCCAGCAACAGCAGCAAACTGGTCAGCAGCAGCCAGCTCAGTTGCCCTCACAGCAGATGATGCAGCAGCTTAATCAGATGGACACTAATGATATGAAGAGGCATCAGATGGTTGTCAAACAAGGAGTTCTTCAGCAGCACAATTCCTCCAGCCAACGACCATCATATCATCACCAACAACTTAAACCTGGAGCTGCGTTCTCTATTTCTTCACAGCAAGGTCTTCAGGCAGCATCCCCTCAGATTGGTCATCATGCATCCCCACAGGTTGATCAGCAGAATCTTCTGACATCCCATCCCAAATCTGGAACTCCTTTGCAGTCTGTCAGCTCCCCGTTTGTTGTTCCGTCTCCTTCAACTTCAATGGCACCGTCACCTATGCCCAGTGATGAGAAAACTAGTTATGGTGTTTCATCGCTGGCAAATGTTGTACATCCTTCAACTGCTGCAGCATCAATACCAAACCAGTCCCTTGCAATTGGGACTCCGGGAATATCAGCCTCACCATTACTTGCAGAGTTTACCAGTCCTGATGGCACTCATGCCTTCGCATCTACCATTGTTCCTGGCAGCACTAATGTGGTGGAACAGCCACTTGAACGATTAACAAAAGTGGTAAGATGGATGTTCTCTCTCGTTTGTGGGATATTATTACTTCATCGTGCTTTGACTTGGATCCTTTTTATGCTATTTCTTTTGAACAGGTGAAATCTATGTCTTCTAAAGCTTTAGGCGCTGCTGTCAGCGATATTGGCTCAGTTGTCAGTATGGTTGATAGAATTGCAGGATCTGCTCCTGGAAATGGTTCGAGGGCTGCAGTGGGTGAAGATTTAGTTGCTATGACTAAGTGTCGCCTTCAGGCTCGAAACTTCTTCACACAGGATGGGCCCAGTGTTTCCAAGAAAATGAGACGTTATACAAGTGCAATGCCATCTAATGTGGTTTCATCTACAGGCAGTGTGAATGATAGCCGCAGGCATTTAAATGGTAATGAATCTGATGGGGAGTCAACTGGTGCATCAAGCGTTAAAAGGCCACGTATTGAGGTACTTCTGACAGCTGTTCTAACTCAGATATATTAATACTCTATTCAAGCCATAATGAAGCAACTGAAATAGGATTAGGTTAGCTGCATAATTCTTACAAGCATGGTTAAGATCCTATGGATCATGATAAATACATTTGTATATGAGCTTCACGAGTATACAGAATACACACGTTAGAAATTATAATAGGTTATATAAGCTGCAAAAGCAGCATGGTGCCAAACAGCACACCAAAGCGGGATAATATCATGATGCAAAGCTGGTTTCTTCAAAGTAAATAGTTTGGCGGTTAGAATAAGAAAGGAATTATGAAGACATGATTTTATTACCTTTTATTACATCCAAAGAAATCAGGCTGCTTTCTGGGGTAACTTTTCCTTGTTATACATCTTCAAGTTGTAAGGCATAATAAAGACCATTTTTTATTAGGTAGGACAATCTGTTTGCCTTTGTTTGGATTTTAATATGAATGAGCTGGTGAATGTATCTGATGTGTTTAATTTAGTGAACGGTTAAGGAATAGCTTTATTTGCTTTATTGTAGAATGCATGTAGGTACCTTATTTAGAAGAAATTTTTTTTGTTGTTTTCAGGCTAACCATGCACTTGAAGAAGAGCTGAGGGAAATAAATCAAAGACTCATCGACTCTGTTGTATCTATAAGTGAAGATGATGTTGATCCAACTGCAGTAGGTGCCGCTGCTGAAGGTGGAGAAGGAATCATCGTGAAGTGCTCTTTTACTGCCGTAGCACTTAGTCCAAATCTAAAGTCACAATATGCTTCAGCACAAATGGTACGGTTTTGATCGTTCTAATTTTCCCTGGCCCAGTTCTTTTCCAGTAGGTACGAGTCTTGATTATCACATAAAATGCAGTCCCCTATTCAACCTCTGAGACTGCTCATTCCCAAGGATTATCCAAATTGCTCCCCAGTACTTTTGGACAAGTTCCCTGTGGAAGTCAGGTGCGCATATCTTTCGATTATAATCATTAATGCGTTGCATTCATGCTGATAGAAAGACCTGTGAATGGAAACAATAGATCTACAAGGCTAGATTGTTACAGTTGTCCGAATAACTTGAAATCTTTATATGAAAATGCCTGCATGTGTTAGGATAGCTTTTACATTCGTCGTCTGGAATTTGCTATTTCTGTTTGGGATTGATAGTAGCCAGAAGTACAATCAAATGGTGAACTACAAACAGATTTTATTTGTCCACTATGGAAATCGCATAACTCAGTGATTTTTAATTTTTATTTCCGTCTTAACAGAGTATTAGGTGACGAACACTACATTAAGTTAATGAATTTGAGATAATCGTAGAAGTAGAACAATTTAGAAGGCAGATTTTCATTCTGACTACGACCTCCATAATCTGCATTTTTGTTGGTTTATACGCACACCATTTCTCTCCACTAATTGTTAGCGAAATCATCAATCACTCATGAGCACTTCCTGTGTCGTGATCTGTATCAACAGCAAAGAATACGAAGATCTCTCAATGAAGGTGAAATCAAGATTCAGCATCTCCCTCAGAACCCTCGCCCAACCAATGTCCATTGGGGAAATAGCGAGGACTTGGGATCAATGTGCTCGGGCAGTGATTCTAGAGTATGTCGAACAAAGTGGCGGGGGAAGCTTCAGTTCCAAATACGGAACTTGGGAGAATTGCATGGCTCCGGCATGATTGGATGGATCTGCTTCCCCTAAAATAGAGTCGATTATCTGCACATCTGGATGTCTCTCTATTCGATACACCCCAGGTTGTGTAAAGTATTTTTCGAACGTCTTGCATGCGCTTTATGATGTTGTTTGTCAAAAATGCACACCTCTTGACTGTTATTGTTGTTATATAATTTGTTGTGGCCATTAAATTTGTTTTAGGTTCCTTGAATCACTTGCTCGAAAAGTTAGAAGAAGGTAAGGGGTCTATATAAACACTTTCTTGTATCAAGTCTGATCTGCTCATCATATATTTGCATATTATTTTAAATGTTTCGAAACATTTACATTTACATTTACATGTGCCCAGATGTGTTTCGATTTTGTTCTAGTTTTTTAAAATTGAGATGAAAAAAACAAAAAAAAATTATATGTGCTAAGAAGGGATTTGAATTTCAACTTAAAGTTAATTGGTATAAAATAGAAGTAAGAGAGTTTTAACATTACTTCCAATATAAGAGGCTATAGTTTTGGCCAGGTTTACCTACCAAGTCTGCGGATTTCTATGTTAAAAAAAGAAAAAAAAATGTGTTTATTTATTGCCTCCAAATTGTGTTGGAATCTTCATGTTGGTTTAATTTTTGTTGATTCCAATATTCATACAGAACAAATGGATCAAGTTAGGATTCCAATACTATTTAAAAAATTTATTCAATTTTATAATTGAATAATAAGATGCTTGGTTATATTATAAGATATGATGTAACATATATAATAAATAAAGTTTGAATATTTTAAAATTTTTATAGTATTTTGCTATATTCAATAGGAATGTTATTTTGTAAAATAAACCTTTTTTTCTTGTTTTTCCACAAAAGACAAAATAGTGGCAAAAAATTTTTAGAATCTGGAGCGGAAGTCCGGAAAAGAACGACAAAAGTTGCATAGGTTTCTCCATAAAAGGCCTGATTATTGAATTCACATAATTGGCTGTGTTGGTGCTGTTTTGGAATGAAAGAGATGGTTAAAGGCTCAGCCGTCCCCCTTAAAACCTCTATAGCTCATTCGCAGCGGCCGGAGCATAATTCCTTGATTCATTAGCAAATGAAGTTGTAGACAGATAGATCGCCATCCATTCCAGAGCTTCGGGAAGATACTTCCTCCTTCCCTGCCCTAGGTTCTGATGATTTGATTGATTGACAATGGTGAGCAAATATATATATATATGTATATGTATGTGATGTGATCAATGATGAGAATTCAAATTTTTCACGTGTATGTGTGCAGAAACTGACGATGTCAACGGCAGGAAGAGGTGATGGCGAAAACCTGCAGAAAGTGTTGGTGATTCAGACGGCGAGCATCGCCATGGATGTAAGCGAGCTCCAATGGCTGGTGATGTCGCTGTCTCTCTCTCCTGGAGACGAACTCGTGCTCCTCTCCTTTCTACACCTCATCAACTCTCCTCCCGCTTTCTCCTTCTCTGCCGCTGCCAAAATCTGTATGTATTCATTCATCCTTCTTTTCCGTTTCTTCGATTTTGCGTATACACTGCAGGAACGAGATCCTTTGAATAACGTTTAATCATTTTCGGTATATGGCGAAATCAGTGGGATACAAAGGTAAAGAGGATCCGAATTCGATCGTGGAGGAGGTGAGGAGGAAGAAGGAAGAGTACCGTAGCAATGCCGCCTTCGTTCAGTTTCACAGGTTCTGTGAAATTCACAAGGTTAGTGTGACTTGTGTGTATATGCGAGAGCAACGTGGTCGATTCAATTTCTCCATTCTATTCGAACTGAAAATTTCATGCCATTCTACCAAACCATTCGGAAGACCGACTTTGTTATACAGAAAATTATGAAATAAAATTTTTACATAATATATATATATATAAAATATGAAAATTATCATAATTAAAAATATATTACTCTATATTATTAAAATAAGTAAATGAACTTATTTAAATTTTATATTTAATAATTTTATTTTATTTGGTATATATATACCGAAAGTTGGTTTATATATTCGGTTGGTTTATATGTAACTGTAGATCGTAGCTGTATATAGCGGTTATTTCATATTTTTACCCTATTGAAAATCTAGTAACTGTTATCGTATCAAAAACTACGTTATACCAAAAGTACGATAGTTTTTTAGACTCTGTACCGTATGTTTTTTCCACGCCTGATTGCGCGGCAGCGAGTCAGATCGGACCTCGCCGGCGGCGGGGGGAAATGGAAATGAAAAGGCGCTGATTCGGTTGAGCGTTGCTGTTGATCATTCAGATTAAAGCAAGTGCGGAAGTGGAAGCAGGTTCGTCTCGGAAAGCTGCCGCCGTCAGGGCTGCCAAAAGGTTGGGCGCCACATGGATCGTCCTCGACAGGTCAGTGGTACTCAATTTGATTTCATGACCTCCATAAATCGATGACTCTCTATAGTAGACTCCGAAATCAGTTGTTGCAATCAGCGATCCACGGTTTAGTCTAGGGTTCCAAATTGTTCCTACTCCATCTCTGCTGCTGCTACAAGTACAACTGCTACAAAATCTCATAATAGGGTTTGTTTCGATTTTTGGACAGGGAGATGAAGAAAGACAAGCAGTACTTCATGGATCGGCTTACTTGTGGTATATCAAGCATGAAGAGCAACAACACGATCAGAAAAATTCGAGATCCAGCCGACGAACATGTATCTTATGATGAGATGATACCGTCGTACTCACCTCCTTCAGGTAAGCACCGCCATGTCCAAATTTCTTAATTCAAATTATTTGTTTGTGTTTGGTAAGTGATTTCTCATTATCTGTTTCATTTGAGTAATTTTTCACTATATGTTTCTCCTCTACGTGCAGCTTATTAACAAATAGAAATAAATAAAATTAATCATTCTCCTTTTCATTTAGGATGCTTCTTTTTGTTAAAAAATAAAAAAAATCAAAGCACGTTACCCAAATAAATTAATATTAAAATATATTTAATAATTTTTATACTCCCCACAATTTTATATACTTCAATTAATAAAATATCCCTTCAAATCTTTCACAAAACAAATACACAAAACAAATACACCCTTAAATAATTTTTTATTATATATTTTTTGTAAGTACGAAGAAATAGAAAGAAATAAAAATTGAAAAATATGCATGGTGTTTATTTGTCAAAATAATTTTCACGATTTTTTGTTTTAAAAAAAAATACTATTTTGATTATCCAAAATAATGCATTCAATTTATTATTCAAATATTTTTTTAAAAAAAATAATCATGTAAGAAATGTGGGACTACACTCGTGATCAAACACACCCCCTACATTCTTTATATTAATAACACACTATTTGAATATATATATATATATATATGTGTATATAACAGAATCTACCTTCTGCAGAATCTCCAAGAGATCATCAAACAGCAGCCAGAAGCAAAGAAAGAGAGCATTACCGTTCCAGCAAGCCATTATCATGTAAATCCCAAAGCGTTGTTCCCAGACAAGAAATAGGGAGGAATGATACAAACGCAGTGCTAGCAACTGCAGACAAATCGCCCAGCGAAGGAGGTGAAAGACCCGAAGCAAATACACAACAGAGTACAGACTCAAACAATTCCATTTGTTCCATCTGCCACAACAGACGACTTAAATTCGATTCCCAGAAAGACTTCACTTATTCCGAGCTTCGCGAGGCTACAAACAAGTTTTCAAGGCAAAATTTCCTATCCGAAGGCGGGTTCGGATCCGTTTACAAAGGAGAGCTAAAAAAAGGGGTGACAGTAGCCGTTAAACGCCTCAAAGCAGCTAGTCTACAAGGCGAGAAGGAATTCAAAGCTGAAGTTCGTGTGCTCAGCCGAGTTAGACACCAGAATCTCGTCACACTCTTGGGCTCATGTGCTGAAGGGAACCGCCGGTTGCTGGTGTACGAATACATCTGCAATGGCTCCCTCGAAGAACACTTATCAGGTATTGTTTGCACTTAATCTACTTTTGACTCAGCAGTTTGAAAAATGAGTTCAATTTGCTATATAATTCTACAGGCAAAAGATCGTCGCAACCTCTCACTTGGGAGCAACGAATAAAAATAGCGTACGGAGCTGCCAAAGGGCTGGCATATCTCCATGCCCGAAACATCATCCACAGGGACATGAGGCCGGGCAACATTCTCATCACACACGACTATGAATCCCTGGTAAAAACTCACACCATGTGATCGCTTACAGTAATATGTTTTTACCTTATTTACCTATGGAAAGCAAAACTACGCCGGTAATTTCTTTTAATCCCAGTTAGGAGATTTCGGCCTGGCTAGAGCAGCACAACAAGAGGGTAGTCGCTCATCTGAAAATGGAGTGGTCGGGACACTCGGATATATGGCGCCGGAATATGCAGAACGTGGGAAAATGTCTACAAAGACGGATGTCTATTCATTCGGGGTGGTTCTGCTCCAGCTTATCACCGGATTGAGGACAACAGACGAGATCCCGGGAGGGAAAAGTCTCGTTGGATGGGTTAGTTCCCCATATATATATATATATACGTATATATGTATGTATATCATTTACTAACTACAGCTAAGAAATAGAACATTAATGGTGGTGTTTTGTTTTTTCAAACAGGCAAAACCTCTTCTGGAAATGAAGAACTACCCACGCATAATCGACAAAAGGATTCTAGATTCCTACGATGTCCACCAGCTATTCTGGATGGTGCTTGTTGCTGAAAATTGTCTCAAAAAAGACCCTAAAGATCGGTATACGATGGAGCTGGTATAAGTTTACGGATATTAGCAAAGCTATATAGCATTCGACTAAAGAAAACTAACAGATACTCTCACAACTACTGTTTTTAGCAGATAAAATTATGTTTCTTCTCAAGAGCGAGCAAATATTAAATCTATTTTTATCGCATGAAATTTGCAGGTAGAGAATCGCTTGCAATGCATAAACAACATAGACTTGTCGCTAAGTAGAGGAGAGTCAAGCTGCTGAACACTCGACTCAGAAGTCAAATGACCAGTTCCTCTCTGGCCAGTATTATAACCTCTTCCCAACAGTGTGTCGACGAGGTAAAGTTTTAAAATTATTTTGGCAACATTCCGTTGCATCAAAACTAAGACAAATAGGAAGATTGTTATGTAGATGAATAGAACTCACAAGTTTTGAGTTGCATTCATGAATTTAGTTTTGTTTCAGATGAGACAAATAAAGTGCAGTCAATAATCGTTTTCTGCTCCTGTATTCTACAAGGGCTTGTTTGATTTGAGGTGTTTCAAATTCAACGATTAAATTTTTAATACATTGTTTGGATAAGGGTGGATTTAAAATCCACAAGGTATATGAAAATCTATTTCTATTTTATTTCAAATCTATTATATATGCGGTCATTTTTGTAGTTTCTATTAGCGTTAGTAAAACACATATTTCAATTATTTTCTACAAATATCACATGATCCAAACAATTGAATGCATTTGAAAGTTAAACTTCAAATACCGCTACGCATGAATCCAAATAAGAAACTTGAATTTAGAGAAAATTACAAATTTCGCTTTTTTCGAATCTTAGGATAATATCTCGACTGTAGGCCCTTTTTCCACCAACAGTGGAAAAAGTCACATGTAGGTCACGTATCCTATGTAGCATTGCCGGCACCGAGGTGGACGCTGAGTGGCATTGCCGAAAAAATACTACTCAGCATTGACCTCAACTACGATGTGTCCACTTCAGCACCGGAAATTCCACATCAAGAAACACATTTTCTATTAAAAAGGTTCAAATTGAAAAGACTTTAAACACAAACAATCCACCATTGCTGTTACCTAAAAGGATAAGCATATATTCTGACGATTCTCAATCCAAGTCATCGTTCAAAATGAAAAATAAATAAACACCAAAACAAAAACAACACACATTTTCTACTGAAAACATTAAATTCAAATGCATTTTCCATTCAAAATTGTTAAATTCAAAGTACATAAATAACAAACACATCATCTTGGTTACTTAAAAGAAGAGAAATTCAAACTGTTCCCAATCCGAGTCCTCATTGAACATAATATATGCTTCAACGTCCATATATATATAGTTGGAATAAAAAAATTGGAAATCTCATAAACTGACCTTCAATAAATTAGACACATAAAGCTGTAAGATCAATTTCTATTAGCTGTATGCAATCGATACCATTCTAATTCTCTAGCTTCAAAACTTTTAAAGGAGGGGAAGAACTAAAGTTTAGAGAAGGACCTGAGTTCCGATTAACTGTAGCACAAACTGCCGATGCAATATAATCAAGAAGACGATTTTGGCTGTTCCACACCACGATACTTTCTACCAGCTTCAACAGCTTCCCTGCATTAATCCCAAGGGTAATTGTAACCAAACAGGCTGTTCCAAAAGCACACGCTCGCCACTCTTAACAAGCTTCAGAAGGATAACAAATATACATGTTTAATATGCACACACGCACACACGGGGTTAAGAAGAATATGCCATATAAACCTGAAGGCAGTTACAAGCTCCATGTTCTCGGGACTTAGCCTGACTCCCTCGTAGAAAGAATTCGCTGCCTCCTCAAATTTCTGCAGCACAAATGCACTTATTTTGGTCAAAATCTCAAACTGAGAAAGAATATTAAGTATAGGATCACATAAATATATGTATGTATGTGGTGTGCGTGTGTGTGTTATAGCTTTTAAGGATGAGCTTCACCTGCATTAGACGATAAGCGGCACCTTCACGATAGTAAGACTTTGGCCAATCTGGCGAAAGAGCTTTGCATTCCTTTGCGTCAGACAAAGCACGATCAGCTTGTCCCAGACGTATCCAGCAGAGACTCCTGTTAGAGAACAGAGTAGCATCACTCGCGTTGAAATCAATGGCCTGCAAAATTTATATCATAAATAGAGTAGGTCAGGTGTCTTTATGGAGTTCATGTGAAGGATAAATATAAAATTACTGTACTAATAGTAAAATTTTAAAACTCTGCAAGGTGAATGTAATGCAAACCTGCGTATAATTATCAACTGCAGACATAAATTCTTTCCTCCGAAATGCCTCGTCTCCCCTTGCCTTTGCTTCTGCTGCTTTCTTCTTCGCCTCAGCTGACACCTAAGCATATCAAAAGAATAAGCAATGAATTGCAACTAAAAATTAAACAAGGATGAATATTAGAAATACACGCAAACATCTGATTAATAAAAGGTTCTGAGAGTATTTGGCAAAACCTCGGGAACAACTTTCTTCGGAGGGGTAGCATCCTTCAACTTGTCGGATTCCTTTGATACTTCATTTCCCCCCTGCATTTGTTTTGGATTTGACATATATATCAATGCACACAAACACACACACACACATATCACATTTACAGTTTCTTCAATGACTACAACGGTCCCCATCTGTTAAAAGTGTTACACAGAGCAAGGACAAAATTGGAAACAAGCATATTGATATATTCCCTTTTTAAAAAATTGGTAACTCTAGTAGAGACATTATATACAAATATATTACAGGCAAGGTAGTTCCCAATGTGGTATCAAAGCAGAAGGTGCTGTATTTAAATCTCCTTTGTCCCTATTTATGGTAAGGGTTTCCTGTGCAAGGCTCATATAGGTGCACATCATAGAAGCATTTTGAGGTATTAAATCTTAATGGAAATAGGGCGATAGATTCAAGGATAAAAATTTTTGTGAGGTGGTTAATTAGTACTTCTTCTGCCCGCCAAACTTATTCTCACTTTTCTTTTTCTAGTCCGTCCGTTAAATTTATCCCATTACTAATTTTGATAAAGTCAATAAATCAACATTTAATTATTAATCTCCATTCAACACTTATTTACAATAAATAATACTAAATTACATTTTCTTTTCATTTACTTTAATTTCCAACTAAAATTTCAAAACTACCCCCAACTACCTATCACTTTTTCAATAAAATATTTATTTTTCTTAATCTCGGTACCGAACCCAATTGAGCTAATTTTAATGGACGGAAGGAGTATCATACAAGCTAGCCAGCCATCACTACCAACTTTAGATTCAACAAGGGAAACAACAACGAATGGCATACCTCTTTCTTTTGGGTTTCATGTTGCAAGGATTGAATAATTCCATCAACACTCCATTCTGTAACATTGGCAAGTCGAGATGTTACAGGGAAAAGAATCTCAACTGCGCTGCGATTGCCTCTTGCTGCTGCCACCTGTATCGGCTTTAAACCATCCTGCAGCATGAAACAATTTCAATATTAAGGTTTTGTAATGGTTTGACGAAAACCTAAGTATTTGATTTGCTTTTTTAACAAGCTTTTACTTAATATGAAATGCAAACAAAATGTAAAAACGGACAAACAATCCAATCTTACGAAAGATATTAAATCGATATATGTATGCATAACAATGATAATTCATGTTTTACTATAATCAAAGTATTCCATATTTGAAGATGTCAACAAGGGGTTAAATATAAAATAATTATTAATAGTATTTGATTCATTACTTAAATTCATAGTATGGATGAAATGCATAGACCAAATATAACAAGATTACATCAATGCATTTCATAGTTGACAGACAGTACACCTTGAATCTCTAGTCAAAAAGGGAACAGATATTTTCAATTTTTGTCAGAGTTGATTAAATATCTTTGATCTCAACCTTGTATCCCTAGTTAAGAAGAGAATAGGTATTTCTATATAACCGACTTCTACATCAACAGTAATCAAATGAAAAGCTTTCGGTTAATAAATATGCCAGCCTTACCTCATCAGCAGCATCAGGATTAGCTCCAGCTTGTAATAAGCAGTTTATGATGTCTGAGCTTCCACCATCAGCAGCAATGTGCAAAGGTGTTGCTCCCCCTGCACTAGTATTTACTGATGCACCGGCCTACAGAAAACCCGAATGCATAACTTTCAGGTAAGAATTCATGACCGAAAAGTCAAGATAAAAGTTTTACCTTCCATATGAAACACACAAGGTATTTTTAGTCAAATAGTAATTACAATCAAACAAAGAATGGACTGTATTAATACTACCAAGTGATAGCTGTAACAAAAAACCATAAATAGCTATTTCGGTCTTTCCCAATATTGGCGCAAAAGGCCATAAAAAACAACTAAAACCAGCTGAAGAAATACATATACCTTAATTAGCAACTCTAAGCATGCCAATGAACCAGCTGCAACGGCTGATAGTAGAGGAGTAATATCATCTTCTGTGTTAGCACTTGGCTGCAGTACAACCACACCCAATAATAATCAATTTCAAAACCTAGCAACGGCAACAGAACATCCAGCCTTTTGTTTTTATGAGACAGATAAGATCTCTAACTGAAATTGAACCAATTCAACCATTGAAGGAAAAGCGTAACAATTGTCCATATGATTGCATAAAATAAACTTTGAAAGGAGATTTTAAAAAAATATAAATAAAAAATAAAATCTATGTGAGTATCTAATAAACATAATGTTCAATACTATGCATTGCATCATCAGTTGAGGATATAAAATTAAAAATGGACCATCATCAAACTTGTCTACACCCACATTATTGGAAAGGAAGAAAAATAATACACACTTTAGGATCAAAAATATATATATATTACACACTGCCTCGGCAAGTTTCCACTTTCACATTAATAGAGCATTTAACTTACATTGGCATTGTTTTCTAGTAGCACTTTGACGGCCTCCGGCTGTGCATGACCTGCAGCCCATATAAGTGGGGTACCAGCATCACTTTGCAAATCAACATTTACGCCCTTGGTAAGAAAGAATTTCAACAGATCGGTATCACCTGAAACAGAAAAGCAACCAAATTTTCAAGGTACCCAAAAGCCAGAATTTAGGATAAAAGAGCTTTCAATTGAATTCTGACACTTTTTCCTTTTATATTTTCTCTTTCTTCAATAATAACACTAGTCACACACACAGGTGTAAATGGCACACCCTGGTGCAGCCTCCACGCCATTTTCTATGGCAAATCGTGTCGCTTTGATATACTTTGGTTGTTGTTATTGTTATTTAGTAGGCTTGCCTAGTTAATTGGGGCTTACTTTATCTTTTTATTTAAATAAGGATATGGAAAGTTTTATTTTATCTTTCTTCCTAAGTTTCCACAGCTCATTGCCACTGCCCACTTCCCTCCGTTTTTTGTATTTCCTTTTTTTCCTAACACTTCTTTCCATCTCCCACAGAATCACAGTTAAAAAAATTCATATAAAATGTTCTGTTATTTTTAGTTTAGATGTATTTATATTTAATAATGTGTTATTGAAGTTCAATTTTGTTCAATGTCATACTTGTCCAGTTATGTTGGTAACAGCCACCATTTCCTTTCTTTTTTCTGATTGTTTTTCTCTATAACTATATTAAGGTTTATATTCATAATAGTTCCATGATTTTACATATTTTCTTATAAAGAAGCTTGGATGAGTATTTTGTTTGTAGGAAGTGTGATATTAATTGCATGTATATGTGCATTACGTATACTAATAATATATATTAACTTATTAAGAGTTATAGTGCGTGCCACGTGCCGCAATGTGTGCCATTTACAACCATGCACACACGAATGTAACAAGAAGGCATGATCTCAAATGACACAATGAGTCTTATTGTGCTAAGGTTAGTTATTTGTGAGTAAAAGTAGAGATATAATAAAGAGGCATATGTTGCACTGATCAGTCAACAGGAGAGCATAGGATTCAATGTAGCTTCAAAAAAGGGCGAAGAGAATAGCAACATACCTATTCCCGCTGCCTGATGCAGTGCCGTGGCCCCTAATTCACTAGCTATAGAAGGATCAGCTCCACGTTCCACAAGGTATTTGGCAGTGGCAATGTGTCCTTGCCGAGCAGCATGTGTGAGTGGAGTATCCCCTGTATCATAACAAATTTTTCGACAGCTGCAAATGTGAGTTTGTGTGTGTGTGTATATATATATATAGTTATTAGCTTCCATCTAATTGAATTGCATTTCAATACCATCTTCATCCTTGGTGTCCACATCCATCTTCAAATCCTCCAGCAAGTACCTACAAACCTCAGTCTGACCCTCCCTTGCAGCAAAATGCAGGGCCCCTCTCTTGTTCGCATCCTTAACATCTGCTACCGTTTGGGCCAAACCTTTCCCGTGATCAAGTTGATTCGCCAATTCTGGAGCAATTCATAGAAAAAAAATTGGTCCGGTATTATGACAAAACCAAGGAAAAATGGAACAAACCTCGATCAATGGAAAACGAAATCGAACATGGTACTCACTTTTCAGTAGGTCTAAATTGCCAGTCCGCGCTGCGTTTAAGAAATTCTGAACTTTCTCCCTTACTGAAATAAACAAAAACGCATCAGGAAAACGAGTAAGCTACGTGAGTGCGCTACCGCTCCCACACATTCATTCTCCAGTAAAATTACAAATAATTGGAAGAATAATCAAACATGGAGGACGAAGAATAAACCTGCAAGAGCTTCAGAAGCATCAGTAGCCATGGCTGGTTTGCAATATTCGGTGGAGACTGCGATAAAATAGGCAGAGATTGAGGCGAGTTGAGTTTGGGAAGACGTGCGGAACGGCGGCCGAAGGGGTTTATGACAAGTTGGAAATTCTCGCCTGTACTTCAGATTTTATACTATTATTTATATTATGTTATCATTCAAATATAATCCTCATACTAATCTCATATTTCGGTTTGGTCCTTCAATTTACAAAGGACTTTTAATAAATATATATAATTTATTTTTGGTTATATTGAAAAACTTTATGAATTTTATTCAAATTAAAATTAATCAATTCTATTCCGATATTGAATCACTCAAATAACAGAATATTTTAAATATATATTAATTATTATTATTATTGTTATTTTGAATGATAACGATAAGATCATATTTGAATATTGTTAGCTTTTGGATTTAACACCTCTTATATATAAGTGTTTAAATATATATATATATATTCTTGTTAAACTCAATACGATCACATTAATTATTTATAAAATTTAATAATTTTTTAAATCATTCAATACGACCAATACAAACCTTGTTCAGACCAAATTTATTAATTATAGTTTCAATGATATTAAAATTGAATATAAATTTTCAATAAAATTAAAATTGAACTTTTTGTTTCCTAACATAAATTAGGCATAAAAATCTTTGCAAAATATAACAATACTATTATTTGCTTATAAGTTTGGTTAATATATGTTTAATCTTTGATTTGTATCTCAAATAATTATATACATTTTAACACAAGTAATTGAAGCATTAAAAAAAAAAAAATCCAAATAGAAAACCACCTATAATAAAATATAAAAAGTCCAACTAAAAAAGTCAATGTCACAACATCAAATATAAAATAATTTTTCAAAATTATTGTCGAAATAATTTCGACGACAATTATGGCTCATTCACACACATATATATATATATATATATTTTTAAGAATGATTTTTCAAAATTATTGTGGAAATAATATTTTACTAATTCCAACTTCAAATCTACTTCTCAACCTACATCCAAACTGTTCAAATAATATGGCTCCTTCACATATATATTTTTGAAGAATATTTAAAATTTGAAAATGTTGGAGAAATCATTTTTGTAATTGTTTTAGATTTTGAACGTGTTAGATATGTTTAATAGATAATTGAAATTGCAATTATTACTAAGGGTGTGTTTGTTTTGGGTATTGGATTTTAAATATATTATTTATTCCATTTTTTCCGTCCAAAAACATCAAATCAAACACCTATTTTTTATTTTTTATATTATACTAAAAATCAAGTTTACATTCAAAACATCAACACATATTTATATCACATCATACAAATATTCAAATTAAAAAATTTTACTATTCAAATCCCAACTCAAAATCCAAACCCCAAACAAACACATCCTAAGATGATTGTTGATGTGATTTTTTTTTATTAATGTAATATTTTATTCGTCTTAATTTAAATTACTCTTTTTATTATTTTTTGTCTGTCTCAGCCAAAAGTATTTATTTTATATATTAGTAAAAGTAATCATACACCAATATCAAAATACTCTTAACTTTTATTTAAATTATAAATATATCATTACATATATAATTACTTTTTAGTAAAGTCAGTAAAAAAGTCAAAATCTCTTACGCACTTCTAATAGCTAATAAAATACTACTCCATCCCTTTGACAAACTATCAATTTTTTCATTTTTGTCTGTCATAACACTGTATCAATTTCCTTAATTTAGTAATTATACTATCTAAATAATATTACAAATATCTTTACAATTTATAATATATTACACAAATCTCATTAACTTTATATCACACAATAGTAATAAAATTTTAATCATTTTTATTTTACTATAGTCCAATATAATAATAATATTTCTAAAATTCACACAAATACATATATATATATATTATATCATATAAACACGAGATTGTACGAATCTGCCACTTGAAAAGTCTATCTTGCCCCTCATTTCGAAAATGACAATTTAGCCCTTAACCTACCTTTTTACTGGTTTGAAAAGACGAGTTTGTACGGATCTGCCACTTGAAAAGTCTATCATGCTCATCATTTCGAAAACAACAATTTAGCCCTTAACATACCTTGCTTGAAATGATGTTTTGGAATCATCGCCAACAACCGCCCTCAACCGCCCAAGACGAAATGTTTTGAAACGTCGTCTGGTCGGTACATCAACCGTCTCGCCAAACGTCTCCACCAATTCCAGAACTCAAATAGCCTAACCGACTAATCCACAGACCAATCGCTAGACCAAAAGACTCCTTGGGCGTACCCACCAAGCGACCTGTCTATCTGCCTGCGGACCGACTGACTTGCCTATCCGACCGCAGACCAGTCGACCTACTTTATCCGACCGTAGACCATCAGACCTGTCTGTCCGACCTGCTGACCATCAGACACGTCTGTCCTACCGCTAACCATCCGACCGAGGACCAACCGACCACACCAACCGACCTGACCAAGCGACCTGAGCGCAAAAAATGAGAATGTACGGATCTGCCACTTGAAAAGTCTATCGTGCCATTCATTTCTAAAATGACAATTTAGCCCTTAACCTACCTTTTTACTGGCTTGAAAATACGATATTGTACGAATTTGCACTTGAAAAGTCTATCTTGCCTCTCATCTCGAAAATGACAATTTCACCCTTAACCTACTTTGTACTGACTTGCTGCTTCATCTGCCTGATCGACGACCCCTTCACCACTGTCTTTTCACACAGCCACTAGCTCTGCTCTTCCGCTTTCCCGCCGAAATCGCAACTCAGGCCGCCGCTGTTCAGCCACGTCTTTGTCTATCATCATCTTCGTCACAATGCACTGTCGCTAAACATGTGGGCTTTCCCTGGTGTGGACTTTATGTATTAATAAATTATAATAGAATCACTCCCGTAATGCAAATTGTGGCTTTCTCTGTTCTCTATCAGATCTTTAGATAAATATTGTCTTTAAAAAAAAAAAATCAAATCAAATCAAATCAAATAATATATGAATAAATTAATTAATTATTAAATTATCATTTAAAGTAATAAACGAAATAAATAAAGAGAAAAGAATGAAATATCCGCCAAAAGAAACCTAACGACAGTTAGAAACGGAGGGTGCTGTGGAGAAGCTCCGGAATCCATGGCTTCCCCTCCCTTCCCTCTCTTCCTTCAAAGCGACCATTCAATCCTCCGCTCGCCGCCGCCGCATATACTCACTTTCATTGCATTGCATTGCATTGCCCCCACTCCAATCCCCCACAACATTCCCCACCACCACCCACGCCAGATCACAACCGAGCGATTTCAATCCATTCCGTGGCGGTCGCGGCGGCTCTCAGCCCTCTTCCGCGACCTGCCGCTCACCGCTGTATTATTCACTACTCAGAAGGCTTTTCTGTACCCCCTCTCCAATCGATCGAGCAGTATTCCTTCAATTTGATGGGAGATCCGCACAACGCATTTGACCAACCACCAAACCTCGAGGAGACAGAAGAGTTGGAGCGTCTGGAGCACGCGGCGCCATTCTGGACGGAAACTAAGTCCAGGAAGCGATTGTCGAAGCAGCTGTCGATGCACGAGGCTCCTCGGTACCGTGCGTGGGAGAGGAGGCGCCGCCGGATTCTCGACCAGGAGCGGAATCCGAAGAACACCCCCGCCGGCGACGATAACTTGACCGACGACGATCTGAAGGAGCTCAAAGGATGCATAGAGTTGGGATTCGGATTCAAGGAGGAGAGCGGACAGCAGCTGTGCCCTACCATTCCCGCCCTCGACCTCTACTTCGCGGTGAATCGACAGGTCTGGACCGGCAGCCCACTCAATAGCCCTTCCAGCAGCAGCGGCGGCGGCAACTCCGCCTGCTCCGTCTGCCGATCCTCCTCCGCCGGCTCCAATTCCTCCTCCGGAAGCCCCATGAGCGACTCCGAATCAAGTTTGAAGATCTTCAATCCAGGTAACCCTAAATCCCCAAATCATATCTAATTGTGCATTCCTTCAATTTGCCTCATTATCATCTCGTGATTTCTATGCTTAGATTATAGATTTCATTGCATATGTGGTTAATTTATGTCAAATCCTTCTGCTACATTACAAGAAACTAAGATAGAAAAAAATCCCCTGCACCCCCAAGAATTAGCTTGTTGCCAACTGAACAAGATCCTAATCATGCATTACACCTATGGCTTAATTGGCAATGAAATGTTGGGAGTTTTTCTACGTCGTAGGCGACGATCCGCAGCAAGTGAAGACGAGGTTGAGGCATTGGGCACAAGCAGTGGCCTGTTCTGTGTTGCAGTCTCCTTTGAGGGGCGGGGAGATGGATTACGCCGAGAAAGAGAGATAGATAATGCACACATGCTCTTGTGCTTTGTCGCACGAAGATATATATATATAAATTACATAGCGCGAGAGGAGGGGGTGTGGGAGACAGAGTCGAGGAAAGTGAAGAGGGTGGGGAGGTGCGATGATAAAAAGGCGATTGACACAAGAGTCTTAGGAAATTCAGGTTAAAGAACCGAAAACTTACAGAAACATATGTTTCCCTACAGCTCTAGGTAAACCAAATCTCGAAGGCTATCTACGTATGGATTGAAAGGGCGTCCCTTCTCCCCGATTTTACAATGAGTTAAGGAGAGCTAATTAATTATTGGACCAACGGATAAGATTTGCCTTTTTCTGCGTTCTTACATAAGATCTCGAGGATGGATGTTACCAAAAGTCGGGTGAATATCTTAAAATGGTCGGGAGAATGTCCTACAACCCTACCTATTATACATGTGTAGATATATATATATATATATGTATGTATGTATATTCGGCCATTGCTAGATGATCGGTTGGCCATCAACCATGGACAAGAGAGTTCTTTCGATGCATAGCGTTTGGTGATGATAGAGGATTTATTCGATTTGGAGATGTTTCCTCTTTAGTTCTTGTTTTTGGTGGAAACAATGCCCGGATTGCCAGTGATTGTTTGCTCGAAGACATAAAGAAAGAAAGAAAGAAATCGGATACAAGGTACTTCGAAGATACTTGTAAAAGCTTTTTTGTTTTTTTGGTATTTGTATGGTCTCGAGCAAATAATTTGAGCATGCTTTGGTTGCATATGTTTGTAGATAAGATAAGATAATGTAGATTATCTGTGTCGTCGTAATTTTGTAATTAACTTTGTAGTAACTAATGTTGGATTACGCTGCATATTACTGTGTGATTTGTAAAAATTGTGCATGTAAGATAATAGGATATGATAACCTCGTTACTTACCCGCAATGCTGTGCATATATCTATATATGGAAATAATTGCTTCGATAGGTAGATAAAAATTTTCGGTTTCATGGAATTTTAGGTTCTATTTATACATATACCTTTGGATTTTTGTTAACGCCACAATAATTTATTTAAAAATATATCATAACAAATATATCTACGACATCAAATATTCAAAAAAGTTGAGGAGTTTTGAATTTGTGAAGATGAGTAAAAATAATTTAAAATATATCAATAAAATTAATTATAATATAATATAAATAATTATAAATTAAAATTAAAATAACTAATTAATTTAAAACGTAATATATGAAACCAACAAAAATAAAAAATATAATATAGTATATTAGAAGAAATGGGTATATATTTTTTAGCTATCTGTTGATAAGATAATTTTATTCATTCATAATTCTATTAATGTTATTTTAATAAATAATAACAAATTTATTACTGTTTTTCTACTTATTTAATTTTTTTTTATCAATTTTTAATAAAAAATTTATAATATTTTTTATTTTATATTAAAATAATATTATTATTTATTTCATGTAATTCTATACGAGTACTTTATTAACTCGACATATGACATAAAAAAACAGAGATTGGAAAAGATATTTTTATTTTTATTTTTTCAATTTTCACTTTATATATTTAATAAATAAAATACTATATTCAATCATATTTCAAGTCAAAATTTAAAATTTAAAATTCAAAACTTCAAACAAACTCACCGTACTAATTTTACTTTATCAAAACCATTTCAAGTACACACCGATCAAACCAAAAACATATTCGAAGATATTTTCCGGTGGTTCTATTGCGCACCTTTTCCCGGCCATTCTCTTCCCTAAGGTTTGATCAAATATGGCGATTCTCGTTTGAAACTCGGTCGTTTTCATTGAATTTCCGAGTTGTTCATCTGGTTTACTGCAGCCCTCAGCAATCCGATCGGCGGTTGTTAAGTAATTCTGTGCGAAGAGCTTGCGAGTGTGTGTTTGGAGTATATCGAGAATGGGTCAAATCCAGTACTCGGAGAAGTATTCTGATGATACCTACGAGTACAGGTGTGGCGCTGTCTACTTCAATATGTTATATGAGTTTTTTGATATATTTTTCCGTTTGTTGCAAGTTTTGGAGTGTATCGTCGTTTGATACTTTCATATTTGTGCAGACACGTGGTTCTTCCGGCTGAGATAGCCAAACTGCTTCCGAAGAATCGCCTTCTCGATGAAGTAAGCTTTGAAATGCAATTAGTAACATTTCGATTCGTTGTCGGTTGCTAAGGTGCATAGGTTGGAGTCTGTTAGGGTTGTACTGTTTCTAATGGCAGCGTGGTCTTTAAATCCATTGGTAAATTGAATTTTGGTTAATTCGAACTTTCTGTGTTGGATGTGTTGGTGAACTGAAGCAGATTTTCACTTACCTGTATCAACAATGATTTATAAACATAAGCAGTATAAGCAAAGTAAAACTAATATATGACAAAAAATGGTGGTTTCTCAGTCTGCCAATGAATATTTGGGTAATGTTGGTAGGTGTTTGTTAGGGTTTAACTTTCACTTGGATGATAAGAGCTTATTGGCAATAAATTCCTGTTCAGTGATACACAAATTACCTGTAGACAATTACCTCTTCATGTTTCGATGTAGTTGAGTTTTTGATGAAGCTGAATAATGATGTCCATCATTTGCTCACTTTGAGTTATGTGACTGAATCAAGGTTTGAATATGGTTAGCTACAGCCATTGGTGACCAAATGTCGAGTTTTGATCTTATTATTGAGTTGAGGAGAAATGCCCATCAAACCACCTGGTTTGGGATGGTTCAGTGGCTATGACACCTCAAGCTTCATCCTTATTTGCATTCCTTCTTCTTTACACTTTACCTCATAGTTGTGAGTTGCTTCTTGTTGCATTGATTCATATTCACCTATGGATACCTCATATTTCATGTTACTTAGAGGTTGCTGCATTTATCTTTAACCCTATTTGTCTTCATCTACTGAACATGCATCGATGATTAAAAAAGTAAATCGCAACACTTGGATTTTACCGACATCGTCAATTGATTGTCAAAAGATCAGAGGTAAACTAGAGCGTGTTGTGAGTCTATGATCTCTTCAGGTTGGATGCATTTACAGGTGACTCAACTGATTCAGTCAATGGGTACTCGAGTACACAATATTAAACTTTTATCAATTCTTAACTGGCATCATATTTATCACTTTATTTATTTTCTTGAATATGAATGTCAGTTCAATTTGTGACTTGGTTAATTTGAGCTGGTTAAGGTTATTGATTATCTAATTAGCATTATATTTGAATAAAATGCTAATAAATTGTGTCTTTGGTCGATCTTTTCTACCACCCTTTAGGGGGTGGTCGATCATCTTTATCATTTGTGTTTTGATTGGTTAAATATTAATGGTATGGTATAGTTGGAGTATTAATAGGTGCATTTTGATTATTTGGTTGCACAAATCACCATTGGGCTCCAAGAACATTTTTCTTTGTTACATTGTCTGCTAGGAAGAATGGCGCGCAATTGGGGTTCAGCAGAGCCGAGGTTGGGTGCACTATGCAATCCACCGCCCGGAGCCACACATCATGCTCTTCAGGCGACGACTGAATCTGGATGTTAAAGCTCAGCACTAGTGATGTTTAAGGTGTGCGTTTTCTCTCGAATATTTCCTCTGCTCTGATCTAGATCTATGTGGTTTAGCTCTCTCTAAACTACTGTTCCTGCAATTAAGAGACGGTCGATCAAAACTGAAATGAACACTACTAGCGCTTGATGACTTGATGTGGTTAAACTGGAGCACGCATTGCTCTATGTTTGCAGCATTAATGCTCGAGTGCATAACTTCTCTCTCTCTCTCTCTGTTGGTTGTTTGGGTTTTGTCTTTGTTGTGTCCATATAAAAATATGGTATGTTCCATAACGATTACAGATAATAGGCAGTGCTAACTAACTATAATTAGTCTGTATTGTTGTGCTAAAAATATAAAGACATGTGACAATAATCTATAGAATACTATATTTTATAACATAGCAACATAGGCTAATAACCTACACATCACCCTAACCATTCCATTTCCATAACAAATGATCATAAACTCACAAAGCTTTTGTAAATATGTTAAAATGATTAAGTATTGAATAATAATAATAATAATAATAATGTTTGATATGACTAGTGTAGATTTGTTCAACTAGAAAGAAGTCTACGGTTCTGCGTCTGATGTGTATTTTGTTCATTTGGAGAATGTTCACAATGGTTGATGATGAGTGAAATTGGCTGCGTTTGCACAAGAAAACTATACGACACTCGTGTAATATTTACTACTAAGTCCTGATAAGAAGGTTTACGCATGTATATTATATTATACATATGTATGAACTTTACTGTTTTCAAGGACAAGCTCAAACCTCCGCCCAAACAAACCCAATAGGGCCCAAATTTGATTATTAATGTTTGTTTTTAATTGTGGCTTTATGTAAAAACATATCTATCAATCATAACTTCCCATTTGAAATATATTATATCAAATTACGTATTGATATTCTGTATTATTCATAAAAGATTTTTTCTCTCTCTCTCTCTCTCTAAATTAATACTAGTACATAATTCCTCACGGGATGATTCGAAGCCAAAGAGTTAGCACGCTCCCTTGAATGTTAACTGCACACAAACCTAAAATGAAGTTATTTCTGGAAAATGGTATATTTTTCATTCAAAGCTAGTATTTACAGCATACAAAATTTGAATTTTAAACATAAATCACCCCTAAGCGCAAAATATTAGTTAAACTAAAAATCAAATCACAATAGCAAACCAAACAAACAAACAAGCAAAAAAACAAATTAAAAATCATCTAAAACAATCGAAACAACAATTAAACATCACGGGTGTGTTTGGTTTGGACTTCTAACACAATCAAATCGGTTCCCACTAAAAATACAATACTCTCTAAATATTATATCAAATTAATATATAAATCAAAATCAAAACCAAACAATATTTATGGTGTATCCAAACCAATCCAATCAATCACAGTTGAGCACAATATGCTGTGTGCGGCGTAGTCAGTTTCCCTTTCCCCGAAGAGTTCAATTGAAAAACACTTTCCATACCAATGGTTCCAACCAAAACTCCAGTCGTACAAAAATTTACACATACTCAGTTCGATCTACACGCAGAGATATGTTTTTGTTGGAAAATCATTCCAAAGAAAAGTGAAGCAGGGAGAAAGAGCATTTGCAGCATGCATTAAAACCTAAGAAACGCATCAAACACAAAATTTCAAGGCAGTGCCAAAACACAACAGCAAGAGGAAGCAGCTCATGATAATAATCAGGTATGCGTTCGCCAATAGATGAAGATGAATATAAACCAGCCAGAAATTGATTACTACTCACCTTTCGGAAGAGGAAACATCTTGCCTTAATTTCGCTGCTGAAAACTCTCTTGGATGTAGCCATTTCAGGTCAGTGCACTCAGGCTGTTCCTGTTCCTGTTCCTGCTGCGAATTTGATCTCTGAAAGCGTTACGTTAGAAGAATGACTCACCTCAGGTGCTTAGCAGTACAGATTGATTTGAGCCTCCTCTACATGAAAATTCGGTTAGTTTTCGAGTAACCTGGTAGAATATGTGAGGATTTCGTGACAGATCGTTTGTAGATCGTCAATTCTCGAAGATCTGAAAAAACAAAAACTCGGAACGGGAAGAATTGAAAGAAGAATGAATCTACAACTGAAAGGCGCGGAACTCTGAGAAAAATCATTTTATAATAGAACTGCGGATTTCCTAATTCCATTTCCATTCAAGCTCTGAGGATAAATACATAACAGCACAAATCAAAGGATGAGTCTGGGAAAAACTGCATCGGAGAATTTCCGTTTTCCCTTTGATAAGTTGGAGTAAATCAAGAGCAGATTCTTTGATCCGGAGAATCGAAGCTCTCAAAACCAATTTCGGACTAAAATCTAGTAGTTAAGGATTTGTAAAAGATCATCTAAGATCCAAAAACTTCATCTCCCCCAACATCAAACGTTTAAACATAAAACTCACAATCTGATTTCATCAGCACCCATAGATCTCTTCCGAATCCTGAATCTAGAAGGGATATCCGACTGCTCTCCTCTGCCGACCGGAATTCTTCCCCTTTCTCTGCTTGTTCTTCAATTTCTTCCCACTCTGCTGCCCTTTGCTCTGCCCGAACATCTCGGTCAAGACGAACTCGTCGAACTGGAACCCCCGCCTTCTCCTCCTCCTCCTGATCGTCACGCGGCGCTGAATGTAGGGCACGCCGATGACCGATCCAGCAGTCACCTGGTGAATGGCTTTCACCAGCAGATCGAGGCCGCGGCAGCGATGCGTAGTCGAATCGAGTAGCGAGAACGCGAATGAATTCGAGGAATCCTGCGATGAAGCTAAGGAAGTCTGCGCCGCGGTGATCGATGACGACGAGGAGGACGACGGCGATGGGGGTGAAGACACTGAAGAAACATGGCGATCTACTGCCGGTAGATTCCTTCCGCGAATCCTCATCTCGATTGAGGCTAGGACTTCGATTGCAAATTGATGTGATTTAGCGAGTGGTATTGCTCTGGAATTGCAGAACCAGAGCAACTTGAAGAAGAAGAAGAGAGAGAGAGGAGCAAAATTTTTTTGTATAGGGTGAGTGGAACTATTCTGCATCGTTTGGTGCGTATATATACAAAGGTGCGTATCTAAAGATGAACGCGGAATTCATCATATACGCCTCCGCTACTCGTATGCATTCTCATTTCCATTAATTTGTTTTATTTTATTTTTATAGCATGAAATTATTTAGATTTAAAGTTATTATTTGAAAAATTATTATACTGTCTCCTCCTGTCTTTTTATATTTAAAGTTATTATTTGAAAAATTATTATACTCTGTCTCAGTCCGTTTGTTTAGAGTCTAAGGTCGAACCATCCTTCTGTTTAACATTAAAAATATATGCTAACTACAAAATTTTTATAATTTTTTTTTAAATTTTTACAATATTTTAATATAATAATTAATATTAAAAAATTAATATAAATTCGTATTTTAATATAATAAATATTTTATAAACTCAAAAAAAGAATATTTAAAAATATATTTCTTTGTGAAAGTAAGCAGAATTTATGTAAATTAAATTAAGAATACAAAATAATTGATCAAGATCGATTTCTATTATAATAAAAAATCATAACATTACGTAATGAAATTATTGGAAATAAATAAATAAATACATTTTTTAGAGCATTTGTTTAGAAACCTGTATTTATCTTTTTCATTATTGTTACTTTGTTTTATTTAATTTTTATGTTTTTTAAATTATATATGATCTTAAAAAATATCATATTTAAATTTTTGTTCAAACAAAAAATTTATAAACAATATTTTGTTTATATATTTCTCACTCACTAAAATTGTTTGTTTGGGGGTTTGGATTTTGAATAGTAAAAATTTTGAATTTGAATAGTTATATGATGTGATATAAATAGGTGTTAATTTGATGTTTTGAATGTAAAATTGACTTTTAATATAATATAAAAAATAAAAAATAGGTGTTTGATTTGATATTTTTTTTGTGGAAAAAAATTGGATGAATAATTAGATTTAAATCCAATCCTCCAAACAAACACACCCAATTCATCCGAATTACTAAATATTTTTACATTTCTCAAATAAATTACTCCTTCCGTCCCATGTATTATGGGTTTATTACTGTAGATACGAAAATTTAGGTAAAATATGATTAGTAAATAACTAAAAAGTGTATTAGGAAAAATAATCATCGTATAATAAAAATAATTATGAATTAAAATTAAGATAACTAAATAATTTAATTAAGATTAAAAAAATTATAAAATTAAAGTGTATAATTATATTTTAAAAAAAAGAATGAACAAATTATGTGAAACGGACGAAAATAAAAAATATGGACAAATTATGTGAGAAGGGGGTATCTATTTTTTTAAAAAAAAATAATAATTAATTTTGATCATTTAATGCTCTTTCTCTTCTCTGCAATGCAATTTCCATTCTTTAGTATCATGTACAATTCCATTCCTTGGTATCATATATCTATGCAATTTCATTTAGGTACCAAATCGAAGACATCAACACACCTCAAATTGGTAATTTACTTGAAAAAACAACATGGCCTGTAACTTGTTTGGAAATACTACAAAAAATTAAGAACAAACATACTAGGTTCAAACGCCTCATCACCTAACACGTATGATTCGCTTAGTGTGATTTTTCCGTCGGGCCTGGTTTGCAGGGTATTAGGTTCAACTGGAAGTTTACCCAGTGTGCACTTTCAAGTAACGATTGCAAGTTCCCACATTATCCAAAAAAAAAAGAACAAACACAGGCACAGCTAAAATCTTACTTTACACTCCAACACCTAAATTTCCAATCTTCCAAATGAATGGTGCATAATATTGAGCTTAAACAACAAGGCTGTATTATTCATTACTACTTGTCTTCAATCTTTTCACCATATAATCTACAATATCAAAAATATCTTCACATGTTAAATCACATCCCATACATAATATCTTTCTTCTAAAACATTAAAAGGAACACCATCAAAATTGATCACAATTAAAAACACAAGGGCTTCCTTTCGAGTTAATTATAAAAATATAATCTATTCCTACAAAATTTTTACATTCAAACAAATAAAATTAAACCAAACTCTAAAATTCTAACAAAAACTTCCCACTAAAAGATATTGAATTCAAAACAAAATTAAATACCAAAACAAAAAATTCAAAGTCACCTAATAAGTAGAGGTATTTTTCACCGAAAAAAGGTGACATTTCCTCGTCAAGAAGGCCATATATTCTCAAGAACTTCACCCCTTTGTCACAACAAATTTATACCAAAATTCCAAACCTATATTACAAGCACAAAAATTTACCACAAGTGCACCAACAACTCCAGAAACATCTGACACATGCTGTAAGTAAACCAGTAACTACATATACATATGCATACACATTAATGTTATTTCATCGAATCAAATCAAAAGCATCTGGCAAGAAATCGAATAACTAAGTCATAATATACTACCCAAAAAACACTATTCCCATTAGGCAGGCAGAAAGCTTCTACATCAACACCAGTCAAAAATACATATAATCCCACACATGCAATAATACCAAATCACATGAAGCTGTAAAAACAGTAGGATCAAAGGAAGGCATGCTCAGCAAACCCCTTACTTTAGTGCACGACACATAACATAAATTACACAACACAGATATACAAACTCAAAAATTTAAAACATTCCCACTTTCTGACATGTTTCGAGAGAAAAAAACAATTCAGATCAATCACAAGGAAATTTTAGATCTCTTTTTTTTTAATGTTTTTTCCCTTTTTTTTTTTTTTTTGTTTTGTTTTTCCCTTCGTTCAATCTAATAGTTAAAGGTTCATTCCTAAAGAGTCAAGGAGACAAATGCTTCATGACTCGACAGCATTGTCAGCGTCCCTGATCTCTTTGGGTTTGGGACTTCCGGTGGGTACTTTTGGGCGATTCTTGAGTTTGCTAGTTTCAATTGATTTTCGTGGACCGGATCGATCCTTACCTTTGGGAGTGCCAGGGGAGTATTTACTGTCTCTGAGAACCCCAACACTGTGACGGGTGACACGCCCATTGAGTCCCTTGTCCTCTAAAGAAGCTCGGGTGGCATCACCGCAGCTCTTCCTTCTGGGAGAACTTCGAGTGAGATTTGGTGATTTAGGACGGGTAAGCGGTAGCTGCATCCAAACAGAACTTGTTCTATTAAAACTATTACCCAAAATATATGCATATGTAAGAAATCGGTGTGGTTTTTAAGAAAATCTTATTAAAATGTGACACACTTGGGAAGAAAAAGAAAGCACTGAGTAGGGAATATTCAGATAGAGCTAAATAGTGTGTAAATGCAACTTTTTAGGAATTTACGCATTGAGAAGCAAAGTTGTTATTACCTTCTTAAGTTCAGGTTTGGGTGGAGGACCTTCGCGATAAAAATTAGGAACGGGATTTGCTTTAACCACCATGTTTTTCCTCAGTTGCTTTATGGCAGCTGCTTCCTCTTCCTACAGATTAGCAAACAATGATGCATATATAGTTTCAAATTCACACGCAAATTCAAACAGGAAGGGTGGTAGCCGGAATCACAAAACGATATGTATACCTTGATTCTAGCTTCATAATCTAGCTTCTCCTTCTGCAAGGCTTTGTGTTTTTCCTCTAACTTAGAGTAATACTAACAATAACAATACAAAAAAGAGCATTGATGGAAAGAAGAAAATATTGCGATTGTGAAGTATAAAATGCCGCCCCTAGCAGTTCAAAAAAAAAAAAAAAAAAGCTACCTCCTTGCGTCTCTCTAAACGGTCAATAACAGTAAATTTTGGAGCAACTGGGACTGTAACTCTGGACTTATTAGTCCGCACAGAGGTTGCAGTACTAATAGCGTTAAGAATTTAATGTTGATATTGATTGTGAGATGTTAGATAAAAGACAGATACGTCATTGGTAATAAAGTAGATAAAATACACAAACGAGGAAAGCTGACTAAGGATACGAGGAAGCCAACGAAGACGCATCATCTTCATCATAAAACTTGTTATACTGAGAATGCAGCTTTGCTGACATGGAAGGAGACCGAGGCTGCAATACAGGAAAATTGCCAATATAAGCACACAAGTAAGTTTCGCCAAATCAAAGCATCTGACTAATCTCAAGCTCGAATAAGCTAATGGCCAACACAAAGAACATATATTCAATTGGCCAAACATCATATTCAATAAGTAAAAAAAATAAAAATTCTTACGGCTATTGTCACATCAACTTAAAAGTTAACTTGATCGACTAATCTCTTGGCTTCATATTTTTTAAAGAATAAAATAAAAACAATATCCCAGATCAAGAAAAATAAAATGTAATTGCACATTCAACCATCATAGTAAATAAGAGGGTGCCACTTGGCACCTCAATAAGTTGTACTCTCGGTAGCTTGATCTGATGACAAATAGTGAAATATTAAATTTGATCTCATCTCCGTCAAAGATGAGTTAATGCAACTGGAAAAAGAGCAGACGGAAAAATTGAAAAAACGACATAGTGATTAAAGAAGTATTTACCTGTGATCTATAAGTTCTCTTTGGGGTATGCGCATCATGATCATCCTGTGATGAAAATTTTCCACTGGAGGCATTGGTTTCAGTCCCGTTAGTATAGCCTGTATGGGATTCTTTCCCATCCCCAACAACCGGTGTCACAGGCTCCGGAGAATTTGCCTCATTTAATCCATTAACAGCAGATCCCAATGCAGGCTTAACCGATGGGCTCAACTTTTTGTCAGGTGTCCTCTGATCCTCAGCCTGGATGATTTTCTCCTCAGGCTCGCGGTTGGTGCTTCTCAGACCTACCACATCTTGATCACGGTTTATTTGGTCAGGAAGTCCCCCATTGACAGCTGGAGCAGCCGATCCTTGATCTGTTGTTTCATCTATATCTGGCGCAGCTTTCGGAGAAACAAGAACAGCATCATGATTAGTGCCATTTGACTTCACATTGACCATGCCGGACTTCTTGTCAATACGTAATCCTGCAATGTCCCTCCCCATTCCCCTTCACGAGATTAGAATAAAAACCACTAATAAATCATTTAGTTTTCAGATACTTGAAATTTCATGTGGCACGACTATAAGTATAAAAAATGTTCAAATTTGTTCTCCCAATCCGACAATATTAAGATATCTTTTAGGAAAGATCATAACCACACTTGCAACAGCCTAAACATAGCTTAGAGATCATAAGATAGTGTGTAACTACCGCAACATGGAAAAAAAAAAATCATATACAGTCGACAACAAGATGTCAAATGTCATAAAGGTTTCTTAAGATATAAGTAGATAGTTTGTAACTAATTTTTAAAATGACGAAATTTAAAGTACAAACTTATAGCAATGTGTTAGATGTTGAAAACAACTACACAATCATCTCGAAAGTTTGGTAAGATACTAATTATAGACAGCCATACTCTTTTATCTATCTTAATGAAACCATCCACATCACAAAAGAATCCTATGTCACATCCAGATCATTGCCGAAACCAGCCACGTTCATAAAACCAAAACAAACTAAAATCCAGTGATGCTTCAAGTTGTAATTACTGTCCCCCTTGTAGAACACCAGAAACCAAAAATCCAAAAGAAGAATTCAATGTAAATCAAAAGACAAATATCACACCACATCAAGACCAGAAGCAAAATTTACAGTTCAAGACTGATGTTAGCCTTTTTCATAACAACCCATACATTTCTCTCCCAAAACTTACAATTAACTCAAAAGTTCTCAAAGAAATGAAATCTGTAAAACATAATTTGACCTAAATCAGAACCAAGTCCTTACAATTTAACCTAATTTGTTGACAATATTCCTTCTCTTCAATCCATCATCAGATAACACCAAACCACAAGAAACAAATACCCATAAAAAAATACCATTGTTGAAGAAACATTATCCACAGATTCAAACAAAACATGGACCATATCTAAAAACACACAAACCTAGAGTAAAAATAACCAAAAATAAATAAACAAGAAGCTCACCAACAGTAGCCAACACAAACATTTTTCAAAAAAATAAAATAATCACAGATCGAAAACTCCGTCCAAAGAATTCAGCAACACCGACGCCAAGCTCCAAAAAACCAAATAAATCGTCGGAAAACAACATCCAACACAACAGCATCTCCCAAACTCCAAATCACTCACAGCAACAACATGCAGATCGAAGCGAACTACGCGAAATTTCGTCAGAAATCAAAAACCGCCACGAACTGAACCACAATCAACGAAACGAGAAACCAAAAAATCGCAGACATACAAACACAAAAGTCCTCACCAACAAGTTCTTCCGTCGTCTTCGTCGGCTCCGCTCCCGATCCGAGCATAAATTAGTACCTCCACCTCCACCTACAGCAACCAAAAACGTGCGCTCAACTTCCCTCTCCCTCCCTCCTACCAATGGGTTTTCGAAAATCCTTTTTACCCTCTCACACCACAAATTTCTTCCTCTCCTTTTTCCCCTTTCTTTCCCCTTGCGGAATTCCGATTTCTTTGCTCGTTTTGGTCCTCTGGTTAGTCTCGAATCTCGAAGACGTTAATGTCGGCCTACTTCTCATTTATTTATGGATTCTATTTTTTGTAATAAAAAATTTATATATTTATAAAATATAAATTTGTCCTTTTTTTTATTTTTTAAACGGTAAGTTGCTCCGAAAATTTTGTCTATTGTAATGATAATAATATGGATTTTTGTTACAGGTTAAAATTTTGAAAAATTTAAAATGTTGAAAAATTGAAGATATAAATATTTGAATTTTTGATATTATATTAATTAAAAGTTTTAAAAATGTATAGGTGAAAAGAGTCATTCTGAATTTTGTGTTATTTTTGTGTCTTTTAATTGTTTTTTAATATTAATTTATTTTTTATTTAAAATATATTATATAAATAATTTTACTTCAAAATATGAATCAATAGTTAATTAATCATATTTTAAAATTTAATATTAATAAATATATACTAAAAATGTATATATGATTGCATAATAGTAGTATAATTCAACTTTAAACTAATGTCTTTAATAAAAATAATAATATTATTATTTTAATTACAATAAATAATTAAAAATAATATAAAAATAATTTTGCTGATGCGATGATAAAATAGAAGTTTTTAAAAATACATATATATAATTATTAAATAAATAGAAATTATTTATAATTAGACAATTTAAAATATATTGCGTATACTTACAAGTGGACATAATAGTACTTAGTAAGTCCAGCCACAAATGATCCTTTTTCTTTTTTGTAAGTCATACAAAAAATGACTCATTTCCATTTTTGTAATTTTATCAATTTTAAACATACTTAACAAATATAAAACGATTTAATTAAAATTCTAACATCTTACAATCAATTCAAAACTCATTTATTTCTATCTATCTCTTCAATTAACATAATTTTTTATCTATATTTAAAACTTTTTATTTTTTCGAAATATAATCTTAAAAAATTTTAAAATACTAATAATATTATTCATATAAAAAATAATAAACTAATATCATAACTTATTATTAATAACTTACTAATTTACCCTGGCTAAAAAATTGTGTCCCTAATAAAAATGTTCATCCCTCGGGCGACGGAGGGAGTATTAACTATTTATACCTTGGATAAATATGTTGAAACATTGAGAATTACTTACCAAAATACGTGAAAAGAGTAATTCAATAAACACATAATTTATAGTGGAATTTAATTCTGGAAGCTTATAAAATCAAACTAATTATGATTGGAGGCCTAATTGATAATTATAATCATTTGATTTTACCCAATCTTCTGTACCAAATTGGATTTGTTGGTTCGATATAAATAAATAATAAAATTAGGTAAAAATATTATTATTATTATATGTTAGCTCTGAAATTTTAAAAATTACATATATTAGGTAAAAAAAATGAATTCCCTTTGGTGAAAATTAATTGCGAGGTCGAATTGAGAAAAAAAAAAAAAAAAATGTAAGGAAGGAAATACGGATGGCGTGATATTGACGGCGTTAAGTAACGGTCGTGAGTGAAATATTGTAATTTAATAAAAGAAAGTCAAAAAAGCTGGAGGAATGGAATCCGGGGAGTTATTTTTGCAGGTCCTGGGGGTTTTGCTCGCGAATCAATATGAACCGTCAGATTTATCTGGTAATGGCAGAGATGGAATCTGGTGTGGGAAGTCCGGGAGTGTAATTATGTTAGAGGAATTTATGTGTGCGCCAGTGGTAATTCCACGTTTGGTTGGTTTGAAATTGAAATATTTGAAGTGACGGACGAAAAGTCAATTCAGTCCCTCCAAATTTCACGCCTTGTGGGGCCCGCAATAATTATTTCTTTTACTTCGTGCTGGTGGCGTATTTATTTTATTTTTTTATTATTTTACCTTTTTATATGGAATATTATCTAAAATAAAAGCTTTTTTTTTTTTTCTTAACACAGTTTTACTCATTTGATACTATTTAATTTTTATAAAATATCACATTAAATACATTTTTTTTTACAAAATATCAAATTAAATACTAAATTTTTATTTTTTTCAAACTTCCAAAATTTTTAAAATCTCCAAAACCCTCTATCCAAACAAAGCCAAAATTATTTTAAATTATTAAAAATAATACAAAAATGTAAATAAATGTACCCATTGTTATTTTGGAATAATTCAACTATAGGTATTCATTAGTGGGAGAAGATAACATTTTGATGTGTAGTTATATGTGGAATTAAATTAACCGTCGGTCATGGAATTATTGTGATATAAAAATTAATTACGTTTTATTCCTGCAATCAATATATAATAAATGACTCGCCTTTTAATTAAAAGTATGGCCCTTAATGCGATTTGAAATGTATAGGTTGTTTGGACAAATTTTCATTTAGTTTTGTAATTTTAAAAAATATATGAAAAAAAAAAAAAACATAAGTGGTATGTTATTATATAAAATAAATATTCAATTTAATCTTTTTGTTAAAAAATTACTGATTATAGATCAGGGCGTGTTTGGCAATTAGCTGATAGCTGAGTTGACTAGCTGATTCGATTAACTGTTTGTATTAAAATGTTTGGTAACTGTTTGATCTTAGCTGTTTATACGTAAAATAACAATTGAGGACATTTCTATTTTATTTTGTTTCTAATATATTCAATTATGTTCTTTTGAATTTAGAATGTTTAAAATTGTTTGTTATTAGTTTTATTGAAAATTGTAAAAGTGTTATAAAAGTATTTATTTTTATTAAAGTTAAATTTTAAAAATAATATATTTTTATTAAAATATATAAATAGTTTTTTTTTTATTGAAAATAATGTAAAATATAAAATAATAAATTTTTCGTGTATATATATTTATTATGCTAGTTATCGATTAGTTCGTTATATTTATAATTTTCAATAAATTTAATTTAATTAATTTATTTTTAGTATAAAATTTATATGATGTAATTTTAATAAAAAAAATAAATTATTAATATTTATATTTTTTATTTTATGCTGATTTTAATACATTTATATATTTTACAATTAAAATAATTTTTATATAAAAATTAATTATTTTAAATTTATGAAAGTAAAACTATAATATAATAAAATATTCTAATATAATTAATAAATAATCAAAATATATTTATTTGTGTAAAATGTATAATAAATTTTTAAGGGCATATAAGAAATAAAAAAGAAATTGCAGAAAAAACTATTTCAAAACGTTGGGTAAGTTAGCTTTTCAGAAATTAGCTTTTTGGATCCAAAAAATTATTCCAAAAAACTAATTTACCAAACACCTAAATTAGCTTTTTGACTGGTCATAAGCTAAAAGTTCTTAAAAAACTATTTGCTAAACACACCTTGTGTTTTGATGCTTGATCAGTTTAAATTGACATTAAATTTTCAGCTTTTTATAATATATATTTTATTGGTCGACAATTTTAACTCATTTTTTTTATGATACGGAGATTTAAAAATATAAATATTTTATTAAAAGATATATAAATTTGAGGTATTTTTGAAAATTTAAAATTTAAAAATTAAATGTAAATAATATATAATAATAATGATATTTATTATAAATAAAGATTGAATACGAAAAATAAAATTAATAGTGGTGTAAGTTTAAACGAAAAAAAAGAATAAAAATAAATTTGAAGAACAGGAGGATAATGAATTTGTTATTTAAAAATTTTATTTTTGATATGATTCTCAATTTATTTATTTTATCATTTCACAAAAATTAATATTCTACTATAAAATATTAAAATGAGATTAAAGTGTGTAATAATTTTCTAAAAAAAATAAAAGTGACATGGAATGTGGGACGGACAGAAACGGCAACGTGGACATGGCATGTGAAATTGATGGAGTATTATTTACACAATTTCTTATACTTCATTGTAAAAAATAAAATAAAAATCTAAATGAAAACGTGTTTGTTTGGGGATTGAATTTTAAATATACTGTTCATTTCAATTTTTTCCCTAAAAATATCAAATCAAACGCCTATTTTTTATTTTTTATATTATACTAAAAATCAATTTTACATTTAAAATATCACGTCAACACCTATTTATATCACATCATTTAATTATTCAAATTCAAAATTTTTATTATTCAAATTTCAACACAATATTTTACAGTCAAGTGCGACTTACTGAAAGTAACATTATTTATAGAAGTATTTTTTTTTTGTTTTTTAATAAATAAATATATTTACATATGCTCAAATATTTTTATTTTTTTATTAATTTGTACTTATTAATTATATATTATATAAATTAATAAATGTCTATTTACGCTCCTTTTTTCTTTTTTCTTTTTTTAACGCCCACGAGCTTTTCATTTTAAAAATTAATATAACACTTTTTTAATAAGTTTTAAAATATAAAAATCTAACTTATTTGATACTAAAAATTAATACATAAATATTGAATATAATAATATTTTAAAATGTATACATCAAAATAAATATTCAATTCCACAGAATATTTTCATAATACAACCTAACTACCCAATCTAATAAATTCCTATCTTATCATGTACTCCTACATAAAAATTAAAAATTGAAGAAGTCAATAACAAAATTTTATAATAATAATAATAATAATAATAATTTAAAAATATTAAGTGCACGCGTAAGGTTTGCAATTATCAGCAACCAATTAATAATAATAATCCATAATCCATAATCATAATTATAATCCGTCACTTCACTAAAATATATGTGTGGACAGGAACGAGATACTGTTGACGTGGCCATTCCATCTACTAAAATATGTCTGTGGATTTGCTCTCTAAAGTTTTTTTTTTTTTTTTTCTTTTTTCTTAAATATATTTATTTTTTATTATTAAACTTTATAATTTACCTTAAAAAATATTGTGTATATAAATATAAAATATCAAATCAATTAAAATTAAGGGAGTACACATATATAATATTTTCAAAGTATAGGGATTAAATTGAGAAGTGTTTTCGCGGTAGTAAATGCGAAATTGGCGTTTCAATTGTGTTGAGGGTTTTTTTCGAATGAAAATCCATTGTGGGTCGTCTCGTGTTTGGCAAGTCCTGG